ACAGATCAATCATTTTCTCAAACTGTCTTGGGTATTTTACATGATCTATCTATATACTACTTGCTAACTCTACATTATTAGTTCAATGTGAATGATAAGCCCTCATTCTCGAGTGCTCAAGAACTATTGTCCTGGATGGACCTTTTACCTCCTGGGCCAAAATGGCAGACCATGCAGTTTGAAGTTCAGTGGTATACTACTGCCACTTCCATTCATCTAATATGGTGTGATGGTTTTGAAGTCGCGAAGAGCCTCTTTAGAAACCCTATTTTTGCTCAAAATATATTTTGACCCTCTACATGTCTGGGAGGATGTGCAGCAAGAGTACAGAAAGTGGTTTACAGCAGATCAATCATTTGTGACCCAGGTATGTGCTTCTTTTCTGTATTGTCATATTCTTAACTATCAACTATTCTAAAATCAGCTGACAGAAGGGGCAACTATCATGCTCATAATAGCTGCATCAGACAAGACACCAGTCACAAAACAAACAGACGGTCTAGAAATGCACCCTCTTTTCCTTACTATTAGCAACATCGACTCTGATGTTTGTATGAAGGCTACATCCCATACTTGGCAATGTGTGGTGTATGTATCAATCCCAAAGTTTGAAACACATCCCAATTATCATTGAAGTTGTGTGTCTGGCACAAGTGTGTCGACTTAGTCTTTGCCAGCTTGAAAGTCACAGCAAAAGTTGGCGAGTTTATGCCTGATCCCTTTGATGAACTTCAATATTTCTTTATGTTTCTTGTTGCTTGGATCACAGACCTTCCAGAACAGTTGATGATTGTCTCTGTGTCAAAGAACACTTCCCCCATCACACTGGCCACTCACAAGCAATTTGGAGATGCTAACTATCACAATCCTCGCACAGCAGAGCATACTCTGGGGCTATTACAGTTTCAGCCAGTCAAATGACTCATGGAATCTTGACCGGTTCCAGAAGAAGGGAAAGAAGCTTCTCCTTCTAGGTGTTTATCTTCATTCTGACGCAACTGGCTACTTACACAGGTTTTTATTTTCCTGGTCCCTGAAATCCTCTACATCCTGCACAAATTCTTCTTTGACCATCTGTTGCAGTGATATAAAGAAGTAGTTGGAAGTGACAAGCTCAATGCATGCTACAAGAGTCATCACAAGTGTATTGATATGTGTCACTTCTCTTCTGGGATCTTGCACATGTCACAAATGACTGGACAAGAGCATCATGATATATAGTGCACCATCATTGCCATGATTTCAGGTGCTGCTGCTCCTGAATTCATGCAACCTATTCATGCTCTCATTAACTTCATGTATCAAGCGCAGAACCCCATCCATACAGAATCAACCATTGAAGCAATTCAAGCATCACTTAATGAATTCCATGATTGCAAGGTGGCAATCCTGGATGCTGAAGCATGTCGGGGGAAAAGCAGTGTCAAGAAGGATTTCTACATACCAAAACTCAAAGACTTGTTCAATTCACTGCAGATGTTAGCAAACAGCTTCTAATCACACATTGCAAAAGCCCGTTGTAACGATGGTCATGGCACTGGACTCAGTGTAGAGACTTGCATCTCCACAGACACTTCCCTCAAATTCTTCCACTTCCCTCACACACTCTAGCTCTAATCCAAAGGATACATTGAAGGTTCAACAATTCAGATGGTTAGTCTGAACAACGTTGGATCTTGCTGCCTAGCTACGTTGTCTAGAAGACAGTATTTGACTCTAAAGGGTTTCTGTACTAAGCTCAAAGCTCAGAGAGAGAGGAAAACTACTAAGACTCTGACTGGTGGTAAAAACTGGTAAAGAGGTAACTTCCTTATGTAAGCTACAAAATAGCAAACATAAGGTAAAGACAGTATCTACAAGTCTAGTCAGGAATGAGTTTCTACAACATCTTGCACAGTAGTGCACTATATTTTATTTTGCAGATTTTGTGTGCAACCACTCGCACCATGCGTCCACCTTCGCATCGTCCGCATACCTGTTTGTCCGTCCATCCTCCCCATGTCCTTAGATGTCCATTGGTGCATTTTCTCACTATATTCCCATTTTGACCAATTGTTTTCCATCACTAATACTCAGCCTAGTGCTACGCGTGCAGCCAAGACCCTATTACCTACTTTGTGTACTATATTTAGCTTACTCAGCTCGCTACATCGGACCTGCGCACCTAGCGCCACTTAGCCATTTTACTTATACCCCTCTATTACTTATGTACTGGGTCGATTTACCGCCCACTTTCTCTGTGTCTCTAGATACTAGGGAATTTTACTTGTTGTCTGCCAGTGACTATCTAAAGTCGTGTGCATAAGAAGTCCACATTCGCCTTAGCATCAGCCAACCTTAGTTGGGGTGTTAACACTTGTCTCGCCTTGTCTCTCTCTTTCGTCTCTCTTGCTTGCTAGTCTTTCGCCTTCGCTCGCTTGTGCTACCTTTGCATTGTGCACCTCGCCCTTCGCACTCGCGCATCCATCCACGTATATTGCATCACTCTCACCTCATGCTTCACGCATCTATTAGTCCTGTTACTCTATTAGTTGTTTGATGTCCCTCTTTTTATAAGAGAGGTTTCCCTTTACTCAGTTAGCTGCCCTTGGGTAGATGATTTCACTCACGCCTAGGTCTAGCTGTGTTTGCTTAGCTTAGCACCAACTTACACCACAGTTCAGATTCCTCATCTTCATTGGAATGTTCAGCTATTTTGATACTGATGTCAGACAGTATTTGTCTGATGCACTTCCGACTACCCTGATCCAAGTCTGACAGTCCAACACATGTCCAATCCCAACCCAACACACTTTCCAACAGTCCAATGCAGATTCGATCCTAATCCAACTCCCGACCTGACATTTGTGCACATCAGATCAGTCCTCCCTATGTCCTGTCCAGTTGCATCTATCCACTAGGTGTGCAGTTACTCAGTTTCACTTGCTAAACATTGTAGACAGTGTTATTACATGTTTTATCATAGTCTGCAGTACCACATGTCCTATTACATAGGATTTTGGACCCAAAATATTGCTACTACTCTTGCCTATAGCACTCCAAAATTCTATATAGTCACTATATAATATCTAGTACTTATTGCATTACTTACTTTTCCCTACTCAGTAGTAGGATGGAAGTCATTGGATATTAGTAGTACTTGATTGTATTGTGAAATATCTAACCACTCTTTTTCTTCAAAACATTCTAAAACATCTGACACTCATTTGACTGACAATCCAACACACTTCCGACACATTCCTTTACTGTCTGACGCATTCCCAACAGTCCGACGCCCAACCCGACTCCAATATTTTTGGATTCAACAAATTCCCTTTGGACATGTAGCATACACCTTCAGATGATCTTTCTATTATTGATAACTAACTATCTAAACTAATACCATATAGCAACCCCTATAGGATTGAACACACTTGTCCTACAAGTATAGCAGACTAGGTCATGCTGAAGATCTACCTAAATAATTGTTGCTTAGGTAGCACTACTATTTGCAGAGCCCAGCAAATATATTCTTCCTACACCATTCATAAGAACAAGCAGACAGAAAGATTTCAGGGAGCTAATCATCCACATCCTTGATTGTGAAGAGTGGATGCGGCAGTTCAATCTATATCTCCTCCTTCACCAACACAAGCAAGCTCTCATTAATGCCATTATTGATGAAGATGAGGAATTATATGCCATGAACCCAACAATGGCATGGGTTTCTTGTGTTGCCCCCAACAAGCAAAATCATTTTAGTGCCCCCAGGCCCATACATAATCATTTTATCAAGGGCATCCTCTCCAATAGCACTAACACAGCATTTACCATCACTTGCTCTCCTAATGACTCAAATCTCAGCTGGCCTATGTGATACACACCTATGGACTTCCTGATCTTCATCACAGGGTCACAGAATACATTCAGCAATATGCAGTTGATGTCAGAGGATGCTTCTGGATGTTCAGCACCATCAAGGTTTAATCCAAGTTTTGTATCTAACTGCATTCAACATTTCACCCATCAATTATCATGCCCAGCCAAGCTGTCCAAGCAGAACCACCAAGTGATACATTTCCATCCAGAAATTGTGATGCAATTTTCTTAGACATGGATCAAGATACAAATCAAGCTCAAAGATTGTTTGGTTCAAGTGCTGAGTTGATTGATGGATGCACACCCATGTAGACTTGGATCTGGATGGGCAGTTCTGTCCAGCTGGTGAGCACTTCAAGTTTATATTTTGACCCATACATGCAATTTTGCATTTACAGTACTCAGGCCAGAGCCGATGAAGGTGAATCAACTCAGCTGTTGGTCAAATGGTAAATGCAAGGGAGGGACACAAGAAGCTGATATAGTGATCAGTGTGATGCCTAGTCTGCTATGCTTGCAGGTACAAGTGTGTTCGATCCAAGGGGAAGCAAAGAAGACAAATCCACAGTCATGCAGCGGCTGTGTGAAGCGAGCAACATGCGCGCGAGGCGCAGGAATGCAAAATGCAAAATAGTGAAAATGTGAAATGCAATGAGCAATAAACGAGGGCTCAATGAAAACAAAAGACTGCTAATAAATTCTAAATCTGGCTATGGACATCATGAGGGAACTCCACTAAGGTAAGGAGTGGTGTAATAATTGGTAAAGGGTGAAAAATGCGGACCTATATATGTGTCTCGCTAAGTGAGCCAAGTGTGAGATAATGTATGTAATAAGGTATGTAAGTCAGGGTCCATGCTCTAATATGTGTCAGAACTTTCTTATTTGTATTTCAACGGCTTGCAACCAATTTCAACTTTCAAATGCAGCGAGTGTCTTTAAATAGGTTGCTATGATAGAAACATGATTTCAGGGTGACTGCAACCAAATTGCAACGGAATTGTGATGGAATTGGAATGCAATTGTAGTTTTATTTAAATGGAATTAATCTTTCAAACCTCCAATTTTGTCCCATTTAAATGGCTGTTGCAAGCATCATTTTCAAGCTCATTGTCAGGCATTGCAACACATAACAATCATGATCAGAGCATTGAAAATTTTCTATTAGATTGCAAGCCTATGGTACAAATTTTTATCTATAACAATTAGGTCTTGTAAATACGGCCATGGCAATAATATCGATAGCAATATGTTTCTGGCTATACTGACAATCAGAACCAGAAGGATATCGAGGAGCTAAAAAAAAATGACTTACCACCAGGGAGGGAGACCAGGAAATAGTTACCCGGCATTGGGGTTTGGAGGTCATGGGGGTCAGCATCAGCTGCATTACTACAAGGGCAGTCTGAATGCTGTAGTCAGAAAGGGTATGGCTGTGTTTGAGCTGCTTGCCAGTGAAGATGAGAGACACCATTGGCAAGGGGGAAGACGAGGGCGGTCTGAATGTTGTAGTCAGAAAGGGTATGGCCATATTCAAGCTGCTTGACTGAGGCTGGAAGATTGGGAGACGAGTGGACGTCGATTGTAGCAGGAGGAGGACCAGTGAGTCCTGGAGGAGGAACCACGGTGCTGGCATAAGCAGTTGGGTGCACATCCTGAGGACCTGGTGCAGCAGGTAGCTGACCACCAGTGGCTTGAGCATTCTTGAGCAGCTGGAGACACTGCAAAATGACATGGTTTCCAGGGTCAAGTTCACTGGCACGAGCATAAGCATCAATGGCATCTGAGATTTGGTTGTTGCAGCTCTCGTGAAGGCTGCCCAAGTCAAACCAGACCTCGGAAATATAAGGGTTGATGTGGATGGCACGGGAGTATGCATCAAGGGCATCACGGAATTGGTTGATTTGGAAGTAAAGAACACCAATAGAACACCAAAGGGTGGGGTTCCTGCCATCGTGGTAAACTGCCTGCTGGTCCAGGTTGATGGGGAGGAGGGACATGAGGGACAGAGGGTTGCTGGGGTGATGTGAGGGTGGATTAGAGGGCCGGGTGGAAGGAGACGATGTGTCAGAAGACGGCTGGGAAGATAACAATTAGCATAGCACTTTGAAATGAAAAAACTACAAACGAAATGATGAAAACAGAAATAAAAGTGTGTGATGGAAAGGGAGGACTTTAAGGAAACAAAAAAGAGAAGGCATGCACCAGAACTAACAGCACAGCAACTGGACTGAATCCATTTGGACGGAGGAGGATTTTGACTGGTTGTGGGCTCACGAAAGAGAGATGGGAGATATGTCAAAGCGGCTGACTTATTAATAATAATACAGCGCATAAGACGAGGTTCAAAAAGAAAGAAAGTCAATGTAAATGCTAAGCCACATGTTGAAATGATATTTGACCTTGTTTACATCAAGTTATTATGTAATAGCAATACTTTGCACTCCCACTGATTCCGCAGCAGCACTGTGCATGTCCTAATATCACTGTAAGATTCTGAATCCTGGAACCGATAACTCTGTCAATTCCAAGGAGTTGCATAATCTAATGTTACAGTATGATTCAGAGTCCAAGTAAGTACAGCAAAGTAAATCGATGGGCTAATACAACGAGTAGGTGCAGGATCCATTCATAAGACTATTTGTGAGCCTGCCAAATGGTACGATTGGTAGCCATCGCTGGTGTGGTCACCTTCCTCCCTCTTTTCGACTTCTTGGACCTCCCTCTAGTACTGCTCAGATCATCTGCCGCCTCCTGGAGTACCTCGCCTGATGAGCTGATGACTGCAGCTCCCACCTCATCAGCCTGAGGTATTGCAGCAGCCGCATCCTCCAAATCTGCGGCAGTGCTGTTGTTGGTGGCTACATTGTCAACAAATGGGAGCTTCTATAGTGTGCCGCTGCTGTGTGGAGAGGATAGGCTGCGAGATTGATTCAGATGCCAGAGCATTGACATGTCTCTCCAAGGCAGTGGCTGTGGGAGTTCCTGGACCTGTTACATCTGCCGCAGTTTCCGTTCCATCGTCCGAACTTTCCATGTCAAGCGCCGCAAGTGTGCAATCAATGGTGTTCGTGAAATCTTCATGTACAGCAGAATCCAAGGCCGAAGGTCATGCAGCTTTGAAGATGTAGTGGTTGATATTAGTTACAATCTGTACAATGTGCTTCGTCTTCCACTTGGTCACTAGAACTTTCTTATATGTGAAAAATAAATCCTTGTAGCTAATTGTTGACCTCTTGCCAATGCCCATGCTTGAGAATTCAGTGTCAGGAGACAGTAAGAATATTGCCTGCAGCAGTGTGTGAGCATGACTGCCAATTGAACTTAGATGATATGGGTAGCTTACAAGAACTGTGGCCCAAGTGATGCAACCCAGCGTGACTTGCCAAATGCTCCATTTCATGGAGTTGGTATGTGCGCCTCTGCCACTGGAAGTGTGATGGAGGGATGTGATACCACGCAACAAAGCTTTCAGAATCTGAGGATGTTCTTGGTGAGACAGACAGCCAAATCAGAGAGCACCACTAGACTTACTTGTGCCAACAGAAGCCAGTTTCCGAAGACAGCTTGAGTGATCGGTCCTCTTTCAACTCTGGGAATAGCACCAGAGGGAATGTTTTGTATGCCAGGTTTGTCGAAGACGTGACCCCAAGGAGTCGTTGGATCTCAGGGACATTAGCTCTGTCGTAGCTAGTGTTGGTGAAGTACTTTGAAGGGAGGTCGAAAATGTCGCCAGCAACACCCTGGAGTTTCTTGATCTCGTTAGCATGAGCATCCGGGATGGATTTCATCACCTACAATAATCATATTATATCATGCAGAAGTCCAGGAATGAGAGTTCACTTACAAGATCGCTAAAGTATGAACTTTCCATCACTTTGTGTAACGACTCGGGGAAGTGACGATAGAGCTCATCCAGAAATGCTGACTCTTGAGTAGATGCAGTCGCATATCGGTCAGTGCTGTCAAATGGAGTTGGCGAGTCTGGAAGGCGCTTATTGAGGAGGTCGCTACTGGAAAACATCTCAATCATCATGCCATACTTGCAAGCATAGATAGAGATGGTCTCCTCATGAACACTGAGCTCGTCATGAGCATTCATGCACCATTTTCGCTTGGGTTTCTCTGCGTTCAAAGTCTTGTTTTCCTCTTTTATTGTCCTATTCTCTTCTTGAAGCTTTTGCATTTGAACTTGCAGCATTTTGAGCGTCTGAGTGGATATGCGAGTCAGGAAATGCTCAGAATTGCGCATACATCTTACCTTGAGGAGTTCTCCTTTAGATGCACCAGGACCTGGGATAGAGATATGATCAGCATCAGCAGTGTTCTGACCATCCCATTCGCTATCAGATTCAGAAGAATCTGCTGCGCTGGGCCGCGAAACATGTGACATGACGGTTTGATGAAGCTGTTTTGGGGATACCAATTGAGATTTTGTTCGAAGGGCAGGAGATGACAGAAATTACTCACCTAGTACCACACATTATAAAGTGCCTGCACTGCCCAGTACCTTGGCGGTGTCAGACATAAAATTGCTACATGCTGTTTTACATGTCAGTGCAAGAGATTAGTCAATTGTGCACCAATGTGGTGCAAAACTCATAACAGATGCTTAGACTTGAGTAATAGAACATGTGTAACTGCTGTGCATGATCAGATTTGAGTTTAAGTTGAGTTTAATAGAGTGACTCAATAGCCAAGTGACATACCTGCTCTTCAGGAAGAATCGGACATGGTGTCATTCTTGGTGACGATAATGCTAGGAGGGGGGGTAGGGGTGGCGCAGCAGCCCAGCGGATGATGGATGGCAGCTGATGGGAGAATTGACTAGATGATATTTTGTAGACGTTTGCGGAACCTTAGCTGGAGGAGGCATTTGCTCAGCAGCTGGCGAGAAATGTCAACGTTACTACAAGTTAATCAGTGCCTATCTGGGGTTGTACTGAGTATTCTTACATTGCCCTGCTTTTCATCTGTTCTCATTTTTCCATCAGGCCGCAATTCAGAGTCTCTCATTATGGGGAGAGGGCCACCACGTGGTTGTTGGATGGTGGTTTGTGATATAGATAGTGATATATCATTGATTGAAGTTGTGGTTGGTGAACTGCCAGGACTATAACTATGTTGTTGTGATCTTGGGAATAAGGACAAGTGTGAACAACCTCATAAAGACATATGAGAGTAGTAAGATTCAGGAGAGCGAGAGTGTGATCGTGTCCCCACAGGTGATGGTGATCTGGAGGGTGGTACTGTTTTCGGTTCAACAAGGGAGGTGTGGGCAGGGTTGGCAGGTAAGGGATGGAACTCCTATCTCTGCCAGTTGTGAACAAAACAATATGAGAATGAGAGAGATAGCACAATATCAAACACAATGCACTTATTCAAGTCATTGTCATCGTCATTTCAGTGCTGCTCTCTCTCCCGCTCCTTATCTCTCTCCTTCTCCATCCCAATCGCCACATGCTTGCCATCCGGGCCCATGTTCCCAAGACTGTTCATCCTTGGGTGGCTCCTCTTGAGAATCCTGCATCCGAGGTTGCCTCTATGAGGGTCCTAACCATTGTCTTGCTGTTGAACCTTTCAGTTATTATGACAGCAGCTGTGGTTATTGTTGGTGATGGTGATGCGAAAGGGATGTAGGAGTCGGGTTTTTGAGAATGCAGATGAGAGCGAGGTAGGCAACCACTGATAATTTGGATTCGCGACTCACAGAACAAGATCAAACTTGGATCACTACACAAAGTCAATAGTGCACACAGGATTTTTGACCTCCTTGCACCATCTCAGGTAACCGGGCCAAGCCATCTGTCAAGCCAGACACTCGTCAACTTGGCACATGGCCATGTTCAGACTGGGTGTCTTCAGCCCGTGAGACATGCAGAGGTGGTCTGTCGTCCTCGATGTTGTCAATATTGCCACACTTGCACCTTGATCTGGTGTGAGAAGTGTGCATGGTTAGTTTTCAAATGTCGGCATTGAAGCACTTGAGAGGTGGGTGATTCAGAGACAGGTGGTAGAAGCAAAGACGTGAAGATAGACTGAACAGCTTGGCAAAAATAAATGCAAACAAATGTTCAAATCATGGCATACTACATAGAAACAAGTTTGACTAGTCTATTACTGAGGAATGTATTAGCAGAGCGCCTTGAGGTCAAAGAGACGAAAGACTTACCTGAAAGTGGAATTGGTCAGATGCGCACTGGATGACCTGCCTGCTGATGCATCTCCCTTACACGAAGAAACATGTCTGTGTCAATGGTGTCAACAACAAAGTAATTAAGGGGGTTTCCACCTGAATCCTGTACTAGGAGGGCCCCACAAATGATCGATTGTACCGAGAAGAACTCGGCCTTTGCGTGCAGTTGTGCATGAACTCTCAAAAGGTTAAGTTGCTTGTCCTGTCGAGGTCATGGCCCTGTCGGAGTGTCAAAGGGATGGATGAGAGCAAGGGAAAGTATGTCATTCCCAATGGCGCATTGAAAAAGGAATACTAAGCATCCAAGGATGACGCTGTTCTGTGTCCGGATGAAGACCCAGTCAAAATGCGGCATGTTGAAGAACCGAGGGTTACACCGAAGATAGTCGGTATATAGTTTCCAGTCTACCAGGGATTCATAGTTGACACATAAGAATCAATATTCGGTAACCTGTTTCAAATCAGTATAGTAATAACACAAGGCTGGATTGAATTCACCTACAGTATCATCTGATTGTAAGTGGATTCTTCTTCCATTTGGCAGCAGAATATTGCAGGCGGGTAGAAAAGTATTTAAGAATGCATTCAACTTGATGCGGAAGTTGGTGAATTCAACTTGGGTCTTGTGCGCATTCTCGATGGAACAGAAGGTCTGTGGTGCTTGTCGAGATCCCATTCTCACATGTTGTGACGCTAAAGTACTGATACTATCTGCGCCTGGACCAATGTCAGTGTTTTTATCATCCAATGCATCATCTTCCTCACCATCCGAGTCTGATTTCTGCTGCAAATATTTGTCAAAGTCTGAAATACATCGACCAATGTCATCAGCTACAAGTAACCAATGGTCAATGCAAAGGATCTGATTATTATGTAAATAAAATAGCACAAGATTTTAGTAGGGAATCACAAATGTCATTGATGCTTACCTGCTCCGCAACATTTTTGAAGTTAGTCCGGTTCAGGTACCAATCCTTCAAGGGCCTGTGCATTTGCTTGTTCGGTTTGGTGTTGTAGTTGCATGTGGCACCTTTAGCCTGGATGTCATCGAATATATGTATTGTCATGTGCAGTTTGGGAAAGTTCCAATTCTTCACATTGTCATCGGCGGTTTGTGTCATGTATTGCTGCTGATGTGTCAAGGTAGGGGTTATCAACTAACTACAATGTACATACTTTCATGAGTGCTGTGAACGCTTGAACCGTATGTCTCCCCTCCTCGATTGTATTGGCCATGTGAACCTCCAGAGCAGCGTACATATCCATCTCGAGGTAAAGGCATACACACCATAAGAGAAAATAACCGAGCAGAGAATCAGTCTCAGTCAAGACATCATGCGTGGCATAAATTATCATCTGAAAGAGAAAAAGTTAGTGGCCAGGGCAACCACATGAGTTTACAAACCTTAGAAATATCCTCGTGAATGGAGCTGTCTGTAAATGTGACACCAATGACCTGGTTTGGGTGCCTGAGATTTCGCCAGTGTGGAAAATCTTTGAATCTAACACATCAATATTGAGCATCAGATAAAGGACAAGTCAAAAAGAACAAACCGATTGTCAACTTGCAATACTTGTGCCCTTCCGAGAGTTACAACATATTTCTGCAGTTCAACCCAGAGATGGCATGACCAGAGTCCGCCGTGATTGAAATGACAACAGTCATGTGACAATGCTCGATGCATGCAGGTGAATGCTACTGCCCAGAATGCATTCTAATAAGACAATGAATCATTGACATCTTTGATATTGACATGCAGAAATATTTGCTCACCTCAATTAAACAAAGTGCTTGTTCTTTCAGGAGTTCCTCTCTTTCTTCAAAGGTTTCTTTCGCACGTGCAGCATTTATGACTGCTTGCGACTCTTTTGATGTTCGCCAACGATATGATTTTGAAGTATCCCACAGGTCGTTGCGAGGAACTAGACAAATGGGGCATGGCCAAAGACTCATTATCCCTCGAGTAAGTGACACAACAGATCTTGTAATGGTACCATTAAGCAATTAGAAAAAACAATTCAACTGTAATGACTAAATAAATACTCACCGTTCTTCGAAATCCGCTGATAGAATGAGGATGCAGAGAAAGAACCAGTGTGTGACACCGTCTAGACATTTGACCCACTGGTCCGTTTGCGATTTTGACGCTAACGAGGAAATAATCCTGGCAAATGACGTGTGCCAGACAGTGTTTTTGAAGTCTACCCAGCTGGGCTTTCCGGAGTGCAATTTTTTGTCCTTAACCTATTTTAACTGCATCAGCACTAACAGCGAGTCACTAAAGACAATCATACAATTGGCAGCCATCCTACCACATACCCACCGCCTTCACCTCGCCCGTTTCGAATTGCAGTCGGTAAATTTGCTAAACAAGCATACACAGGGTAATCTTTTGCGGTACTGAAGGAGGAGAGTTTTGTCTTATCCGCATAGAGTATATATGCCAAAGGCTTCCCACCTGGTGGGAGTTGCGACTACAAGTAATACAAAAAAATAAGGGCACAATAGAAACTACGAAGTATCATCACATACTTGGACATCCCAAATATCTCATGCAGTGAAAGGCTCATCAACAAAAGAAACAAATGTGTTACCATCAAACTTCGAGAGGCGGTGTAACAATGGTTGCGGTGCTGGGCTCAGAACCAGCTATTTTGATACTGATGTCAAACAGTATTTGTCCGACGCACTTCCGACTACCCTGACCCGAGTCCAACAGTCCGATCCCGACCCGACGCACTTTCTGACAGTCCGACGCATGTCCGATCCCAACCCGACATTCCCATGCATCGGACCAGTCCTCCCTATGTCCTGTCCAGTCGCATCTATCCCCACTAGGTGCACATTTACTCCTTTTGACTTGCTAAGCATTGTATACAGTGTTATTACATGTTTTCTCATGGTCCGCAGTACCACATGTCCTATTACATAGGATTTCGAACCCGAAATATTGCTACTACTCTCGCCTATAGCAGTCCGAATTTCTACATAGTCACTATTTAATATCTAGTACTTCCTACCTATTGCATTACTTACTTTTCCCTACTCAGTAGTAGGATGGAAGTCATTGGATATTAGTAGTACTTAATTGTATTGCGAAATATCTATCCACTCTTTTCCTCCGAAACATTCCGACATACTTCCGACACATTCCTTCACTGTCCGACGCCCAACCCGACTCCGATATTTTCGGACCCGACAGTTTCCCTTCGGACAAGTAGTTCTTAGCTTCAGATTATCTTCCTATTACTGATAACTAACTATCGAAACTAATACCAAACAGCTACCCCCATAGGATCGAATGCACTTGCTCTGCAAGTATAGCAGACTAGGTTGTGCTAAGATCTACCTAAATATTTGTTGTCTAGGTAGTACGATTTCTGCTGAGCCCAGCGGAAATCAGCTTTCTACAGTGGTGTGCATCAAATGTGAAGTGAGGAAAGAGCCAGGGATTGCGAAGCATAGACATAGCTTGATAAGACGATCAGTTTGTTGATTGTTGAACCCAACCTCGAGCATGATCTCAGCAATTTCAAACTCGAGCCGAGAGTTAAATGGACTCCAAGGTTGGCCGTCAGGTGGAGGGACCAGGAAGTCTGCGGCACAACACTCAAAGTTATCGAAGCTGTATACCTTGGCCTCCATGCCACTACTTGGATGATACTCGATCTTGATGTCATCTTGATTGAAGGTGGGGACTGCAGCCTTGACTTCTGGTTCATTGAGTGTAGAAGGGCCTGTATTGAATAGGGTACACGGCCCAAGTGTTAGTGAGATCAACGAAAACAATTAAGTGTCGACAACTCACCTGGACCAATCACTGGATCATCATAATTGAAGTCCACATCGAGGAATTCTGCGTGATTTTGTGTTTCAACTGTGAGTTTGTGAGTGCTGTAGATAGCAAAACAAAAATAAAATGCTACTACATACCTGGTACAGGGATACAAATGGCTGATTGAGGTTTGTTGAGTCTCGATGATGAATCTGATGCTGTATTTTGATACAATTAAACATCAGCTTCGACAATACATCAAGGCAAAGATATAACAGACGCACCTTTCTCCTTCCAAATCGCATCTACAATCACCTGATCCCATTGTCTTTTGGCTGCCTTCGTCTCACAAGATTTTCAGTGGGTGGTCCATCCTCGTGGCTTGATATCCTGGTCACATAAGTTACAGTGCTTTGAGTGCTCTGGACCCATGTAGTTGACAGTATTGTACAGCTGTATACAAAGATAGTTGAGGTGGGGGTATAGAGCAAGGAATGCGCGAGAACGCAAAGAGTGTGCTGCAGGCGCTGATAACAAGTGATGATCTATGTGCCCAAGCACGTTACAAAGGACTTACAATATATTGAAACTCAGCCATTAGATTACCTTATCATTTCAGGAGGCATTTCAATTGATTTCAATGGCATGCAAACAGTGTGTCAATATCACATCATTGCAACCACTTTAGTAAATTTCTGACATGGTGCCATATTGAATAAAAGCGAAAATACATACCAGGGAGACTTGCTGGACAGTGGGTGGATGCTCCTGGATGATAGGGCAATGAAAGCATGGGAAAGCGAGCAATGTGTGAGGGTCGCGCACACAGGAAAGTGTCGCCCGATATGGAAATAGCTGGGAAAAGGCTAGGGAATGATGCTGTGAGTTGGTGCTGTGAACCCAGGTGGTATGCACTGAAGTATAACGTGTTGCAGACCCGCAATAGTGCGAATCTCTACACCGAGTTAAAGTCAGCCAGCTGTCACTGGTGGCTTTGGACCGGCCTGAAATTTTTGCAAGCCCAAGCCATCTGAAACCAGGCCAAAGCCACAGCTTTTGAGCCAAGCCAGGCTGAAACATCACTAAGCTGCACTAAGGTACAAATTTGAGTATAGAATGCTAATGGACTAAAGGAAATTTGTACCTTAGCGCTAGTGCTTCCCAAGCTTTTCAGCTTGGTCTGCTCAGCCTTGTCAATTGATCCTCTTAGTGAACACTCTCAAGCTCAAGTGCTGAGAGTGGCACTCCTCCTATTTTCAGTTCTCATTGCAAGACACGCACCACAAAATCATGCTATAGTCACTCTTTAACATGTGATGTTGGTGGTTTGTGCATGAGCTGTATCTTAAGTATTGGTAAACTACAAAAAGGAAACTGAATCAAGAGTCAGCAGAGTTCATGACACATAGGCCACAAGGTGTCTCTTCTGAAAATCTGGGTGGGTGTCAAATTGTCCCCACCACCAGTCTTTGGGCTTTTTGTTGCTCATTCTCAAAGCTGGGAGTGGGTAGGACACAACTCAATGACTTGATGTTGCATGGAGGTGATATCACACATTGATATTCCCGCTACCTTTAGGTAGCTGGGTATTTGTGGATGTGGAATTTGCTCAATAACAGGGATATTGTATTTTGCAAATTGCAGTGATATATCGGGTGCTCTTTTCACACGCTGACCTGCACCAAACTGGTCCGGTGCATGACCATGCGGTGTTAGTGAATATTTTTGGGAATTTTACATAGAATGAATTTTGTGTTATTTGACTCAAAGATGACTCGGCTAGATTCTCACGCATCTGAAGTTTCCATGAAAAATATTTCCCACATATGTTTGTTTGTGGGAACTTCCAGGAAACTTTAAATACATGTGTTACCCGGTTTTGCTTTATGACATATGCTACATCTCTAAATAACACCAAATACAAACAAGTTTCAACACATTATGTAAACCATGTTCTCTTACCACAGTCAGCTGATCTATGACTAAGCCTGACAAATCATGTTCACCTACATACAATTCACATGGGTATTATAATCTATGACAAATAATGCAGTATATCTAGATACGTGAGAGAATGAAAATTGATGTACCTGGGTACGCGGGAGTAAATTAGCATAGCCACGTAGATTTGTCTATATAAGGACCTCCGTTTTGGCCTGAAATGTAATCAATCAGATTCCTCAGAATCACCTTAATAAAATTGCGAGTGAGGTTTGTGTGTGATCAGCATCAGCAACAACCACGAAGAGTTGTTCAACATTGTCAGGTACATTGATGAGACAGTAGAAGCCATTGAGCTCACTGTGCTCAACAACCTGCAAGGCCTGGCTTATTTGTTTTGAGAAATCTCTTGTTTTTCTGAGTGTTTGTGTTTGTGTGCGCAGATCTCTGTCTCTATCTCTCTATCTCAGTTTCTCTAGGGCTTGGGATCTATTTCCTTTATCTCTTTTTCTCTAGGCTTGGGATCTATTTCTTTAGCTCAGGATCTGTTTCACTCTCTCTACTCATTGAAGGCTAACAGTCTGAGTGCTCATTTATTGTCATGTCACTAACACATTATAGATTCTAGCAAATATATTCTGAGTGTTTTTATTGCTGCTGATACTAACATACTATTGATTGTAGCGAATACATTCAAGCCTTATCTCTGATTCTTCGTGTTGTCTCTACGTCTGCTAAAGGCTCAGAGTAGCTTAGTGGGGAGACTTCAGGAGTTGATTATTGTCCGCTTGACCTCACACATCTGAGTAGTATACTGAGCCAGGATTGTCATTTGTCAGATAGGCTTTAGCTATTGAATAGGGGACTTGGTATTGAAATCCAAGAATGTCTGTTTCTGATTCTGTTTAATACTCATCATGAGTTCCTTGGCAGCAGATTCAATATTAGGCTAAGAGTTCTACGGAAGCTTTTGACAAGTCTTGACCTTTGATCCTACCTATTTGCACTGTGGGAGTGACCAATACATCTTCGCACAATTGTTTCATAGTAAGTTTAGAATATAGCACCATTGATCATGCTTAGTCTTAGTTCTCATTTCTGTTTAGCACCAGTGATTGTGCTTAGTATTAGTTTTGTTTCTGTTTCTTTGTTTCTTTTAGTTAACACCATAACACTGGGTTGACTAGTGTTTCTAGACTGATATCGTAGAGTACCTTTGTCTGACCGTAGCTTGGATATACTGACAGGCCACCCACAAACAACCACGTTATCAGTCATTGGTATTTGTCTGAATCGCTGACCATGGAGATATTTGATTTTGTAGGTGTTCATCTATAGATCATCTATCTAAGAAGACAACACCTCATTTTTTGGGTTGGTCTCAGAGTCAGAGGCCATGTCTATGTCTGATGTTTTTTTTGGATCTCATCTGCCACATCAAGTATGTCATTGACGATTGAAGGCGTAAATGTTTCTGTGGTATGAGATCTATCTTCAAATGCTCACTTTCCTCGTCTGTTTTGACTTCTTTCTTGTTCATGCTTCAGAGGGTGTGTTTCAACTCTTCAAGTACTCGTGACATTGGATGTAGGCGATGTTTGGTTCTGTACTGATTTTCCATTTGTTCTTGGTGACAAATTGCAGGCCATGGTTGTTTTAGGATGCAATTGGTATGCTTTTTGCCATGATATATTGCACAGTCGACCTGAAGTGAGGCTTCCATTGTGCAAGTGGATAATTTTGGTGCACTTCTGATTCTTACAGTCTGTTCATGCTGATTCACATGCTTGTCAAGTGTTGAGCACATTAACAAAATATTGTTGAGGTTTGGATGGAGCTAATTTTCTTCAAAATTTGTTTGTCGGTTTTGAGAGTTTATCTCATGAACGTTTGGTTGATTTCTCATCAGCACATGGGTTTGAGGATGATGATGGTCTGTCATGTAATGTTATACAGCAGAAGTTGATGTCACATTTGACTGATGGTAGCTGTATGTCTGGTCATGTATTTAATAAAGGTTGTCTTCATGTGTGCAATGAGAGTGTGTTTTTGCCGAAAGATGTGCGATTGGAAAAACAGGAGTTGCAATGCCACTTGCTCAAAATTGTCGGACCGCAAATGACCATGAAACCATTGCAACACCTTCTGCACATTCATTTAGTGGAGTATGACAATGACAGTCTCAGTGCTTTGCACTGCAAGCTCAGTAATTATATTAATCAATTAGAAAAAGGTAAGGATCGAACCATGGAGGTAGCGGGCCCTGCCATGGATGTGGCCCTGCAAGACTTATTGTATCAATAAGACTGATCTACGGCAGATGGGAGCCACCTTCTATTTCAGGTATTTCACCATTACTAGAACACTGCCACTGACTGTGGGCTAGCCCATAGGCTTCACACGGCTTACTGTTGTGGTAGAAACACTGTTCCATAAGCGAGTCAAAAAGTATATCTCGAGCTTATTTGGCCGCTGCCAGCGCCGCATCTACAATTTCTGTCATTTTTATAACCGCCTCCTCCTCCAGAGTCCGACCGACAAGTTGCAAAGAAACAGGAGCGTTCTTGAATTTCTCTGGGTCATCTGAAATGATTATTGGTGTCAGAAAATTGCCGATCAACTGAACGGTCGTTCAGTGCTGGCACTACTTACACATTTCGTAAATGTCCTTATCGAAGTCGTCATAGAAACTATGAGGAGGTTTCTTCCCATCAAGAGTGGGGTCGACAGTAGTCACAGGGAAAATCGCAGCGGGATAGTCGAGCGCATTCCAAACGGTAGTATAGTTGGCATACCTGTGCATCGTCTCATTGAGAGTTCGACACTCTGAAATTACACACTCACCTGTTCTTCCCATGGGGAGTTGCAGCAAACGGTGCGGCTGGACAAATGATAGCATCGACAGCCCGTCCTGTCCCAGTCTCAGAGGCAGTTGCGTTCCAGTGGTCTATGTATTCTTTCCGTATATTCTGACGCAGCTTCTGCACTTGCCAGAGCTGGTATGCGGTGATACCACTATTTTGCGGACGGAAGGATGCCGCTGTAGCATGTGCATCGTCCAGCTCCATCGTGGAGATTACCGGCTCCCCTGTGCTGGAGGTCGTGATCATGTAGTCCTCGGCAGAACCGGCGTTCCAGATGTCCCGCTGCACGGAGCTAATAGGTCAATAGCTAGGCAGAGTGAAAAGCACGTCTGCTTACCGCCACCTCCCCAAGCAATCTGTGTTTGATGGGTTTCCAGTCAACAACTGCCACTCAATGAGTACAGTTCAGACTGATTGAATAAGAAAAACCTTTGTGACCAGCCTTCTGGAGAGCCGCTTTGGTGATTTCCAGAGACCTCCTGATAGGTGGGTGGGGAATAACAACGCCATCGTCCCACATGACCGCAAAGCACAAATTCTTGCCAGACCCATGGTCCGCGAGTTCGTATTCATCTTCGTCCCATTTCTTCCGAACCGCAAGAGGGTCCTGGAGCCACGGTTTAGAGTTAACGACAGCTTTCATGAAAACTTTGAGCCCGCAGGGACTGTTTGTCATAGGACCGAACACGGAAAGAATTGAGTCTTCGCCCTCGAGTGAGTTGCGAGCACCACAGTACGGTACACGCCCGTATGACGGCCTCAGGCCGTATATCCCGCAGAATGCAGAGGGGATACGAATAGAGCTATTAGAAGGCCGTCAGAAGGCTACTACCAATGACACTTCCAAATTATTGACATACCCTCCGATATCAGAACCGACTCCCAATGGGCTTCCTTTTAGGGCAATCAATGCACCCTCTCCTCCTGATGACCCACCTGGGGTCAGGGAGACGTTGTATGGGTTAGTTGTCCGGCCGAAGACGTTATTGAAGGATTCTGTCCACTGAAGATACTTTTAGCACATACACAAGTAGGATTCGTTTTCAGGGTGCGCTCACCATAAGTGTCTGCGGAATGTTGGTGCGGACGAATGGCACGGCTCCGCACTCAATCAGAATATCGACCAACACTGCATTTTTGTCTGCATACTGCCCGATCCACGAGACATAACCTAAACCCAGTGAATCACAAGGCGTTAGGTCTAGGCCAGGATTAGACTTACCCATGGTGGTTTCTAGTCCTTTGATGCACAGTTGGTCCTTTAGCGAGATGGGCAGCCCGTGAAGGGGTCCAACAACCTTCCCTGTGTTCTTCAAGTAATCATCGAGTTCAGCCGCTCGAGCCAGTGCACGATCGATGAAGATTTCCGTCAAACAATTGACCTCCCGAGCTAGTTAATACCACACCATCGAACAAATGCCTGACAACCCGGCTTACAAGCTGATGGGCAACAATGGCCCTCTTGGAGAATGCGGTGGTCACTTCTACAGCTGACCATTCCGCACTTGCAAGTTTCTTCAATAAAACGTCCACCAAAGTATTGGTGATCTCAATTTCTCGGGCATTCAGAAGGCCACACGACTCTGGAAAACCGGTCACATCCAGAGTAGAGGGTGAAGGCGGAGTCACAAGCCACTCTTGTGGAATGGACTTGAGCTGCCTCTGTTTCTTCTCTGCGGCTAGAGCAGTCCAATGCGGCATATTGATAGTAAGTCAGGGATGAGACGAAGTTCAAACACTTCACAGTAGATAAAACATACAGCTGACGGATAAAGGAAGTCCGTAGCTAATATTAACAGCGAGATAAGGCTGTTAAAGCGGTAAGAATGATTGGCTTTAGGGTCAGATGTGTGGATGAAAGAGGTCATGCGCATTCATATGACTATGTACAGACACAATCAATCAATACGTGTATGGTTCTGTCAAATAGTGGGGGCCCGGCCTGACAGGAGAATTATCAGTTAAAAGCTCGAATCGATGGAACCAAAACACAGGAATTATAATCAGAAAGTCATTGATGTCAGTGATACACGTCCGCCGTGTTACAGGCTCGCGTGCATCAAGTCGACTAAGAGGTGCCAGTGGTGGTTGATATACAACGCTCGTCATTTAATTGAAGTTTTATGTGAAAGGGAAGAATTCGAGACGTTGAAAAATCACTCACCACTATCTGTACTGTCCCAGGAAAGTTTAAAAATTGCAGTCGTATTTTCAGCACAATTTATCAAATCCGTTTTAGGCGGCGATTCAATATTATTCGGCAAGCAATACCCGCCGCAACGAGCAGCACGTCAACGCATACGGCGCCGAAGGCTACATTTCATCAAGGTTCGTCCAATTTCTTGCAGTCAGTATGTCCAGATCCTGTTTGCGTGGTATCGCAGAAGATCGGGGCTGGTCATGGCATCGATGAGATGGATGACAACTCTGGGATTTGGATGATGACAATGTCTTATCTATCTGTCTTTGCAGACATTCTCCCGTTCCAAATATGTCCGCTCAAATCAGCAAAAAGCGCAAGTTCGTAGCTGACGGTGTATTCCGTGCTGAACTCAATGAATTCTTCACTCGCGAACTCGCCGAGGAGGGTTACTCTGGATGTGATGTCCGTGTCACTCACGCCCGCACCGAGGTACGCTAGTGTGAGCTGAACAGCCTTGCCAACTTGCAAATGCATGACTTTCAGATTATTATCCGTGCAACACACACCCAAGAGGTCCTTGGTGAGAAGGGCCGCCGCATCAGGGAGTTGACTGCACTCGTCCAGAAGCGTTTCAAGTTCCCCGAAAACTCTCTTGAGCTTTACGCTGAGAAAGTACAATACCGCGGTCTTTCTGCTATTGCTCAATGTGAGAGTTTGAGATACAAGCTCCTTGGTGGTCTTGCTGTCCGCAGGTCCGTGTTTCCACCCATCACAATGAGTCGTTTCTGATCATGTCTCCAGGGCATGCTACGGTGTCCTTCGCTTCGTCATGGAATCTGGTGCAAAGGGTTGCGAGGTAGTTGTTTCTGGCAAACTTCGTGCTGCTCGTGCCAAGTCAATGAAGTTCACCGATGGTTTCATGATCCACTCCGGTCAGCCCTCGCGAGACTTCGTTGACTACGCCGTGAGACACGTTCTGCTTCGCCAGGGTGTCCTCGGTATCAAAGTTAAAATGTAAGCTGATTGATATATTCAAAGACATATAGCTCACTATACGACAGCATGAAAGGCTATGACCCTGAAGGCCAATTGGGCCCTCGCAAGCCCCTTCCCGACTCTGTCCAGATTCTCGAGCCGCCTCTCGACAAGATTGTTTCGGAACCTTCCTCAGAATCAAGAGAGCCTGCCATTGTTTCCGCTCCACCCCCAGCCGCGGAGGAACCTGCTGCTGCCTATGCACAGGAGCCAGCTTACCAACAGGAGGCATATGGCGAGCAACCCACTTTCTGATCTCGTCTTTGTTTATCCCGCATCCACAAAAATATGTACTCCACCGTTGCAATACATTAACATTTGCATGGCTAGTATTGTAAAAATCCCGTCTGATGAACGATATGCTACTGCCCTAATACGTGGGTCACGCTACTTCCTGCCGAACCACTGCTAGGTAGTGTGAAATATATAATGAGTGTGTTTTGGAAACTCCATCCTTCTGGTTTAACTCCATCTCCAGCAGTCATTTTTACGCTGAGGTCAGAAAGTGTCTGCGATGGATCCGAGACTGTCACAGTGCCAGATTCTACACAATAGAGAAAGGCGGCGTTTGCACTGGTTGTGACGGTAATTCGTGCGTAGCCATCCAGCTGGAAGGTGAAAGAACCACCAGTAGGGCTCCAAAATACTGCTGTTACCGTTCGATGAACTTTATCGAGCAACGCGCTAATACTTGCGCTATTCTCAATTTCTTGCAGCTGCGTGGCCGCTCGCTTGAGCGTGAAGGTACCGTAATCAACCGCAGGATAAGATGTATAGGAGGCAGGGGCGGATAGGTTGTTATGATAGAGCCATGCAGCGAAGAGTTCGACCGTCTCAGGAGGCTGCGTGGACGATCCAATGCTTGACCAAGCACCCGTGCGGTTACCCCATTCAACGGAGAGCCCATATGTACCATTAGCAGCTGGAAACTCGTAGCCAACTTGTCCATGCCACATGGTTTGCGGATTTGTGTAGTTGCCACCAAAAGTTCCTGCTCCATTCACCCAAACACCGCCTGCGAAGCGTCGTTGATCAAGAACTGAAAATACGGGGGCTGCAGTGGCAGACGAAATGTTGGCAATCATGACATGCTGAACGTCGCTCTCCAGGAAAAACCATGTCTTTTGCCAGGATATCGAGCCACTCTCTGGGTTGGTATAGCGCATTGCTGCGGCACCAATTCGACCGTCCGAGACGCCACCGACAAAGGCTTCTTGACCGGTATATGAAGTATGGTTACAGTCGAGCACTGTAGCATTATAGTCCACGGTAGTTCCAGGAATAAGGTTCCAGTCCCAGGCAGCAGCGACATCTTCGTATTCATTGCCTTGAAGGTAAGTGTAAACAGTGCCATCCGAGAGATGGAAGCCGAAAGGCTGATATGTTGTTAGTACTGTTCACGTGTCGTATGAGGCGACACCTTACGTTTTGAGAGTTGAGACACTCTGTGTTTACTGTCCTGTTGGAATACATTCTCACTGTGGTCACGTAGCCTGGACCGCGAGTTACCTTAAGGGCGTAGGTTAACAGGACAAAGCGGATGAAAAAAAGAACTCACCATGTAGTCATTGGCAAAGAACATAAGATTCCCGCGGATCTCGCCCACATTTGCATCGGCTGCATTGGCAGATACGGTCGAAGAAAATTCGAGGAGAACAGTAGAGTTCCATTCCTCTCCGAGTTGCTGAACCTCTGAAATATTCATATTGATGCTACCTGTAGCCCTGAAACAAAACGACATCAACAAAAATATAGCAAACAAAGCGTCGAAATAACCTCACTGATTGTCAATTACAGGGAAACTAATGAAACGACCTAAGACGCTCTGGGCAGTGTCAGATAACATTGAACCGCAAGACCGCTGACTCACAAAATCCCAATGCGATACCTGCAAGATAATCAGTCATAAATAACATAGCAGTAAATCGTTGACAAACATTGGTCTGGACATTACGGAAGATCATCCATCGATTTCCGTCAAATAGAGTTTCGAGTGCAGTCTTGGAAGTTGCATTAGCAGCAAATTGCGTTCCTGCAGCCTCAATTTCCAGATCCAGAACGTCATTTGAACTGGCGTGACTCAGATGGTGAATACTTCCTAAGTGCAGAGAGAACATACAAATCTTTTCCATAATTGCCGTTATAGATGATCCCAAGGTGTTGACCGAAAGATCCGTCGGGACGAATCTGGTTGCCAACTAATTATGAGTTCGCTAACAACAGAACAATGATTGCTTTACCCCATCAGATTGGACAGGCTGTTCAATAACCACAGTGTCATGAATCCTCGTGAACGCATCTATGATCAAGGAGACGTTGACAACCAGAAGACTTTGATCGATCCCAATTTTTGCAACATCTAATGCATTTGCACCAGTGATATAACCTATACCATTGACATAGTGGTCGAACGTGCCATATGCGCGGAGGGTGATGTGAGTACAATTGCCAAGCTGAGTATATGACAATGTGTCGTTCAGCAGGAGGCAGGATTGTGACACCAATTCGGGTATCAAGATAACCTAAACCAACTGTCAGAAAAAAACGATACGATTAAAAAAATAGCTGCGACTCTACATTGGAGAACCAATTCGTGTTCCAAAATCCCGGCGTGCCACAAGGGCAGGTTGGAGTGCCTCCATAATCTAGACATGCGGGGTTGGTGAAATCATTAGCGAACCAATAGTCCATAGCAAGTGATATGGCGGCCAAGGTCTTGGAATCATTGACGTATTGCTGCCCCCCGCTAAGACCTCCGTGCCAAGCAGCGGCCATGGTACCTGTCAAGCGACAGTCAATGTGTCAATTCTTGGTTCAACGTAGATCCTCACTGATGCGTTGCCAGTGCATTTGAGCAGGCCAATTGGATCTTTGTGCATCACATCCGGTAGTGTAGTCCACTTCAGAACTAGGCCACTGGCCATTGGCTCCCAGATCTGCAATCCTGCAATATGATTGTAGCCAGGTGTTGCATACAAAATAACGACTAACCAGGATGTGATATTATCAGGGTTTAGAGTTATTTCCTCTGCAATTGTTACCAGCCTGCGCTGATGAATGGTGTTCATGTCCTGCGTGATGTTGGTGCCAACAGCCCGTATGGGAGATGATACAGGTGATGTGCCAATACTGGGCGCAACTGAGCTGTTGGAAGAGAGGACATGACGATGGTTAAACACTTATCCGGCAGTTAAACATGATATTTTGGGTTCAACTGTACCTCGGAACTTCATCATATTGACCTCTATCACAGTGGTGAGCGGCAGCAATGCTGATGCGGTCTGGAGTGTGAAGCTTGTGAAAGTCCGCAGCGTAACTGCAGACCACACGAAACAATGATAGTAAAAGGAACGTGTGTGAGGCGACCATGAGCCTGAATCTGACACAACTACCAAGCTGCAAGAAAAATCCGAGTTGGTTGATTCTGTAGAGTTCGAAACGATACCTCCATTCTGTCTATTGAGTTATGTAAATGGAAACTGCGTGCGCGTGGTAAATCTAACGTGATTCTATACTTACAACGTATGACAATTGTTTGACTCGTAGACGTCCCGGTCTTGCTGAAGTACTTGGCCATATAGTGGACAAATCCCTAATTACCAAATCTTGAACATTCACTCATGGATGATTATTCAATTTCAATTTCAAGGCCGGTCTATATCAACAGTGCAATAGTAAATGTACCTCGTGCGCTGATCTGGGTTGCAAGCCGCTGGTTCACGCCTGTAGCTAGATGAATTTACCAAGGGCACGGGTAACAACTTCCATTATGGATACAACGATAGTGAGCAACTATGGATAAGTATACATCCTAGATGAAGAGCGGAAAGAAAGAATTCTATGTCCGTATAGATTGGATAAACTCGTTTATCATCACTTCGTAGCAAGGACATGGAATTTAGCCAATGAAACAACGACAGGAATGGAAAAGAATGCATATGCCACCCAAATCACTGCCAGACTTTATTAGAACTGAACTTGAGAATCGAATGCAGGGTCACTCACTCGTGAATGCGTTGCCAATAGTGGCGATCAGTTGGGGACCATTGCTTCCTTGACCCTGGATACTTTGATTAAAGTCATCGGCGGCCTTCCCAAACCACATAAAAATGATGAGAGTAGATCCGAGACCTAAAGATCCAGATCAGCCCCAGCAATGTGTACTTCAAAGTAAATGCATACCAATCAAGAACGCAAACATCCCAATCCATGCGGAGATACGCTGCACCATGGGTTTTTCCCAAAAAGCACCAGCTTTGCCCATCAGGTGACGGAATGATATTGCTGTAAACATGACGAAGAAAATCGCGGACAATACAAGGGAAATTGCGATGAAGGCTGGTGCAGCTTCCGGTGGGGCCGATATGACGGAGCTGGGGGTGTTAGATGTAAACACCGAAGTGTCTTGATTTCATGTGAGTATTACTAACACTGGCAATCAGACAGTCTTAACTTACTATAGATGGGAGATATGGAAGATGGCATACACGTCAGACCAGCTGCATTATTTGGTCGAGAGCACGATCCTAAAGGTCCAAGGAACATGCTGGGACCATCCACTGCTTTGCTAGATCCGGGCTGCGTCAAGGCAGAGGAAGGTGTGACTGTAAGCAGCGCGACTTGGCTATGCAACATGACAGTCGGGGCAAGGTACGAAAACAATGAGAGTAGGAATGCTGTGAGCATGAGCACAGGGGTGAAGTATAGGATAGTGCCTTTTGAAATATCGGCTAACATGGTTGGACCAACTGCGTAAAAGTATCGGGTTCAAAAAATGGATGAAGCGAGAGCCTGCTCGAATGTCGCGAGACCGTGCGCGAAAGAAACTAGGACTATGAGAGAGAGGACTGGAGCGTACTTTTCCATCGTTTGGAGGTCAACCTTATGTACTGTAGCAGGTATCATGCGTCGCTTCGGTAGGACAACGTGCAAGAACAAAGAGATCGCGCTCAGTGCAACGTAATTATAAATTGTTGCCTAGACATTCGCCTTTTGTTGTGTAACTCGGAAACAGAGCGAAACGAATGCAGACCCAGGTCGAGACCGCCGCGGACCGAGGTTCTAGAAGATTGTTTACGACAACATATAACACTGTCTCGCTCAGCGCACTCAAATCCTTGGTAGCGTTGAGGAATTAGAATTAGTACTCCGCTTACAATCGTCACGCTTGAGTAACATTCTCTGACTGTCGTGATTGCATCGTCACGCTTGAGTAACATTCTCTGACTATCGTGATTGCATCGTCGATAACAACGGCGACCCTGCTCTACTCTCAATTTAAAAATACGGAGGAGGCGAGGATTAGTATAGAAGACATTTCATTGCTTAGAGTTACACTTCCCCTGATTGTTTTACATGAAAATAGGTGACTTATGGTGGTAAAGTTGATGCCGAAGGCATTCATCGTGTTTTATTTTTGAAAAAAAACAAAATATGGTACTATATAGATCAATGATAAAAGGTCTTATATCCAAGAGTAGGAGGTCCGAATGTGTTGCGATGTATTCTATGAGTTGTTTTGCAACTCTGGTCCAACGATAGTCGTCTATAAACAAATAATTACAAATAGACGAGAATTCAAGAAATTTCACCAATTTCTGGTGGACAGGCTTGGCCAGTTTGCTAGTAGATGCGATGGAAATCGAATCAAATGTCATTCTACCAAGAGAGCTTGATGATCTCTCGTCTTTCATTCAAGAAAAGCCCGAATCATTGGCAATTGCTACCGCTGAGCTACAAGCCATAGCTCTCCGCGCAACCAAATTCATATTCGATCTTGGTGAGCAGACCAAACCCAATTCAATTCCGCACATAATACAGCTAGGCTGAGTAGTCTATAGCTTTGCAGTCCGAAGCTGTCTCTCTGCCTCATATCGAGAACCTTCTGTCTTCACTCAAACAATCTCAAGCACCACAGACCAGATCACAGACTCGTGCCAATGCCAAACGCAAGAGGAGTCCAAGTCCTGTCCTGGAATCCCCCAAGAAGGTCACTATAAAAAATACACCATTGCCCTCACTTTTTATCGAAGAAATGAATGAAGATCAAATTTGGCAGCAACTGGATCTTAGGGCTGCACCTCTTTGCAGTAATCTTCTGCTGCTAGAGGGCGAGACTGAAGACGACATGGAATTGCCAGACGGGATGTCCGATGATCAGGAAGATCAGGAAAGCGACGAGGCATCAGAAGAAAGCGAAGAATCTGAAGAAATAGAGCACATGGATGATTCTGAAGAAGACTCTGGTGGGACAGAAGAAATGACTGACCTTCGTGAGGAACCGTCTGAAGATGAGGAGGACGATTCAGATCATCATCCATCTCTTCTTGACGTCGTCAAAGCAAAACCCTCTGTAAAACGTGCAGTCGGAAAGAGACCCAGTTCACAACTTGACGACGATTTCTTCAGTCTGGACGCATTCAATCGTGAAACAGAAGAGGCTGAAGCAAATGCTGTTTCCCGTGGTCAACTAGGACGAGAATCGGACGAGGATGACGACGAGGATGACAGTATTGATCTCTTCAGGCCAATAGATGATGTTCATGACTCTAATGACGATGCTTTGGAAGACGGCACAGGTATACAATATTGTATTCTTTTTGTCATGCGTAACTGACAATGATACGCAGAACCACTCTACAAAGATTTCTTCGATGCTCCCAGGGGTTCCCGCTCGAAAGCTATCATGAATGCTTCTTCCTCGAAGCCAAAAGTGCGATTTAGTGAGCAGGTCAGGGTGAAAAGTATCAAGGCAAAGGGCAAGGGCCTACCGGTGGCTGGCTTAATGGAGGACGACGATTCCGACGATGAGAGCGGACTGAACATGTACTCAGAAGATCTAGACGAGGTCATGATGGACGCCGAGGTTGAAGGGTCATCTGTAGACGGGTATGAAGACGGAGACGGAGACGACGATGACGATGACGAAGTTCGCACTACCATTGAAAGACTGAAGGATGACCTATTTGCGGAGGAAGATGAACCGGATTCCAGTAAGGCCAGTCGTATTCTTGTTGGTATCATTCATTCACAAGCTGGCTACAGATATGACCACTTATGAAAAACGTATGGCAGCACTGCAAGCACAGATCAAGGACCTCGAGGCGGAGAATGTTGCTAAGAAGGACTGGGTGTTGATGGGGGAAGCTACCTCGAGATCTCGACCTCAAGACTCTTTGCTGCAAGAAGATCTAGAGTTTGAACGAACAATGAAAGCGGTGCCCATTATCACTGAAACTGTGGTTCAAGGTCTGGAAGAGCGAATAAAAGCTCGCATAAAGGATGGCCGATTCGACGATGTTGTGCGGATTCGCGCTGTCGATGATAAGCCTTTCCTTCCGTCGCGATTCTTTGAGCTCCAGGACACCAAGTCTTCCCAGTCACTTGCTCAAATTTACGAGGATGAGTACGTCGCCACGCAGAACGGTGGTACGGGAGGTGACGACAGAGATGGTCGGCTCAAAAAGGAGCATGACGAAATTACAAAACTTTGGGATGGCATATGTGGCAAGCTAGATGCACTTTGCAACGCGCATTACACTCCAAAAGCGGTGCGTGTTTTGAAATCTATCATCGTGTAGCTATGACGCTAAAATTCTGACAGCCGAAAGCTACTATATCGACAGTCTCCAATGTTTCCGCAGCTACCTTGGAATCAGCACTTCCTACCAGCAAAGCAGTGTCTTCTATGCTTGCTCCAGAAGAGGTTTTTAAAACAGCACCTTCTGATCTCCGCGCTCGTAGCGAGCTTACGCCTGCGGAAAAGCGAGCACTACGTGCAAAGGAAAGAAAGGCAAGGAGGAAAACGCGAGATGCCCTCGACAAAAGCGTACATAAGTATGCCAAAAGGAAATCAGGAAAAACCTCCAAAAAATCAAGCTAATTTTATAATTTTCGGTATATCCATTAGCTGAAGTCAGACAAGACTAGTTTTCCTGAACCCAGTCGTCGTTCCTTCGGAATTCGAGGTGTTTTCTTGACTGGATTATGTTGCTTTCGGGAGACGAATAAAAATTATTATATTGCACAGTGCTACAAAAACAACTCGTCAGGTAGAAAGATGAGTCAATGAAAGATTGTTCAATTAGATCAGTATTTTATGGCGCTGCGTTGATGAAAGCAAGGAACATGCCTGTTGGAAACAGTGCATGCACCTAAACTAGCGGAACGTGCCGCGCCGGCAATTTACATGATTTGGTTACGGTTTTGGTTACGGCGGTACAGTAGTCATTTAGCCACCTCCGCTCAGCCTCTGATTCCCTTCATCCGAGCCCATTAATACTGTCCTCACATTTCAGGGAATGTCATTCTTCAAGCGCAAGGAGAAAAACTTGATTCCTCCTGTTCAGCCAGCAATTTCTGCACTAGATGGTTCGCGGGTTTCATCTCGAAGCACGTCTTCCCTCCCCAGTTATAAGTCCACCGCCAGTACCTACGTTGCCAGCCGCGATGGGCCTGATCCTTATAATGTCATGAGCACCAGGACTCAGTCACAGAATTCGTACGACAACTATGATGCTTATAATGCCACTGCGGGTAAAACTCCTGATGTTGAGGGAGATCGGAACCGCAATGAATTGTTCGCTGGATTTAATCCTCAGGGGAAGACAGGCTCTGGCCGATACTTCGATGGCCCTACGCTAGGCAAAGAGCCCTCTCCTGGGGAGGAGAATGAAGAAGATGTAGAGGGCATCAAACAGCAAACCAGATTCATGAAGCAGGAGAGCGTCAACTCTACCAGGAATGCACTTAGGCTTGCTCGGGAAGCCGAAGAGACTGCTGGAAACACTATCGGAAGACTCGGGGATCAATCTGGTGAGATCCGATTGAAGTCGGAGTCTTATTTTCATTGATCGTTTCACGATAGAGAAACTCGCCAACACCGAACGTCATCTTGACGTTTCAAAGGGTCACACCTTGCGCGCAGAGGATCAGATCGGTGAATTGAAGCAGCTTAATCGGTCAATCTTCCGCCCTGTCATTACTTGGAACAAGGATGCAAAACGCGCCGCTCAGGAAGAGAAAATTCAGCAGCGGTATGAAGACGAAAGGCTAGATCGCGAAAAGGCTATGCAAGACATCAGAGATACCCAGAACCGCTTGGGACGTGCCACTACATATGGTCGTCAAGATGAAGAAAGTCTAACATCTGGAGGGTCGGGTAGATTCCGTACTGAGGAACAGCTGACCGCGCGCAAGGAGCAGCGAAAGAGATATCAGTTTGAGGCGGGTGCTTCTGATGACGAGATGGAAGATGAGTTGGACGACAACTTGAACGAGATCTCGGCTATCACCAAAAACTTGAAAGCACTGGGTACTGCTATGGGACAGGAGCTCGATCAACAAAACTCGAGGCTTGTTACTATCGAACAAAAGACGACTACCTTGGACAACAACGTGTTCAGGAACACTGAAAGGGTGCGTTGTCATGTTTTGCACGTCACAATATCATTTTTCTGATCTTCGAACAATAGCTCAAACGCATCAAATAGAGATGGTGCTTTATGTTGGCAATAAGATGCTGTCTCTCACTGTTCCTCTGTATTTAATTCATGGACATTTTTCGTAAATGCTGTAGCGGACCTATACCTTGTACACATTATATATTGAGGCGCCACCAAGTTGACATTTACATAAAGCCCCATGAGTGATTTTGATGCTCCGACTTTTACGTCGTCCTACCTGCAGGCCTGTTCCTTGGCATAATATTCGGAACTTGCTCTGCACATCTCTCATGCTGCGCAGCATCTTGCATTGCACTTCTTAGGACAATTGACAAAAAAAAGGTAGTTAGCACTCCCAGAGCCAACGCTATGGAAGAATGCGCGACCTTAAATGACCTTCAGAGATGGTAAGAGGCTACATCCTTTGACTTCTACTGTCACAGAGACCTATTTATACTAATTTCATGCCAAGGGAGCGCCTGGTTGAAGAACAGTCAAGTCCGTGGTATTTCATCCCATGGCTGAGAAGACTAACCCCTCATAAGGCCTCTTTCGTCTTACACTCACTGACAATCAAACGCTACGCCTTCGGGTCGACGAACTGGAACGAGAACTATCGGTGTGGAAGCTGGCTTTCAAGGCTGCCGAAGATGAAAAATGCAATCTACAAAAACAAATGCTCAAGCTGGAGAAAAACATTGGCTCATTAAAGGTTGGTCATTCCATATGTATTCCTCAATACTTGGTACAAAATGATGTCGTATGCAGGATGATAACCCGCTTCTCCTCTGCCTCATTGACGGTGATGGCAACATCTTCTCCCAAGACTTACTTGCGTCAGGCCATACAGGAGGCCGGCAAGCAGCCATGCTGTTAACTAAAGGGTTAACAGACTATATGGTCGATGTTGACGCCGGATCTTCCGGGCGTGGACAAGTTTGGCTGACTGTGTACTGCAATAAAACCGGCTTGATGGACACCCTGGTGAACAACGGTATATGCAGTGCTTCAGAATTTGAGGCATTTGTGCTGGGTTTCAACTCAGCTTCACCGTTATTCTCTATCGTGGATGTGGGTGGTGGAAAAGAAGCAGCAGATGCGAAGATTAAAGGTGATGCGATAATCTTTAGTTTTGTGAAATTTCCTCTAACTTTCCGGTAGAATGTCTTCGTGTTTTCACCCGCTTTCCCCAGACTTCACGTGTATTCTTCGGAGGTGAATTTTCAAGGCGATTTTTATTCGGCTGATGCTGATACAATCCAAGGTGGGCACGACAATGGATACACTTCCACATTAAGTACCCTTGAAAACGAGGGCTTCCTGGAAAAAATTGTGCTACTCCGTGGATACAAGACTCTCGCCGCTGAGCTTCAACACTTCGATTTGCCCCACCTCGATATTGGAGGTGTCTTCATGACAAAGAAACTTCCCTCGTCTTATACACACAGGAGGTCGACGCCTCCAACAGGTGTCGCTCCTCAAGAACATGACAGACAGAGGATAAATCCCAAAACCTTCCTCGTTGGAACGCAAAGTCCGGTCATCTCTACAAACACACAATTCTGCAGATATCTCGATCCTTCTCTGGTATGGCCTTGTTGCTTATACCATTCAATGTTGATAACGATTATTTGCTGTGACCAGCCACTCAACAAGCGTAGGTCGCTCATCATTGGCCATCGAGTATGATGTCGATTTTTTTTTCACAGAAACTCCACGACCCTGTACATTTTTCTATCTGTCCGTGTGCAAGCAAGGTGATAAATGCACCTATGGCCACGACTACTTTCTTACAGCAGACAACTACGCCGAGCTTCGTGCCAATGCGAAGAAATCTCCTTGCCCCGTCTTGAATAAGAGTGCGTCACGTGCGGTTGTTCTTCACGGATGGCAACTCAATGCTCTGTATATTTAGACCAACCTTGTCCCTTCGGCGAAAGTTGCCCTTCTGGACACTACTGCCCCAGAGGGTCTAAATGTAGCTACAGGAAACAAGGCAAATGCAAATTCATCGGGAGTGAGCTTTCTATGTCATTCACCGCTTACACTATTGACCTAATGTATGATATGCAGGAGAGATGCATATTCCGCTGAATGACCGCATAGGCATAAGTGGACGACCTCCATCTAGGGCCCAGAGCAGCAATATCAGCGGGCAGACAGATGGAACACCGACTCCCCCGATGAGCCCAGTCGACCTCAGCAATTTCGTCGGCATATCTTCCTTTGTGCCACAAGGTACTAGGTAATTCATATGTAGATTACTAGATCCCACTACGCTGAATTGTAGTATGTCTATAAATCTAATGTTATTACATGTGGCTTAGCTGTATTGACACGAAACACGGTCACGTGGGTGACACGATTTTATTCTAGTTGCAATGAGCGTATTTGCTTCCGCCCACTTTCGCTGTTCGGCCAACCACTATGTCCTACGCAGAAGAGCGAGAACAGAATATTGCGCGCAACCAAGCTCTCCTTAGAGAATTGGGAATCGGTCCCCTCAGGCCCGAATGCGAGCCGAAAGAGAAGTTGAGGAACAAAGTGGCAGCCAAGAAACGGAAGTCCCCCTTGCCCGAAAGCGACGAGCTCGAAGAGCCACCCAAGAAAGCTCCTCGTATAGCACATGTTAGTAATGAACCAGGGAGCACGCGAAGAAGCACTCGTCTTGCTGGTAAGACAGTCGACTACAAGCAAGAACAAGACCGCGGGGTCCCGGAACCGGTCTCAATCAACCGGTCTCAAAAGCTCAAAGTCGGCCAGCTTAAATCAAAGAGAACATATGATCCGTCAGTAGCGCTGTTCCTTTTCTTAAAGCTAGCCATGTAATTTGCGTAGTCATATGTATGGTCACATACCTGACGTAGAGGTGGGGACATGGTGGGCAACAAGGTAAGGATGACATGGGAATTTTTGCCACCGATATTGGCTCACTTACTTGGTGTATCAGGGAAGATTGTTCAAACGCATCTGTCCATGCGTAAGACTCCCCCCTTGTTTTCGACCAGTCACCCTCGAGCTAATCAATCTTATAGCCCTTGGGTTTCGGGTATTGCACCAGGTCCACATGGTGCATACTCGATCGCACTTTCAGGAGGATATGATGATGATGTAGATGACGGATATGCATTGTGAGTCGTGATGTAAGCGTGCAAGGAATAGCAACTCATAATAATCCAGTACATTCACCGGTTCTGGTACGTGTATTGTGGCAGAGCAACGGAGATGTCCTCATCGGTATCAGGCGGTAGGGATTTGAAGGGAACCAAGAAAGCACCCAAGAATGTAGGTATAGTCACCAATTAGTGTGATCGGTGATCAGGCTAATCTTCGAGAAGCTTCGAACGGCTCCCCAAAGCAGTGATCAGAGCTTTGAGGATAAAAACAACGCAGCTCTCCAGGTAAATGGGGAAGATGGATTTCGATTATTTTTTTTTGACGCATACTTTACAGAGATCTGTTGACACCCAGAAACCTGTCCGTGTGATCCGGGGCTTCAAAGGGAAGGCCAGGTCAAAGTACGCGCCGTCAGAGGGGTCTGTTTCGTTTATATTTCGCCAACTTCTCTATTAATTCCAACTCTGTTCATAGGTACCGCTATGATGGCCTATACCTTGTCAAAAAGGTGCGTCCCTTGCTCAATAGCCATTGTTTTCTGTCACTAATTTCGTAGGCGTGGATTGAAAAGGGGCTCAACAAGGGAGGTTTCCTCGTATGCAAGTTTGCGTTCATGGTATGTCTTCTGTAGTTCCATTTATCAGTCCACAACTGATAGCAGTTCACACCAGCGAATGGCAAACCAAGAAGCTATCCCTGTGAACGACGGCGGTGATGATGAATCTGATGAATGAATATACCCAACCATCTAATGACCTCTTCACAAGTATCATACCCCCTGATGCAGATAAACTATATTGTATTTACTACCTCATCTCGTCGATTTGCTACTGTTACATCCTGCATGTCAAGCATCTTCTGATGTAAATCGATAAAATATAAAGCTTTAAAGTCCCTGAAATTTGCAACAAGCTTTAAGTTTAGTGTGTGACTTTGATCAAATAATTAGTCAACACTGGGACTTTGTAAATTTCAAGGCCGTCTCTTAACTTTCTTCCACCTTCATGTTTTCGTGTTTTGCGGTTATAAACTAAACATTCATTGATCAAATGCACTCTTTTCATTACCTGTCTGTCGCTTTGTGTGCCCTTTCGTTTTTATCCTCCCAAGTATTCGGTTTTAGTGGGGTCCAGTCGTCCGCACATCAACGCTCACGCAAGTTGTCGCACATACGCGCCCCAGGTGGTAACGACCAGCCTCGGGCCCTCGATATCTCTGTCAATCAGTCGAGGGACACGAAAATTTTGAAGAGAGACACATTTACTTATTTTGTGGATGGCAAGTGAGTAGGACTTGTAATCCATTGAAGACCCTTGCTCATTGCAAAACCAGTGGTGCCTGTGGAGGTTTCAATGGTCCTAACGACTTTGTATGTCCTCTATCCTCTAGTTACTGTTGATCATTGCTTGACATCCAGTCAGATCGTTGCGCAGAGCTCGTGTGTAAGCTCTACCGTCCTGTGACTGCATAACCCAAACCTTACATCCAACGAAGGATTTTAATGGAGGTAGCCATTGCTTCCAAATGATAACTATTATAGTGAATGGCAAGTCAACGCAGGCCCAGATCACGGATGAGGTATTTTTGCCAATTACTATTTTGCGGGGCGTGTAGTTGACACATAATTTTACAGTGCCTTGGATGTCCTTGCGGGGGACTGGACTTCAGTCAAGGTCTTTTTGAGTTCTTCGCCCCAACCAGCGTTGGCGAATTATCTGGATCGTGGACTTATGGCACTCCTAGTACTTCATCCTCGTCCACACCTCCCCCATCTACGACGACCACGCAATCTTCCACTAGTACCTGGATGCCACCTACTATCACCTCGTCAAGTATTTCCATATCTACCCTCACAACTACCAGTACCCTCGTAGCCACAACTACACCTATGAACTCAAATCCCCTACCAACTACAACCTCATCCACTGCAACTTCCCTCCCTACTTTTAGCCCCGACAACCCTCAACTCCTCACGCAAATGAATCTTGGATTGATCGAGCTTGGTTCACTTCTCCAAGCTTGTGCGTCATTGTCTTTGGAGTCATAGACATCTATGCCCTTTCTTGAAACACTCGTTTTAAATACGCACCACGTTCTTGTATAAATTTTCTAGAGGTAGTGCAATGATGTACATCATGTACCCCGTCAATAATGCATGTAGCTCCAGAATACTAAACCACCAATCATGCACATGGCTGAATTACGGCCGCTCGGACTATTCGTAGGAATGCGTCACTGCTCTCTTCGTCTGGTTGGTTCGACTTCCTCGCCTTCCACAGGTAGTATATACCCTTTATACTTTCGGTCACTGCCTTGTCCTCTTCCACAGCAAATTCATCCTCTTCGTCTGCGTGTCCGTTCCCTGCATGCCGCCCGTTAGAATATGACATGTCATGTAACGTGACTTTCACGGGTTGAGTAACGTGGGCATATTGACCCGGATTCCCGGACGCAGGGGTCTCAAGGTCCGAATTATCCGAAGTTGAGGGTGGTGACGGGGTATCACGATCAAAAGTTGATTCGTTTGACGTGGGTGCGTGTATTTCTTTGCGTGGAGAGATTATATTAAGGAGATGTGCCAATACAGTAGGCGATGGCGGCCTAAACTTACTGTCTGGCAGCGGCAAAGAATGTATAGTATCAGCTGGTATGGGTATAGCCTCTTCTGGCTGTGTATAATACGCCGGAAGTGCAGCTTCTAGTTTCCGGTGGTTCGGTAGAGGAGAAGGCACCGTGGAATCAGCGGATCCTAGGATAGAAAAGAGGTTAGGCAAGGTAAAGATACCAAGCTCGGATAAAGAGAAAAACCACCTTGTACTGATGAATACCGTGCCCAATAAGCATCTTCTGCTCCATCTGACAAAGCCTCTTTAAATATACTGCGAGGTGCTAAAGCGGAGAATGATTCATGGAGCGGGGCATTGTATGCGTTCCAGTAGCGATCTTCTTCATCCAGAATACCACGGGCCACGGACGGGAAACGTTCGCGCGCCTGTTCCGCTGCAGTTGCTGGTGGATGTAACGCAGAGCGCGAATTAGGTGGAAAAGGCATCAACTGGGTGTCATGATACTTCCATCCGTCTTCGTCATCCCACTCAAAAAGGAGGCGGACACCCTGCTCATGAGTGACGACCTGAACATGAGCATAAGTGTGCTCTGAATCTGAGGTGTACCGAACGTAATATTGGCCCGGCTGATCTCCGGGAGATGAATAGATATTGAGGAGCTCAATAGCACGGGCACTTTGAGGACCAGGCCAACATAGATATTCTAGAGGATTATCAGGTAAGACCTGAAGGAAATGGTGTCGCTGAAGCAGTGATCTAGACAATATATGAGGTGGCAGGGGTTGAGATAACTCAGAGGGGGGTGATATATATTGCAAGACAAGATGTACGGTATGCGATTGAATTGGGAACATGATCAATGGTCAATCGATGAATCGATGATGGTCGATTCTAAGATGGAAATCGCGATTTTTCGTTTTTGGTCTCATTATAACAAAGAACATGAAAACCGACCCCTCTCAACCCCCCCTTCTCACCTAGTAGGTACTGCGGCCTGTTAGACAGACTCTCAGACTCTTTCTCTCACCGCTTTGCAACCATCGTCGCTCTCGCCCTTCAGCGATGTATCTACTTTCTTTTCTTCTGGCTTTACCTCTGCTCTCACTTGCTCAGGTTCGTACTTACTTACTTCTTGTTTTTCTGTCAAATTCACACCCTAGCATCAGTCATCAAGTGTTCAGCTCTCAACTTCTACCATTGTGGAAGAGACCCTCGGCTCGAATCGACAAACTAGCACAATAACACAAATCACGGTGTTCACAATCACCCCCGCTCCCACAGCGTCCGCCTCAGTCTCTGTCTCTGGCAACTCTTCTTCAGCAATAACTAGCGGTAGCAACAACGGAACCACCACATCAATCGCCTCTAGCAATCTACCTACTGCAGCGTCTACCATCGCTGGAGCGGATGGCGGTCCCAACGGTGCCCCCAGTCCAGGAGCATCAGCGTCAGGTGGAATATACGGCCCTCCAGATGGCTATATTGCAGGCGCACAAGCCTTGCGCGGTGCAAAAATTCTCGGAGCTGTCGGTCTTTTCGTTGGAGGAGCATTGGTTTTGTTTTAGAGGATAAAACGGTTTCAAACCTGTACACTGTTCGTATGTTTATAAATCCGCATGTGACGCCAGCACACTGTCAAGCATACTTACTTAGCATATTCCGTCTAGCTCTCATCAAGCTCTCTTTATTGGACATGGACAAACCAGTTTGCTTTTAGGGTTTGCTAATGGAACTGTACTTTTGCATATTTCGCATATATCCTCGCATGCCTACCGTTCATTGACACTTTATTATATCTAGACCGAGTACAGTACTAGCGTACTGTGATGAGACCTGGTCTTTTGACTAATTCTATACGGGATGATTATATGGTGCTGAAATCGAGTTACGTATTAGTGTACTGTAACTCTTCTGCTCGCTTGATTTCAATATTACGAGCTGCGCCAGGACGAACAAGCTATAATCATGTACGTATGCATACTTCTTACTGAAACTGGCTTGGTCGCGTGCTGCTTCGATAACCACTGCTGATGTATATACTTTGATAATCAAATGGAAACGAAGATTAAGCGCTTAATTTTGCGTAAGCACGTCAGTGTTTGGACTCGCCATCTCAGAGACATTTTTTATGATCTTGGTAAACAAGGTCATCTCTAGCGTACGTTCGTCGACAATTACTTTGGCTCACCTATTTCGCCTGGATTGCAAGCTGAGCAGCAGGACATTTATGTCACACACAGGACCCGCTACCAAAAAGCAGAGAATGGATGTCAAGGTTCGTCTGATCACTCGCAGGATGTATCTTTATCTCTTCCGCCTGGATAGACCATAGGCACTCATAATGGCACCTTCCATTGCGATGAAGCACTGGCAGTTTTTCTTCTGCATCAGACAGACACCTATAAAGATGCAAGTGAGTATGTCAAGTTTTTCATCGGTGCTCACCTTCACAAGCGATTATCAAGGCCTAAAACGCACCAGGGACCCAGCTGCCCTCGATGATTGCGACATAGTAGTTGATGTAGGAGCTATATACGATGAAAGCAAACGCCGATTCGATCATCATCAACGTGGTTTTACTGAGGTGTTCGGTCATGGCTTTAGCACCAAACTGTCATCTGCAGGTCTTGTCTACAAGTATGGATTCTTTGCATTCTTCTCGAGGTAACTAACAGCTCCATAAAGGCATTTTGGAAAGGAGGTTGTTGCCAGTGCGATAGGGCTAGAACCGAGTGATAAGAAGGTTGACATATTGTGGTTAAAAATGTACAAGGTATGCACTCGCTCAAGGTGGCTTGCATCTTTCCAACCATCTGCAGGAGTTTATCGAGGCTCTGGATGCAATTGACAATGGGATCTCGCAATACTCCTCCCAAGAACAACCGAAATATCGCAATCGGACCGATCTGTCGAGTAGAGTCGGATGGCTTAATCCTCGCTGGAACGAGTCTACGGAGTCTCAGAAAGTGGATGTGGGTGTATGCGTCTTTACTTATGACACAACTCACTGAACTGTCTAGGCCCTGTTCTTGAAAGCATCGCAACTGACCGGGGATGAGTTCCTTGGTAGGCTTGACTACTATGCCAATGCATGGTTGCCTGCGCGAGATTTGGTATTGGCTGGGCTCTCATCGCGCCAGAATATCGATGCCAGCGGAAAGATCATATTGTTTGAACAATTTGCTCCATGGAAGGTTATATTGTTATCGATCACGACCTTTCACTGGATTCTGAAACATCTGACAGGAGCATTTATTTGAACTTGAGGCTGAGCAGGGTGTCTCCGAAGATGAACTTCCATTTTATGTGATATACCCTGACGAGACTGGGGGTAACTGGCGTATTCAGGCAGTCCCTGTCTCTCCTGAGAGCTTTGACAGTCGAAAGGCGCTTCCGGAGAAGTGGAGAGGCGTGCGTGATGATGAGTTGTCAAAAGTAAGCGGTGTCGACGGATGTATATTCGTGCATGCATCAGGGTTTATTGGAGGTAGGTGAACCATCAGTGGTGCAGCTGCATCGGAGCTGATCTGTGGTATTTGTTTCAGGGAACAAGACGAAAGAAGGCGCTTTGAACCTAGCAAAATTGGCACTTAAGATGTAATCGAGATCTCGCTTTCAAGGAATCCCCATGATCTCGGTAGCCCATTTTTATATGCCCCGCGAGTTTAAATTGCCGTTATACAAGGTAGCTGATATGTAGACCAGATGAAATGTTCTTTGGTGAAAAGAGCGGAGACCATTTGGTATTCTATACAGTGTCCGATCTACGTAATTAGAGTTGCCGTCGGCGTACTGGTGAGTATTTCTCTCCATGTTAAAGTTAACTTGCTGCAGACACGTTTTGATCCACAACCTACCCGAATAAGATGTGTGGTATTTGAACACATCCGGCAATACTCGCCCTCGTGTTCTTCGCATGTCTCGCAGCTGCATGGGGGCCACGAATCGAACGCGCGCAAAGGTCCAGGATGGTAACTATTAGTTTGGTCTGCCCTTCTCACTTCTAACCCGTATCTTGCTATTTGGAAGCTTTGGCTCTGTTTCATTTCTTTTGACACCGTTGAACGATGCCTTACATCAAAGCCCATTACCACCCTTTCCTTTTCATCCTCATCACTATGTGTGCTATGGCTGAGCTGGGCCTCACTGCATACCTTATCAGCGTTGGAAATGAGAGTCGTAATTGGCCTAGCGCTCGTTATCATTCGCTGTAAGTCCGTTTTCTACCTCTAAAGGAGGTTCGACTAACACAGGATGCATTCAGCTTAATACTCTTCGAGTTCAACGCTGTGTGGACCACGTTATTCGGGGCAGCTTATATGCTGTGGATTGTTGATGGTGCTGTGCACTTTCTTGCCAGCATCGCAAGTTCCATTATTTGGCTTGCTATCACTTCGACACTTTGGGTAAGACATCTTACGGAATAAAACACCAGCAATTTAACCCGGGTGGACAGGGCGCTGCAGCTGGCATGATGCATAACACGCGGACTGGGGGCAACTGTAATTGGATCCTTAATAGCTCCCCATCCGATAACGGGGTCTTGCCATGCGATCCGCCACAGGAGTTGAGTGTATCCAGCTGTCGAGAAACGCTAACAGTCGAAGCTGTCGGCTGGGTACTATTTTTACTCTGCGTCCTCACGCTTCTTGCAACATGCATGTGGGTACGGACGAGTAAGCGAGGATATGTGAGTGCAGAGTATAAGCCGGGGATGTGACAGGTTGATAATCGGTGTCGCCCTTACCAGAACTCGAGCTTTTATGTCTAGGAGATTGGCTGTAAAGCAGGAAGTGGATTTCGGAGGTAGCTCGACGTAGTGTGCGGTGTGGTTTTAATTGGATTTACGCTCGTGATGGCGACTGATGCGTCTGGTACGCTCATAAGTTATTATCGAGTCCGTCGAAGCGATTGATAAGATCTACGGTTACAAATGGCGTGTCAAACTATACAGCATCATCTACTCGCATGGATCCGAATCATCCTGGTGTTACCGAGATAGTTTCATTAGGGTATGCGGGCCTCGTGGTTGGATAAAAGCCGACCTCGCGATAAAGCTCTATCCCACCCGCAACCCTATGTCTGCCCCACCGTATCCTACCCTTATGGATCATGAGTACTGATGCGTCTAGCTAGCCCTAGGTTGAAACGTCGCACGAACCTTTTACTCCCACTATTCACATAAGCTGAGTAGTAATAGTAGTCAGAGCTTTCGCGGCTCAAAGGCGTTACAATCCCCCCCTCCTACTCTACTAGCCCCGATTAATAGGAGACGGATCCCTACGGTGCTAATTTATTAAAGAGGTGTTCAAACCTGATGGCGCTCTGCTGAAGCATGGGCTTAGTTTCGCTGTCAGTGCAACGTACAGATGTGCGTATATATGCTAAACTATACATTGGCTATGGAGCTCATAGACAACAGACAACAGCACTTGCGTCTGATCCATGTGTGCTAACTTTTCGAGACCGAGCAAATCAGAAACTCAAAACAGGAATACGGTTGTGGAGTCAGAGTCAATGTTACGTCATCCAAAATTATCAGATAAGAGCATCAGTAATCTAACGTCCAATTTTCACGAAATGACCGGCCAACGTCTCCAACGCAACACTTCGATCCCAAGCTACACAGAACCACATACAAATTCTACCACCACCAGACATGATGAGGAAGTAGAGAGGGTGGATATAATTCCTTCAACAAGGGCATCCATTGTTCGGGCGTTGGCTCTACTATGTGCATGTTCTCTCAGTGTCGGTAGCCACTAGTGCGTTTTTCTTCCATTCCTCCCATATTTTCCTAACATCTACTGTTCTATGTCTCACAGCGCGTCATACACGCTAGGGCCCTTGAAATCTCGACTTGCGCGGGAGATCAACACGTCCAACACGGAATTTAGTCTGCTGATTTCTGCATTCAGTTTAAACAGTACATGGACACCTCTAGTCGGGGGCTTTATGGCAAGTAAACTTGGTACGACGCTCACTAGTATCATTGCTACTAGTGTCATATTTGTTGGTAAGCAATAATTGTTCAGATACTACGCATTTTTTGATCCCTTTCTAGGCCAGGTTTTACTATTGGTCGGTGACATAAAAGGAGACATTCGATTGATGGTATTTGGGCTGTTTGTGTTCGGATTTGGAGTTAGTCCTCTTGCCGTTGTGCAGGAGTCCATCATAATTCGATTCTTCAAATCGCACGGACTCGGTGTCTCAATGGCACTGGGACTTGTAGCTGGCAAATTGGCTTCATTTATTTCAGCGCGAACTTCTCTCCCTCTTGCGGAACGTTTTGGGCGCCACGCACCATTCTATGTGTCCACATTCTTAGCTGCTCTTTCCCTTCTCATCAACCTGGTCTATATGGCATCCTCAAAGTGGCTTATACGGGGTTCTGGCACTGTCTTGCTAGAGGCTTCCGAGATACGAAGTGAGGCGAGGCGCCGCTCCCTGTACGATCTCTCCGAGGCTCAGACGCTGGAGAGTGTTGCAAAAAAACGTCACATCAGGTTCAAAGATATTCCAAAGCTTGGGGATATTTTCTGGGCGTACGTGACAAGACCAGAACTCGCGACATGTGCTGACCTTTCGCAGTTACATAGGGCTAAACATCCTATGTGGCACTATATGGGCCCCTTTCACCCATTTGGCAGCGTGAGTCTGCATATCAGGATGTCTTTCGTGACTCATGACGTTCTTTGTGCGACTTTTAGCAACTTATTTGAAAAGAGATATGGATTGACGGAGCACGCTGCCAGTACACAAGCTTCCTACCTTCTGGTTGGGAGCATACTCTTGTATCCTGCTGTAAGAGTGTTTTATGTTGTTCCATAATCTTGACCAACGCCGAGTTAGACCGGATTCACGGTAGACCGGATGAAGCATCCACAAGCTGCACTTCGCATGTTCACGCTGTCATCTGTATTGATGTTGTTTGGATACGCTTGGCTTGTTCTTCCACCAGCGTGGACGGGAACACCCTTCCCTGCAGTTGCTGCCTTTGCGACTGGCATTGGCTTTTCCCCTTGTGAGTCAGTATCACACTATTCAAACATCATTCATTCTACATGTTCTAGTACTCCTCGTGGTCTTGGTCCCTCAGCTGGTTCCGTTTAAGTTTGTATCAACTACTCTGGGTGTGCACAAAAGCGTAAATCGTTTACTCAGTCTACTGTCCCTGTCTGATTATGAGCTTGACGTTTCAGATGGAACAAACGGGCGCGACAATTTTCCAAACCATAGCTGGCCTTGTTTTAGACGGTGATCAACGAGTCAAAAAAGGCGACCAGGACACGACACAGCAGTTGTTGAACGTGTTTCTCGCTTTTAATGTTTTGCAGCTATTAGGTATCATCGGTCTATCGCATCTCGATAGTCGACGGAGGCAGGCAGCAGAGACTCTTGAGAACACAATCAGAGATGAAGGGGGTGTCGAACGTGAATCAGAAGAAGAGTCGACCTTCACCGGGGGCGAAGGAGATATCCTGGCTTCAGAAATCGGACCGTTGTCTTCTCAAGACCCAAGAAAACCTCTACTTGGTCGCCGGCCCAGGGCAGATTCTGGCGCCAGTTGTCTCCCTTCTTCTTGTCCTCCCCAAGGAGTTCGTGGACACCCAGAGATAAGGAGGGGTCGTATTTTTGTGTGCCTTTGCGCCATGCTTATTAGCAGTGCTTGGGTATTGTTTTTGAGCACTGCGTGGCTGAGGCTCCGGTCGGGACAGCAAAGAGATTCACATTAGTTCACGTGGCTAGTGTTTAGATACTTGTTATGAGGAGTAACATTTTCCCAGCGTTATGGGCCGCTATCTACGTGCACTCATTAACCAGTGTCCACAAGGCACCCCGACGGTTTCGTCCGAGGTGTCTGATGTTGCAGAGTCATCGAGAAAATTAGGGAGTAGTGCGACGGACGTTGCGAAGTTTGGAGATGGAAAACTCTCGTTTTCGGTACGCTTGGCAGGTAATTGTTTCCTCCATGACTCTATCATTTCCCAGGTGAGGGCCGGATCCCTGGACTTTTTATAGAGAACACCTGGTCCGTATGGGTCGTCCACTCCCCTATCCGAAACATCAAGCGCTACCGCGCCTGCAACTCCAGCCGAGGACGCCGGTTCTGTTCAACATGTCAGTTCAACCGATGAAAACACAATACATCATATATTTCACCATCACTCGTGCCGCTCCAGTTCGATAAGGAAGGAGTGGTTTCTAGTACTTTTTCCGGTTCAGCTATTGTGAGCTCGGATTCATCGTCTGAGAAGACATTGTGAACAGGTTCCGCGACCTGTTGAATGGGTTAGCTCAGTCATTCCTAATGAAGATATTCCAATGCCAACCTCCACCGGTTGTACAAAACCACCAGGGGCACGGAGAGCTGAGCCAAGCCAATATAGCAACGCATGCATGACAGTCGGAGAACGTGATTGGGCGCCTATAACGGGAGAAACAAAGGCTGTCGTCCAGCCTGTCAAGCCATGAAAATTTAATTTTCCTTCTTTGATCTCGCCTAGGGACAGATCTTACCTCGTGAAAACATACCAAAAGTCCACTGCTGGTATGAAGTCAGAATGAAGAAGGGGGTTTGATTATGAACGCAGGTGTCCCATAACTAAAGGATCTCTTAAGAGTCTGGGAAATGTGCATTACGTGCACTTACCTTCCCCCAAAGGCGTTCCTTTCCACGCAATGGGCGCTTCGTACCTTCGGGAAGCTACCAAATATGTTCCGCATTCAGGGCACAAGTAATCTAAGCACGTACCGACTTTAGCTGAGTGAATTGCCACATGAATTCGTCGGACATTATCCAAGGAGGTTGGCAGGCGACAACTACAGATAAATCATGTATGTCGGGATGATCTTGGTTGGCATCTGTCCAGTGAAATGTCTTGAAATTTTCATCATTGCAGCCGTGATTGTCAAGCATCACAAATCCCCAATCTTTCGTTGCAGGATACATGATATGAAAGACTCGTTGAACTGTTTGGAGGGGAAAATTATCCAGCCAATCACACACTCTGATGATAATAAGGTTAAATAAACATCGTGTTACAGGTAATTGTCTACATACCGATTGATATCCGATGCTACAGGAAGCAATAGTTCCGGAATATTGAATCTATGCGAGGAGCGTACTGTAAATCGCTCGCCTGTTTTCCGGTCCTCATCGTGCAGACAGAGCGAGCGATCTGGCACATGCTCCTCGATCCCTGCAGATAGCAATTTAGCTGGCAAAGCTTAATGTTAACAACAAGCCTACAATCATTAACGAGTTCATCAAATGCGGAATCTAGGTAAACTATGTTAGCAAGGTTACGATGTCGTCGGCGAACAGTGAGTATGGTTTTGCGGCTCTTGTGAGACATCAACTCTCGTCTGTGCATGAGCTTCAGCCGGGGTAGAACAGCGTCCTTAAGGTAGCCTTGCAAGTCGTCTGTAGCTCTGTAAGCCATATCGACCTCGCAGCGAATATACGTGAGGGGAATGTTGGCAGTACCCCTTGAGGATAGCAAACATTATATATCCACAGGTTACAACAACCTCGATACAGACTGGAGTAATACAACGATGATTCCGTCGATGAACAACAACAAGAAGCGCATGAGGAAACAAGGGGGTCGCTACGATGCCTAAATGAGGCAGGCTGCTAGCATAATCCGGTGTACAACGGCAATACCCGAAAACCCTCATCCAGTCGTCAAACAAGACGTTGCAGTCGTCCCCGAGTCAAGACCTTCAAGAGGTATGTTTCTGTATCGTTGTTATATGAAGCTATGCCAGAAGGGATCTGCGTTGCTGCCAGAAACTTTAGTTTGGAGAAATCCGAATGGAAATCGATGGATGCTTTCACCTTGACTGGATGTATGTTGATCTGCCGAGTCACTAACCATCTTGCATTACAGCCTGCAACATGGGCGCATACAAATACATCAGTGAGTTGTACAGAAAAAAGCAGTCCGACGTACTGCGTTTTCTTCTCCGTGTCCGGTGAGTCCTTGTGCTTGTGATACATACGAAAGTTGCTGAAATCGCACTAGATGCTGGGAGTACCGCCAATTGAAAGTCGTTCACCGTGCATCTCGCCCTTCCCGCCCTGACAAGGCTCGTCGTTTGGGATACAAGGCCAAGCAGGGCTACGTTATCTACCGTATCCGCGTCCGTCGCGGTAACCGCAAAAAGCCAGTTCCAAAGGGTAAGCTACTAATCGATACGGCCTTTCGATATAAATTTAACTCATCTTTCAGGTGCCACCAATGGCAAGCCTGTCCGTCAGGGTGTCAACCACTTGAAGCCCCAGCGCAGTCTCAGGAGTACTGCCGAGGAACGCGTTGGAAGGCGTTGCGGAAACCTGCGAGTCCTGAATTCGTACTGGGTAAACCAGGACGGTGTTTACAAGTATTTCGAAGTCATTCTTGTGGATCCTAACCACAAAGCTGTAAGCTTGAGATTCCTTCTGCTTGTTATGTTTACGAGGTCGAATTATGGTGTAGATTCGCCGGGATCCCCGTATCAACTGGATTTCAAAGCCAGTGCACAAACGCCGCGAAGCCCGTGGTCTCACCAGCGTTGGGAAACAGGTTTGTTCATTACCTATTTTTCTCAGGACTTTTTCTGATGTTCGTTGCAGAACAGGGGATTGGGCAAGGGCCATCGTCACAACCATGCTCCTGCTCGCTCAACCTGGAAGAAGCACAACACACTGTCTCTTCGTCGTTACCGATGATTTACTTGCATATTTTCTGTTCTTCCATCATGTTCCTTCATGCTCGCTATGCTTTGTATGACCATGAAGCTCCGCTAAAAAGATATCATGTGCTCCTACATCCAGTAAAAGAACTTTTGGAGCTCTGCATAACTATCAGCACCGGATCTCAGCGATTCTCACGGATTGTACCCAAATAAGGCGTACGGTCCGGGTCATCTAAGCGTTCATCATTCCACGGAACAATTTTTTTTAGTGATGACAATACATTTGCCTCGTGCCCAACATGCACGGATTACTGTGAGAGCCTTTATTGTACAACTGCGGTAATTCATTTGGCTGGCCCATCTACAAATTATTGGAGCTACGCTAGTGGCAAATTCCAATGTTGTTGTGTTCGGACGGTCTAGTCATCGCACCTTAAATCCCAGCTCATCTCTCTTTGAATTATATTCCTCCTTCTTACCATGCTGAAAGTTCGACATGCAATTGTTTGCCTATTATGCAGACATCTTTCGGAGACCGTGGCCTTCCCAAGCATTCTCAGTAACATCAATTGGAAGGCCGGAGTTGAGTTGCTGGACAACTTTGAATGGCCAAAGACCACATCACCGACGAAGAGAGAAACCACGCCCAATGGATCTACTATCCTGTGGGTTATTCAAGATACCTATGAAGGCAGTACTTTTTTTGAGTAAGTGTCTCGTCTAGATCACTCCATCACTGCTGGCAACTGACGGGCTGCAGTACGTTTAACTTCTACACCGGTGCGGATCCTACGAAGTAATGTTTAGTTTTCCATCCGATTTTAAAATGGGGTACTCAATACTTAGTGATAATTGTTCAGTGGTTTGGTGAAGTGCGTGTCTATCTGTTGCACGAGATTCTTTCATGGAATTTGAAATAGTTTTGTTGACGAACAGACGGCATTCAACGACGGCTTAGCACGTGTAACCTCCGATAACAAGGTCATCATGCGGGGCGATAATACAACTCAGCTAGCATATGGGGTCAACAGAAACAGGTAAAAAATTCTAGTTTGCTGAGTGTGCCGGGACTAATGTGATCTCTTAGCGTCCGCATAACAAGTCAGGCTCAGTACAATATGGGTCTCTTCATACTGGACCTGGATATGGCTCCATGGGGTTGTGGTGAGACAGCTTGCTTTCAGTTCACTGATGTTATTTAATTATGTTAATCAAGGTGTTTGGCCCGCATTCTGGCAAGTAATACTACGCAAAGGTTGGATGATGAGTCTGACGATGTGGCCAGGACGCTTGGGAATGGGACATGGCCATTTGTAAGTTTGAAATATCTTTGCATTCTCACTTAATGATCTCTATTTAAGAATGGTGAAATAGACATCATTGAGGGTGTACACGACAACGAACACAACCAAGTCACCTGGCATACCGCTCCTGGTGAGCGAATATTCGTTAGCTACTTGCTTCGTAACTCATGTAACTCTCAGGTTGCAACTTAACCCAGAGTACCAACTTCACTGGGTCAATTGTGGTGTGTCCTGTCTTACCATGAATGGGAGGTAATGGGCTAATTGTTGAAGCAAACGAATTACGTGGATAACCTCCAATGCGATGCATTCATCAATGGGAACGCAGGGTGTGGTGTGACAGAATGGAGTCGAGCATCATATGGCCCATTATTTGATGAAGCTGATGGCGGCGTCTTTGCCATGAATTGGGATGAAAACGGCATCGCAGTTTGTACGTTCGTGAACCTCACAGTAGCGTGAGACTCTAGACCGTTTCACCCCACAGGGTCATTTTACCGCGCAACTATTCCGCTGGACATTACACAGGGAGAACCAAATCCGTCCAATTGGGGTGAACCTGTTGCTGCACTGTCCGCTCAGTCGTGTAATATTACTAACTACTTCGCAAATCACTCGATTATATTTGGTGAGTATTTTAATGAAATTCAGATCCTCGTTGCTCACCAACAATGCAGACATCACGTTTTGTGGTGAGACTTCATTATAAGGTGCATTTTGAAGCAATTTATCAAGACTAACTAGGTGACTGGGCCGGCAACTCGTACAATACATCAGGTTGTACTGGCACTTGCCAGAACACGTTGATGGATCCGGCTAATTTTGTTGTGAGATTCTATTGATTTCTTGCATTGATTTGTCTCAACTGGTCCTATAGAATGCCTCTTGGATCATCAATTCGCTCAGTGTCTACAAGCAGACTTTGTTGGTAATTGGCGGCACGTCGGGCGCAACCCGAAGACATCCTATCATGAACTTGGAGATGACTGGTTGGATTATCTCTACAATAGTATTCTTACACATCGTGCTCGTCTCGCTTTGAGATGCTGGCTGTTCAAGCAGAGACATGACAAGCTATTATACGACGAGCTACTATGGACGATCAGAGGAACACGCATCAGTACTTGATACCACGAGGACATGTCAATAGATCTTGCACCCCTAACATTTGCCTTATAATTCGCTTGCATCGGTTACATGAGTGATATCAAAGAACCGGAGTACTCTAAAGTTTCAAGATCCTGGGAGATTCTGTTCCTATTGCCGCAGGGTCATGATCTACATGTGCAAAACATGCCCGTAGTGGAGTAATGCTCGCGTGGCCTTTAGCGATGGCCCAACCATCCGAGCCAAGTGGGAGGGAATCGAGTGAAGGTGTGATGAGGGGTTGGATATCAGGGGAGAATTTGAACACTAGCGTTGCAGGTTCATCTTTCGATACATCGCCTCCAGGTTCACTTTGTTGTGCAAGATACTGTCTCGCCAAGTCCGGGCCGCTGTTTGGCACGTCCCTCGTTGTGGCCGTAGGGTCAGGAGTCGATACTTCTTTAAAAAGTCGCCCGTATGAGTTACGCCACATGTGCGTCCAATGGACATCTATGCCCTCGGGGTTAAGGAGTTCCATTATCATGGGAACATTCACGTTATACATGTCGATTTCTCCGTTGCGCATCCCACCAATGTCTTTACCCCAGTTGTTCCATAGGTACTGGACGATCCTCCCGGAAAGGATATTTGCGGGTTCAAAAAGTTCGTTTGGGGTGGGATGGAGAACAGTGCTGTATGAAATTGCGACGGAACGGATCTGAGATAGCGCCGACGACATTGCGGCACCAATGGTTCCAGACGACATGGCCAAAGCGGCTGGATAATCGTGATTTGTTCATGGAACGTCCAAACATACAGAAGAGAAAGCACAGACTAGAGGAATTTCTGCCAAGGTTTGGTCCCGAGATCTTACATACCAATTGAGATTAGACTTCAAGAGTTATTACAAGGAGCAACTGAAAGCACTGACCACAAAGTCGATTGTTCCGGGATATAGGTTATGAAGCGCAATGTTGGTGCAAGTCGCGGGGGTCTATGGAGTATGCGCGATGAGCTCGCGTCAGGAATAGAGATACTACATACACCGTCCAGCAGTACCCATTCTGCAACTTCGCCCTCATTTAAAGGACGCGAAATTGATGACACCTCTCCCATTCCATCTTCAACAGCCTTTCAATCAAGTACGGTGTATTTCTCATCACACACTCACCAGGTTCCTTCGGGTAGTAATATCTTCCTTTCGTGATTTCCTTAATGTGAAACGCTTTCCCTGCAGGAGGTGCATCAGCACGAGAGCTTGAACAGGATTGTTTAGACTCGCCAATCCATGATTTCTGAGAGCTTGGCACAACTACTTTCACATCCCATCCTGGTTACATGTTAGACATAAGAGTCTTCATGCATGGGGGTTCACTGAAAACTTACTGAGACTTGTAGTGAGATGGCGATAAAGGCCATAAAGGTATGGAGATTGGGGACCTGGAGGGCCGTCATCATTCTTTAGATTGACATGGGTTATAGTCAGCGAAAGATCTTGAGAAGGAAGAATGAGCACTTGCGACGAGTAAAACTCTGGGCATGAGCTAGTATATCAGGGGAATAATAATGAAATGACCCTTGTTGTCACCAGCGACGGCGATGGTGATGAGCGCCTGTGTGTAAGATCATCGATTCCCATAATTAAAAAACTGTCCACCATCTTGAACCACACAATTTAAACTTCTTCTGTCTCGTCGTTTTCGCTTCTGTTTTCTGCTAGCCATTCTTCGACGTCGGCCACAGCGATACCAGGCGACACCTTTAATCGGGGCTAATTCCTTGAGGCCTAGGCTCAAGGCTAGGCTGAGCTATTGTTATTTCTTAGACGTTCAAGTACTCTACTAAGGCTTCCTTCGAGCCGCCGTGTTCATGATTCACTAGTTCACTGGTGATTCCGCACCTCTCGACGACTATCAGGATGACTACGCCAATGACCAACACAAGCCATTGTTTACCTGCCATACCATCCCTCCCACCAATTCAGATGCCCGGCGACACCGATAAAAATACTTACCTTGATGATCCAATTGCACCTGAGTATGCATCGTCCACACCCCCCAAGGCTTCTTTCTCCTCTACTTCATCTACTCTTGTTGTTTCTCGTGGCACTCCTTTCGATACAGGTTGTTCCGGATTCTCATCCTCGACTTCAACCGACCCGTCGTCCCAATCCTTGCGTAAATCAGTCTCTATTGACTCATTTGTTGGTTACGATAGGGAAACGTCACAGAGACCAAGCGGTTCACGGGCAAATGGGAGCAACACTTACTCCACTTTCGAGGCATCTAGGACATATAAACAGGACGGTTTGTTGCACAGCGAGCCCACTCTTTCTCAACCGTCTATTCGCAGTCGCGGTGCGAGTGTGAGTGCGATGAGTCAGAATCGTGTTCCTGGAATAGAGCATGAGCGGGAGGCCGAGCTTTTCCAGCAGCTGAAGCGACCAAGTGGAGGCAGACGGGGCTCTGTGAAGGGCAAAGATCATATTCGAACGCCTCCTCGTCCAGGCGATCTCAATCTCCCTCCACGCATGCCCGTTCAGGTTATTGGAGATACCCGCCGCTTGCATTCAACAACATCGCTCATTTCACTGTCGGCATGTAATCCTGCGCTGGTGAATCTTACGTCAGGGCGCGCAAGGAGCGACAGCCTTGGCTTGCCAACTACTACCGCTTCAGGTAGAAATCTATCGATTGATACCCTTCAGTCCTCTGTGAGCACTTGTTACGCCCATTGAACCCAATTTCTGATGTTTGCGTGCCCAGCTTTTGTCCAAAGAAATAGCCATCGCGGTGGTCGGTTCATCCGGTTGTGGCAAGTCGTCATTTATCTCGGAGGATGCTAAAGCACATGGGGCGTCGGACGTTGAGGCACTATTTGCGTCGCCAGGTGGAACTCCTTCTTCCACTCCTTTCCGTTGTACGTTTATATTCAACACAATACTCATCTTGTTCTATCTGACTGCAATCTTTCAAGACACGCGCCGCTTTGACCGGGCGATAGCACGCGATTTTCCAATGGCAATCTATGAGTTAGACATCACAAAGGTCCTGCACGAAAACCTCCCACCCGTCAGTGGGGTTGTTGTGTGTTATGATGCTGCCAACAAGGCTTCATTTTCTCCTGTGGAAGGGTTCCTCCGTATGTTGCATTTGTCGTTTTCGTGATCTTTTATCAATCATCTTGGAAAGGGCGGATTCGACCGTTGATGCTTCCAACCATGGCGGTGGCCTTGAAGACAGACTTGGATGTTGTTGTCGATCCGCAGGAGTCTTCAAAGCTGTTGGAAATTTATGATGTTGGTCTAGTGCAGGTTGATCACTTGGAAAAAGCAGGGAGGAATAGGATAAAAAAAGTATTCAATTGGTTGACGTTATCTATCTTGCCAGGTCCTCGTGAGTCCACAGAGTGGTACATGAGTGTGGTGCTAAACCCTATCGTTGACATTTCAGATGCTGATCTCCGAAATCCCGCATCACCAGATGCTTGCCACTCACCGATCACTTGGGAAGCCCGAGCATCAGCACTATCAGCTACATCTACCGTCTCTACTTCCACAGCTTCTACGCAGACGATGTCCCAAGACCAGGGTAGCTCGTTGCGACACTCGCCCACCTCTATACTCCCATCATCTCCGCCACCAGTCGCCATCTCTCCAACGCGTGCCCGGTCAACTCCAGATCTCCTCTCGGCCCATGAAATGTCGAAATCACGAGAGTTGTCTGAGCGAAAGTTATCGAATGCTCGCAGTGTCACAAGCTTTGTTGGGTTGTCAAGCGTAAATTCCTCGTCGCTCGGCTCATTTATTTCTGGGAGAGATGTTTCCTTAAATGTTGCTGAAAACGGCCATTTTGATCACCCTGTGAGCAAGGAGAAGGAACCGTGGGTCGTCTGCAATCATTCGACTTAGTGCTGCTAACTTCCTTATTTACTTAGTCGCTCGGGACAGTACGCAACCTTGGAGGAGTTACTCGATAAATTACTATTCCTTGCTGTCAGCGGTGATGGTAAGCTTTTCCTTTTTGACCTGTTGGCACTACAGGATTCACAATGTCGATTGTAGATCCAACGTTTATCTCGCATTTCCTTCTTACATATCGAAGATTTGCAAGTCCTCGCAGTATTCTGTTGGCTATGCAGAAGCGAATGCGGCAACTCGACAATTCAACTGGTGATCCTATGTTTGCGAGCTACGCCCAGATGAGGTATCATAATTTTGCAACTTGAAAAGTTATTGTCCTAACTTGCCGGTTGATCCTGAAGAATATGCCACCTACTTGAAACTTGGATCCAGACGTATCCACAGGACTTCGCTGTTCCGGGGGCCTCTGGTGCCTTACACGCCCTGGTCAGGTCGATCGTCGGGAAGACATACCTTCTGCATTACGGTTCCGATTTTCTCCCTTTCCTTTCACATCTTCCCAACATCGTAGACACGGATGCGGCCTGGGCGCTAAAATCCGAAAATCCTGTGGACGAGAGCGAGGACCCATACAGCATATCAGACGGGGAGGAGGAAACACTGGTTGTTGAGACCGAATCACCTTCTACGAGCCGTTCGTCAGTGGTTCGCTCGAACGACAACCTCCCTAGTGCAGCGAGCGTCAGGGAACGCAAGTCAAGCTTGCCGCTGAGCGCAAATATATTTATACCAGGGAATTCGAGTCACAGCCAAGGAGACGCACAAGATATGTCTCCGAAGGACCTCCTGAGCAAACTAAGGGCTAATGCCCAGACTTTGGCTTCCTTTGATTGCTCCGCGATTGCGGAGGAGATCACGCGAGTGGAAGCGAAGTTATTCATGGATATCGAGGTTAGCATTGTTTCTTACTGCGATTGCCGCAATCATGACGGCCTCTTTGTAGCCACGGCACTGGTTGCAATATACCCTCATGCCCGGACGCAAAGACCCTGAGTTGGACTCAATATCTCGATTCAATGCTATCTCCAATCACCTTGCCGATTGGTAAGTCGCCGTGGGTGGGTATCAATGACAAAGATGGTTAATGGTTTCTTCAGGGTGGTATCCCTCATACTATGTCACGATAAACCGAGGAACCGCGCAAAGCAGATAGAGCGATTCGTAGATATCGCGCACGAGCTCCGCGCGTTAAACAATTACTCAGCGCTCCGTGCTTTCGTTGCTGGAATCAATAACTCCACTTTCCAAGGCGATGAAACCATGGAAATTTTCAAGAACAAGACTCCGGATCACTACAAGAATCTGTTGTCTTGGGATGTTCTTCTTCAACATCGCGGAGCTCACCAGGCTTATCGCATGGCGCTCAAAAACACCAAAGGCGCCTGTATACCAGCGCTGTAAGTGCGCTGACTTTTATTATAAATAGCTTGATCTTTACCTTTTATTAGGGAGGTCCATATGTCCGACCTGATCCGTGCCCATGAGGGAAACCCCAATGTCAATCTGGATGATCCTACAAAAATCCATTGGGGAAAATTTAATATGTTTGGTCGGTTTATTCAAACAACCACCCACTGCCAGATACAGTGCCAAACAAATCCGGATTATTGCTTACCGTCACGAGATCGAATACTGAAGGTCATATTTAACGAATATGTCATGTCGGAAGATGTGCGTCTTGGTTCGAGAACTCTTACCCTCCCTTAATTGACTCTACACAGATGCAAACATCTCGAATGGCGCCTATCCCAGACTCAGATTTAGTTGAGGAACCCTTCCGCTCCACGCTGCCTCGAACGATGTCACGCGAACATTCAACATCTTCCCAGAAAGACGCAACAATTCTTCGCAGAATACTGCAACGGTGAAGACAGCTTCCAGCATGTATCAGGATTTCCTTTATGTATCTGCAGTTTGTTTCTATTCATCTGTCGCTCTCAGAAATCCCATTTGTTTGATACCCCATCCTGTACGTATTATATTTGTTGTTATTCGGCAAATGTACCCTCCCATGTTCAAGTTACGTCGCTACTTCACACTCATCCCATAGGCGCAGTAGTAAATCTTAGCATCCATTGAACCAGTCGAAGAATGACCGATTGATGTGTAATGCTCTTAGTCAAACTTCAGTGTCAAGATCGAGCACGTGACATTTTTGTGTACGTTTTGAAAGTTGCATTAGCTTCGGTAAGCCAGATTTTCATAACACAACTGCCCGTAGAGTATCACTCCCTGAGGAACTCCATAGCCTGTCAAAATTCTTTTTGAACTCTGTCGGTTGGTCGCACTACACTATATGCAGTCATGGACTTCGTAATGACAATCGAATCTGACGATGAATCACCACCTCAGCGCAGAAGCAGCAAGAAGCAACAAGTGGATGATGCCGCCCACCTCGACCCCGATTTTCAGTTTGAAGTTGCTGGCGATCACTATACCGATTCTTTTGAGTTTGGAATGCAACAGGAGGATATTGTGAAGAGGGTTTCTAAGCCAGTGAGCATCACTGCTGCACACGGTAGTCGGTCACTGAATCGGCACATAGGATCCCGTCTCGGTAGATGAAATCATCGAAAGACGAAAACTAAAGACTCTCTCAAAAAGAAAACGCGAGCCAGAAAGTGAGGATGAAGCTGAGGACGGTATGGAGGAAAGTGATGCTAGCGGTGCAGAGGACTTCCCTGAAACGGATGGTTCTGGCGACGAAGATGACCCCCTTGCCAGTTCCGGCGAGGAAAATGACGAAAGCGCAGAGTCCGTATCTGAGGAGGACGAGGAGCAGGGTGATAATGTTGATGCGGAATCAAATTCTTCAGATGAATCAGAAGAAGAGACTCAAGTCGAAAAGGATCGCAAAGAAGCATTCTTTGATTCGGAGGGTGCACCTACGGAGCATCATGCATCTTTTATGACCATGAACCTTTCCCGCCCAATTCACAAGGCGTTGACTAATCTCGGATTTACTTCGCCGACACCCATTCAAGCTGCTACCATCCCTGTTGCTTTGTTGGGCAAAGATGTTGTCGGAAATGCTGTCACAGGTTCTGGAAAGACTGCTGCATTTACTATCCCTATGCTGGAACGGCTGCTATATCGAGAAAAGGGGAAGCATGCAGCGGCTACTCGGTGTCTGGTGCTAGTCCCGACCAGAGAATTAGCGGTGCAGTGTTATGAGGTTGGTTCTAAACTTGCAGCACACACTGACATTCGCTTTTGCCTCGTCGTTGGTTTGTTTTCTGCAAATTTCCACGGCGGCCAGTTCTCATGCAAAATATCTAGGTGGACTTTCCCTTAAATCGCAAGAAGCAACTTTAAGGACTCGCCCAGACGTCATCATTGCAACTCCTGGACGGCTTATCGACCACTTGCGTAATTCCCCTTCCTTCGCGCTTGACGCTTTGGATGTTCTTGTTCTTGACGAAGCGGACCGTATGCTTTCTGATGGATTTGCAGACGAGTTGGCCGAAATCATCAAAGCATGTCCTGTTTCCCGTCAGACAATGCTGTTTTCTGCGACAATGACTGATACTGTCGATGAACTGGTGAAGATGTCTTTGAACAAGCCTGTACGCCTGTTCGTGGACCCAAAACGAACCACGGCTCGAGGCCTTACCCAAGAATTCGTTCGTGTGCGAACGGAGAAGGAGGCCGATCGGACTGCCCTGCTTGTATCTTTATGCAAGAGAACATTCAGACAGCGCGTTATCATATTCTACAAGAGCAAGAAGCTAGCGCACCAGATGCGCATTGTTTTCGGTCTTCTTGATATGAAGGCCGAGGAATTGCATGGCGATCTCACTCAAGAACAGGTTAGATAGCACTTGTCCACTCTCCTACATGTTATACATTGATTCTGGGACAGCGTCTCAGAGCTTTGCAGTTATTCCGCGATTCACAAGTAGATTATCTAATGGCAACTGATCTTGCCTCTCGTGGCTTAGATATCAAGGGCATCGAGACCGTTATTAATTACGACATGCCTAACACGTTGTCGCAATACCTTCACCGAGTAGGTCGGACGGCCCGCGCAGGCAAGTCTGGTCGGTAAGCTTCAATTTTTGACCCATTCCGTTATTCGTATTCTAATCATCATTGCAGCTCGGTTACTCTAGTAGGAGAAGGAGACCGAAAAATGCTCAAAGCAGCGATCAAGCACAGTGCGGGCGAAGATAATGTTCGCCATCGGCTTGTCCCTGCTGATATCTTTCCCAAATGGGTCAAGAGGGTAGAGGCTCTAAAAGACGAGGTCGCGACGATTCTTAAAGAAGAGAAGGAGGAGAAGCAGGTAACTTGGGTTGTTGAATGTCCAACCGCCTTTATTCATACATCATACTAGATCCGGCAGGCGGAAATGGAACTCAGGAAGGGACAAAATATGATCGAGCATCAAGATGAGATTTTCTCTCGGCCTGCTCGAACTTGGTTTCAGAACGAAAAGGAGAAGGCAAAAGCAGTTGGTGGGTGAAGATTTATAAGGTTTAAGACCAGGAGCTTCACGCCGTTTTTCTAGCCACGAGCAAACAGCAGCATGAGAGTGGAATGGCACTCACGCCGAAGGGGAAGTGCAAGGCTATTGATGAGCCCAAGGTAGGTTTGTTGCATCATTGGCGATTCCTCTTTGAACTGTCCCTTCAGCCAAAAAGAGATAAGTTTGCTGGTCTGACCAGGAAGGCAAAGCGACGGAAGATGGCATTAGAAGCCGACAAGGAAGCAGGTGAGACAGGTGCTGTGAACGCTGCCATTCGTTCCGCAAAGAAGGCTGCTCGTCCCGCCAAGATTGGGATTCCAGACCACCGAAATGTACCTGTTTCAAAAAGAAGAAAGGGGGTATCGAGAACTGGTGGTAATACATTTGACAGGGATTTATCATCGAAGGCAGCAAGGGGTGAAGGGGTGCGTGCCAAGAAGGGAGACGCAATCGGCGGGATGGGCAAGCGCAAAGGGGGAAAACGAAGGGACAAATAGCAATTTGTTTAATCGCACAAAATGCGACTGTAATGGTCGACGTTGAAACCTTCGATACTATCATATCGTTATGGTCAAATGTCTACATACTGTAAGGTAAGTAACGAGATCATGATGGCGTTCGTGTTGTCGCTTCAGCACAGGTATTTCGTGCTCTGCTTTGAGAGCAAGTAGCAAAGTTTTCTTCAGAATGACACAAAAGTGAGACTGAAGTTCCCCAGGAATGCATTGCAGCCTGCTGTGACAAGGCATACATAGATAGCGGTGCATTTGTAGCCTCCATAATCCATCCATTAAAATTCGAGTTCCATCCCAGATGTGACTCTGCCGTGAGCGGCCTCGCGCGCTATGGAGAAAACACGCATCACGGGCTTCATCTATAAAAGGTCCGGGGCCAATGAGGCGCTAGACCTGAACTTTGACAGAAAAGGCAACTCTTTCACGCACACGACATTTAGAGGCTTTAAGCTTTAACTTCATAGAGTCGGGGACTGCGCTTTTGCACCATCAGAGACAAAATAAATGGAGCAGGACGCGTTCGCGTCACTGGCTGTCCTACAGCTCTCATCTCCATGCCGTCTACTGCCACTGGCTTGTTGTCCTGACAAGGACCTTGTCGTCCTGGTGTCTCGCCTTGGTGGAAGGGATAGGTTGACTTTATGGAAGATGCAAGGAACCAAAAAGTGGGACATCGAGGTAGAGTGCGATGAAAGCTCCATTGAAAGCGTATCAGCTTTAGCGTGGAGTCCTTGTGGTACGGTTATACGCCACAATTTATGCGCCATGATATCTAACATTAGTCACTGCAGGCCAGACAATCGCTGTCTCTCATGGGTTCTCCCGCGTCACCCTTCATTCTGTGCAAGATGGTCACATTGAGCGTTCTCTCACTATCCCGCCATCGTCGCATAATTCTGAACGACAACATCGAATAACTGGAGCTTGGTGGTTCCCGGGCCACCGCGATCTACCGAGAAGCACGATACCAGATATCTTCAAGAGAAATGAAATTAATGTCTGTGGATTGGTTTATGCTGACACTTCCTCCACTCTTATCATACTGAAGACAGGGTCTGCTCTCTCCATATTGAAACTTCTTCCACTCCTTGATCCCCTTCGAGAAGAAGATAACAAGCTAACGTCAGTCTTCCGAGGCCATAATTTTTTTTTGCACTCGTTAATACCTGTTCAGTGCCACCGACCTCTTTGCTTTCCAAGGAACGCAGACAGGAGCCGCGCTTAAGCCATCCATACCTGAAGTCATCAGTGATTGGCCATCGTTGCTACCAGACCCATCTCTCGCTTCTCTATGCCCTCCGATCTTGATCGATGAACAAGGCAAAACGGCAAAAGATTCACAGATTTTTACTTCTGAGGAAGACGAGAACAGTCTCCTTGTGGTAGGGGATAATGATGGCAAGCTTCACTGTTTCTTGGACGGCAGCTATTATCTAGGGCCGATCAGTACACTTCCATCGACCGTGCCAACGGCAGTATTCAAAGATCCGAAGCAACCGCTATTTTTTCTTCATCCTCAGGCATCAGCGTCCAACTTCTTGTCTGCCACGCTTGCACCTCTGTCGATTGACTTACCGTTGCTTGCCTCCCATAGAATTAGAGATTTCGCCAGGCTTTCCTCGGCCGCACGGGAGTTGATGTGGTATGTCATGCGGATCATTGGAGACCTGCGTGAAGTCTGGTTTGGTTCTGATTCACTTACTGGGGCACGAGATGCTGGTCCGAAATGGATTCAGCTGCTAGAGACCAGACTTCGTGATCAATTTGGCCGTTAGTGATGTTGTCCCTTGGTGGATCTCTACCATTCTCAAGTTTCCTCAACAGAGAAGGAACCTAGTGCCATTCTGGAGCTCACTGGCCTCCTAGTCGCTGGTTTGTGTTCTGAGGGACTTTCGGATTTCTTATCGTCCAGCGAACAAATGAGTGAAAGGGTTGATTTATCCAACAATTTGTTGTTCAAAACTAATTTTGTGTTCAGGCTCTCCAGAAATGGGAGTCTACGGTGACCGATGCACTCATCAAACTGCGCGACTTCTCTACGTTGCGACTTGTTCCTGCGCTTCAACGGCTACATATCATTTTTGAAGAAGTTCTAGGATGGTCACTTATGTCAAGCAGGATTTTACTTTGGATTGCCCATCTTTGTGCTGACACGTTTCCAGTCCTCAATTCGTCTTGTTTGGATTCAACACTGACGACATTAACCATTGTCTGTCTTCGCTAAAGCAAGGCATCTTCATTGCAAATTTGTTGGCATTTCAAGCACGAGGGGAACTTGGATCATTCAAACACTTCCTGAGTTTTCTTCGGTATGGTGAGTGAGTTACTGAGCTGCATTATGGCTGTAGCCTATCTCCCGTGTTAGAAATCGCCTTGGCAGGTAACTCCCCCGAGACTCGCTCACCCCCTGAACATGATATCCTTGAAGTCAATCACTATTTAATGTCCGGGCTGAAGACAAGTCAAATAGACCGGTGGTTCACAGGACCAGCTCCCCAATTTGATCCCGGAGATCTTGGCCTGCCTCGACACAACACAGATACTAACAAAGTTCTTGAAGAAGCACTGGAACAAGCCCACACCGCGTTGCAGGATCCTTCCCAAACAGCATGGCAGCCGGTAGGTTTCTCACTTAATTGTAATGTGTACTCTACGATATTAGTTTGTGTGTGTTTTAGAAAGTCTCCACGGCCGATAAGTCACATCTGGACCGGAATCTGTGGGTACTGGTTCATGATTTGGCTGTCCGGTGTCAGCGGGTATTCGCGCATGTCTCGAAAGCTACCGCTCGATCAGCCATCGTGTCAGGTAGTGTTAGTGCTACGCCATTTCAGGTGGAGGCGAGTGAAACGGTTTCAGGCGGTGCTTGTCAATTTGTCCGGGAAAGAATTATTCGACAAAATGAGGTGAGTCATGTTCTTTACGGTGCGGTGCATTGAACCAAATTCGGATCTCTTAGCCTGGCAACCACCTGCAGTATCTCGCGATCTATTTGGCCTCGGAAATGCGGCCCCTTTGTGAGTTGCGCCTTTGGCTCCTTCGCCTTTTTTGTAATTCAATGTGTACAAATTAGTCTGCCTGACCCGGATGCCTTACGCAAAATGTGCCGCTGGGGTTCCGCTGCATATTGATGTGATTGTTATGGAGTGTTCCATAACTGGTCATGAGCCCGGGGATGTTACGAACATTCAGCTTTGTAATGCTGAGTTTTTTGACGATGAGATAGTTGTTATTGTGTACAAAGTGAGAGGAACGGACGGTGAGCCCTGATTGATTTATGTCCATTTGGCTTTGGATTGAATGACGGACAAAGGTCCGATATTCGCAGGTACGGTTCAGTACAGCGCCCTAGAGTATCAAACACAATCAGAAGGATACGTAAACGGGACCGGCCGAAAAGATATGATAGCCAACGTGCTTGAAAGGTTGAATGGGGAGCATGCAAGTATCGTGCAGTTGTGACCGGTGGTTTTACTAACGGCATGATACAGAGACCTATGCCGATCAAAAGATGTCGCGAATTGAGCGGGTGCAAAGACGGATCAGTATGTTTGGCAGTCAACGGAAGAGTTGGAAGGAGAGTTGTTTGTATACTTGACGGTGAAGGGACGACGATGGACATACTTGATATGGAAGGAGATGAAGATGTGGAAGCTGAGGATGAATCCGAGATGTAACGAGATTCGGTCCGTTGGGGACACGGCGTGTCTAAGCCGGATGACTATGTCCTTTAGGGTCGTGAATCTCCATTAGTGCGTTGATCGCGGTCACTGCGGTGAGTTGGAGTGAGCCGTCAAAACGCGGCTTTTTCAGAGTGAAATGAAGCCATCGACCCGGTATGCGCCAAAATATCAGTGTGGTGAGGACAACCGGGTGCTCGGGAATGAATGCAGATCAAGGTCAACGCATCACATGAAGGCCAAACGTCTGCCAGGCCCATATTATGATTCCGAATTGCAATAGCTTCCCCGTGAGGGCCCCACGGACAGTCTGAAATTGTAAACAGTTTCGCTTAACGTGATCACACCGCGGCCCTCTCCTCGTGTCCTTGATTCGAATTCTTTTTTTCCATCCCATTTTAAACCGTTCTCTCTTCTGTGGATCGTCTCAAAGTCCCTCTTGTCCCTCAACCTTTGTATTCACATGCCTAATAGAGCCGACCCCGGCCATTCTCCCTCAGACGATAAATCAGACTTCAAAGCTGACCTTGACGACGATCCTACAGCCCCCATGTCTGATATTGCTCTCCGAAAAAAGAAAAATGCCGATGCTCAAGCTGCCTTTCGTCAGAGGTGAGCCATACGTCTCCAACCCCCTGCCAAATCTTATGTTTTTTGAGGCGAGCAAACTATATAGCAACTCTAGAAGAAACAGGTAAAGTGATCTCAAATTTATTCTACTTTCATAGCTCATCCTTTGCCAGTCACCAGTCTCGAGTCTGTCGTCCTCCAGCTTCAAGATTCATGTCGCGAAGCGCGATCTGAATCCGGGGATTTACGACAAGACAATGCCCGCCTTAGACATGAATTGCGCGAACGTGAGAAGTTCTGGAGAGCCCTTTGGCAGACGAGGAAGACAGGACAGGCTCCTGAATCCGACGACTTGCCCCCGCTCCCTTCATCTTTCACTCCTCATTCTCAACAAACCAACATCAACAATCGTACCCCCTCGTCGCATGGTCATTATAGTGATGATAGCATGGGATACCAGACAGGCGACGACACGTCCAATTCCCTCTGCAGCAGCTCGTATACCAGCGCGCCAAATCACTCATACGCGACTCAGTCTCCTGCACTTTCTTACACCGCCGTGGAGACCGAGCAGATACCCTCCGGTGGATCTGGCCACCATATGAACGCCCGAGTATCAAGATATAGTTCATACCCGTATCCAATGCAACCCATCAACCGGGACGGACAATGGACTCACAATGTGGCGCAAACTACGTCTGCAAATGGTTAGTCAATACTTCCGCTACTAATCTTACGACTTCTGATAGAACTTGTAGGCTCTCCTACCTTGACATCACCTGATGTATATGCAAACCGCCCTTTTGAAGAGCAGAAGAATCAGCTCAATCACTTAGAAACAACCCCGTATATCTTTCCCGGTAGCCGTTCCATCTCTCCTACGTCATCCACTCCCCCGTCCTCGTCTAGCACCTCCTTGACGTCACCATTCCAATTCACGTTCCCTGCTGATGGCCCGATCACTCAAGATCGTGCAGAATTTGATTATCGCAGGCACTCCAATACCCACGGTGCTGATTTAACCTTACACGGTGGCACTGCAGATATTTCGCTTCCAAGCGCGGGTGGCGACGGCGTCCGTTACAGACTTGGGCCTCGTCGCGCGAATTCCGGTCCAAGTCCGCTACTACCCTCCCTCCCTCAGTTCTCTGGAAGCGAGAACGGCTCTCATCACGAGCGGGGGAGCTAGCGAAGGCGAGGCTACCCCCTATTCGAAACTCCGACAACGTAGAGGACGTTCTCGGGAGTCGAGGTCACCCTCCCCTGGTGCACCTCCAATCTCGGGTACGCTGGCGGTCATTAAAGCTCAGGCTTTCGGAGCACTCCGTCGAACTCGTACCAGGACCAAAAAATCTTCTGAAGGGGCGGCTAAGGTTGCTATGGAAGTTCTCGAGGCCAGGGGCATCGGAATGGGCGTAGCGGCTGGCTCGAAACGTCCCCGCCTTCACCATGACGATTCCGACATGCAAACATGATGCAAATATCAATGTACTACTCAACGATTACCAGTTCACTCATTTGATCCTTAGGGATTGTATTATTTTTTCTCTCCTCACCAGTGGACTATGTAACCACAATTATTTGTACAGCGACTTAAGATCCCAGTTTACTTACTGTATTGCGCTTACTCCATAAAGGTCAGCTGCGTAGTGTCTCATGTAATATGTTATGTACCTCCTCTGTTGCACAATACATTTATCATTAAAACACTGTATCCGATGGCTGCACATGCGCAGCGCGTGTCATTCGCGGAACTCGGTAACTCGCCAACGGATCACTGGCTAATGTGCTATCGTTAAACTTCTCCGAATCTACTGGCTCGTGGCATTCGCCTGCGGGCCGACAGAAGTCATTTATGCTCGGCGGAGGATTGAAAAGTAAGATTCTACATTGTGTGTTCCACGTTTTAAACAGTGTGAACCAATTATCAATTAAGTCTCGGAACTGCAACATCCCACGGTCCTCTTATCTCACTGCGGAAAGATATGTTAAACGAGAAAGGAAAAAGCTTGACGGAGTGACGTGCTTTTTGTATTTCTGTGCCCAGACTAAGACTCCCGGGGCAACGAACGTCACCGTGATCGAGATGCCTGCATAAATGTAGGCGACCGAAACGGATAAAGGCGCCGTTAGAGTAAACGATAGCACACAAAGGGTCAGTGTGAAGAGGATCTGTGCGACTTGTGGAGTGACCTATAATCAAAGTTTACACGATAATGTAACCAGGTAAAATTACCGAACCCCACCTGAAGCTGATGACGCAGGATCGGGAAAAGAGCAAACAATTGCACAGCAAACAGGACAAGAGCGAAGACGGCCAAATCGTCAGGCAGTCGCGAGGCCAAAACAACCGATGACGAGATCGCGGCATTCATGGATAGTACAGATGAGAGTCTACAACGGAAGATGAGAATTGACAACAGGGTCAACGTGGCACTAATCCACCTTTCCTGTTGAACTGGTTTCATGGAACTATAATCGGCGAGCAACGCGTTAAGAAGGAAGAGACATGCTGATAGTGCCCAAATGGAGTCCGAGGACGTTGCTGCGGTCAAAGTTCGCAAAACCGGTGACAAACCCATCAAAGCGAGGAAAACAAGAAGGGAAGATTTGATCGCATTCGAGCCTGGTTGATGCAACTGATCAATGAAGGGTTCAGGGGGTGGATGTGGAGGACGTACGAGTGAAGGTACCACGAACAGGATTAGAACAACTCAAGATCTCGTACAAAGCATATCCTCCAAAGAAACTAACTATCGAGAGCCACAGCAGGACACGAGCATCAAGCCAGCGTTCCTTAAGCCTCACAAAAACTGCGAGGAATGTGAAGATTGTCGCTAAGTGCTGTGTGATCGCACAGCATAAGAGTACTAGTGGCCAATAGGTGTACGGCTTGAAATTAGCTTTAGAGAATATTAAGTACCACGTTTTGAAGATAAATTATGCATACCAACGGTTTCGCCTCAAGGAAGAGAGGAAGGAGTGAGGATGAATGTAATTGTCAGGAAAAGGCTGCCTTTCCCACAACACTTTGTTCCACCCTTCGGCTTCAGATGACATCGTAGAAACAGTTCAACTTATGTATTTGGTCGACGGTGTGGCGATCACTACCACGTGGCCATCGACATGTGCAATGGGGGATTCACACAACTCCAACAATCATCATTTACCCATTTGCATCTCAGGGAGTAGATGATGGACCAAGACAATACAAGACGGCGTCACTTTCCTCGATCATGGGAACAGAAGAGATTTCGTTTATAGCATGCTCTACAATGAAAACAACGTGTCCGAACATCCGAATCGTGATGCTGGTCCGCTGAGTTTCACGACGTGTAAGATAATAGTATACAATGCCCATGAGGCCTTCAAAGATCACTTCATGATTGAGCGGGTCCGAGGTAAATTGAAAATTATGGGAGGGATCGGCGATCATGCATTAAAGAGCACGAGAAAACCTGGAGGTCAGAATAAGAAGTCCGGAGGATGGATGTCCCACATGTTATACTGATGGTAAGGCGATACACACGCACAAAGTATTATTCAATCCCACTAGAAGTAGTCACAGTGAGGAACGGTAAACAATCGGTCATAGAGCTTGACATTACCACTAGCCGTTCTTCATCTCTTGGCGTAGGTGCTAATTTCACCGCTTTCGCAGTCTCGACCTGCTCGGCAAGTCGTCCCCGATTCGGATTCGAGGCATTAGTACCTCGTGCATGTGCCTATGCTGCCTGGTGAATCCTGTAAAATGGATACTAATTCGGATTCGCCTTACCGTTTTCAACCTTCTCTCAGCTGCCTCTGCAGCTGCGGCGCGAGGATCGGAAGGGGGTACCACAGTGGTGCCATCGTTTGATTGGGCGGCAGTGCTTCCCAACACCTGATGTTCCTCAGAGTGCGCACGGGCCTTGGAGCACAATGAGCCCATGAAGCACTAGCAGGTGACTTCGGTTTGGTATAACTTAGTTACACAAATGCGTTGTCCCTGGAACTCCCTTAAGTGCCAAAGAGACTGGAGAGCGGTTATTAAGACGTTGTGGTCTGAATTCAAGAAGCGCAGTCTAGCGTGGCGCCTGAACGTGCTCTATAAGGGAAACATGTGTAGGCAAGGCATCCCCACGGAACTAGTGCAAATCGTACATATCAAAGAACTACATTGGAAGCGTATTTGATATCTCTCTGTAATTTCCCCGACTATTATTGCCAGTGGGACGCTCAGTCAGGTTGAAGTCTTCATGGTACCTACGCGGTAACCATTCCTGCAATTGTGACTGAGTATCATACAAAGCGAAAAAGAAACCATATGAACCTCCCACCAGCGCCTGCTGGCAGACCATGCCGTACTAGAATCCAAACCTGCCTTGAGCATGCGGTTTTTAATGCTGACACCAAGTAACAGTCCGAGGATAGTCAATAAAAACAGGGTGACCACAAGCTGGTCCCTAGGAGAATCTCGTTCTGGTAGGGACAAATTAACGTTAGTAGACACAAGGAAATTGAAGACGCACGAAAACATCGCGCTTCAACATCGCCCTCCAGACCAGTCGCAGTGTCTGGATCTGTGTCGCCAAGAGATGCACCGGCGCAAATAGGTAGGTTCTGATTCAAGCACCACTGCTTAGTGCACGATAGACAAGGTTTGGAGGGGTTGTCGGGCGTGTTCAGGGACAGAATCGTATAGTTGGCAGAGAAGCAGATACCTAAATCGTGATTAGTTCCAGCAGCATGATGATCAAGTTCAAGGGACTCACATTTGCAGAAGTTTGTCACCTCCCACTTATTCATGGCAGCTTCGACTGACGCCTGCCAAGATTGTTTAATTGAAGGGTCCCGGTTAGATGAAGATTGACTCGACGTACGATGCTGAATATGAGCGTAATAAAGAGAAAGCTAATAAGCCGTGTGGAACCATGTTGTATCATGATGAGCGCTGTGGCCAGGAGCCAGCTGGTAAATGTGACATTATGTGAGAAACACGCTCAAACGGTCAAACGCGTCTGCTTTCACATTTTTGATCGTCAAACGAATCTTTAGCCTTCTTTAATAACTTTTTCTGTTCATTATCACTGCAGGGATGTCGGCAGAATTTGAGGATGTCCTAACAAATCAACCTGTCGTGATAGACAATGTAACGCTCATCTTCCAGCTACGGCGCGTGTAGGCTCATCCAGGTTTCGACAGGGTTCAGGGACTATCAAAGCAGGTTTCGCGGGTCAAGATCATCCGAAATGCTTTTTCCCATCATTGTACGTTTTTACAGCGCAATACCGGTCAACGTGTAGGCCTAATCATTTGATTTTCTAGCGTTGGGAGACCAAAGCATGTGCGCGTCATGGCCGGTGCTCTCGAAGGTGATGTCTTCATCGGTCGTCGTGCACAAGAATTCCGCGGTCTTCTCAAGATCAAATACCCTATGGAACATGGCATTGTAACTGATTGGGATGACATGGAAAGAATATGGAGTTGGATATATGCTGAAGAACTTGGAACCCTCAGTGAAGAGGTATGTTGCTTTATCTAATATAGGTGCCAGGATGTTCCGATCAGAATGCATGAAAGCACCCAGTTCTCTTGACCGAAGCGCCACTCAATCCAAGGAGTAATCGTGATGTGGCCGCTCAGATATTCTTTGACACATTCAATGTTCCAGCTCTCTTCCTGTCCGTACAGGCTGTTCTTTCGCTGTAAGTTGTACACTCGTCATATTTATTTTAGCTCCCTCGAACCATCCATAGATATTCCTCAGGGCGGACGACTGGCATAGTACTCGACTCTGGGGATGGTGTTACACACGCTGTCCCTGTATTTGAGGGTTTCTCCATGCCTCATGCAATTAGAAGAGTGGATGTCGCTGGAAGGTATGATGTCCATCTTCCGCTCGAATGAAAGCCTCACATGCCACATTACAGAGATGTAACTGACCATTTACAGCTTCTGCTAAGAAAATCTGGTCATCATCTGCACACTACTGCGGAAAGAGAAGTTGTTCGGATAATAAAGGAAAAGTGCTGTTATATCGCACTAAACCCTTCCAAAGAGGAGAAGGACACGGTGGGTCGGACTGAGGAGTTCCGTCTCCCGGACGGAAACCTAGTTCAGGTGAGTTCCCACATTCTAGTCTGGAGATGCTAATCACATCTTTCTTGCAGTTGGGACCCGAGCGGTTCCGCGCTCCCGAAATCTTGTTTAATCCAGAGCTTATTGGACAGGAATACGCTGGTGTTCATCAGGTTGTTGTAGATTCCATCAATCGAGTTGATCTGGATCTGCGGAAGAGTCTCTTTTCGAATATTGTGCTCAGTGGAGGCAGCACGTTATGCAAAGGTACGTAAGCTTTAGTAGACAAGTCACTTGCATTGATAGCATCGTCTTGAAGGTTTTGGCGACCGTCTTCTCAACGAAATCAAGAAGTTGGCTTTGAAAGATGTTAAGATCAAAATTTACGCCCCTCCGGAGCGCAAATACTCGACGTGGATAGGTGGTTCTATTCTTGCAGGTCTGGGGACTTTCAAGAAGGTTGGTCTCAACCTGTTCTATATGGGCGGTTCTGAAACATATTCGCAGATGTGGGTATCAGCAGAAGAATACCAAGAAGATCCGGATATCATACACAAGAAGCTCGGTTTCTAAAGCTTTATTGTGTTTTATCCTCTCTTTGTAGATCTCTATGCTCGACTATATTACCACTGCATCGATACCCAACATCATCAACTGGTTTTGTAATACTCTTAGAAAAATGCGCATATTCCAATGAAAATGCTCGTGAGCCGCATGTGCATATGATTCATGAATGTGGTTGTGAGTGTGACATACGCCATAGGTACAGCTCGCTCGACTGGTTCTCGATAATAAGAGGGGGAGCACTCGAGCAAGAAAGGAATATAGACTAATGCAAGAGGGCAGTGTCTACTTGCCCTTCTTAGCAGGCTCAGCAGCCTTGGTCTTCTTGGTACCACGGAACTGCAGATGAAGTGCATCAGTGCATCGCACGACAGTAATTGAAGAAATTGTCATACCTTCTTCGCGCGGTTCTTTCTCTCGTGTCGCAGTTTACGTGAAGGCTTGTCAACCTTGGTCTCAAGGCCAGACTAGTTGAATAGAAGATGAGACAGTAGTCGTGTGGTAAGGAGAGGATAAACTTACCCGGACCAGTCTGTGCTTAGGCTCGAACCTCTTCTGTGATGTCTCATCATCGTAAATCAGCGCAAATCCAGTGCTACGTCCACCACCGAACTGTGTTCGGAAACCGAAGCAGACTACGCGTGCTTTATCCGTCTTGTACATGGTAGCCAACTTCTCTGCGAGCTCGGTTTTTGGTACGTTCGGCCGCGATGGGTGGAGAACATCGAGTACGAACTGACGACGCGCCAAAAGGCGGTTGGTGATGAATTTACGGGCGCGGAGGGTAATAGGTGCTGTGTTGTCGGCCTAAAGTCATAGACCGTAAGCTTAGTACATCTAACCTGCATTGGTACCATCCATCGCCTCCCGACCGCAGATCTCACTCGGTTTCGACGATTCGACATGGTACAGCAACCTGCAGCATTCGACGGGAACTCTCACCATGATTTTGTCGTCCTTGACGTTTTGCGACCTTTTCTTCCCGGGGTCTTGACGAGATGGTGTGTGTAGGCGTAAGGAGATTGAAGTCCGTTCGGCAGAGTCCGTACACAGCCACCCGTAATTGCTCCTTAGCGCTTAGCCTTGAATTCCTCCCTGAGGCTTGTGATATCATAGAGCTATGTCGTCCAGCTTTGCATCTTCGTTCGCGCCCTATGTAAGTCTTCCCCATATGCATTTACGTATAAATTATACTAATGTGTGCAGACTCCTCCACCAGATGACTCTTCCTACCGGTCACCGCCGTCTTCAAGCTCCAAAGCACGGCCATGGTTTCCTGTTCACTCATCCTCACGAGGAACAGAGATATCTTATCAATCTGGCGGTCTCCCAACATTTAACAATTCGATAAGCGGGCATGAGGATATCCAGGAAGATGTCCAGCAGAATCAGTGGGAAACGAGTTATGGGATGCGTGTGGACGTTCTATCAGCCTTCGCATATATACTGGGTCCGATTTCAGGTAAGTCATACAAATATGAGTGCTTATTCCGTCGTGTCATGATTTGCTTCAGCTTTGATATTACTTGTGCTGGAAACTCATAACGATTATGTTCGGTTTCACGGTAACATTCCCCGCTTCCTTACTGACTTACCACTAAGTTCATTGTCAACAGCCTACCAATCTGCCTTGTCAATGACACCTCTGCTATTAGTGCGCATATTTGCATCACTACTTGGTTTTCCTTCATGGATACGGTCATTCCTCACTATTTCATTGGCACTTTCCGCACTTTTCATGGCGTGAGTATTCCGTTAAGTCGACATGAGTCCCGAGTTCACATATTTCAGTATACGAGCGTATTTTGGAGCTTCACGCGAGGGTCTCGCACGTTATCATCTCCCAATCATTGGGCCGCTCGCTGAGAAATGGGTGTTCGAGGAATGAGCTGCTCTCCTCCATGACGTCATCCGATATCATTGTGCACCTGGATTGCACCCTCTATCTAGGTAGCAACGAATGCGTAAAATCATACGTGGTGGACGCAATGGCCATATACTATATGCAGATTTTTAGTTGGGTGCTTTTTAGCACCAACTCATAGCATCATACGGATTTATGTAAGATATCCCTGTATACTCTAATTGAAGTCCACAATAATGTACTGCTTCGTTCTTTCAAGGAGGTAGTCGAGCGAACAGCATAGATAGCATGAAAAAGTCCGTTATAATACAGTGGCAAGGTAAGTACAAAACAAATTCGTACGCGCGCTCTAATAGAATTCCAACGCGTGGGTTCTATAGATGTATAGTTTGTGATTATAAGAAGAAATCGAGTCTAACCCGATGTTATATGCAAAGACCTACAACCTGAACGCCAGATGCACACGTCGCAGTAACAGCTTTGCCGAGAACAGCCTGAAGGAGGGGTTGTATCGCATTGATGATGGCATCGGTCAGATTCTCGACGATGTCCAGTAGGTCGTCCAGAGTACATTTGAGATCGTACACGACTGCAAATACAGTTCATTACCGTTTTGTATGCAAGAAATGACTGAGACTTACTGGGACCCAAGATCGGACCGACAATGGGCAATGAGACAACAAGGTTGTAAGTGACTGTGAGGATGTCCTTGTTGGCGTTGACAATACTCTCTAGCAAGGTCTCTAGGTTGTTGGTGGGATCTAGATTCGCGACGCCCTTGTCACCGCCAAGCTCTGCCAGAACAGAAGTGAAGCCCGCAAAGTTTGTGTTGAATCCAGAGAGCTCTGTTGATGCCTGCTGTTGGAATGCGGGGTTAGAAGCGGATGCAGACGTTGCATTTGAGGCCAGGTTGTCTATACAAGAACGATAAGTAAAGGTCACAAACAACCCTCATCTTACCGACATACGATAGTTTGCGGCGTGCTGCAAAGCCTGGCGGTGATATCTGCGTAGACGAGCAAGCTTGGCGTTCGAGCTTCCACCATGAGCACTAACAGCGGACGGTTCACGCGGTACGTGTGGAACACTCCTGGCGGCTTTACGTTCCGTGTGCCCCGCCATTACCCGCGACGGCGCATTCGGGGACTTAGCTTGTATGGCTGTAGTATGAGATGCTGGATGCTTAGGTGTGGACGACCTGTCCGTTCTGGCAGCGATATTCGTGAACCCGCCAAAGGCCCTTGGCGACGACGGTATTGCGATTGGTTTAGCCAAGGCATGCTGCACCGTGAAGGGCGTACTCAGCATCAATGTCATGGCAGCGGCGGGCAGGAAGACAAGAAGAGAGCGCATGACCGGCATATTGAAGGAGTGGGATTGAAAGGAGCGTGAAGACGGGTTGTAGATATTAAGACAAGCGACTCGCGCTGAAGTTATAAGAGATATAGACTAGAGGAACGATATAGCCAACAAGTTCCCAGACTTGCGATAGTTGTGGTAGAAGGCAAAAGTGCAACTCATCTAGTGAGATGCATTCTTATACCCTATTATTTAGTTCGCCAAACCTTAATCAAGATTCTTTCTGATTGGCTCCCGCCATATCACGTGATGAAAAGCAATCCAAGCCCAAGTTGAAAGTTGTTGGACCCTTCGCATCGCGGGTCATGGCATTGAGGAATCTTATAACGCCTCACAGCCATTATTGATCTACACAGTTCCATTTGATCTGCAGAATGGTGAGAAAGCTTTTCAAAGACGCACAACGTGATATTTTCTTACCGGAAACCCATCACAATTTCTATATGGTTTAAGGCAGACTTAGCATGCGTCGTGTACGGTAAACCAAAGACAGAATCTGCCAGCCAAAGAAAGAAAGCCTTGGCCAATGTGATTAGATACGCTGCACGTTGGTAGGGGGAGCATAATAGGCAGTATTTTGTCTGCACTTCATGATTCATTGAGCACAAAAGAAGGTACGGTACTATTTATTCTCTTGGAATGTTCGTGAATGCGAGAAAAAGACTCAAAGGTGGGGTATGTGCATACTGCATAGACCGCCTAATCAACCTGAACTACACAGGTCAACGTCACGGATGATTTGTTCGTACTTTCAACACTTGCCTAACATATCCGCTGACGCTTTTTGAAGGGCCCGTGCAGCGAAGTAACGCACATCTGCGTCGGAATCTGCTTTCTGTTGCTCTAGTACCGGAACGATACTTTTACGGACAAATTCGCGACCCTCCGTAGTATTTCCATATGTGGTAGCAAGAATTTCTAGAGACTTTGCAACGTTGAAGCGGATGTTCGGGATGGGGTCTTCAGCAAGCTGCAAGAGCGGCCCGATAATTTCAGCTTGAACGATTGCAAGATTCAGGGAAGGTGCGATAGTCTACAATTTAAAGATTCCGCTCAAATCACTGCAGCCTAGTAAAGATGAACACGTACTGTGATCGCTTGTACAGTGGTCATCCTGTAGAGGTAATTTGGATGTTGCCCCATACCCATGACCTTGGGGACAATCTGAACCTTCGCCCAATCGACGCCGAAGACTTCTGTCAGTTTCTTGAGGTTGGTGGTTGCAGATTCACGTATACTGAAAACCGTGTCACCCAACCAGGACATGCAGAGGTTCCCGAGTTGTTCATCGAAGAAAGGTTTGCCGAGTTGGGTTGCAAGCAGGGGGATATATTCTATAATAGCCTGTCTGACACGCCATGACTTATCCTCTGCAAGCTCGATGATGGCGGGGAGAAGACTATCAGACAGGAGTTCGATATCAATGACTGACAATAGCAATTTCAGGGAGCTATTTGCATGTAGACGTGCATGGAGCTTACCGCCATTTACAGTCTCGAGCTTACTGATGACATTGAGCCGAACTTCGGGAAATTCGTCTTTCAGTAGATGAAGGAACAAAGGTAAGAGATGCTCAATAGTAGCATCTCTGCCCAAGAGCGGTGCAAGGCCGCTGATATGGTTTGCAAGAGCGGCTCGCACGTGCTGAGATGCGTCATGAGAGAGGTCACGCACGCAAGGCACGATGCGTGCAAGGATGACTTCCTTCTCAAGTAGTTTCGAAAACCCTGAAAGTTAAGGGTGGAATCAAGTAGTACTCTATGGCAGTATCGATCATACCTGGGATTTGGCCTGCAGCCGCTGTGCGTACTTCTGCCTCGTTATCTTTTAGAAGCTGCACATATTGCCCTATTAACTCCTCCCTAACCAGTTCTATGCCGACGGCTTCTGCGAGCTAAATGCCAATATGAATTATGGCACCTAGATAAAGGTAGAATCCGGCCTCGGAGACGCACCTCATTGAAATGTGTTGCGGCCATATATCGCACTCGCCAGCTCTTATCAGCAATGCTGTGTCTGATTTGTTTCAACAGTTGCTCCTTCACCTCGGATGGCGTGAGTTGCTTCGCGATAACAATAAGGTCTTCTACTGTGAGTAAGCGCACAGAATCCTGATCATCGGATTGGAGTCTGCGGTAGATGGGTAGCCCATCCGACAAGACATGTTGCTTTGACAGATTTTGAACGAATGGCTGCCAAAAAAGTTGACGTATCAATCGTCGCAGAGATAGAATGTATATTACGCACCCCGAGCCACTTTGCCGCAGCACGTCTGACCATAGGTGTATCATCTGCACCCAAAGCTGCGAAGCCCTTCCGGAGATCCTCCTGAATTGACCACGATACTTTGTTATAAACCGGAGGATACAGGGCTGCAGAAGATGTGCGTGATGTAAACCATTCGCCCTGTGAGAGCCGCTTCAGGAGTGGAATGTAAAACTCTTCGATTTGCGGAGTAGATAGAACTTCAGCTATTTTGGCGATAGATTCTGCAGCCTGGTAGCAAAATCATTGGTTATCAATCAATCAATCCAGGAACATATTTTTAAGGACGCGCACCTTGTCCCGTACTAGGGTCTCCTCTACTGCAGATAGATTCTCCAGAGGGCCCAGCAACACATGGGCGAATTGCTTTCCACCAATGTACTCCTCGAAATTCCTTCCAAGCTCTTTGGCCAAAGCCAGTAGTACCTCATCTTCATCATCGACAGAATCTTGCAAGAATGGAACAAGCTCGTCACGGGCGCGATCTGGCCCTAAAGCAAGTGCAATCGTGGGTATGCTGTGAATGGCATTGAGGCGTAGTTGAACGTCTTCCGAGCGTAGCTCGTCCATTAGAACGGCAATAGGTGCAATCTACAACAGCATTGTGTTAATTTCATATCATTCACCACGGGATTTTGATGATGAGACTCACGTCCTCCATGGTGTATCCGGGTTCCATCGCAGTGGCGCTGTATCAAAAGACGTTCAGTCCCAGTTGAGAAATCACGCGGGGACTTCTTACTGTTTAACAAGTCAGATATTAGCCTGCTATACCTCTACAAGGGTTGCAAGGCTGAAGATGATTGTACTGGAAGGTGTGATGAGTCTAGCGATTAAACGTTGAGGGCAAGTGATCTGTTCTTGATTAAGCTCGATTAAGATTGCAAGGGTAAATATCTTTGTTTAGCATAAGATTCAACTACCAGGCCAATATTATCGTTCAAGTTTGCAACTATTACTACAGAATACAATGATCGCGCCTACACCATGGCACCAGTGCACACCGTCCCTAGTACTGAAGCGCTTCGAGAGCTGGTACTCGTGAGATATCTGACCGAATCGGAACTTACCAAGTAGTAGTTTAGATACTGATTCTTTCCCCCAGTGATCAGTAGATCATTTAGTCTCCAACGAACCCAGCGCCAAAGGCGGTCACAGAGATAATAGACAAACCAATTAGTCTCCGAGAGAAACTTTCATCACGAATTCTGAGCTTCGCGACACTCAAATATGACGCCATGAGCGATGTCGCTACGATGAATAATGTGATGTACATATAGAGGGTAAAGCAAGTAACCTCTGACCAATAAATATTGGACCACCGTGGACACTTCTTCACGAAGAAGAGAAACGGCAAAAAAAAATCATGCGATAATTATCAACAGTATGCCCAATGGCTCACTCGAAGCTGACAGACCCTGGCGAAAGCCATGAGGTCTATCTCGCGATGACGGGGTACCATCGTCCAGGTTGTAAGTCCTTGTGAAATCTCATTGTTAGAATTGGAGTCAGAGAATCATATGTAACAACTCACAAAATGAGCTATATAAATGAATTGAATTTCAATCAGTTCCATGGTACTCCCAATGTAACAACATTTTAACTTCAATCACACCAGAGGTGTCAAAGCGATGAGTCTTTGTGTGCAATAAGACAAGGCGTCTTGAAAGCTTGACTTTTGATATCACGTGTGTCGTGATAGTAGCAATCAGCAGCCTTGACGTCATTACCTGTAGGTATGGCAAAGTAGCCATAGCAGTGAAGCATCGAATATATCGTCTGGGGACGCTGAACAAACGAGAAGTCAGCAGCGATTCAGGACAACTTTGGCCTGCGGTGAATGGAACGGCGTATGCATCTGCCTATTTGGATCACTGCTGCGCTGCGAAAGGATCGCAGAGGAAGCCAATGAGAGAGCTTTTCTGCCGCTCCCTCGTACTACTTTCGACTGCAGGTCGACCATAAACGCAATCTGCCATCTGGGAGTCAGGAAGTGTGAGAGAAGTGTCAGCAGTGGGATAGGTGTATGCCATGAGTGACAGAGTTAGCAAAGTGAGAACAAAATGGGAAGACTAAGTACTTAAGCTCGTACCCGATTCCACCTAAGGGCAGGTTTTTACTCAGGCCGGGGGCCGGGCCGCTAGCCTCCTCTCAGGGTAATTCCAGGGGGTACTTATATCTCATAGTTGCCAACTCAATACCTCAAGCTTACCATCTACTCCGAAGATGCCAGTCAAACAGGTTTCTGGGCGAGTCACTTTGACACATGCAAAGGTACGTGATAGACTAGACCAAAAGCAGACAGCCACTCATCCTGATTCCTGGAACAGGGTTCCTCTGCGGAACTACTTCTGTACGGTGCAACAGTCATTTCATGGAAGGCTGGAACCATCACCGAACCTCAGCCAATTGAGCGGCTATTTGTTTCATCCAAAGCCGCTGTCGATGGTTCAAAGCCTGTGCGGGGAGGTATTCCAGTCATATTTCCTTGCTTTGGACCTCCCAGCCACCCAGAGCACATGAAACTTGCCCAGCATGGTTTTGCCAGAAATGAAGTGTGGAAATTCGATAGCATTGTGATGGACAATGACGAGGGCGTATCTGTGAGACTCAGTAAGTGCCATCTCACTGGATTTGTATCGCTTGATATATGTTGATATATTCTCCCAGCGCTTGAGCCAACCGCGGGTATCACAGAAAAATATGACAGACCATTCCATCTGGCTTATGTCGTTACCTTGGCTGAGCATCAGATCAGTACTGATCTGCACGTCACGAACACGTCAACCTCTATGGCTTACCCACCTGACAACCTCGAATTCCAGGCTTTGTTCCATAACTATATCAGGGCCCCTGCGAACGACGTCCTTGTTTTCCCCTTGCAAAACAAAAGTTATTTTGACAAAACAGAGGCATCCGAAGAAGCCAGAAACAAACCGAAAGTTGAGACTAGGGCAGGAGTTGATGTCCGTCAATTCACCGATTCTGTGTACCCAGATGCAGGGGGGAAATATGAAGTCACATGGCCAGGAGGTGGCGTGGAGATCAAGGTTCGGGAGCTAAAGGACGTTGTTGTTTGGAACCCTCAGCAGGCTGCGGGTGCGAAAATGGGAGACATGGAAGATGGAGGATGGTGAGCATTTATACTGGGTCATGTACTTCGATGCTAACACTCCTTAGGGAAAGGTATGTTTGTGTTGAGCCAGGTTATGTGAGGGGATTTGCGAAGATAGAACCAGGCAAGACGTGGATTGGGCAACAAGTTATATCTGTCATTCACCACGAAAGGAGGATCAATCAGTTGTGATTAGTCCTTGTGAATTGCACACTTATTTAATACCGTTAGACCAGTGAAAGCATTTTTAGTAGATTTTGTAGTTCGAGTAACGTTGACGTTGACTCTGACAAGTTTGTGCGCCACGGCTTTCCATAAACACGTGACTCGATTTCAACGTTTCCATGTGACAAACGCGTCCACGTCCGGCTCAAGTCATCAATTGTAGAGCCCCTCTGCATTCAGTGCATGCACTGAGCGACATTCTTTCACGCTGTTCATACTGTACAACAATTAGTTTTTATGGAGCAGGAGGCTACACTTCGAGTACTCATCAACCAAATTGACTATACTGTGGCCTCCCCTGGCCCTCTCGATAACACATCTCTCCCTCGAGTGCCTGTGATCCGTATTTATGGCGCGTCGTCCACAGGAAAGAAAGCATGTGTACATGTGCATCAGGTATATCCTTATTTTTTTGTCGAGTATGGGGGCAAATTGAGTCCCGAAAATGGTATGTGAATTCAATTAATCGAGGATGTTTTCGTACTGACTCCAGTCAGTGAATCAGTACATCGCAAAGTTATCTCGTTCTTTGAACCATGCTATAGCCATCTCGATGAAGCGCAATCCCCATTCGCGCAACTCACAGTTTGTTCGAAGTGTACTTCTCGTGAAAGGCATCCACTTCTATGGATTTCACTCGTCATATACGCCGTTCTTGAAGATTCTTATCGCAGACCCCGCATTTTTCAATCGTGCTGTCACTATATTGCAGTCCGGAACTGTTATGCGAACACGCTTTCGTGTTTACGAAAGTCATTTGAGCTACATCCTACAGTTCATGTGCGATTTTGGGCTCTATGGATGTGGCTGGATGAATCTCGCGGAGGTCTGGCAGAGAGGACATGAAGAAAACGATACTGAAATGATGGAGCCAGCAACGTTCCAGGTATCACCATACTTTCGTCAATCCCGCATGCCGCTTGAAGTTGATGTCGCTGCTCATCAAATTCTAAACCGCCGTCTCTTGTCCGCACGCAACATTCACCACAAACTGGCAATACCCTCACCGCCTTTACCTTCTGAACCATTTGTTCTGAGTGTCCGTGAACTGTGGGATGATGAAAGACGTCGAAGGCTTGCCAAGGGCCTTCCTCCAACCCCTGCGCTTCCCATTGATTCATCGAGAGGCCATAGAAGCGAGTGGGTTGCGGAAGCGAGGTGGTGGGAGGAAGTCAGAAAACGCATTGAAAAAGAACGAGACTCCGAGTCTACTTCCATAGACAGTGGGGAACTTTGGGAGAGATGGATCATGACCACTTTTGAGAGCGTGGAAGCCCTCTGGGAGGCTGAGTGGAGAACTTGGAAGCCGGCTCGCAAGGAGGCTACTGGTCATAATGGACAGAGCACTCATATCTCGGAAGCTGAGGATAAGGAAAATCCTTTTGCACAAGCGACACAGGATGGATCTTCGATGAATCGGAAAGGACCACCGCAAAGTACGGATATCGATGTTGACGAGATGTTGCTTTCTACACAGGAGATGAGTCAGATAATGGACCGCGAAGACCAAGAGTGGGCGGACTTGCAGGCGGGGGACACGATTGCAGAGCCTGACGCTGCTGCTGCTGCTGATCAGTTGGTCGATGAAGGGCCCCCTCCAGACTCTGAAATGGACATGCCCAGTCCCTCTGGCGAGGCTGAAGCTGCCATTGATGAGAACGAAAGGTTCGATCACTTATTTTCCTTGGCTCTTGCCCTCATGCTGCCTCCGCAGATTTGGCTCTCCTACGCGAGACCTTCCCCCAACAAAGTCATTCCGACAATCATGGAACAATTTGGACATGTAGGCAACCCCTTCTTTTAAAAGCTATCATTGAAGTAGGCACAGCCGCAAACGAGCGAGGAGTCTTTCATCATCTTCAGAGCTTCCAGCAACTCCTGCCAAGTGAGCACACTTTCTTTCACAGAAAGGATATTCACTTGCGTATATTTAGGAGAATGAGGTATATCAGTAGCGAGGCCGCCTACGATGCGACCACACCCATAACGTAAGTTGAAGCTACCACACATTGATCGGTATTGAATGGTTGCAAGTAGACATGCGCTATTATCGATGGTTCCTACAGAGCCCTTCACACAGCGGGGACTATCCCCTGATTCATCTAATTCAGCTGATCATAGTGGCTACGCTATCGAAGATGATCCATTCTTATTTCGAGGTAAACAGTTGATCGATGTATCAGGAACGCCGAGGAATTCACAGGGCTCTACAGTTCGCTCAACGCCAATAGAAACAAGAGAAGAACGCCAAGATGGCTGTGTTGAACGGAATGAAAATATTTCGCAGCTGACCTTACCAAGAGCTTCATTTTCCAGACATAGACCACCTACCTCGAGCCCAACCACAGCATTCGTATTCGCTGTACCACCACCATCCTCCTCTGAACTTGTGAGGACCATCGAGACCTATGGTCTCCCTCGAAGGATTTATCGTAATCCTTATTACTCCAAGCGCGCAGATGCTCCAGAGCACCCAAGAGAATATGCAGGTCTCCTGTATCATCTTAAAGGCGGGGACGGACTGGACACCCTGGATAATTGGAAGTCTCATGGAAGCCAGACCCATACGGGAAGAAATGCGTGTCGTTTGAAAGGCATATCTCTGTCGTGGGGATGGGAGTATGCAGCCCTACCTCCGAGTAAAACTCAAGTGAAAAGGTGGCTGAAAGAAAACCCAGTTCAGCTGACCCCAAAAGCCAAGATGTACTCTCAGGTAAGTGGAGTTTACTACTCTAAGCAACATCTCATGAAAGAGTATATAGATCGAAGGCAGTACCCAAATGAATCCCTATGGCGTGAAGTCAACGCCACATGTTCAATCTGACTCTACCACCAGAGCAGCCCAGCACATGTCCTTGTTGTCCCTGGAAGTATTTGGTGAGCCTCGAAATGGATATTTGCCATGTTCTCAATTTCGTTGCTAGTTCCTTCACGTGGTAATAAAGTACCTGACGCAAATATCGACGAGATTGTTGCAATTTTCTTTGCTCTCGGGGATGATAATATTCATTCAGTGTTTCACGAACGAGGCATCCTGGCAATCAAGAATACGCAACTGGATCCTCGTCGAATACGTGATTTCCCATTGGAGATTGTCGCTGACGAACTGGAGTTACTCAATCGGATGGTTGACATAGTAGTTGAGTTTGATCCAGATATCATCGCCGGCTGGAATGTTCAGTCAACATCTTGGGGCTATCTCGGTGCTCGAGGAAATCACTATGGTTCGTGCAAGGTCTTTTCCAGTTTTTTTGTAGTTAATATATGTGAAGGTTTTGACATTGGTGAGCTTATATCTCGAGCCCCTAACAAGAATGATACTGCAGGAAACAATCAATGGAGTCAGAGGACAACCACCACGTTCAAGGTCACTGGTCGGCATGTGTTCAACGTCTGGAGAATCATGCGAGCCGAGCAGACACTTTCCATGTATTCTTTTGAGAATGTAGCCTTCCAGTTACTGCGTAGAAGGTACGCTGACCAGTATATCGCCACTGTTTGTCTACTCATCTGCACAGGGTCCCTCGTTATACCCCAGAGATCCTAACGTCTTGGTATAATAGCACAGATCCAGTGCACACATCCCGTGTCCTTCGCTACTTCCTTGAACGGACGATCATGACACTGGAGATCCTCCAAGAAGCTGAAACAACCACAAAAAATGCGTGAGTCCTCAATCAGATCCAATCCAAGTCCTCATATACGGCGCCGACAGAGAGTTTGCGCGCGTCTTTGGAGTCGATTTTTACTCCATAATCAGTCGAGGCTCGCAGTTCAAGGTGGAGTCATTCATGTTCCGCATCGCGAAGCCAGAGAGTTTTGTTCTCCTGTCTCCTAGCAAACAGGATGTGAGCTCGAATTATGCCATTCTTTGAAATCAGTTGACATCCTCGCCAAGGTTGGAAAACAAAATGCTGCAGAATGCATGCCTCTCATCATGGAACCCCTCTCTGCCTTTTACAATGGACCCGTCGTCGTGCTTGACTTCCAATCACTTTATCCGTCGATTATGATTGCTTACAACTATTGCTACTCGACCTGCCTTGGGAGAATAGTCGACTTCCAGGGTCGTAACAAGTTTGGTGTCGTGGATCTCCAAAGACCACGTGGACTCTTGGAAAATTTGCAAGACCACATAACAGGTTGGTCATCTATTTTGTGGTTCATGCTCGTCTTGAGCTCTCAACCATAGTCGCGCCGAATGGCATCATGTACGTGAAGCCTGAAGTGAGGAAGGGTTTACTTGCGCGCATGCTTACGGAGTTGTTGGACACCCGAGTAATGGTCAAACAGGCGATGAAGGGTTCGAAAACTGACAAGGTAACGTGTATGTCGTCAAATCTGACTTCAAAATAACCACGGTCACACAGGCGCTTAGTCGAGTTCTGAATGCCCGCCAGCTCAGTTTGAAATACATCGCTAATGTTACTTATGGATATACAAGCGCAACATACTCTGGCCGCATGCCTGCTGTCGAAATTGCAGACAGTATTGTACAAAGTGGCAGAGAAACCTTGGAAAAGGTCGGTATTTTAGCCGTCTAGTTTCTCATGAGCCTGACAGTGTTGTCAGGCTATAGAAATCATCGATAGCAATGCTAAATGGGGAGCTAGAGTTGTTTACGGGGACACAGACTCCCTTTTCATATACCTTCAAGGAAAGACAAAGGAGCAGGCTTTCCACATCGGCTATGATATGGCGGATACGATTACTGCGATGAATCCATCACCTATCAAATTAAAATTTGAAAAGGTCTATACATTCCGAGATGAATGAGTGAATGGACTACTAATGTTTGGACCAGGTGTATTTGCCATGTCTGTTGATGGCGAAGAAAAGATATGTTGGATTCAAATTTGAAAATCCAGACGAGACTGTCGCCACATTCGATGCGAAGGGAATCGAAACTGTCCGTCGTGATGGGGTACCTGCTCAGTCAAAAATGACAGAAAAGTGTTTGAAGTGAGTAGTTTTTGTATCCTCATGACACGAATCTCTGCCTAAATTCGCGGCGAGAATTTTATTCCGCACCCAGGATCTTAGTCAAGTAAAGGACTATTGTTACCAGTCATGGACTAAAATTCTTCAAAACCAAGCGTCAATGCAAGATTTCATATTTGCAAAGGAAGTTAAGATGGGAACATATTCGTGCGTGAAAGTCTATTGATGCGTTATATGTACTGAAACGAGATTACATCAGTGAAAAGGCACCACCTCCACCTGGGGTAGCTGTTGCCGCTCGAAGAATGATAGAGGACGAGAACGACGAGGTTCAATATGGCGACCGAATTCCATACGTGATCATAAGAGGTGATCCCCACACACGGCTTGTGGACAGGGCGGTGTCCCCGGAAGAATTATTGCAAAAGAAGTGCGCTTTTAACTTTGCTCTTGCCGTGGATCTGAACCACTACTACCCATGATCTAGGCACATGCAATTAGATGCTTCCTATTACATATCCCGTGTTCTGATCCCACCACTTGAACGTGTTTTCAACTTGATAGGTGCTGACGTTAGAACTTGGTTTGACGATATGCCGAAGGCTATCCGAATCAATCATCCAAATCCTCTTGCAATGTCTCCAAAGAAACAGAGGACCACAGCAAACCGGTTGAAGATAGATGAACATTTTCAGAGTTCCCAGTGTCTTGCATGCGGTGACTTGTCTTCAGACGGTAGATACCCGCATCCTTGGCCTCTCTTAAGAGCTCATGAATTCATGACAGGAATCTGCGAAAAGTGTCGGAGAATACCCCGGGAAACAATGCCCATCCTCCTCGATCAAATACGAAAAGGAGAGGCCCGGCTCCTGGACGCACAACAGGTATGCGCGTCGTGTGCGTCGTCCGCAAATGCCGAGCCAATCGAGTGCATTAACATTGACTGTCCGTGGTTGTTTGATCGAAAAAAGGCAGAAAGAAGGACGGAGTTTCTCGAGGGGTTACAGGGAATCATGGAAGACCTTGAAATGTTAGAAGATCACTGTGATGGTATACTAGACCAAGATAGTTGAGAATTCATGCTACAACACGTTCAATAAATTTATTCATACATTATATATGTCGATCCATGCATTATTGTAAGATGGACTTTTAGTGGCGCGAATTTGTTGCGGTCATGTGACGTGCGCGTTGTTGATACATTGTTTGGTGTAAGCTAGACTGCGAAACGGGTAAGCAACCTTCAATTCAACTCCTAGTTTAGCGGCAAACGCGAAGGTAAGTATGGCGCACCCAGCGCCCGGAATCGTAGCATGGACAACCTCTATTCGCATGTCTATGGCAAAGGATCCATGTCGGCAATTATTCGAAGACCAGATCCAAACACACGGCTTTATCTTCTTAGACGATTACCTCGAGAATATCTTAGCTGGTCCAAAGCAAGAGTGCGTGAACTGATGCATCATTTTATCTAGTCTGAGCATTTATAGAGCAATCATCAATCTCGTCAAGACACCCGCTCGAAAGAGAACCGCGCCTAAGCGAACCAAAGCCACTTCAGCAGTCGCAAAGGTGCAAAATTCTACCCTTTCGTCTCTCGAGGTATTTTATCTCTTTGAAGACTGAGGTATTGAGAATCATATTTGTTCCGTAGGAGGAGGACATGAGCCAGGAGAATCAGCCACCTGTCAACAGCTTTCATAAAGCCCTCCTTCACGCCAAGCAGAATGCGGAATCCATGCGTTCTCATGCAGACAGCAACTGTGCCGAACAAGTTTTCCCGCACCCCAAGCCCGCGGGCTCGATTGTGGGCGAGCATGACAGTCATGATCTGAATCAAGAGGACATGATGGTACCACCCCTCGACGCCTTACATTCTATTCCCCTTGATTTACCGACCCACGCTCGAGAGCCACGCACTGGCAATCACACCCAACCACTTCCACAGATAACAGCAGCCAGCTCTCCGATCACGCATGTTAGGGATGCATTGACTGCTCCGCTGCCCATTTTACCTGCGTCCAGCTCTGCTCCTGAGTCAACCGTTATGGTAGTTCCACTTAACGACTCGCCATCTCGGAATCTTGCGCATAAGAGCAGCGCAACGCAATTTCCAACACTTCGCGCTCCATCTCCGCTACGTAAGTCAATGCGTGTCGTAGTAGAACCATCTACAGGTGCTGGGGTTCTCGCGTCAGCTGCTCCAGTACAAGCGCAACCTTCCGCACTGGGTAAACGTACGTCGTGGCTAATGAAGGCCAGAGAGGTGAAAGCCATGGAAGGCATTGTCCATAACAAGACAAGCATTCTCGGCCCTGGTACTGGCACAATGGGTCCCTCTGGCACAATGGGTCCCTCTGGCAATACTGTCGCTCCTTTGAAGCGGAAAAGTAGCGACATGGCTGCTGCACCTTTGGCTCCAGATATGACCGACGAGGGGCGTAGAGCCAAAGTAGCCAAGGCCTCCAAGTCCGATTCTGCTCCGCAAAATTTGAAGGACCCACCTCTGAACCAGGGGACAGCTATGCCAACTCAGGCTCCTTCATCCATTCTGGCGCCGACTGGAGCTGTGCATCTTCCTGAGGAGCACTGGGAACCACTGAACGATAAAGAGGAAGATGCTAGTTTCATTGGGGTGTTTAAACGTACAGTTGAAGGTCTTGGTGCCCGCGCGGGCAAAAGCATGGGGAAGTCCTTTGGTGGTGGTGTGGCAGCCGCTGCACTTGCCGAAGCTCGTGCTGCTGCGGAAGCAAGAGTAGCGGAGAGGAACAAACTTAATGAAGAACAGCTCACAGAGTCAGAGGACTCTTCCGCACTAGAGGCTAAAGAACCCCAGCTGGCGACTGAGAACGTTAACCCAAGAGAATCAGAACGCAGACTCAGTATCTCTGACATTGTCTCTACCAATGAGAGCCCAGTAGCCCTCCATTCTACATCTGCAGCGGATGAGAGCGTCTCAACAACCCCGCCCAACTCCCCACCACCCACTCGTACTTCTGGCTCCGGCTTCGTTCCTCCTCCTGGTCCAGTGTTTAACAGGCAACCTCCTCCCGTGTTCATGCCTCCTCCTATCTTGAAGCATGTTGCTCCTCTCGCCAAAGAATTCTCTTTCAATTTGCCGACATCAACCTTTACGCTTCCTCCGCCAATATCACTGAGTCTAGCAGCAAAACTTACATCGTCTCCTTCCTCACGTCCTGCTCCACAAGTCGGCGGTACGCATCAACTTTCACAAGCAAGCACATTGTCAGATGCTGTCTTTGATCAAGTGGAAGATATTCCAGCCTGGATGCCCTCTACCCAAGACACTGAATACACAGACGGTTCAGAGTCCCAGATTCATCGGACAAAATTCGCTACACCTGAAGATGACGATGACGATAGTTGGCCCCTTGAGGAGAAGTTGGCTGCAAGCGAGCAGGGATGGACTCCTTTTAATTTCAATAACAAGGAGGACAGCATGACATGGAGTACACTTCCTACTGAATCTCAGGGACTCACCAGAACCAGAAGTGACCTGACTGGTAATTCAGTGAAGAATGCGGTGCAGCAAGATGAAGGACCCGTAATCCCCAGTACCTTCCCCATGGATATAGATCGTGACGTTGCTCAACTTCAGGACAATGAATCCAATGTCTCTGAACCAGAAGCCGACCACGAGTCAATTATGTATACGAGCGATCTGGGTGATGTCCTCAAGGCTGGCCAGCTTACTGTTACTCACATTGAGGCATGTACAATTCATTTGTCAGTATTTTCAATACTCACCGAAATAATTGAAGTCCGGTGTCATTCCGCGGAGCGAGAGCCAATTATCCATAGCTTCGACATCTTCCTCTTCCCAGCAGTCACAGGCTGGATTCTTCAGTCAAGCCACAAAACTCGTCAATAGTATGCTTGGTACGGGCAAAAAGGCCAAGCCAGAGGTCAAGAGCCTCCAGCTTGCAGCTGTCGCTGCGAAGAAGGTATTTTGTTGACCTTCCCTTCAAGTGTTTCGTGGGACTCAAGATATTATATAGCAAGAAGAAGAAGCTAACAAAAAGGCCACCCGTCTCAAGGAGATGGAAGCGAGGCGTCAGGCAGCGCTTGCTCGCAAGGCAGATGAAGAAAAGTTACGCGCTGTTGAGGAGGAAAAGAAGATCAAGGAGGAATCCGAGAAGCGCAAACGTGAGCGCGACGAGACTACGGAAAAGCGGCCTCTCAAGACCCCTGCTGTGCTTAAGAAGACAGAAGAAGACGCGACGAAGAAGCGGAAGATCACCATCGACGATAAGAAACCCGACGTGAAAAAGCCGCCTTCAAAAGACAAGAAAGATACCCTTCCTTCCAAGTTGGCGAAATCCAGTTTGGTTACTCCTGCAGCAAAAGTTGCGTCTGCTTCCAAGAACACAAAAGTCCCCGCATCATCTGCGCTTGTATCTTCTGCCACTTATAATGCATCACAGAATGCCGCCGGGTCATCTGCAGTTAAACCCGCAGCTACCGAAGTGAAATCCACTAAAGTTGGTCCTCCCAAGGGAAAGGCTAAGGCTGCACCACAGGAGAACGAAGATAAGCTTCCCTCCGCCATGGTGCAAAATCAGATGGCAGCGCGTGCAATGGCCCAGATACGTGCAGCTAAGCAACAGCCACCTGAAGTTCCGAGCGAGAGTATTGAACTTCCTGACATCAACAGCGAATACTCTGACTCGGAAGATGAAGATCGGCCGCGGACGTTTGATCCTCCTGATTGGGCTCAGTCCCCAGAGCTCCGACAGGCACTGCAAACGCAGAGCACAGTTGACCCGGATGACATATTCGGAGCGATCCGGCCGCTGCGAATGGAGGAGTTGTTCAGGACGAGGCAGAGCCGGTTTAGAGCACGAACAAGTTCAGCGAATTGGTCGGGTTCAGACCGACTGACGGTTGAAGAGGAACGAGAGTATGCCCGTCGCATGGGATTTACCAAACATACATCCTGACCCGGATTACTGTCTCTTCTTTTTAACATGCATGTATACCACACATTCTCGGTTTCGTGCAGCATATTTATTTTCTTGCTTCGGTAGCAAAACGAGTATCACGAAACTTGGCTTGAATTCGGCGGTCAAGGGACAAGTACAATGAATGAGCACGGACTAGGCCAGCGATATATCTGGTTAGGATGAAGATGGAGCTACAAAACTACAAGGGGTATTGCGACGAGACCAAGGATGACACCGGAACTAGTACTGTAGATTCGAGGATGACAGAAAAAGATGTCGAGAGTGGGCAAACGGATGGTAACAATTACTGTACTGCAACAGCAAAACGTAATGAACGACGAGAATGACAGTGGTTCACGTCAAACTCATTGAAATCCGCAGTCAAAAAAGACAGACAGAAAAGATGTCTCAAAAGTAAAGGACTGAAGGCAAGGAATAAGTGCAGGAGAAAAGGCAAAGGCGTGCCAAAAGAGGAGAGTGAGCGTAGCATATACACTATGGCGTTGATGACAAGCAAAATATATGATGCAAGGTGGGGTTATAGCAGAGATATAGTGTTGTAATCATCTATGGCCAGCAGGTGCGTATTTATTACCATTTAGGAGTGAAAGTAGCTGGGCGCTGTTGGTAACAGGGGTCCGCGAAGTGATTGGCGGTGGGGCAAAAGTTTGTTGTAAAGTATGGGCTGATGGTGTGATGGCAGAGAATCGAGCAGGTGCGATTTGAGCATTGACTGGGGGCATCGCAGTAGGAAAACCGGTTACCATATGAGGACCTGCGGCCTGATATGCAGGGGCGAAGTGTGCGGAAGGATTTGCTTGATAATTATGAACTGTAGGGTAGCCTTGCAAGTAGGAGGAATGTGGATGAGAAGCGTGCGGCATTTCGACAGAAAGGGGTGGGGGGCCCGTCAGCAGTGACAACAACTGACTTTGCTGAGTATTCCGAGGGGAATAGTCGTGTGCAACAAACTGACTGGAGCGTGGTCGCACTTGAAAAATGTCGTCAACAAGCGGCGGCTGAGGATGTCCGGTGCTGGGGTACTGAGAAGTAGGTGGGAGATGATATTCAGCTGGCGTTGATGGCATATGTCCAAACAATGGACGAAAGTCAGCCTGCGGATAGTACGTAGGTGGTGGAACGGAAGCCGACGGTCCTGGACGACGGGCGCCGGATGTATTGCCAGAGGGCAGCTCCCTACTGGGTAGAGTAGGGGTCATGCGTGAAGATTCATCAGCCACTGATTCCAGTAGGGCTAGCTGCCTCAACATCTTGCCTGAGGCAGGAACCTCGGTAAGACGCGGAAGGTAGGGCGATATGTCGGCAGTGCTCGACGTACGTCTTGACGACAATGAAACCTTTCGAGAAGAAGCTAAGGATGAAGTAGATGACGTGGCAGATGCAGCGGATAAAGAGGCGGTCGAAAGGGCTGCTGATGAAGGAGTTCCAGGATCATGAGAAGGTGAAGTTGGTAGTGTGGATGATTCGACAAAGGAAGCCTGCATGCTCAAAGATTGGGGAACTCGAAGGGAATGTGCGGAAGGCGATGACATGTTTGAGGACCGTTGTTTCGGAGGCGGAGAAGACATCATACCAGGTGTTCCTGACTGGGCAGAAACACGAGAAGACCAATCAACAATATTCTGCTTGGCTAGTGGTGTCACATTGTGAGGGAGGACCGAGAGAGGGGATTTAACTGGCGGAAGAACGAGCTGAGGCTTTGAATCGTCTTGCTTGACAGCCGAAAGTGTCAGAGAACTGAGTAGACGAGCAAAATGTGGGTCCATCTGTTCAGGATCGACAGCTTGCTCGTCATAGGATTCGTGGGTAGCTACACGACGGCTGGTCGCAGGAAGTGCCTCACTATACTGAGGAGAAGGCGTCTGGGGTTCGCCATTATCTGCCGAGGATGAACTAGACTCATGTGTGCAATTATCCGTACTTGTGTACCCCCCAATCTTCCGAGCTCGCCCCTCCATCGCTCGAGGCTTGTTTGCAGTGACGAATGCCTTCAACGATCTACTCGAAGTTGACGACAACTGATAGACACATAATAAAAGGAGGCTCACGCGATGAAAGGGGAAATTAAATAAAATTTTCCTGGTGCGGCTTTGTTCCGCCTCCAGGTTGGGAGATCAGTTAACTTGAACCACTCGATCCGCTGCAAGGAAAATTACGACAAGAAAGGAGAGGCGCAACCAGATGAACGTACACTTATCTCTTTGCGTGTCCGAGTTTTAAAAGGAAAGTCTTCCGGGACTCCAGGTACCACAAAGAGAGAGATCCATTGCTCCTTGATCGACATTTCAATTACGTCTGCAGGGTCCAGCTGACCCGCCAGATTATAACCGGTCTCCTCAAGCACCTAGCGAATAATCTCAGGTCGCCGGACAGAAATGTGGACAACACAACGCACTTCTCGAATGGCACACTCATGGGTAGGCTCGCTCTCGTTTATCTTACCCTTTGGAAAGCCCCATCCAGAGGATGACTTCCAGCCCTTGACAAGGATACACTAGAGAGATCCGAGTAAGTTGTGTTCGTGCCTGAGTACCCAGAGCACCATACCTTTTCCCATGTGTCGTTTAACATAATTGCACCACATACAGGGACTCTAGTCTTGTATTGCATGAAGGTATTGAAGGCTTGTTCATGATCGTGACTCCACTGATGTAACAGAGGACAAGCCTGGAAAAGCATTGCGGAGAATTTCTTCAGCGGTAGCGATGGAAATTTGGGATTTTGTTCCCGAATAAAGTCTTCGTAGAACCAATGCCTATATTAAAAATGTGAGCCGGAAAAAAATCGCGAGCACTGCGGGCGGCTTACGCTTGCTCCACCTGGAAACATATCCGCTCAAGAGACGATAGTTCTTCCTCTGGGAGATTTAAAAGAAAGCGACTTTGTGACGTAAGAAGAAAATCGAACATAGGTGAAGTGAATATACCTAGATAGATCTTCAAGGACCTCTTCATGTGTTGCAAGTTTGTAGGAAAAGCGTTCAGCTGAGTCTACCGGGGGAGCAGGGTGCATTTCTGGTGATGAGGACGAGGAAGAAGTCATGTTTAATTGAGAGGAAGAGAGAAAAGAAATAAGTAAAGAGAGTTCAGGAAGCCAGTCTTGGAATTGATCGTTGTATACACAGTTGGATGGAAAGACGATTGATGCACTTGTTGTTAGCGGTGAGTGATAGTAGCGTATGATTTCACTCTAGCCACGGAACAAACACAACACAACACAACACATACCACCGCTGTGCGTCCAAGATGGCAATTATGCCGACTCCGAGTCAAAGCGTCTTCAACCGTGTGCACTTAGGTCAGTTGGTGAGAATGACCTTGGGGAACTATACGTCAAGATGGGCAGGTCGCGGATGCTGAAGAGCAGGTTACCTCTATCTGCACGAGGGTAGAAACCAGTGCACATGATGCTTATTTCGATCAGGTGCACGGAGCAGGGCAACTTTAACCTGGAGGAAGCGGGGAAGGTAAGGCAGTTCTACCCTCGAAACGTTATGTTCTGCTGAAAATATGACCTGGTGTGTACTACCTCAGGATACCCTTATGGTGCCGGTCTCACCCGCTTAATGGTCTGCTAGTAGTGTCCTGGTAGGATGTTTGATCAGAGCCTTTGTTATGGATGCAAGGCACTCAACTTCATGCCAAATATATAAACGGATCATCGAGTACTTTTGAACTCGTCAAGCCTGTCAGGTGAGCTTTTGAATGAAATTAATGTCGCCTACCTTGATACCTACTATTAGGCGAAGGACTCTGCAAAACATACCCAATCAGTGATCTTCCTCAAGATTGAACATTTCACGTCTCGTGGAACTTTGAGACGTTCATGGCTCCAATCCTGTCTGTATGAGGCAAAATATGTTTCTGCCCTGTCACGGCAGGCACGTAAACCAGTCAGAAAAGCATAAAGTCTCGTTGTGGCCCGGTTAACTAGGCCCAATATAACGTGTTATTCACCTCGATCCAAGCTAATATTGCTAAAGTTAATGGCTTAGGTTCTTATATGTGCTGCTTGCAAGGTTCTTGTTCCCCGACAATCGAAGCCGTTTCTTTAAGCCGCACGTGGATCGTTTGCATCAGATAGGGGCGAGATTCGGATGTCGGCACTTCCCAACAAAGCAAACTGAACAATAGACAAAAACCTCATCTCAGTACCTTTACCATCTCATCGTACTCACCGTATATCCTTCAAATGTCTGGCTTCACAATGCACTTGCATTCTGACCAGGCCTCTGGGATGGCTGTTCAACGCGCGGCTGAAATAAACAACCAAGCCCTTAGCTTCTCTAGACAGGGCGATTATGCCGGTGCAGAGGATCTCCACCTGCAAGCACTCCATCTTAAACTCAGTTCAGTTGGTGAGAATAACCTTTCTACTGCCATCACTCGTAATGCACTCGGAGAACTCTACCTCAAGATGGGCAAGATCACGGATGCTGAAGAGCAGCTCAAGAAGGCCGTTTCTTTCCGCATGAATAATGGTTCTGCATATGATGCAGCAGTCTCTGTCGAGAACCTTGGCCAAGTGTATGAAGTGAAGGGTGACCTTGAGGAAGCGAGGAGAGTTAGACTGTCCCATCCCGCAAACATCATGGTCTGTGGAAACTATGACGTAAGGTGATCTCATGACATCTTCAAAACACTTGCTAATCGCACTGTCAGTGTCCTGGTGAGACGTTTGATCGGAGCCAGCTTATGGCTTGTTCTGGATGCAAGGTACATATTTTCAGTCAACTTCAGGCTGCGACTGACTTTGTTCAACAGTCCACCTTCTACTGTGGAAGAGCCTGTCAGGTGAGCTACGAAAGTCGCCTGCTTGACAACTAACTATAACGCTACTTAGGCGAAGGATTGGCGTGTTCGCCACAAAAAATTCTGCAAAAAGCGTGCGTAAACTACGAGTCACATACCCTTGATAGTTTTGCGTCTCATGGCATTTTGAGGAGATTTGTTAACCAGCCCTCCCATTTGTACGAGGTAAATGTATTCTTGTGAAGTTGTACCTTTATGGTTCAAACAGCGTGCATGTAATTGGCCCGTCTCCTATGTCAATTGAACCTCAATCAAAGTTGTAATATATGATGTAATTATACAAGAAAGCCTGTAACTTATAATTCTCTCAGCCGCCTGTGCTTCATCGTACTGCCTGCCTTGTTTCACCTTATCGTCACGCGGTCACAGGATCGATTATATGTGACACGTGATAACCATTAGTTTTCCCCGCGGTTTTTTCCTTTTCTTATTTTTTCCCTTGCAATCTATGGATATCTCTCTCTTGTACTTAAATTAATATCATGCTGAACGGAACTGGAGTCAAAATCTTCACCGGTTCGTCTTGAGGTTCTGACTTTTGTGACCTTCTCTTACGGAGTGACATTTACCCTGACAGGCACCAGCCATCCCGAGCTGGCGGAGATCATTGCTCGACGGTAAATACAAATGAACTCGCGAGCGCGCTGTTCACCCATGCACTCTCTAGCCTTGGTCTACCTCTTGCAAAAGCTGATGTGACCAAGAGCGGCATTGGCGAGACAAGCGTCCGCATCGCAGAGAGCGTTCGCGAGAACGACGTGTACATTATCAATACTGGCTGCGGAGCAGTTAACACAGCACTCATGGAGCTTTGTATCATGATCCATGCCTGCAAGATTGCAAGTGCTAAACGCATAACGGCCGTCGTCCCTCTTTTCCCATACGCACGACAAGATAAGAAGGACAAGAGCCGCGCCCCAATCACGGCGAAACTCGTAGCAAACATGATACAAAAAGCAGGTTGCGATCACGTCATTGTAAGTGTCTGTCCCGCTTCAAGGAACAACGGGGCACCGCTCCGGTGTTTGCGCTGTTTTGACTTGAGCCTTCTGTCAACCTAATTCAACGATGTGCTGACAGCTTGGATATAGACCATGGACCTTCACGCATCACAAATTCAAGGATTCTTTGATGTGCCAGTAGATAAGTAAGTCTGACGTTTGACCCTGGTTCCAAGTGTGGTCACTCATTCATTTATTTTCGCCGTGCGCAGCGTAAGTTGCTGTGGCATCTCATAGATTGGGCAATAATTTGACACGTGTGCCCGTTTCAGCTTTTCGCCGAGCCATCATCAATCCTGTACATACGCACCCATTTTGATCTTCAAAATGTCGTAATCGTTTCCCCCGATGCGGGCGGCGCCAAGAGGTGACAGCTTACTGATAGGAGGTTTATGATAATTCTCATCATTGTGTCTCAGGGCTACGTCCATTGCAGATCGCTTAGGCGTCGACTTTGCTCTTTTTCACAAGGAGCGCAAAAAGGCCAACTCCGTATCACGCATGGTTCTCGTTGGACATGTCAAGGACAAAGTTGCCATACTCATTGATGATATGGCCGACACTTCCGGAACGTTATGTCTTGCGGCGCATCATCTCACCGAGGCGGGTGTAGGCAAGGTTTACGCAATCGTGACACATGGAATATTGAGCGGCAACGCTCTAGAAAATATAGAGAAGAGCGCACTGGAGAAACTGATCGTGACAAATACGTTACCTCAGAAGGAGAATCAGGCGAAGTGCTCCAAGATCGAAGTTATCGACATCGGACCCGTCCTCGGGGAGGTCATCCGGCGAAGCCATTATGGGGAGAGCGTGTCGAAGCTCTTCCATGAGGTTCCGTACTAGAAGGCGTCAACGGGAGAATATTATTGTAGGAGTGTATTTATTTACACACGACTGATCATGCTACTAGCCGATCTACGAGAAGGATATGTACATATGCAGAGGGATAGCCTTGTTGTCTAGACCTGGCCATGGTGCTCGGATCAAAAGCATGTCAATTATCAAGCATCCAGCCAATTATAGGTAGGTGACCTTGCTGTAAGATCAAATTCGTGAGACAAAGTTTTCAAACCAAACTCAATCAATCACGCCCACGGTTAGCAGGAGAGTTTATGACGATATGACAGAAGAATTGGATTCCAAATTAAGAGGTGAAAAGTGTGAGATCGTATCGCGGGTCGCTTACAAGGGTTGAAGCGGAAGGACCATTCTTCTAAGGGGCGTCGTCGGAATGGAGATTAAGCCGTCCACAAGGCAGTGGCTGCCAATAGCTGGTACATCATCTAGATGTGGCTGTATGCATCATCGATCATGGGCAGGTTGGAGAAGGAGAGGCCAAGCGGTTGCTGAGAGATAATTAAAGTGCCGTTGGGGTGTCATGAAAAAATTGCCACGGTGTGGTTCTGAGAAGCTCTGGACTACATAACGAGAAGATGATTGCGTAGGGTTTAAGGGTAGCCAGCCAGACAAGCCTCGGTGGTACGCAGGATGGAGGAGAACGGGACCGAATATTTGGGCAACACAGTGAGGTCCGGTTGAATCCGGCAAAAAGCTGGGAAAGACATGTGTTAGGGAGGAACCAGTGAGACGAACTGAGACTCACCAAAAAATTCCTACGGGCTATATAACTAGTTTTTAGCGTGTGTATGAAGTTATTGAACGTACCAGTTGTGTGATATGTAGCCCACGGAATGAAATGTACTCATCGTATCGAGGTCGAGAGGGAAGGGAGGGGAGGGAGGGGGAGAGCCATTGATTTCGGTTGTAGCACAGCTTTAGTAGTGTTCCCTAGTCTGGCGATGAAGATGCTTCTTTCGACTAAACCTCCTCGCTTCGCCTTTTCCACTCTCTTGTCTCTAACACTTGTCTGTTTTTTCGAGTTCGTCCTAGTCGCAGTCCTCGTCTAGCTAATTGCGAGCATTCGGTACATTTCTTATCATCACTTATTGTCTTCTTCGTCGTATGTTCCCTTAGCCTCAGCATCCGTGCTGGCCCTTTCGTTAAATTCTCCTTCCCACTTTCCATCGCCAGGCAATGCTCTGCGTATCATGTTCACATCCTCGAATCATGCCCACCAGAGCAATGGTCACTCAAATACACACTACGACTCCCACAACAATCACCAGACAAATGGACATACTATCCACCAGACAAATGGTAGCTTTCACCCACCACCACCACCTTCCCAATCCCACAAATCGGCAGCTTCATCTCAGCCAAAGGAGACAGTTTCTGTCATTGGTATACCTTCTGTTTCTATACAGAATGGAAAACTCCAAGTCGGAGACTCTCGTTCCAGTCAGTCCTCTTGAATATCTTAATCTTGTTTCTCATATTCACAATTTAACCTCAAGGTTCACATCGCTCTTATACACCAATCAAGACCCTGGGCGACGGTTCTTTTGGAACAGTCTTGTTGTGTGATTGGCATGGGACGCTACCGCCCAATACACCACTCTCTCCTATGCAATGCGGCGGCGGCGCTAGACCAGAATGGGCTGGAAAGCGTCTTGTCGCCGTCAAGAGGATGAAAAAGAAGTGGGAAGGGGGTTGGGACGAATGTAAAAAGCTAAAGGAACTTGAAGTATGTCAATGAACATTTAGTCATCGCCTCCCATTCTCACAAACTCTTTCAGTCATTACGCGCAATACCATTTCACCCTTGCATCATTCCACTCTATGATTTTTTTCTGCTTCCAGATACTAAGGAGCTCTATTTCGTCTTCGAGTCCATGGAAGGGAATTTATATCATCTGATTAAGGCGAGAAAAGGCCGTACCCTTGCTGGCGGCCTCGTCGCTTCTATTTTTCGCCAAATCGTTTCGGGTTTACACCATATACATTCTTCAGGTTATTTCCATCGTGATATGAAGCCCGAGAATGTCCTCGTTACGACAACGGGTCTCTTCGAATATCGTTCACTATCTCCGGTAGCCCCTCCAAATGCACCTACGGAGAAGGATGTCGTCGCGATCATCAAGCTGGCCGATTTTGGGCTTGCGAGAGAGACACTCAGTTCACCGCCATACACCGAATATGTCTCAACCCGTTGGTATCGAGCCCCAGAGGTGTTACTTCTCAGTCGAGATTATTCGAACCCAGTGGATATGTGGGCTCTTGGTACTATCATGGCTGAGTTAGTCAACCTTCGACCATTATTTCCAGGATCTGGTCAAATAGACCAAATACATCGCATATGTGAGGTTCTCGGGGATCCTGCAGACCATGGAACAGATCTCCGCGGTAGATCCCTTGGTGGTGGCAAATGGAGCAGAGGACTCAAGATGGCGAAACAATTTAATTTCGCTTTTCCAAAGGTCGGTTGCTGCAATATTATGTACTTGGTGAATATTGCTGACATGACATGTCAGAGCACTCCTCGAGACTTCTCTTCGTATTTTGACCGCAGTGTCCCTCGCAAACTTATTGATTGTATATCAGACTTACTGAAGTATGATCCTGATAGTCGTCTTACGAGTCGACAGTGTCTCGAACACCCCTACCTTATTGAGGCTCTACCAGGGAATGGTCCTCCGATGCCTCCTGCTCTTCACACACAAACTCTGCCACAAACGTCATTGAGATCCGTCTCGAACGGCATATATCACATCACCCCTTCTGCTTCACCACGCAGCATTCCTCCGTCACATTCACATCACTCCGCCCCGAGATCACCCTACCATCAACCCCCAAGCCTGCACCCGTCACATATACCCGATGCTTCCTCCTCCCATCGCTCCGCATTTGTCCCCTCCTTTGTTACCTCGACTATCCACACACCTACCTCACATAAAACATCCGAATATGTCGTCGATCCACGCATACATTCGCATTCGCATTACTCGGACATTCCAGAAGAAGTACGCGCTCAAGGAGGCGCTTCCTCCTCATGGGCTAGTCACACACGTAGTGACTCCGATCAGATGGAGGTATCTTCTCCACAGGCAGAGCCCCTTCTCGATGCTTACCATGCGGGCTACCCGATGGAAGTACAATCTTCGCCGATGGTACCGGAGTACCCGACTCGTCCCCGCGTCGAACCCGACCATCCGATGCCTCCCCATGATGCTACCCAATCGCCAAGCGTCAAACTCAGCAGCAAGCTTCACTTCAGTCTTGGGAAGAAGCCCTCCAAATGGGGTCTTTCCATGTTTGGACACGGAGAGAAAGTCCATCAGCAACTTCCTCCCGTCGACGAAGTACCGGGTGCATCTTCCAACTCAACACCGTCGCTCAAGCGTACACAATCTACTAGCTCGGATAGTCCATCAATGGCAGAGTTACAGCCCATGAACGGCTCAGCTCGTAAAAATGCCAAAGCTATCAAGAAGGAAGCCGAGCGACAATTGCGCGAAGCGGAAAAGCAGCGTCGCGTAATGGCAGAACGGACACAGAGGGAGCAGGCTCGTGCGGTCATGCAGAAACGCAGCCAGATGTACATGCAAACTACTTCGCGGAACGAGTTGGAGTGGAGGTGGCAGACACATGCCAGTTTGCTAAATTCCCACCAGCGAGGAACGCCCTACGACGAGATGGAGAAGAGCAAGGTTTCCGCTTCTGGTCCTATTCGACAGAAGGAGACCCAAGGAAGTGCGAAAGTGTCGTCGCCGACTCTTAATGCTGCTTCGGGTCGATATATCCATCCTATCGACGGGACGCTGGCTCCCAACGATCGGTGGGGGTTACGGGATGAGCGTTTGACGAAAGTCCGACGAAGAGGCTTTGATGACGATCATTCCATGTCTTCATCAGACGTCCACAGCTTAAGCCGAATGTCCGCCATCTCGTTCGCTACAGTCGATAGCGACCCTGGCCCGTCACGGACGCGAAGACCAACGCTGTATGGAATTAACCGAATGACATCCGCTTCCTCACTACGCACGGGGACAACATCCTTTGATGATTTCCCTACTTCTGCTCGGTCGTCAAATTCCATCTCTCTGGATCATCAATTCAATGACTTCTGCATTCGTGCCTCTGTTGATACAACATCTTCTGCATCGGGAGCATCCTCACCTCCACCTCTCAATCTCCTTTCCTTATCGCCATCACCACGGCCGTGGATTCGTACCGATTCTTCCAGTCCACAACACTCATCATACATGGGTCCTCCAATGATACGATATCCTTCGTCTTCTCATAAGTCATATGAATGTAACGGGCAGTTGTATGGTCACCCTCCAAGTCCAGGGATAGACCCTCAATCTGTCATAAATCCGATATTCAAAGTGGTAAGTCAAGCTCCAGCTCTACACCTCAAGTAGAGCTGACTTCCATGTTAGACTCCATTACCAACATCGCCCAGTGATCATTTATCATCACCACACTCTCTCCCCCCTTTTTCTCAACTGGAGGCGGTTGCAGAAGGGGAATACCCTCCACTATCGCCCATGTCCTTCCATTCGCCGGAAGATGACTGATGCTGGTGGCATCACCACTCTCCTTTTGGTTTTATTTATTAGGCCTTGTGAGGTTAGGAACGTTCAACCGGTGGACATACAAACCATTCATTGCTGCATCAATTCGTTCTTATCGCCCATGTGGGCCTCTAAACCGTATCTCACCGAACCCAGGAGGTTGATCAGGCATATCGCCCGGATTCACTGTGACTCTAGTATTTCCTCCTGGTTTATCTTACCATACTTACCCCATTCTAGTAGCATATTTAGTCTGGTTGGGCGTTGTAGAGCGCCGCTGTACTTTTACCCACATTTGCAATAGTAGGCGGCAATTAGAAACATGCAAAATAAATATTGTTTGACACGGGATGAAAAATATTTGATTTAGTCATATGTCAGACCAGCTACTAATTATAGTTTGACATCCTAGTGGTCATGTGGAACTTGTTCAAAGCGGAGACCGCTGGAAGACATACGTGTGAGCTCGAAGTCCAGCTGGGGAAAAAAGTCACATACCAGTAACTGAAGGTAAATTACAAACAACAGATTGGTTAGTAACGACAATCAAGCCAAGCCATGACAATACTTACCCGCATGGCCGAGCACCAGGTTTGTCCTGAAAGAGAATGTCAATTATGGCACGTAGCGTCCAAAAGTACCAATACAAACCAGGTTGATAAATATCTTGGGATGACCAAGAGGTCCTCCTCCTGTAACAAATCGTCACGCCGACGCTCAAGCTGGGAAGAAAAAGTATCACTGACCACCATCACAAACAGCTTTCCGCCCATGCACAACACGGATAGGCTCATTGTTAACCATCTCCATCGCGCTCAATGGGTTGGGCTGGAGTTCGAGAACAGTTTGCTCAAAACGTGGACCTGACATGGCGACCGCGCGCGGTCTCTGGCTGGTTGTCCATGTCGTTGGATGATTTGGTGCTTGGTTCGTGACGGGTGATGAAGAAGCGGAAATAGGTGTTATAGTGTTTGCAGCAGAAGAAGAAGAAGAACGACTCAGCACCTTCAGCTGAGAGGCGCGATGCGCCAGACGACGGCCAAGCATGGTTGCGGACATCGAGACTACGGCCGAACCCGAAAAGCGAGAGATGTCGCAAATTTGCCAAGAAAGGAAAGTCGATTAATGTCACAGAGATTTGTCCCTACAATTGCAAAGACTGCAGTGCTATGTCATAATGTAGAATGCTATGTGATACAGTGTTTGGGTACCATAATGTAGAAGCGCACACGTCCCTTAGTCCATCTCCTCTATCTCAATGTCATTATCTTCATCCCAATCTTCATCCATTGCATCAATATCGGCCTGACCTTCATGATTGGGCATGACAACAAGTTTGTTGCGGGGGGCGTCGAACCGAATAGACACGGTCTCCCCGTCGCGAATGCGGTCAGAAAGCAGCATCACCGACAAAGGATTCAGGAGTTCGCTTTGGATAGCGCGGTTTAACGGTCTTGCTCCGTATGTCGTCGAGTACCCGATGGACACCAAGTATCTTTTCGACTCGTTATCAATGTCAAGAACTATTTTCTTATCGGCTAGGCGGTCTTGGATTTCCTTGAGCCTCAAGTCCACGATCTTGAGCATGCTGTTTCTGGAAAGCGCACGCTGATCCATAGTGTAAGAAATTTAGAACCTAAGATGCATGCGGTGACTTACGAAGACGACGATCTCATCTATACGGTTAATGAACTCGGGTGGAAAGTGGGCCGTTATTGCCCCCATGACTAGCTGCTTGGTCTGCGGAGTTACTGGACCCTGAGCTACGTCGTTCAAGAATGCAGCACCTAGATTTGACGTCATGATGATAACAGTGTTTCGGAAGTCAACAACGCGACCCTGTCCATCAGTGAGTCGGCCATCGTCGAGAACCTGAAGGAAGAGCGTGACGAATTCTCGCGAAGCCTTCTCAATCTCGTCGATGAGGACAATGGAATAGGGTTTGCGCCTAACATATTCAGTAAGTTGTCCTCCAGCATCATGACCAACATAACCAGGCGGGGCGCCGATAAGACGTGCGATAGAATGCTTCTCAGAATATTCAGAACCATCGATGCGAATCATAGCATCAGGGGTGTCAAAGAGAATAGTGGCGAGCTGCCAAGGTTTCGGTTAGTGACTTTAGTTACGACGAAGTTACACCATCTTACGGTTTTGCTGAGCAACGTCTTTCCTGTTCCGGAAGGACCGGCCATCAGGAAGCTGGCAATGGGCCGCTGAGCATTAGCCAATCCACTCCTCGAGAGCCGGATAGCGTTAGCGACAGCTTTCACAGGTTCCGGCTGTCCGACAACATGATCGGCAAGGATACGTTCCATGCGAAGGAGTTTCTCCTTTTCGGTTGACATCAAACGTGTGACTGGAATAGCCGTCCACCGTCCGACAATTTCTGCTATCTGTTCAGGAGTGACGGTATCTGTACCTCCACCGAGCTTGGCGTCCTCTTCAAACTTTTTGGCTTGAAGAGCTTCCAGGCGATTCTGAAGGTCTGGCAGGGCATAATAGCGAAGGTCAGATGCAGTTGCAAGGTCATATCTAATATGTGATGTGGTTAAAAAAATGCTGGATTAATGCAGAAGGGCAGGCGTACCTTCTCTCCGCCTCATCCGCCTTGGCGCGTAGATTGTCTATCTTCCTCCGAACTTCGTTAATTTCGTCGCCTTTGCGCTTTTCAGCCTCATAGGCAGCCCGGAGCGGTTGTAATTCGTCGTCAACATCAGCAATGGCTTTGCGAGCTGCGCCTAGACGCTCCTGACTGGCCTGATCTTTCTCGCGTTCCAAAGCATGAATTTCAACCTCCAGTTCGAGCTTACGACGTTGAAGCTTATCAATGGCTTCGGGTGCCGTCTCTCGAGTAACACGGACACTAACACAAATCGTAAGATGGTTCCGTGAGAGATATTAATAAAACATACCTTGCACAAGCTTCGTCGACGAGGTCAATGGCGGCATCAGGAAGACGTCTCGAAGTCAGATAACGATGGGCCAGAGTTGCAGCAGAGATCAGGGCACCGTCCAAAATTCGAACACCATGATGAACCTCGTACTTCTCCCGAATACCTCTAAGAATGCTGATTGTCTCGGGAACAGTGGGTTCGTTCACCAAAACTTGTGCAAATCTTCTTTCTAGAGCAGCATCTGTCTCGATATACTTCCGGTACTCGTTTAGTGTGGTAGCCCCAATACAACGCAGCTTGCCTCTAGCCAGAAGCGGTTTAAAGAGGTTGCCTGCATCCATGCCACCGCCTTCGGAACCTCGACCAGCCATAATGAGGTGAAGCTCATCCACAAAGAGAATGATAGTTTGGCCGTCCTCGGATGATTTCTCCACTTCACTCAAAACTGACTTGATGCGTTCCTCATACTCGCCTTTGTACTTCGCACCAGCCATTAACGCGCCCATATCAAGCGAAAACAAGCGCCCAATTAGGCTGGCTGGCACATCCCGGTTGACAATGCGCTGAGCAAGACCCTCTGCTATGGATGTCTTCCCAACGCCAGGCTCGCCAATAAGCACAGGATTATTCTTTGTTCTGGAGAAGGTGAGCTTGGGTTATACTAATAACAGAAAAAAATGAATTTTACCTTCTGCAAAGAATACGAATGATTCTACGGATCTCATTATCTCTGCCAATAACGGGGTCGATCTTCCCTTCCTCAGCAAGAGCAGTCAAGTCGACCGCATATTTCTGCAGGGCATCAAATCCCGCTTCTGCGTTCTTACTTTCCACTCGGCGGTTTCCTCTAGTCTGTTCGATAGCTGTCTTCAAGGCGGCCTCGGTGAGACCTGCTTCCTTGATGATAGATGATATCGACGGGTCCTTCAAGAGCGCGATAATTATATGGTCCTGCGCAATGTAGGAATCATGCATGGTTTTCTGTAACGATTGGGCCTCGCGCAAAACTTTCAATGCACCGGCGCTCATGGAGACCTCCTCAGGAGTTGGTGATTGCGAGGGTAGTCTGACAATGATCTTCTGAAGTCCACGCTTTACAATGACCTGTCATGAGGCGGGTGAGCATTGCATACCATGCTAGCATACATAGTGAATACGTACTGGATCTCCACCAGCCTTTTGTAGAACAGAAGAGAATAGGGAGCTTGCACCAGTGTTGGACAGACTGCCTGGTGAATCATCACCCGCACCCTCATTCAAAAGAGCTGCAGCTATATGGGCAGGGTGAACTTTGGAGAACGAGTGAATAGCAGTTAATTATCAGGAGAGTATGAACACATACGTTGAGCATTGGAGTAATCCTTTGCTAGTTGAATAGCAGCCGAGAGAGATTGTTGAGTTTTATCGGTGAAATCAAAGTTCATGGTGAAGGGGGAAAGTGAACTTGCAGAAGATAAAATTGGTAACAACGACTTCTTGACTGAGCTTTTTATCAACTTTGGTTAGCAGTAGTATGATCCAGAAGCAGGGAGCAAGTGACTCCTTTATCGAATGCATTCTAGAATTTGCTGGTGATGATATCATTACACGTGGCAGTGCAAAGACCTGGGCAGACCTGGACTCCAGTATATCACCCGGGCGCCTAAGCACGTGACAGCGAACAGTCTTACTAGGACCTTAGGCTACGGGCACTACGGTAGCATTTCCTCTTCTCCAATGGTCGCATTGGACACCGTCTGGCCCGCAGATTCGATCGAGTTCTGCCCTCACGAGAGTGCTTCTGATATCTTTGTTTGCGGGACCTATCGATTAGAACAGTCCCCCACTAAATCAGATCACGAACCTACGGCAAAAAAACAAAGTCAAGTCCGTCGTGGCAGGTGTCTTGTATTGCAGGTAACAGAGGACAGAGGAGTGTAAGCAAACAAATCGACTTCTGCTAATCACTGGTTTAACATCCATCATCAAGATCCCAAATTCAGGAAATCAGTCTTCCAGCTGTCCTCGACCAGAAATGGTGAGATCCGCTCGAGACGTATTAAATGTCAATATCAATATCTGGACAACCATAGGTGTCATACATCTCAAACGGCCTCTCCAGTACTCGGAATTGCAGACTCAGAAGGGAACGTTACCCTTCATGAATGGCACAAAGAAGAGGTGACTTCTGATGTATTTTAATTGCATAAATCGTGACCCAGAGATTTTAGCGCCAGCTCAAGGCACTTCAGAGTGTATCCTGCGCACCATCAGATGTTCTGTGCCTTTCCTTAGATTGGTCTACCCGAAGATACCCTACGAAGTACGCTAGCTCGAGAGACTGCAGGTAATTCTGACTCAGGATTCTGAGATAGCAATCACGGTTCTCTGGTGGTTTCCTTGTCAAACGGCTCGCTATGCGTTCTGAATCCTGATTCGACCGGCAATTTGACTATCGTCAACCGGTGGCACGCACACGATTACGAACCTTGGATTGCTGCTTGGAACTATTGGGATACGTCCATCATTTATTCGGGTGGAGACGACTTAACTATGAAGGGCTGGGATGTTCGACAAAGTTTTAGCCAGCCCATCTTTACAAATAAGCGGCATGTAACTATCTCCACATGTCTGTTTATTTCTCATACCCTCGAAGATTTAATGCAGGTGTCACAACTATCCAGAGCCATCCACACGTCGAATATATCATAGCCGTCGGAAGGTAGTAGGTCTTGCTTTGCTATCGATATCATGGCTTTTAAATTCGCGCACAGTTACGATAATAGCGTTTGCATTTTTGACACTCGGAAGCCGCTGGTACCGCTTGTCCAAGGAGATGTTGGAGGGGGTGCGTGGCGTGTCAAGTGGCATCCGTCACCTAGTCGTAAAGAGGATCTTCTCATTGCAAGCATGCACGACGGTTTCAAAGTGGCGAAGGCCCACCACGGAGAAGATGTAATGTGGGAAATTGTGAAGCGGTTTGATGACCACAAGTCGCTAGCATACGGCGCAGACTGGTCATTCGCTCCTCCAGGTGTAGATGGGGAGACACTGATCGGGAGTTGCTCATTCTACGACCACATGTTACACCTTTGGAGCGGCTAGTTAATAAAATGTAAGTGAGATACGTAAGGATATCCACTGGAAATGATTTTATGGTATATTCAGTGATATATCTGGGCGACTGCAAAGTATGCGGAAACAATAAATCGGAGCACTGCTCGCGATGTGCGCGAATCCTCCTAAATCCTCCAATCTCGGAGCTGGATTGCCGCGGGTTAAGTTGGCATTATAGAGCGTCCTACAAATGATGGACGCTTTGTGTGGAGATTGAGTTGGAGGATGGAGAAATAGGCATCTGAGGACAATTCTCAATCTGTTCTTTGCGTTTTTTCCACCACCCAACATTTGGCCCCCTCATGACAAAAGCGAGGGTCCATCGTGACAGACCTCTCAAAGATGCTGGTTCATGGACTGCAAAGGTGAGCAGTGAAGCCAGCGACAGAACAAACACGATTCTATTGCATCCCGTCAGCACCGCAAGGAAAATATTCTTTAAGAATACTAACCGCTCAACCAGCCTCGCACCGGCATGATTACCTGTAGTCCACTTGGCCGGTAAAGATGCTTTGACGGCCCTGGGCAACACATACAAGGCCATCTCTCCCCGTCTCCGCGTGTTCTCGATAAGTATACTCCAACCACACGTGAGCGATCCCACAAGAATACTGCCGTATGGCCCATCCCACACGTCATGAGGGATCCACGGGAACAGTTTTGCCAGCACCAAGGTACGTATAAGACAAGCAGTGAAGAAATATGACGACAGGAAGGTGGAGAGGAATGTTGCACTGCGGATTGCACCTAGCAGAGCGCGAATGGCGCGATGACGCTGGAGGATAGAGCTAGGGCGAGTAAAAAGGAGAGGAAGAAAGTGGACCTTCAAACATGATTAGCGGTGTATTGCAGTGCGCTCCAGGCCATACACTTACAGGCAGGTATAGAGCCATAGCCTCGATGAAAGTTTGAAAAAATCTCACGCCAACATTTGTAAAACAGCTGTTGTCGAGACCCCACCGCGTTGTAACGCGGGAATGCAGTAGTTCACAGGGCAATCCACCTACACCACTCCGGCCAGGTACTCCAAGCGCCTTCCAGACCACGTCCGCATCTGTACCACCACATGCAGGCAAGACATGTGGATCGCCCCAAGATGAAGGGTATCCGCGATCCTTGGCATATGACATCAGGAGGTGAGAATGGATGGAACTGTGGCCATAAACCCATTCTTTAGAACGCATAGCACGCAAGGCGTCCAGCAGCCGTTTGTCTACGTTGGCTATGGATGATATCCTGATAAGTGAATGATCATAAAACGATGAGCGAGAGCTTCCCGGTATGTTGATCTACTAACCATTTTACATAAGAAGGGGGAAGTCTGTAAAAGAGTGGATTTAGACACTAATCCGATTTATTTTCATGGTAAGCACCTATGCGGCTGGTAGAAGAAACACCACATGATTCTGATATTGCATGAATATATTGACATCAAGCATGCTAGATATCACGTACCTAGCACTGCAGGCCCAAAATACAACAGCGTCCAGCCATACAGCTCTATTTTGATGCCACTTCTTAGTTTTTCCATCGCCTTCAGCAGGTGATTGTAAATCAACAGATGATCCAGTTGGCTTCGATCGATTTGCGGAAATGTTGAATAGGATAGATTTCCGTGCTGAATCCATGAACAAGAAATGTTGCATGAATGCATCGGTTGCACGACAGAAAAACAAGAGCGTCAATCCCAAGGTTGCGAATGGTTGACGAGTCCTTTGGAGCAAGAACAATGCGATTGTTGAGGACAAAACATTTGACAGGAACGCTTTCTGGGAGGGGGTGGAGTTAGATATGCCTGAGCATGCCTGAGTCACGAGCGAGAGGACTGTTGCACGTCGTTGGAATGTGGAGTTTACCACTGGCTGTTGTCGAACTTCTGGATTGTCTTGTTTATCGACATGGTGGACACCTAGTGCTTCCAGGAAGTGCTTCAATGCAATTCCGCCACAAACGGCTATCGTGATGGCGAATGGAAATCCTGTAAGGCCCACTTCGCGTTTCAACACGCGTCTGAATGAATCCAAGCGAGTTTTCAGACTGGATGAAGGATTGACGAGGGTAAGAACAACTGGAAGTAGTGCAGGACCAAGAGAGGAAGATAGGCTGAGAGAATATGTGCGAAGGGCGACCTTCACCAGATGACCTGGGTCATCTGCCAGCCAGAGATTCTTCGTATTAATATTGGCGCTATTTCTCCACGATGTCTTGCTATGATCCGAATCTGGTTCAATGTGCTCCGAGTCCATGACCCGAGGAGACGGCGCTGGGCTCAGCGGTTCGAAAACGATATACACTGGTGTTGCACGACCCTTAAGTACTGCTGTACAGTATTTACACATATTACGATTAGCATAATGATATCGATATGATCCGTATGGTGATCTCCATGGAAGTCACACGTAAAATTTTGACCGCTCTCGCGGTGACTCTGTGACTTGCTATTTAGTTCCAAAATAATTTGCCATGACATCTTCATCAGAGAGCTCTTCTCCTTCCGGTCCTTGGCTCCGACCCCAACCCCGCTCTGCTTAATCATCTTTGTCAAGTACTTTGCCTAAGCCCTTCCAATAACTCCAGAAGTCAACCTCAGTAGAAAAGAACCCATCTCCGAGACTTTGTCCTAATTCACGAGCTAGACCGGCGCGTTTGACGAGACTGATGAACTGTGCTCTTGAATCTGGGAAGACAAACGATCGGAGTACTGCATCTCCCTACGAAAGTGATATCAAATGACGATATAATTGTCAATGGAGATGCATACGTGGTTCTGAAGAAGTGCTCCTAAGTATCGTAGAGGTGGAGTTTGGATGTCCGAGGCATCATTTTCCAACCTCAGTGGTGGAGAGGAATCAGATTCAGGAAGCTTCCCTTTGTCCACCGGGTCGGTATTAGAAACACCAGAGAGGTACGGCGAAAGCCACATGCGCCAAAGCTCAAGTTTGCGACCATCTCGACTGAGGTTTCGCATCAGGCGGTGACAGCGCTCCCAATCTTGTTCACTTCCTTCCCATTCCAAGTCGGCCGAACAAGCAACCTCGTCAAGCGAGATCTCTGATTGAGGGTGAACGAGAGAGACAATACTTGTGTCCAAAGGCCGGTCAGACTGCCTGCTCTTGCTGGAGGATGGAGATGGACCCCCCGAATGCGCTGTTGTATGTTGTGCCGGACGCATCATCAGTCTTACCCATCGCCTTCTCCGTACCCAGGCACCGGTGCTTAATTTGCCGATCTCTGCGCGCCAGTGTTTCTCCCGAAAAAACCAGTTGTACTCAAAACCGTCATATTGAACTTCTCCTGAGTCTGTGCGCATGTCAATCATCCATGATCTGGAGACCCAACGCCAAGTGCCATCGGGCAGTGGGTAATTGGAAAGAGATATGTTCGGTTGCTGAGATCGTTTCAAAGAATCGGACGGGATAGTGAATTGTGGAGGATCGACGGGAAGCAGTGATAGGTGTGAATAATACGGGGAAGAGAGTATGGTGAGGCTTGGGATGATACTTAGCATCTGCCACACATAAGTGAGTAAATGGTGTACGTACCCTCTCTGATTCTCATATACAACAGCCCAACGATAATCGTCCTTATTTATGCCAGGGATATCTGAGATGCCTGAGATATCCAAAGTAATTATGGTGGTATTATCGTTGGTTTGTTCAAGAGGTGGTACTAGTTGCTCTATGGGCTTGTTTGAGCTGTCTGCCTCGGATTCTGCATCCGCTGGTCGTGGTTCATGATGCCTAAAGCGGCAACAGGAGAAAAGGTTTGGAGGGAAAGAAAATATACTCAGACGAGTCTTTGGAGCCAAACGACGACGTGCTGGCTCTGCGGCTGAAGGATCGTCGAGCGTTAATATTGCCTGGGGAGGAGCAAGCCACTGAGGCCCGGCCAGCGAGCACAAGTCCTGGATTTGGAGCTCACCGGTACCACTAGTACTGCTCGACATTGCGAGGACGAATGATGATGTTGTCCAAAGGCTCGCCTAGCATGTACTCAGTGGCTACTGTGATGGTCAGCTTCTATGTACGGTACTTATATATAAGTCCTACAAAATAATAATATATCACACATGACGAAATTGTTCTAAAAAGGAAATTTCCATGCTTTTCATTTCCATCTTCTAGCTTAGTCAACAAGTACCCCTCATCCGAATGTTCCGTCCTATCCTTGTCCGTGTGGTCGCTGCTGCTCAAGCAACTCATCGACCGTTGGCGCTGTCGAACAGATATCATGCAAGAGCATTCACCGACAAAGCTAGCTCATCTTCTCAAAGGCACTCTGTGGTCACTTCATTAACTAAGACGTGTCCATCATGTGGGACTATTCTTCCAACTGCGTTGCCTGCCTGTCCGAACTGCAATTATATTGCAAGGATCCACGATTCAATATCATACCACGATATACTGGGTCTTCCTTACGAGCCGAACCCGTTTGTGGTGGATGCTGCGCTTCTTAAACGCCGTTTCATTGAAGCACAGAGGGTATCGCACCCAGACGCGTGGGCAACGAAGAATGAAGTGAGTGATTCTACTCACAGTACTAGCGGAGATTTATTCAGCAGTTCCAACGAGTTATCGCACTTCACATGTCAAATACGGTGAACACTGCGTACAAAGCACTGTCGTCACCCTTGCACCGCATAGAATATATTTTGCAGCGGAATGGCCTCATGATCGAAGAAGCAGATTCGTTAGAGGATCCCGAACTGATCAGCGAAATCATGGAAGTCCGAGAGGAGATTGAAACTGGCGACATAGAGCGAATTCGCGCCATAGAAGAGGACAATGATAGCGAGTTTTTGTCATTTGCGAACGTTTGGCAGGTACTGACACTTGTGGTCACAGACAAAATTAATGAAGTTGTGAGCGCAGTCACAAAATCTGTAGCCGAAAAGAACTGGGAGGAAACTAAAGTTGCAGCAGTGCGACTGAAATATCTGAATGGAATTGCGGACGCTCTCAAGCAGCGATTAGACAACATGTAAATAGACTATACACCAACAACAGCTTATTATCCACCGTCACACATGTCACACTGACATTGATGATGACAAAGCAACTTGAGTTCAATTTTGATTTTAGTTGGCACTTCCTGCAATCGTGGCCGACCAGACTACCCGTCATTGGTCCACCATTGGTCCATTGGCTTTTCATCATCTCAAGTCATCATGATAATCCATGCCTTTGCTATTCGACAATTCGGGCGTCACCTCCTGCCATTGGATACATTGAAACGTTCTTTTTTCGTAGCCTCTTTCAAAAGACCCTTCGCCAGTTACGCGACAGCAAGCGTGCAGAAGAACCATACTGCAAGTGTCGATCATTCTCGGTCACGTAGCTTGCCCCACACTTCAGAGCAATGGCCGAATAAAGCTCCAAAGTTAGCGGGAGCTTTCACAAATATTCCTACAAAATCCGCATCCTCACAAGGCACGCAACGCAACGCTACTGTATCACCTCCATTCGAGATGCCATCTTCACCCAAATCCAGTAGCACGCTTGTGCGTGTATCTGATTTGTCGTCTCAGAAAAAATCATCGAAGCGTAGAGTGGAGAGGAGTAGGGGCAAGATCAAAGAACAGCCCTCGAAAGCGAGACTTCTAGACCTTGACGGCCCTATTCGTGACGCGGCATTTATTGAACAGGAGCACAGGAAGAATCTTGGCTCCCGTCCTGACATAAAGCCCGTGTTTGTAGACAACCCAAAATCTCCGGTCGCCAATTTTTCTCTCGCTCACCTGGACAAGCAACCAGCTTATGATTCAGTCGAGGGCATTGTTTCTGGTACATCAGAGAGGGTATACAGGTCGGTAATGAATCTGTTAGCGATATTATTTGGCTTGTGCTTATAGCATTATAAAGGGCAACCGTTACTCTCGATACGACTCTTCCAGTGCTTGGTATTGGCGATCATAGAGCAAGGAGAGATGCTGAGAGGCTTGCAGCGCTTTCAGCTCTCTATCAACTTCATGATACAGGTCAGGTATGTGTCACAAATTGCAAATCACTTAACTGGTTTTAATAAATGCGGTCAGCTTGACAAATCCAAGCCTTCAACACCCTCGATTTCTGCTCCACAAGTCATCGAGCTGAGCGATGGTTCAGTTATTGACTACGAGCGCGCGCGAAGCTTTATGGACTACTATTGTCGCAGATATGCGTTTGGAAAGCCTGACATCGGGCTGGAAGAACAGCGTCAGGGGCGCATGAAATCAACTTGGGAAGCCGTTATGACTGTGGGTGACAAAAAGATCGGCATGGGCTCCGGCGCCAACAAGAAAGCAGCTCAAATACAGTGCTACTTGGATGTTGTGCAGTATTTGCAGCAATGTGACCCTGACCTGTGGAAGACTTTTGTGGAAGCGTCCAAAACTGGGAAGGACCTTGGTCTAGCCCCGAAGGTTTACTTCCAGATTAGCACAAAACTCGAGGATGAGATACACAGGCTAAGCAACGATATCAAAAAGAGCACTTTATACAGGAACAGACCCGTTATTGAGTGCGGCTCAGACACTCCGAGATCTCAACCTATCCCTGTTCCTACCCCACGACCATCCTATGCCCGCAGGTTTCCTCAGGGTTTCTTGGCCCAAAGATCGGAAGAACTCAGGGAACGGAGAAAAAACTACCTCACAGATCCAGCGATGGAAAAGATGCGGAACACACGAGCTGCGTTGCCCGTCTATACTCGATCGGAGGAGCTTGTGTCGCATATACGTGAGAATGATGTCACGATTTGCATGGCTGCGACGGGTTCAGGCAAAACCACGCAGATACCACAACTACTCCTGGACGACCACATTGACAGAGGTGAGGGTGCTCGTTGCAACCTCATTTGCACTCAGCCACGTCGGCTTGCTGCACTCAGTGTAGCTAACCGTGTCGCTCAGGAGAGAGGGGAGGTTGTCGGTAAAGGATCAATTGGCTACAGCGTTCGTTTCGAGTCCAAATTGCCAGAAGAGCATGGTTCTGTTACTTTTTGCACCACGGGAGTGTTACTCAAAAAACTTCAGTCAGCAATGGCTGAAGGCGGGCTATCGGCTGCCAGGATGGACGAGGTGACGCACATCGTTGTCGATGAAGTCCACGAGCGGGATGTTGATACCGACCTCCTCCTTGTTGTTCTCAAGCGCCTTATGAATGACCGCAAGGCTCGAAATATTCCACTAAAGATCATCCTCATGAGTGCCACTATCGATCCTACCCTGTTCCAAGAGTACTTCCCTGACGAGCGAGGTGAACCGGCAAAAGTAATCGAGATCCCAGGTCGCACGTATCCCGTCACGAAACACTTCATGGATGATTTCATCCCTGAACTGAGAAACCATCGCGCGTTAAATTGGGTGTTCCAAGATGACTTAGTCTCTAAATACCTCGCTCGTGAGGAAGCTTATGCGCGGTCTTGTGGGCGCTCAATGACAGAGGAAGACACCCGCGTGCCGAGCGGTAGAGATGAAGAACTGGAACTACCGTGTCCCTTGGTCGCAGCTAGCATATCCTATGTCTTGCAGCGGTCTAACTCGGGACATGTTTTAGTCTTCCTACCTGGGTGGGACGAGATATCTGCAGTTCAGAAGATTCTCCTTGGTGGAAGTTTGGATATCAACTTCAACGACTCCTCAAAGTACAGCATTCACCTTCTCCACTCTACCATTCCTCTGTCCGAACAGCAAGTCATTTTTGAGCCCCCGCCAGTGGGTGTTCGTAGAATCATTCTGGCTACTAATATTGCGGAGACCTCCATAACAATTCCTGACGTTGTCTATGTTGTTGACGCTGCGAGGACCAAGGAACAGCGATACGATCCTGACCGTCACATGTCGTCCCTCATCTCCGCCTGGGTTGGGTCCTCCAACTTGAACCAAAGAGCAGGGCGGGCGGGTAGACACCGGCCCGGCGAGTATTTCGGCATTCTCAGCAAGGCTCGTGCAGCCAATCTTCATCCTCATCCAACCGTGGAAATGAAACGCGTCGACCTAAGCAATGTTGTTATGCACGTCAAGGCTCTCAGTTTCCCCGGGATGGACGTCGAAGAAGTTCTCGCTGCCGCTATCGAACCCCCTGAGCCTGACCGTGTCGCCGCTGCTATGAAGAACCTACAAATGGTAGGTGCGCTGGATCAAGGCAAGAACCTTACGTCACTGGGAAAGGTTCTACTACAACTACCTGTGGAGGTCCAAGTGGGAAGGCTCGTCCTTTACGGAAGCTTTTTCCGGTGTCTCGACCAGGCTCTTACTCTCGCCGCCATTCTGACCAATCGGGATCCATTTTTCTCCCCTATGCACCTGAAGGCTAAGGCTGCTGCTATTAAGAACAAATGGTCGCCCAGCGGGTTCAGGTCAGATCCGCTTACCATATTGAACGCTTATAACGCGTGGAACGAGATACAGCGTCGCGGCGAGTATACGGCAGCCAATCGTTTCTGTAACGACAACTTCCTCTCAAAGCCAACGCTACTCTTGATTACCAAGATCCGCGGGCACTTGATGCAGTCTCTGTACCAAGCAGGAGTCATTGATGTTTCTGCGGGTGGGAACGTCACCTCAATTGAGTCTAGAAGTCGGGAGTCGACCGTACCACCTGATCTGAACGTTAATGGCAAATCCCTTCCTCTCCTGGCTGCTCTGATAGCAATAGCTTCGCAGCCAAAGTATGCTGTTCGGACCGGCGAGATGACTTATCGTACTCAGAGGGACAAGGTGAGCTTCATACAGTCATTGACCTCTCGTTTCATAGACTAATTATATGCAGGTGACCTTTATACATCCAGGCAGCGTAAATCATCGCAAGCACACCGATGGGAATGACCAGGCCGTGGAAAAACAGCTTTATGCATTTTCTGAAAAACGACAGAATTTGTCGGTGGTCGGCTCCAGTCCTCAAACATATTTGATTACCACGACCCGCCTGGACCCAATGACTTACATGCTCTTTGGCGCCTACGAGATCCAAGTCACTGAACGAGGACTGGAATGTGATGGCTGGTTGCCAATCGTTGGGAATGTCGATGTATTGGATGATATCCAACGTTTGAAGACCGTCATGGAGTCTTGTATGCTTCGAGTGTTCGAGGGTATTGTGATGGCTCGACGGAAGCGACGTCAAGCACTGACTACCCAGATTTCGGCTTCAGAGGAGAGCGAGAGCGAATGTGAGGATGAAGGCATACTCAACAAGGACTACACCCTCTCTACCACAGAGATCAAAGAACTAGATTTCATGACGGCAGATATAGTACGGATCCTCAATCGCTTCAGCGACGAGCGCATTGCATATCAATCTTGGTCCAAACCTCGCACCGCGACTTCCATGGCTTCTTCCAGACCCTCCACACAGTTTGTCCCCTGGTCTGAGTTCTCCACTCCATATGGTGTCGGGTCAGCCTACAACTCAAGGCGGCCCGATACATCTATCTATCGTTCGTCTACCAGTTCACGCAGATTTTAGACGCCACTACTATATATCATCATCATGTCATTGTCTGATTGCACTTCCAGGTCTATCCCTCCTCATTTAGACATTTTCTGTACACTTAAATATCACTAATATAACGTATCTTCGCATTGCATAGTAATATCCGCAGGAGTCATAAGTCTAAGAGGACAAGATAACGTAAGTAATAGAAACTCAATCGAGATGTTTCCCATGTAGCGTAAGCACCGTAACTGGTCAGCGCACATTGTCGAGTCGAGTACGCGGACGTGCCTCTATTTTCTCGCCGTACAGCCATTCAAAAGAGCTCAGTTTGTTCTACTCATTAATTTCTTCTACTAGTTACTTTCCAGGAGCATCTACCAAAGATGGCTGCCAATATGCGGGGGCTAACCCAGGTACGTCCCTACAAAGTTATGTCGACCCATTAATCATATTCTCTGTAGTTTATCGCGGATATTCGAGGTGCGAGGGTGCGTGAACTGGAGGAGAAGCGTATCAACAAGGAGATGGCGAATATCCGAAAGAAATTCAAAGGTCCAATGCATCCTAATCACTCGTATAGTTTGGTGCTCATGTCACTGCAGACGGAAATCTGGACGGATATCAAAAGAAGAAGTGAGTATCTCACTGTCGAAGTCGTGCACGTCTTCAACAATGAACAGATATGTCGCGAAGATTATCTTCACGTATATACTTGGGTACAAGGTCGATGTGGGGCACATGGAAGCCGTCAACCTCATATCGAGTTCCAAGTACAGTGAGAAACAGATAGTGAGGTTGATGAACAAGTTCATCGGATGTACCATTGATAATGCACGCGTAGGGTTACCTTGCTGTTACTCTGCTGATGCACGAAAACTCGGATTTCCTTCGACTGGTTGTCAACTCCATTCGGAAAGATCTAGATGAGAATAACGAGGTCAACAATTGCCTTGCCTTGCATGCCATAGCAAATGTGGGTAGCAGCGAAATGGCAGAGGCGCTGTCAGAAGATGTGCATAGGCTTCTGATATCCCCGTGAGTGATCCACTTACTGTCTACAATTCAAGTACAAAAAAATTCATTCGTACTCGGAGAACCTCGCAAACTTTTGTGAAGAAGAAAGCTGCTTTGACGCTACTGCGACTCTACCGCAAACATCCCACTGTGATACCTGCCGCTGAATGGGCTTTGCGTCTAGTATCTATCATGGATGACCAAGATCTAGTAGGTTATCATTTACACTGGCGTTCGGTGTTGAAACACTTTGTAGGGTGTCGTAATATGCGTTACCAGCCTAATCATGGCTCTTGCCCAGGACCACCTTGATGCTTACGTTGTTTGCTACACTAAAGCTGTAGATCGCTTACATCGAGTAAGTATATGGCGTCAAAGTTGGGATCCATTGTGGCTGAGTATCCCCAGTTAGTCATAGAGGGCGAGTATTCTGCCACATATGCATATTATAAAGTCCCTTCGCCATGGCTACAAGTCAAATTGCTCCGATTGTTGCAGTACTATGCCCCCTCTGGTATGTGCGTGATCAAGCGAGCCATATTATCCCTCACATTATTGCTCTTAGAGGACGCGACTGTGCGGTCTGTACTCTATGAAGTGCTACAGACAATCATGAACAATAGCGCAGAGCCCTCGAGGAACGTTCAACATAACAATGCGCAACATGCCGTGCTCTTTGAAGCAATCAGCCTGGCGATTCATTTAGATGCAAGCTCGCCCCTTGTGGGAACCTCTGCAGTTCTGTTGGCTCGGTTCATATCCTCAAAAGAGACAAACGTACGATATCTTGGTCTGGACACCATGGCTCATCTTGCTGCTCGTGCAGATTCTCTGGAGCCCCTTAAGAAGCACCAAGGAACCATCATCCTATCTCTTCGCGACAAGGATATCTCCGTCCGAAGGCGTGCTCTTGACTTGCTATACAGCATGTGCGATACAGATAATTCAGAGCTAATTGTCGGGGAGTTGCTACGCTACCTCAAAGTTGCAGATTATGCTCTGCGGGAGGAGATGGTCCTAAAAATTGCTATCTTGACAGAGAAGTACGCAAACTCATACAAGTGGTATGTCGATACGATCCTGCAGCTAATCAGCGCTGCTGGTGATCATGTCGGGGATGAAGTCTGGTACCGTGTCGTGCAGATAGTTACAAATACGGATGATCTGCAGGAATATGCTGCAAAAGTCGTCTTCGAGCACCTGAAGTCCCCATCCACACATGAAAGCCTTGTCAAAGTTGGAGGTAAGATAAACTCCTGTTCGAATTCAATTTAGTGACATGTGACCTTACAGGATACATCCTGGGAGAATATGGACATCTCATCGCGAATGACACCGGCTACAGTCCTCTTGAACAATTCCAGGTCCTTCACTCCAAATCTCAATTTTGTGTCGCTTCCACTCGTTCCCTTCTCTTATCGACGTACATCAAATGGGTTAATGTCTTTCCCGAAATAAAGCCTCAGCTTATCAACATCTTTGAACGATATAGACATGTTCTGGATGCAGAGCTGCAGCAGCGGGCCTGTGAATTCTACTCGCTCGCATCTAGGCCTGATGACGATGAAGTGTTGCAGAACGTTTGCGAAGAGATGCCACCATTCCCTCCTCGCGTCAGCGCTCTGATTGGTAGACTCAACCGTAAACTCGGAGATACAGAGGACAAGCGCACCTGGATACATGGAGGAAAGGAAATGAACCTCGAGCGACACGCAATTCCACGGAAAGCGTCAATAGGAACAGGCTCATCTGCCTCTGGGACAGCTAATGTTACTGGCACTGCAGATACACAAGACGTCATGAGCTCTTTGGCAGGATTGAATTTATCTAGCCCAGGTGAACAGCCAGACATGTCCCGCGTGGACAGCTCCGTGGTTGCCCCTCGGGTCGCGGTCGGACCCAGCGTTGAAAAGTGGTTTAACAAGCTCATCTACAACGCGGATGGCGTCCTCTACGAGGATGTGCAGATCCAAATTGGAATCAAATCAAGGTACCAGGGGCATCTCGGCCAGCTAGCCATCTATTTTGGCAATAAAACATCAGTACCATTGACGTCATTCACTTCCACCATCCACGTCAATGACTCGGAGGCTTTGTCGGCTACATTTGCTAAAATTCCACCAAATATTCTTGTTCCTCGCACACAAAGCCAACAACTTCTGCATGTTGAATGTAAAAAGGCGTTTAGCTCCTTCCCCATCCTCACAGTGTCCTTTTTAGCCGGCGCGCATCAGTCCATATCAATTCGACTGCCAATCAGCGTTACGAAGTTCATTGAAGGTGTCAAGCTGGGGCAAGCTGACTTCTTCGAGCGCTGGAAGGTCATCGGTGGTCCTCCACGCGAGGCACAGGCAGTTTTCCCTATTACACTTGATGGTACTGGTCAGCTTGATCTCGTACGATACCGTCAAGTGGTTTCAGGAAACCATCTGGAGATACTGGGAGATGTTGATCCCAACCCAAACAACCTAGTGACAGCTGGAGTTTTGCATACATCGGTTGATGGGAAGGTCGGATGCTTGCTTCGCTTAGAACCAAATCGTGAGGCAAAGGTGAGTTCTTACCGTCTCCTTATGATTCTATAGATTGACGTGAATTAGTTGTGCCGACTAACAGTCCGCAGCACTTCTGAGGATGTCGCCGCAGAAGTGCTTAGGCTGATTGAAAAATTGCTAAGATTAGATTCTTCTTGATTACACATGCATCGGTGGACATTTATGTGGCTCGATTTCCTTCGAGGATTCAAGGATTGTATATCTGATACTTCATACAGTACGCAAAACGTAATATAATAGGAAGAAACAAAAAAGACAATAAATATGATGGTCAATTATCGTTTCGCAAGTATACCCTGCAGCACATTCTTTCTCTTCCTGCTAGCTTCAAGATCTTGAAACTCAGGTGGACTACGTAGAGACTGTGCACTTGCAGGGAATGCAAGTGACGAGATCGAGTCAGCTGATATTGATTTAGGTCGCAGAAAGCGCGGACGATGCGTTGCTCGTGTAAATCGCTCTTCGGGAGATGAGGTGACCTTTGGGCTTGAAGGAATATCGGACACAGAGCCTCTACGTAGACCGGACAGGTCATGGAGGACAGGACTTGAAGGTGTCATGTTGCTGGATGACGCTTTTTGGTACTCTGCTTCTGACAAATCAGATAGTGATGGTGCGACACACGGCCTTGACACCTTCTGCGACTCAACAATTTTCGGAGGCGAGGCTGTGGATGAAAGAGCGGCGGAAGAGACCGTGGATGTTATTCGAGGTGCATCCCATTTAACGGCAATAGGACATGATTCCACACTGGCTAGTTGGCTGACGCGAGCCAGACTCTGGTCCTCCAGGTCGAGGCATTGAGCACAAAGACCTGACAGATGCTCATTGTCTCCTTCGAAGGATTTGCCCTTTGGGTCAGCGGACCGTGCACTTCGGAGAACCGAGGAAGTGATACGAGCTAAATGCCTTGGAATATCAAGCACATGGGGTAGCAACGGAATCGACTCTCTTTCTAGGACAGGCATCGTAGTACTTCTCTCGTGCAATGAACTGACCACATCGAGCCGTTGGTGGCTGTGAGCTGGGTGAACAGAATGTGGACTACATGGATCTAGCGGGACAGGAGTCGAGACGACCATAATGTAATCTACCATTGTAGGCAGATTCTGTTTGAGGAAGTCCTTGATCCCGCGCATGAACTCCTCCTTCTGTACATTCTGCTCGAGAGGTAATTAATGAGCGACAGTGAAAACAAGAAAGCAAGGGATCTCACGGGATTAAGATTCGCAAGACTTTGTATGACCTTTGCGATGAGTGTGAGACTGCGTTGAATGCGAGCACTGGGAAGACCTGGGGTTGATCAGATTTACGAAAGGCGCGATGGGAATATTCAATACCTGGGTATAACCCAAATAGATGAGGGTTCAAGATGCCAGGGACAATAAATCTTAAGAAGCAAAAGGCGGAAACGCTCTGCCAGGGGAGTTCGCGGTTATGAGGGTCTTGAGAATCCTTCGTGTGATAATGTTTCTCAACGAGCTTTCTCACGTGTTCGAACAGACGTCGCAACTCGCTAAATTTGACTCAGTCTGAGTCAAATCAGAATGACGTAGTACTCACTTCGGACACTGGCCCCTTACAGCATATATCTGGTTCCACACCTCTTGGCTCCAATGTATTAGTTGATCCACGCCACGTTCGACCTCTTTTGCACCTTTGCCGCTCCTCACAGGATCAACCTCGATAGCAATTTTTTCGGAGCAAATGCGCCGAATGGTACATCCGATGCTGGACTCGAGAAATGCTTTCCCATAAAATGCCATTGCAAGCTCCATCGTCTTTGTGAAAGTGGTATTCCCGCGGAAAATCGTATTGTGAGCTGCAAAAGTGGTCAGTAAGGTAACTCATGGCACATGATGATGGATCACTGACAGCTAGGTGTACCATCAACTTCACGATCGGCATATTCCGTGATATGCTCAACAAGAATGTTCTTGGCAATCGCGATGCACATCAACTGATAAGAAGTAGTCCGCAAGTGGAGCCTGCGCTCGAAGTCACTCATCCATTCTAGGACATTTCTGTCGCGGAGTACCTGGCAACCAAATACAACTATATGTCAGCAGAAGTGGTGTTTGGGACGACTTACAGTCAAAAGGCCCGAATAGCTATTATGGGGCAATATTATCTCCCTTGAACAAATTTCAGTCTGCGCTAGTCTGCGAATGTACGGAATACTTACTCGTCGACGGTGAGTTTCATTCGTATCTCCCCAACTTGAATACTGTTGCTCACTCCGCCAGCTTGTATCACCGGAAACCATCCTTCTACCACTTCATTTCGACGAAAGTTCGTCAGTGCAATGCGGACCGAGCCAAGCAAGATGGGTTTCAGAAGCCTCTTCTCTCTCCAGACTGTGACCTCGAGGGTCTCAAAAGGGGGCAAATCTGAAAATGAGAAATTCTCAAGCCAGTCGGGAGACCCTATCCCCTTCTTGACCGTCGTGCGAGCACATATGTTGTTGTTAAGATTAATTTCGCAAAAGGCATCCAAATCGACGGGGTCTGCCTCTCGCGGGTCGCCTTCGCTAAGCGTAGCAGAGCTAGCATTTGCGTCTAATTGGGCCTTGAAGTGATTCCCTAGGTTGCGTCCTTGCAAAATTGACAGCTCTACCTGCCGCCACATACGGTAGAGCCCGCCATCCCGTGAGACGAAGGTTTGCCCATATATCTCCGGTTTAGAATATGATCGTAACAGGACCAGCCAAGTGTTGCACGTATCGGCGTCTTCAAATTGAAAATAGATAGACTCTGTGTTAGCTGGGGAGCCCCACCGCTGCCCTCTTTGAGAGTAGTCTCATCAGCAGTGCCGCAAACAGGATAAAAAATAACTTGCCCAGCAGATGCAAGCGCCAGACAATTCTTGCGAAGAAATAAGGAGGAGTCAGCATGTCGGATATCAAAGTGGTTGAGCCTATGTATGTATATGGTCTGGTACAGAATAGTCTCCTGTGGAGGCATTCAGAAGATTGTAGGACGCCTGTTTCCTGAGACCCACGTCGACATAAATGTTAAGCGAACAGCCTTCGTCCTCGTCCGTCAGTTTACATGTTGCAGGTCGCCACTGTCCAGCGCCTGGTGGAGTCCGAGCTACCGATATCCAGCTAGACTTTTCTGGAGACGCATAAATAGTGATGTGGCAGAACAGAAGTATTCTCACCTTTGAGTGACCTAGGGGTTTCTTCCGACTTGCTAGTGTCAGCTTTACGGCGAGTGACCACTGGCTGCGAGCGGTTAGATATATCTAAGTACGACATGTACGTGAGACTCACCTTCCGAAGCCCAAAACTTGCCACAGTGGGGACATACAATTCTACGGATACCAAGAACTCCCGAGGGCAACCGGAGGTCCCAGTAGACTGCGTTGAGTCTGATAATTCAGACATTGGAGCACGATTGACTGAGTTTCGTTGGTAAGGCAGTCCCTATCGTCAACTTTGAATCATTCAAGACAGCCGTTGCAAATTGACTTGCTGCGCTTTACGGTATGAATATTTTGCTGCACCGCAATGCGTGTACACTCCTCGTAGTGTATGAGTTAATGTAGGGATAGCGATGATGATGGGAAGAAACGAAGATATTCGTGTGTATCAGAGCTAGTCAACGAGTGATAGTCAGTTCTCAGGAATTCGGCTTCACTGCCAGTGGCGAGTAACCTGAGGCCAATTTTTCGGAGCTGCAAAATGCAACTTAACCGCTGATGATCAATTAATTGTAGTCTTTGGTACAAGCTTGGAGGCAAGAAAAGCCAATCAATGATATACAGTGCAGTGACACAGTGAGAATAAGCGTCGGATGATGCATAGATGATGATCACTGGCGAGGAATTGCCGCAGCCAATCCTTACGGCACAGCAAATGATGATTATGCAGCACACACAAATCGGGGGACTTCGCTTCGCACGACAAGAAAAATCACTCTAGGATAGTATCATGGAGGAGTAGTGGCATTTCATCTGGGTATTACTACGGTACTCTTGTTCGTGAAATGTCTTTTGCGCTCTAAAACAGCTTCCAAGCACACCCGTATGCTAACATGCATGCCCACAACGAAAGCAATATCCGAAAGGAAACAAATATGCAAAAGAAATACTCAACCATAAAAAAATAAGGCGATGGAGAGCAGCTAAATTGACAAGAACGACAGGCTGTATGAAAAGATTGGACAGGTGAACTGGTGGTGAACTCGTTGATGCATTCTGTATATTAGTGTCTTGCGTGGTGCTAGATGAGTATAGGTAATCGCTTGGCCACTTGCATAGCCATATCGTCATGAAGTTGTGGATTGCGCCCTCAGTCCTTTTTGTGGCTATCAAAAGTTTCAACATCAACGTGCGATATAAGAGGGAGGGTTTACACACCTGTTTCCATTGTAAGCATGACCATTGGAGATACCGTTGGCTGTAGGCTTCTTTCCCTTGGAGGATTTCTTGTACGTTTGAATGTAAAAGTTGATGAACAAACCAAGGTAGGTGGTGAGAAGGCCACATCCGAAGAGAGCAGCAGTTTCGGTGCCAGCACAATTCGACCAGTGAGGGAGGTGATGGTAATGAGTAGCTGCGTAATGTTGGTAGGCTTAGGTTGGATTTAGCATTTATATCAGGCTATAAATTGATAAACTCACTGCCGAAGTAAACAATAACAATGTCGATGATGAACTGAATGATCTGCATAGATGTAAGATATTTCTTCCACTAATTGCGGGAATATCTCAGTGAAATATACGTCAACATTGTAGACCGCGTACGCACCCATATTTTGGCACCACCAGCAGTCGCAAAGTAGTAATAATCTTCATGGTCCGATAAGCGCACGCATACCACAGCAAAAAGAGACCTTACACATGATGACGTGGACTGCCAGATTCAAAGAAATCACAACCCATGACTAAATTCGGAGACGTCAAGCAACCGCTGGCAGAGATGGCCACGTAGACATACCACACTTGTTTTGCCGTTAAGTTGCACAAAGCATAACAGAGCAGTCGCAGAATGATGGAATACATGAAGGAAAGCTAAAATGACCGGTCAGCGCGTGAATCCTACGAACGATACGGCCACGCGTACCAAGAGGTTTCTTTTTGAGAGCGAGGAACACCGTGTCAAAAAGTTCGATGTACTTGAAGTAATAGTTGACCATGTAATAAAATTCCAGCCTCTGGGGTGATGGATGAGTCTCAAAAGATAGATATTGGATCAACGTGTCCAAACGTACCTCGGTCCATGAGGTCTCATCACACATTGTGCCGTAGGTCGTATTTGTGAGCCATATCGAGCCAACTTCTTCCATCATAAGGACAAGAAGGATGAGACTTCCAACACTGAGGAAAGCGTTGTGTATGCGAAAGAGGGTGTTGAGCCGCTGTGGAGATCGATCCTTCATGATTTCACGAATACCAAATATTACAGCGAGGTACGACGCAAGGGCCGTAGTGACGACGGGCCATGTCGACAAGGGCGTCTCGCCTTGGATGTAGCTTTTAAGATATATAGGAATGGAGTCCTTTGGGACGACAGTGAGGAGGAAGTCGGCGAGAAAAGTCATGGGAGACGTGGAAACAAAGTCAAGAACTAAAGTTGAAAAATTCAAGCGTGAAAAGTAATAGGTGTTTACATACAACAATGCCGAGGTGTGACCTATCTGTCACAACTCACATTTCCTTAAATTCTCAGATTGCCATGGCAGAGCGAACTTCATCATGGGAGACAAACCTGGTAGTAGGTGGACACGTTTACACACCTAGAACAAACCTAGAACGTTCCATCCTTGGAGGGTAGGTAGAGCCCAACATTCAAGATTTATACAGTGGATTGTTTTACTTATCTATTGGTACAGATAGCAATGCAAAAGGTGTGTAGATGTATATTATACGATGCTTCGATGTCTCAGAAGTTACAAAGAAATTAGGAAATGATTAACGCGGGGCCGCACTCCAGGTCAGCCAATAAAACCTTCTCCCTGCACTGTGGTGAGATACAACTTTAAATATTCCAATTTGCATTACCTTGCATGTATGTTCGCATTCTGCAGAATTTCGACTGCAGCTGACCTCACCTTCGGTGCACTGAGCTCAGTCGGCAATGCACAGATGAAACAGAGCGAAGAGTTTGAGGGAGCAAGTCGATAAGATGCGGAAATCTGGAACGTCTGTTAGAGAGGTGATGCAGGTCAAGTGTGGTGACCAACCCCCGCTGAATGCAAAGACTCCAAGAGATCATGAACGAAGAGAAGAATTCGTGAGCGTAAGTCGTGAAGGTCGTGTAAATCAAGGCCTATTTTTTCGAATTGTGTAAATATATTTGGATTTATACCACATGAAAATCACATACATGTATCAGAAAGAGATGACCACATGGGCACAGAGCAATGCAACCTTACGGAACGACCAGTTTGGCTCAGGAGCCTAACCAGGATCACATCGATTATTTGCATGAGCAGCCAAAACATGATAATATCAACGAATAATACCTTGCGAATGGCTCCACGGCATCGGCAAGGCTCCCCAACTTAACACAAAGTGCGCCTAATAAGTACCGCGGAAGGACCTTGAAAGTGACAATGACTGACCTCATTCAGCTGCAGCTCCTGCTTGGCAGTCGGAGAAGGCATAGAGAAGGATCTGGGAGCCACAGACACCATGATACTCTTTATATGCTTGCAGAGAGGGTTGGGTGTTGAAAGGAAGATGAGGAACAAGTGCTCACACGACTCTCACTGGCAAATATACTAAGTAGTATTCTGAGGTCACGCGGATAGACCCGGACTAGCGGGATTGAACGGAACCAACGGCATAAATGCACTATCACTAAATGTGAGAAGATAACTGGAATGATCCGATAAATTGTCCTCGAAAGGAACAACTTCAGCCTCGAGGTGCACCATCCAGGAGGTATATATACATACATATATCCTATGACCGGCCGTCCCGGTTTAACTCCGGCCGCGTTTAATGAGTTGATGTAATATTTTCCCAATTTAGTAAGTGTGCCCCCTACCCTCTTCGTTCCACTGCGGTGCAGTCTAACAATCTCTCACTAGTACCTCACGTCCAACTTACAGCAAGAGTCACGTATAGATATCAGGATAAGTCGATACTATCAAAAATCCCACAATGTGGTGGTTGGACCCCGGGAAAGAAGTATTGAATGTGGTGCGTCATCAAGAAATTTCAACTCCACATATCCTTGAATATAACCGCGTCTCGTCTAGTTGTTCAATAGGATACTCGCCCCGTATGTCGAGAACCTTGATATGAATCAAGTAAACTATGGCATTGGGCAAGGTAGTGTTGACTTGTCGCTCGTCCATATGGCAATTTTGATCCAAATTCAGGTCAATTAACGCTACGCAACTTGCGCCTCAAGAAGGGCGCTTTGGATAAGTTCAGACTCCCAGTAGATGTTCTCGAAGGTACTATTATACGTCAATGGCGTTGCCTAAGCTCACCCAGGTTCCCTCTCTTCAGGCCACCTCGGGACATTCACGCTGTCTCTCCATTGGATGAACCTCGGCAACCAGCCTGTCGAGATATTGATCGAAGATGTGTATATGCTCGTCGTACCCTCTCCGCAAACAAACATTGATCCGGAGGAGGAAACACGGCGAGCACTGGCCGCCAAACTTGAGCGGTTGGAAAATGCAGAACTTTTGCATATGCGTGGTCAAGTAGGACTACCCTCAGGTTTGCCACTGTGTTATTGATAGCGCGTAAGCTTCAGATGACATTCCCTGTTACAGAAGAATCTCCGCAGTCACAGGGTCTCTGGGCTTCATTAACGGCTAAGATAATCAACAATCTGCAGGTGACCGTAAAGAACATTCACATACGGTATGAAGACAATATGAGCGTTCCTGGTGTATGTAGGACACACGCATCTTGGGATTCATTATATGACATACAATATTAGCATCCTTTCGCCGCGGGCATCACGTTGGCAGGTTTCACAGCGGTGTCGGTTAACGAGGAATGGCAACCGGCTTTCATAGAAAGCACCGCCGGTGCAATACACAAGGTGAGCAGCTAGACGAAGTGAAGAGGGGCACCACTGAACTTGAATTCTTCAGTTGGCTAGGTTGGAATCACTAGCGGTATACTTTGATACAGATTCGCAAAGTATGGCAGGGCTGCCCCTCTCTGCAGCCAAAGAGAAGTTCATTGCCATGGTAAGTTTGATGCTCTCGCACACCATCAGGTTTGACCTCCTAGTCCAGATATCACAAAAGGATCACCAGTCATCCCATCAATTCATTCTCAGCCCGGTATCGGGTGAGGGTAGAGTAAGCTGCCAACAGCTATCAAGCGCGTTCAATATATGACCATCCATCAGATTGTTATGAACCACAAACTTGACAAGAACACACCACACTTCGACGTACAGCTGCTGTTTGATCAAATCGGTATCGCCTTTGATGACAACCAATATCGAGATGCCATATCTTTGGCTGATATGTATCACGTCTACCTCCGTCAACGTCAGGTAAAGCATTTTGAACTAGGCGATGTTGATCTCGAATTTATGTTCTCCATCCAGTACAGAAAATTTCGTCCAAGCGACGAGGAGTTCAAAGCGAACCGAGCAAGGGCATTGCTACGCTTTGCTGCCCAGGCGATTTTGGATGGTGTGCACGACCGACGTCGTAAATGGACTTGGGCGTACTTCGCGGAACGTCGAGACGATCGCAACAAATATGTCGAGTTATTCGAGAAGAAGACGGTGAATATATTGCGTGAATCCGTACGTTTTGTTTTGTTCCACGCTATGAGACATACGATTATGTTTTTTCAGGACACTGCGTTGCTCAATGCATTGGAATGTAAGTTGTCATATGAGGACATTCGCTTCTACAGGTCGATTGCACGTTCCCGTCTACGAAAGGACATGGAGCTGAAGAAAAGGCTTGAGGAAGACCGCGCTACACAACAGCAACAACATTCTGGTGGTTGGCTATCCTGGCTCTGGGGGTCCCAGGCAGATCAGCCGAAAGACGACCTCGTTTTTGGAGGTGAAATGACAGAGGAGCAACGCAGGCAGCTCTATGATGTACTTGATTACGACGAGAAATCGGCCATTGTCGATTCGTTCGAGGCACCTCGAGATGCTCTCAAGGCTCGAGTGGTTGCGGAACTCAAGAAGGGGTCATTTGCACTGAAGGTTGATCCGAGTGGGAAAGCTACCGAAGTCATCTCCACGGTTTTCGACTCCTTTCGTGCCGAAGTCATCCAAAGACCGGACAATTTTGAGGCAGCTGTATCCTTAAGAGGATTTAGTGTTTTTGATGGGACGACCAAGAATACACTGCATCGACAGATAGTCCGAGTCAAGACCCCGATAGCAGAAGATGCTGAGGCTATTGAGCACGGGGAAGCTGAAGATCCATTTTTCTTCGTGAAATTTGAGAGCAATCCTCTCGATGAACGCGCCGACACCGCGCTCACAGCCCGCATGCGCCACATGGAAATAATTTATCACAGGGGGTATGTCGAAGCCATTTTCAAATTCTTTCGCCCACCCGAGAGCCAGTTGGAATCAGTCGAAGCTCTATTAGTAGGTGCTCTCCGGAATCACTTAAGCAAAAGGTCTCATGCTTTAATTTCAAGAATGTAGCAAGCCAGACACTGGAGGGCTTACGAAAGGAAACTCGAGCTGGTTTAGAGTATGCTCTGCAAACTCATAAAACTATTGATCTTCAACTGGATATGAACTCACCCATCATCATCATTCCAGAAGAGTGCGTTCCCCGCATGCGTAATTATCGAAGTTACCAGACTAACTTGTTAATTTAGCGTCACTACGCACCAATGCAGTCATCTTGTTATCGATGCTGGCCACATAGCTGTCGAAAGCGATTTGGCCGATAAAGATGCTCTGCGAGAGATACACGCAAAACGAAACCAGCCATACGGCGAGGATGACTACAAGAGATTAGAGTCACTAATGTATGATAAGATGTTGCTCAAGCTCCAGGCAGCTCAGGTTAGTTCACACCTGGATAGCATAAACAAGTCTAATGCTATCGATCAGTTTGTCTTAGGCAACGATCTCCAAGCTTGCCGTGATGCTCTCACTTCTGAGAAGAGCGACACTCTCCATCTACTGGAACGTATAAACATCAACTTGTTGGTACAGAACTCCATTGTACCGTCTGCTGTCAATCTCGCTCGATTCAAGATTTCCGGGAAATTGCCCAGTCTTCAAGTGAACATCTCCGACGCCAAGTACAAGTCTTTAATGCGCATTATAGATGTTGCGATCCCAAACTTTGATGAAGGCGGCGAGCAGAAACCTCCCCAGATGCACATCGATAGTGCATCACTTGTGCTGCCTTTGTCAGCTGGTTTGTTTGGACCTGTCGACACAGAATATAATGTAGATGATCATGATGAGGTCGACAGCGAATCTGCATCGACACACAGAGACGATCTGTTCTTTGAAGCAAGCGATGGCTCGCTCGAGGTAGATCACGTTCATCCTCCATCTCCCGTATTTTTACCTGTTTGGCAGCATCCTGAAATCCGACAACACATATTTGAGCTTGATTTCGAAGTTGACACTCTTCGTGGGGCTATCTCAAAGTCTAGTGGCGATGGCAATGAGAAACCACTCGGGGAAGTCATTTTCCAGCAGTTTCGACTCGCGTTCTCGCTTCTCAAATTCAATATGAATGTGGATATTAATTTGAGGTACGCTGTACAACCTTTCTGAGCTCGTGTCAATAACACGTATTCAGATCCCTTGCAATGAACGTCGTGCAAGCTGCTGGAGATTCCATTCAACTGATGTCTTCTGAAAGCACGGGTTCCGTCATTAAAGATCTCATGAAGATATCGTACAAACGGGTTCAGAAAAATTCACCCGAATTTGCAACCGTCTACGAAAGCATCGACCAAAGTGTTGATGTCCAACTATCCACGTTTATATTCCACGCTGCACCAGAACCAGTCGTGTCGCTTTACGATTTCATCATGACGACGTTTGTTCCTCAAAGCCCAGAGCAACCTGCGAACACAACATCAAGTACGATCGTTATCTCAGATGAAGGGGAATTATCTCCGCCTGCTAGTGACACGGGAACCATCAGAGTATCTGTCAGACTTGATAGTGTGCAAGGTCGGTCTTTTATTCAGATCTACCAACAGCGCCCTCACAGCCACGCATAGTTCTGCTCCTCAACGACCTCGATAGTTTAGCCACTCTTTCTTTATCTACAGCAGACGTCCAGTTACTTCTCCGAACGAACACGATGGGGATTACAGGACGCTTAGGAAGCCTTGCCTTAAGTGACGATCGCTCACGGGAACTTACACAGCCGCAATTCAAACAGATCTTGTCGATCGAAGGCAAAAACTTTGCGGAATTCCGTTATCAGACTCTTGATATCGCAGAAACCTCGACCTTGGGCTTTAACTCGACATTTTATCTCGATGTCGGGTCTTTGAAAGTCCACTTTTTGGAGCAGCCTCTGCACGACATTTATCTCTTCGTCACCAAGTTAGCAAAACTCAAGGTTCTTTATGATGCTGCACGTGACGCTGCAGTCCAGAGAGCTTCGGAGATTGAGAGAATGCAATTTAACGTCTCTGTCAAGACACCAATCATCGTTTTCCCTTCGGATCCTAGCCGTTTGCAAGACGTCTTGGTCATGCGACTGGGGGAGATTAGTGCCCGTAATTCACACGAGGCTCATGCTAGTAAAATCACCGCCAGTTTACGTGGTATTCAGCTGATGTCCGACATCTATCATGATGGAGCATCCTCTATGCTCAAGATCGTTGACGACATTGATATCATTGCGAATGTGATTCAAACTAGCGGAATCGACCGATCGCAGGAGAGTGAACTTCCAGACACTCAGGTAACACCTTTTTGTTGTCGTAATGGCTTTTCTAACAGCAAGAAAACATCAGATTGCAGTGAAGATATCTGACGTCAAGTTGTACTTGACACAAACTCAATACATTCTTCTTATGAAGTTCGCGCAGTCCATACCCAAGGTTTTGGTCGCTTCACCGGAAGGAAATGTCCAGGCTCTGGAGTTAGCATCGCCTCCTGTGAGCAGCAGTGACAGCGGCGGTACTACGAGCGATCATCTAGTAAACCTCGAGCCCGAACTCCACATAGTTGACGGTATCCGCGCGTGGACGACCGTGGATCTGGTTGCTTCTGTCAAGATGGTGAAGTTACATTTGTACGATAGTTTGGCAACCCACGAAGAAAATCTCGAAGACCATAGCATAGTGCGTTTTGCACTCAATGGTAGCAGCTTGCGCTACAAGTCGATATCTGATGGCGCTGCGGAGGCTCAAGTTGTGCTGAAGTCATTCACAATGAGCAATACCCGCCCAGGAGGATCCAAGTTCCGTGAAATTATACCTGCAGCGGATCATGATCGTAACCAATTCATGGTTCTCTACACGACGTCTGGTAGCTCTTCAATGGTCATTCTGACTGTGGATTCACCGCACGTTATTCTGGCTATTGAGCCCGTCATCGCATTGTTGGAGTTCTTCATGAGCGCATTTCAGCAGGACGCTCCGGTCGACATTGATAACACATCCACGACTGAGTCTCAACGCGAGTCACCGCAGTCTCGAGTTGATTTCCGATTTGATATGCACGATGTTTCTGTTAGTGTCCTAGAGAACGATGAAGACGCGAACTCCCAGGCTCTCAGATTGTACATTGACCAAATTTTGTTGTCACAACAAGTGCGTCCTTTTTTCTTTGTATCACCACAGTGCTAAGAATGGTGGCACAGAGGATTCTTACGTTGACTGTCAATCGACTAGGGATGTCGCTTATCCGCATGGGCGCCGATGCCGATACTGTACGCTTCTTGGATGATGTTGATTTGACCTTTTCTATGGATAGTCAATCATCAACACGAGAACAGATGACGAGCATGGAACTCGCTGCCAAACCTATTGTGTTCCGAGCCTCCTACCGAGATATCATGCTGATCACCACCATCGCTAGCAAAGCGGTGGACCTTTATGGCAAATCTCAAGATAGTTCTTCCGTGACCAGCACTACTAGTACGAAGTCCGCACAGCCATACGAGGGGCCCAGCCAAGCATCACGGTCTAATGCCACGAGAAGCCATAGACATACTATCGGAGAGGCCCGTGTTTTGGTATCGACGGAACAGGTGTGTCGAGATAAGATTCACTGGCTTGGTTATTCACACATCTTCTCAGCTAAAAGCATCGTTTGATGGATTCCGTCTGATCCTCATAGGCGACATGCATGAGCAGCCTATGCTTCACTTGAAGATTAAACCATTTATCATTGGTGCTCGTGATTGGTCTGCAGATGTGCGTAAAGAACAGTCCCGTACTGGTCTCATAATTTAATTATCCACTACCAGCTTCGCGCTACTGCTACCCTTGCAACCCAAATCAGTTACTGGAACTTGTCAAATTCACATTGGGAACCTCGTAAGTGGCATCATTTTCAAATGTCTCTATGCTGAGTAAAACATGCAGTAATTGATCCATGGACCTTCACTCTTTCGGTGAGTCTATTAAATCAGGAATTAGGATAATATTTATCTATTTTAGGTTGGCCGAGATCAACGCTCGAGTGAATTCAAGGTATCGGTATCAGCGCAAGAACGTTTAGATCTCAACGTCAGTACTGCTTTTGTGGAGCTTGCTGTCACGTCTGCCAATATGTGGGGTAAGGAAGGACAAGTCTTGCTACAGAAGGCCCGTGGAAGCTTCGCACCATACCGTATCAGGAATCGCACCGGATCCACTCTCTTCGTGTGGTCTGACGATGATGCCAGTCGTGACTCAAAGGATGCCGGTGCAGTCAAGATTACAAATGATCAAACTGTGGACTGGAGGTTTGATGATTGGAAGACAATGCGCGAGGCAAGTAAACTTATGCGTTTCAGTGGTGCTGTGTTTACTTTGCCCTTGTAGCATGTCTCAATCTCTGAACAACACAACATTGGCATACAGATTGTCGGCAAGCCATGGGAAGCGCTGAGAGGTATACCAGTGGACAGAGAAGGAGAATATACGTTCTCCCTTCGCCCTCGAATGGAGACATACGCTGATCGCTTGTTATGCGCTGTATCGGTTGAAGACAACGTAAAAATCGTCACACTCCGTTCCACATATCTGGTCGAAAATCAGACCTTTTATCCACTGGAACTTACGCTGGTAGATCATACAGGACATCCGGTTTACTCGTTAGAAAAGATAGGTCGGTACTGAAAAGCTCTTGTGATTCAGTGGTTAATCGTTCTCAGCCCCCGGCAAGGATTACGCTCTGCCCATAGAAGCAGTAACCCAGAACAGGATCCGACTGCAGCCAGATCGTGCGTATCCATTCATTCGAAAATTGTGCAGCATACTCATTAGGCTTTCAAAGAGGGGTTCGGGTACAGATGGTGCTCCTCCATACGCTTTGAGGATCTCATTACCAAGAAGAGTCTTACGATAAGTTGCCCTCACAATGACCAGCAAGAAGCTCCTTTTCGATTTCAAGCGTGGGCACAAAGTGACTCGAATGAGCCTGGAACACGGTAAAAATATATTTACGTTCCTTTACATCCCCACCACTAACGACGTTCCTTTTTGCGATTCAGGAAACCACCGAAAATTAAACTCAAACTTCGTGCGCCAATCGAGCTTGAGAACCTACTGCCTTACAACATCCAGTATCGAATATATGACAAGGATGCTAATCAAAACTGGAAGAGCTATCTTAGAAAGGGTGGCGTCATGCCTGTGCATTCTGTGGAATTAAGTCATTTGATCCTCTTGAATGCCGAAGTCCAGGATACGAGTGAGTCCGATAGCTCATCCGAGTACGTTCACTCACGCAGAAACTAGTCTTTAAGCCCAGCGATTTCGCCATTATTAACACTGACCGGAATTCGGACTTTGATGTAGAGTCTCGTTTAAGTCTGCGGGACCAGAGTAATCGCAAACTTGATCTACGTCTGAACTACGTGTTCGTCTTAAGCCCGTACATTTTCACTTTTGCAACTCATATATCCCTAGACGCTATCCTGAGTCCGGTGGTGCCTTCAAAGTCCAGATATATTGCCCGTATCTCGTTATTAACAAGACCGGGTTGCCCTTTGCTGTGAAAGCTGCACGTTCTCATCGAGCGATCTCCCCTGTCGAGATTGCCGCTGATACTAGACTCGGTAAATTCCAGTCGGCAATTTACCATGGCTTACTAATTGTGTTCGCTAGATGTTATTTCCAAACCAGTTCCATTCTGTGGGTGTTTACATACCTTTCTTCTTACGATGGCCTCACTACCTCACCAGTATTGTCACACCCCAATGACAATGGTCAAGCATTTGTGTTTAAAATCGGTGAATCTGGTTGGTCGAAGGTACGGTCGAACGACGGGAAGTTATGTTTGTTAGATTCAAACATTGCCCTCTAGGTCTTTAGTCTAGAGGCCCCTTCTGCGGAAACTGAGATGGTTATACCGTCCTCAAGGCAAAAAGCAGAGGAGTTCCACATTGGATTGTCGTGGACTGAAGGGTTGGGGAAATACAAACTCATCAAGGTCATAACCTTCGCCCCAAGGTTCCTCATCAAGAATAATCTGCCTGATCCCATATGCTTCCGCGAGCATGGCGCACCGCCCAGAGGCCGCGCAATACTCGATCCAGGCGAACGTTGTCCAATGCAGATCATGCGTGCGAGCCGGGAAAAAATGCTTACTATTGCGTACCCTGGACTCAATTCTCAGTGGTAATATCCTAGCCATGTTGTCTCGGGTACTTTTCTGATAATGCTTCAGGTCTGCACCCATAAACATTGAAGATATAGGCTCTGTTTACCTTCGCGTCGGACTCTCAGACGGCGGCGTGCATGCAGTGAAGGCTGACGTCGTGATTGATGGATCCACGATATTCGTAATACTGTCTGCTACGGAAAAATGGCCCTTCGTTATCGAGAACGACAGCGATTTCTCTGTCTCCATGTCACAATGCGTATGGGTCTCCCAACTCCCTTGCACCTGAAAATCAGTCCTTAATGTTGACTTAGCAGGATCCCAAACGTGGTGATGCTGACGTGGTGAAATCGTCTACACCACGATACAAGTTAGCGCCTCACTCAAACATGCCATATGCCTGGGACCAGCCTGCTGCCAGGGAAAAGAAGATCACACTCACGATAAACGATGCTTCCCGCAATGTAGACATCATGGAAATTGGTGTTCTCGTGCCATTCAAGTTCCATGTACCTTCACTTCTCCTCAAGTCCGGTTAGTCACTGACGTGCAGCTCAGGATCGCAAAAGGACTCGTGCTGTTTCGTTGGACGTAAGAGCAGATGGACACCAACAAATATTACGCATCACACCATATGTAGCTGAGCACAGCCTCTACAAGCCGAAATTCCACAGTTCGAGCTCCCTGTCACGGTCCGACACCATGACCAGCAGCACAGAAGGTTTTGAGGCGATCATGGAAGTCGTCTCTCCGACATTGTCATTCAACATGGAGTTCGCGGGAATAGCGATATCGTTGGTTAACCGCAGGATGGTCGAAGTTGTTTATACATCCATCGAATCATTGAAGTTCGAGTATAGCAACAGCCCTGTTGCACAGTCTTTGAACCTATCATGTGGCTCACTACAGATAGACAACCAGCTGCATGATGCGCTGTACCCGGTCATTATCCAGCCAAGCCCAATAGCCAAGGAAGCCAGTGGTGTTGCAGTTCTCCCGACAATACAGGGTTCAGTGATTTGGCTCAAAGACCAAGGTCAGTAAAATATCTTTCTAGTTCCAAAACTGCCCGCAGACTGTAAATTCAGAACACGGTGTCCTATTCGTCAAGTATTGCTCTATCCTCCTCCAGGCATTGACCATTGAAGGAGACGAGGACCTGCTTTTCGCCATATACGATCTTACACAAATCCAGGGCCTCTCATGGGAGGAGAACACTGAGGAGTGAGTATAGAAGTTTATCCCACAGCCTTTTTTCCGGCTTACATGTGGGATCAGTGTTTTGATACAATATCCAGAAGAAATACCAGAACCTCACCTCTCTGCTGCTGGACAAGTTGTCTACTTTGAAGTTTTGGAACTTCAACCAATACAACTGTCTCTCTCATTCATGCGTACTGAAAGAATTAGTAGCGAGGAAAAGTACGAATTGCGCTTCGACTTTTATATATGCACTAATTATTTACCTTCAGGCTCAGCATTCGCAACCCTCTAGCTGTCGTCGTAAATGCATTGACAATGACCTTGGGTAACATCAATGACGCGCCGTTGGAGTTGAATGCACTGGTCATCAAAGACATGCGACTGACAATACCTGAACTGCAGGCTAGAATCACTTACCATTACCGTCAAGATGTTCTTCGTCAGCTATACCGCATCCTCGGATCAGCCGATTTCATTGGAAATCCTGTTGGGCTATTCACGAATGTCAGCTCTGGCGTGTCAGATATTTTCTATGCCCCATACAACGGGGTTGTTATGCACGGCAACAAGGAGCTGGGGATTGGAATTGCCAAAGTACGAGACCAAGAATACTCGCGGGGTATTTCGACTAATCCTCTACCAGGGTGCCGCTAGCTTTGTGAAGAAAACAGTGTTTGGCTTATCGGATAGTATGACCAAGTTCACCAGCAGTGTTGGCAAAGGTCCAAATTTGAATAAAACTATATGAATCGTCACTTATGATATCTTCCAGGACTATCTGCAGCAACTTTTGATTCTGAGTATCAGGCTCAACGTAGAATGAACCAGCGGCGCAATCGCCCGCGTCATGCTATGTAAGAGCAAATTTTGTTGAGTAAGCGTAAGCGACTGACCCTGAATGCTAGCTACGGTGTTGCGGCAGGGGGCGAAGCCTTTGCCAGTAGCGTTGTTAGCGCAATGGAAGGGATTGTTGTAGGTCTTTCTCATTCGATCCTTTTGTTGCTGCGCCTAACCGAGCCTTGCCAGACAAAACCTATACAGGGTGCTGAAACAGAAGGAGCACTCGGGTTCTTCAAGGGCGTTGGAAAGGGCCTTGTGGGGTAAGTCAAGAAGACTACGTAGTATGTTTTATTTATCTTGTTCGCGTATAGTGTTGTTACCAAACCAGCCGTTGGAGTCTTTGACCTCGCGTCCAACTTATCGGAAGGTCGGTCATGTTTGTCACACAGGGATAACTTATCACTGACCGTGCGCCTCTCAGGGATCCGAAATACAACAACTGTGTTTGACAAACCAGAGCGAGATCGTGTTCGTCTAGTAAGTAATTGCGTCTTCCACGCGATTTACCCTTTATACCACTGTTTACAGCCAAGACATGTCCCATCGGATGGCATTTTGGTGGCAAGTAACCTTCTTGAGTATTGTGTCTCATACACTAAGCTACGTTCACCAGCCGTTCTCTGCTCGTGAAGCCTTGGGTCAGTATTGGATGAAGGATCTTGACAATGGTGCATATCGCAAAGAGGCCTACGTTGCGCACATTGGTATGTTGGTAATTTGTTTATTGAACACGGCTGATCGTGTGATAGATTCTCCTGGTAGTGATAACGTCATATTGTTGACTTCGACACGAGTTCTTTCCTTTTGGTCGAAAAAGCTCCGCCTTGATTGGGATCTCCCCCTGGCCATGGTGCAGGGTGTTGCAGTGGAAGACACTGGCATCCGTTTCACTCACAAATCTGGAAAAGAACATGACAAATTCGTATTCATACCGGATAAAACATCTCAAGCCTGGTTCTTTGGTCAGATCGCTTCTGTAGTCAAAGCCTTCAACAATCGTCGCAGAATGGACTCATGATTAGATAGTAAAGATTTCTGGACTTAATGTAAAGATAAAGACTGTATTCTGTACTATGCACAAGTAGATCTCTGTATATATGCAATGAAACTGGAACGCATGAAATCCGATGGAACAAATACGACAGATGATGATAAGAAAGCAACGAGCGTGGTGGGGAGAATGGGCAACCCATAATGATAATGATGATATGCAAAGGTGGGTATCGACCATAGGTATATAAAATTAGACTGCAGTCAAGCGTGCGCAAGGACCTGCCCTTTTGACGCGACTGTATCTTCCCTAAGAGGCTATCCGAGTTTGAAGAATTGCCGTCCCTGTACTAGTGACTCGCTCTCTAACAGGCGTTTTGATGAGCTGAGAAGCGACATGTTTCCCGTAATTGCGGCTTTGATCGGTGAATTCAATGGAATCGTCGGAATCGTGATAGAGAGGAGTTTGGCGGCCATCAAAGCTGACGTAGCTATCCCGAGGACTCGTAGAATAAGCACTCTGGAACTCAGTGTCCGAGTCATCTGTGATGGAGCCGATAGTAGGCGTAAGAGCAGGAATGGAGGGTGTTCCTGGCTCAGAAGGAGAAAGAGCAGATAGAGATGCCCCAGAGGCAATCTTACGCAGTGTTTGACTGGAACCAGCAACAGTGCCCTCATCAGCACTACTATCTACCTGGGATTCCACCTGCGGGATTCTCTGGTCCGCCCGGGGAGAAGCTGCCCGGCGAGGGGTGGCCGAGGAAGATATGGTATCCACTGAGCGACGGGCGATGGTACTGGTTTGCGTTGAGGATGCGGTGTTGCTACGAGTTCTCTTCCTTGCTTTACCAGGAGGGTTGTTTACTAGCCTTGTTCCTTTGGCTAGACGTGCACGAAGAGGAACGGCATCAGAGTCATTGCTTCGTTCATCCTCCGTAGAACTATGGGCCGCAATAGACCTATTCTTCCATTCTTGAACCCGTTCCGAGGCTAGTGCAGTCTCAAGCTAAAATCTCGGTTAGCTTTAGCGTCGCGGAAAATAACTCGGGAAAGTTCACCTTCTGCTGGATCTGCAACACTTTCTGTGCAATTCTGTCGCTCCTTTCGCTGATACCCTCGTCGACAGCCATCATACCATCTTGCACCAATTCAGCCTGAGTTGCGGAAAAGCGTTTTGTCTTTGGTGACGCTGGTGTTTCGTCTTCTTCCGCAATCGTGTCAGTCTCACGATCACTTTTGCCATGCACAAGAGTCTCATCGCCGTTCTCGTATTGTTCCGCAAGAGTGGATTCTGTCCCGAAGCTGCGCAATCTTGAACCACTAGTGACCGAACCGTCCTTCATCGAGTCACTGGCTCTCCGCGAACGTGAACCACTGGCGGTAGACCTCGCTACTGACAAGCGTGACCCCGGACGGGATGCCAGGTCCCCTTCATAGTCAGACTCGTCGACGTCGACAGCCATAGAAGCAAGTGCACGTTCGATCTGGGCCTCGACCTCAGCAACCATCTCCGCGCGTTCCTCCTCCATCCTTTCCATGGTCTCGCGCATGCGCTCCAGTTCAACAAGTGCTTCCTTGTGCGCAACCTCCGTATCGTGTAACTCTACAAAGCTTTGTGAGTATCGCTGTGGGTAATTCTCATTTGATGCTTACGTGTCTGCAATTTCGCCTTCTCAGCAGCTGTGAGGTGGACCAAACCACTCAGGCGCTTTGTCTCTCTTTGTTCCTTTCCAATTTTGCTACGCAGCTGGCCAGCCTCAGCACTTAAGCGCTCCGCGTATTGCTCGAACGTGACAAATTTATCCCGCCATAAATCCGCTTCCGTCATGAGGAAGTTAAGACGGCGAGAAAGACGTCCGATCTTCGTCTCAAGGTCATCACGAGCATCAACAAACGCAGTCGCACGCTTGCGAATGGATAGCTGAATGTGCTGCTCGGCAGGAGTGAGCTTGGGGATACGGCGAGCTGCGCCGAAAGAGGAGATGCGCTTGAGAAACGAAGGCTTCTTGAACTGGACCAACGTTATAAGCATACAGTCAGTCATAAAAAAACTAGATGCAAGAAAGCCGACCTTGTCCTGCAGCACACTGTCAAATGCTTGGATAATCCGCGTGGAATGCCACCACTCAGGTGCCTTGATGGTGTCTGCGACAGCAGCAGTTTCACCACCGCGTTTCGCCTGAATCTTGCAGACAGGGCGGAACCGACCAGCAGGGAAAGCTTCTTTGAATTCGCTAAAAATAGCGCATATCCTCGGTCTTCACATTCAGAACCAAAGAAGCAACAGAACTCACGAAGGCACGCTATGATCGGGATGATAGTGCGGCTCGAATGCAATAAGTAGACGCTGTCTATATTTGTCCCGCTGCTGCTTGGTAGACACTACACCGGGAGGAGGAGATGGACAGCTCAGGTAGTTGATGTCTCTGTTTACCCTGATGAGCCCTCTGGTAATTGGCAGTCGATGAGATAACTTACAGGTCAACCACGCAGACCTCAGGACCCGGACGCACGCTGTACCTCGCTTCCGTAGCAAGACCGAGGATCCATGGTCCGGGGTCGTCGATATAGATCTTAGCGTCTCGGGCATGGACAGACGGCAGGGCAATCCCAGACCAACCCCGCAACTCGACAAGGTACTTGATCGTGCATACCGCGATCTACGTTGGAGATTTGTCAGCTTCACAATAGACCGTTCTCCGACATCAAGAACGCACTCCGAGCATGGCAGGATGCCTAGAGTAAAATAGAATACGACCGGTCGGTGCCAGGGCAATCTGAAATCGCGTCAGCAGGGAAAAGTTATGAGATGCCCACCAGCGTGACGGACCTCGCATATAGTGAGAATGTTATCAATGTTCAGGCACTTGAACAAAGGCCACATTGTAAAATTGATGTCTACGAGACCGCGGCCAAAGTCCAAGCCACCAGGGAAGCGCGCGATAACCTCAAGGTTTGTGTCATCGGTCTGTGAGGAAGCAGAGTGCGTCAAGGGGATGGGCGTGGAGGAAGCATCGAGCTTGATGAGATCACCGGCGCGTGGAGCGGGATGGGCCAGAATTTTGGAGATCTGCAGAGTGTGCGACTGCACATCTTTAGAGAAACGAGCCCAAGAAAGGGTTAGGTAGTCACGCATTAGATCGTAGATCGGGTGACGAGACACCAGCGCTAGATAAATTCATCAAAATCTTTCACGTGAAGCTCGAAAGCAATACGTACTGAGGGCATAGGGGAGCCAAAATACGGTATCACCAGGCAAGAACAGGGTACTCTCACCAGGGCCGTGGCCACCTACGGTACTTGCCACGTCATAATCGCTCTCGCTGATGGCACCAGCGTCAGTTTCAGCACCCTCGCCGTCGGTCTCACCATCGGTACCCGACCAAGGCCCTTTGAGACCCTTTTTATGCGCTCTCCTGGCTGGATCTCCAGGGGACTGAGAAGACCCTGGAGGGTTTGAAGAGCGCAACGCTCTCAGCCGCGTAGCCACTAATGACTGCGCACTCTCCTTGCGCGCACGACCTGCCTCGAGAGTGCGGCGAATTGCCGAACTTCTCTCAGCATCGGCGTGACTCCATACGGTCAGACAGACACCATGGTAAGTGACCGTTGCACCATTTCCGCCTGACGCTTGTTTTTCGAACATGGGAGATGCCGGAGATGCTGGAGGAGGTGGGAGGACGCTGGGCGGACCGAGGTACGCTGATGAAGGACGAGCATTGAGGAATGGGTCGTCAGTGTAAGGGAATGAGAATGTGGGGGTTGCAGAGGAACGATCCGTTCCAGTGAGGACCGATGCGCGAAGTAAACCTACTTCAGAAGGCGCAGGCGCCAGAGGAGTAGAGGGCGCAGGAAGGGTAAACGTAAAAGTATGAATTGTGCTCGCCGGCTGAAGCGTCGACGCAATTATTTCAACTTCACGCGTGAATGAGAGCTATAGGAGAGAAGGATCAGTAGCGATAGGAAGCACGCGATGAGAACGTGCCTTAAGCGCTTTTGATAACATTTTTCCGACTTCAGCTTTCGACAGAGCACCTGCTCCCTTGAGGATCTCATTACTCTCCCCCTTATTTGCCTTCTTCTTTTTCTTACCCCCGCCAGCACCAGGGCTCACGGTGCTGCCGAGAACCTCAGGCCTCCACCAACGGGCGACTGCACCCTCTGAGTGAGATAAACCTAGGACGGCATCGGGGTCGGCAAGAGTCCATGTATGAGGACTCTTTGGAAGCCCTGATACGACATAAAGAGAAGTGAGAGGAAGGGTTGGGGCATGTTGTGTTGGGGATGATGGTGCTGAACGAGTTGATACAATAGAGGTGCGGGCGGAGGCAGGAATGGGCTCCATGGACTTGCGATGAGCAATCCCTAGGATACGAGAAGCCTTGTCCGCTGGACGGGGAAAACAAAGAGGTTGAGAATGAGAATCGAGTGGAGGTGATACAGTAATATAGTCGAGCTCGTTGGCGAGAGCGACGTCTGGGGAAGAAGAAAAAGGAGATGAAGGAAAGAGAAATATTAGAATATTGGTCTAATATGAGTTGGTTGTAACTTATTACCAGAATGGTTCGTATTCGAAATGTTTACGATTGTGTTGCTCTGAGCCGCGTTAATGCACTTTGAACTTGGCTTGATCGACGTTTTGCACGGATCAAAAGAAATATCAGAACAACGCGGCTTGTGCATCTTTTCACCGATACCAATTGGCAAGACGGCGACAGGACTCGCTGCTACAGCAGGTGCCTGGACGCTTGGTCGGCGAGGCGGAAGTAAAGACATTTTACGAGAATACAGCGAGGTGTAAAGAACGGAGAGAGAAATGAATAGTGAAAAAAAAACGAATGGATGCACACCAAGTGCAAAGTTTTAGATGGAAGTACAGGTCAAAAATGAGGATGAAGCAGGGACTAGACCAACTTCGCCTCGAGTGGACGTTACTTACGTCTGGTGATTGGCGGCCCACTTTAAAGTTGGTTTTATAAAGTGCGAAACATCTTGTCTTTCTGCTCAACTTAACCTAATGTTAGGCGTCGACGCTGGTAAATTTGAAATCGAGCAAGCTGCACCTGAATGATGCTAGTACACAAAGTCAACCTGGAGTCAACTTCAAATGAACGGGAAGATCGACACAATGCATTCACACACTCATCTTCCTAATTTACGAAAACTCCTGATGGAAATTCCTAAATTGCGTTGTCAAGGAACGCACTGACCTCAGACGAACAGGGCACATTACCTCACAGCCAAGACCCTTGCTTATTATGATTCCGACAACGAAAACATTCTAAATCAGATGTCTATTTTCGAACATCACACAACACATGACCCACAGCACCAAAATCACCTCAGTACCAAGTTGCCAACTAATCCTCAAACAGACTGATATGCGCCAGATTGGTTGACAGGCTGTGGTGCTGGAACAGAGCTAACTTTCGAGGGTGCACGCGGGGTGTCGTCATCCACCGTCTGGTATCCATCGCGACCTCCGGAGGTGAAACCTCCAGGCATAGACCAAACTATGACAGCATGATCGAATTGAGGGCAATTGCTTTGTAAGGTGAACTTACCCGTAGGACCATGGATATCAGTTCCGAGGCCAGGGAACTGTCCCCCGCGTTGACTCACGACAAGCAAAAAGGCACCAGTGGTTGGTATCTCGATGGGAGTCAGTTTCAAACGTCGATGATGGTATTTCTTACTCACCTTCAAAAGTAAAAGGATGACAGTAAGGAACCTAAGGAATCCACCTTGTTCATTCTTGATCATCCACAGTACGTCATAGAATATCGAAAACGATAACAAGCCCGTAAACTGGCTCTGTGTTGAGATCACAAAGGTGGATGAGAGTGATGATGCGTACCAAGCTCAGTGACTGTGCCGCGTCGCTACTCTCCTGCACATACGAACCAAAGAGGAAGATGGGCAAATTGTATGCTGGGACAGTAAAAGGACTAATTATGAAAGCCAGCGCCTGCGCAATGCATAATGAGCGATCCTTCTCGCCAGGATGACTGGTCTACTTACTGTCTCTGCGAGTAACAGCTTCGCTGGGTCAAGAGCCTGGAGAAAGTCTGTCATCTTTGCTCGAATGTAGTGGTGAATGTCTTGGGACGAAAAAGGTTTCAAGTAAGGGGACTGCGCGGACTTAGCCTTTTGTGGTAGCAGTCCAATACGTTTGGCACTTCTTCCACTACTAGTAGTCCGGTCGCAAACTGAATTCAACACTTCAAAACTTCACTAGTTGCATGTCCCAGCTTGGTCTCAGCTAATTCATCAGTAGCAGGCGTTTATCTTGCCCAACTCAAATACACTAAGCGTTCCCTCATGCCGCTGCCGCAGCGCAAAATAGTCGAGGAGCTGCTCCGACCTCCTTTTGGTCCATATCGCGACGAAGAAGTGCTTAGTGCAGAATGCCAGAGCAAGTCAGGAAAGACACTGGTGCTGAAGTCATTTCAGCTGGCTTTTAACGACGAAATTATTGGGTATTGTTCCTGCCCCTTTGTACTCCGCGCATCTCGCTAAGTCTTCTTTGACAAGGCTCGATGAATCCGAGCAACCTCTAGGTACTGGAGAAGTAGACACTCGACAGTTCCGTTTTCGTGGAAATCTTAGTATACGTTCGCCCGGCTGGCTATCTCAAGTCGGTGTCAAACGAGTGGAGGCAGAGCTCAACCTGCGTGCCAACACGCGTAGTATGTGTGCAGGGCAGCGCCCTCCTGCTACAATAACGCTCGAAGAACTATTTAATAGGAAAACAGGATATCTTGGGCGCCCACCCGCACCAGGTGACGATGACGAGCTCGAGCTCAGATTGCAAATCCAGGGTTTCAGGAACTTCCCAGCTCTATATATGACATGTGAGTTCGGATGCGCCTACAGTACAATTCTGAAGGATTAAGGTCGAAAATATCTAGCCAAGCTAGTTCCGGATGGATTGTTATGGCATTCCAAAGACTGGTGGGTATCATGACATGCGTGATTCTAGACACGTCTTCACTCTCCTTTAGTAACCGCACCTACGAAGTTGCAACAATGGACGTCTACACCTTCCAGCTCTCCGAGAACTTCTTCTGGCGCTACCGTCTTCTTGCTCTCATGACAAAGATCGTTGGAGAGGGACGAACGCCGCTCGAAAAGCGGACCCCTGAGTGGTTTGTGTCCCAATACCTCGAACGGTTCGCTCATCCCGCCAGTGATGAATACGAGCGACTTATCTACGATTCTACCGATTCCGATATTATTGATGTCGACGAAGGCAGGACTCGCTTGCCCCGTCACCCAAGGCGAATACACAGGCGCGACATTCTAGGATTATTTGCCGCCCAGTCGGAATGGTTCGTCACTGACAACGAAGTAAAGCGCAAGCGTATATTTCCTTTCAAACCATGGAACGCATTTAGAAAGGAAGTCAGAAAAGCAAGATGGCAAGCTGCACGCAACAATGTCATCTGGGGCTGGCCGATAGGTTGTCAGAATCAGCCGGACCTGGCCTCAGAACCAGACGGCGAAGAGGGAGATGACGAGGATGATGAAGATGGCGAGGACACAAGAAATATGGTGGAGCGGAATCCCGTCATTGGAAAGACAAACGAGATCGTGCGCCGTAAAATCGACAAAGCTAAGACCAGACGAACTTTGCCGTTTGCTCAGCGTGACAACGGGTCCGGTTTGTCGTCGTCATCCTCAGATGAACTTGATCCTGCTATGGCACATGCGTATATGTCGGACTTCTCTCGTGATTCATCTAGTGTTGCTTCTGATTCTTCGGATGAATCCGTGGACGAGCGCCTGCTCGAGTTCGGAGAGCTCATCCCACGCCAATTGTCTCAAGTCCCGGAGTTGCCAGGCCCTGATAACCGCTGGTGGTGTCCTGTGCCAGGTTGCGGGCACATGGTTGATTTGCAACGTCTCACACGAGATGATATAAAATCCCTCTCAGCAACCACCGTCTTCTATCTAATGGAGAGGAAGTGGCGGAGTATTCGAGAAGATGAGAGAGCTAAAAAATGTTTCTTTGAAATGGTGTCTAAGCATTACGAGGATCATTTTACAGACCTTGGCTTAAGGTTTGTTCAGATCAAAGGAAGGGTAAGTAGGTCAAAGCCAATCTTTCACAATTGTTAACATCTTTCCAGATCGGAATAGATTTGATCAGAGATAGACGACGTGTCCAGCAGGCGGTAGTCACCGTTAAGGAGGAAGTTATTTGAGAGGCCCCTGATTCCAGTCCGGGACACTATGCCTACAAACTGTAATATAGGTAGCAGCTTAATAACATCCCATGGACTTATCGTGTACTCAGTAATACTGGCAACCGAATGTCTACAGAGAATGGGGATAACGATGATCACAGAGATTTAGTCCGTGTGGTATAAATTATCTAGGTCTAGCGTTCTGTCCCAGAAAAATGTCTCTTACCCACATCCATCGCCTTCCCGTTCTGTGTGTTTCACGAGCACCACCACCGCCCTCTTCCACATCCTGCTGCGAGAGTTCAGAGCGAGGACCGCTCAACACTCTCCTTTCCCGAGCTTCTCCCGAACGTCTCCCATGTCCTTCACTCACAGACCACCTCCGACCACCTGCAGTACCAGCCAAAGACATGGTCTCATTGACTACAACTGCAAAGCCGAGTCCTCCACTGACACGCCTGGAAGTTCTTGTTGGCGAAGGGAGAAGCCCGAATCCAGGGCTGACTGGTGAGAGACCTATCGTCAAACCTGTGGGAGACAATATGTTCGACGATTGCTGCTGATGTAAAGACGAGGCCATACTACGCATAGATGCAGATGGATCGGTGGTGGTAGGGTGCTGGCGTGATGAGGAAGAGGTGCCTGGTAAGGGTGGGGAGATATCCGTCTGGTGGGTTGTGAAGTGAGGTGAAAACTGTGAAGAAGATGCACTAAGGGTGTGCAAGGAGACGGGACTCTGGGGGAAAACAGCGCCCTCCGACCGCACCCGGCGGTCCATAGGAGGCGCAATTGACCCAGAGAGAGATGAACCCTGGGGACCAACGGCAGTACTTGCATATGAAGGGTAATGTGGCGGGGGGTTTGTTTCGGGAGTGGCGCTTCCATTGTTGGATACTGCTTGGTCTTCGACATCAGATTCAGTTGCTGTATCACTTTCATCAACGTTGGCTTGGGCACTGACTGCCCAAACCCCAGCAAGAAGAATAAACATGCCGACTATGACTAGGACGAGGTACCACCCTGGGAGTTGTCCGAGCTGATCGAAGTAAACCAGACCATTGATAATCGATGAAAAGTTATAAAAGCAAAAGGCAGCTAGGCAGTTTCCATGTTAACTCCACTATCAGGAAAAATACAAAGGAGGACACACATGGGCAGACAAACGCAGGATCTGCAAGCCTTAGACCACGATTAAGGTACCAAAGTTGTCCAAGAGCAAAAATGATGAGTCCACCAACAAGGATCCACGCCTCCCATCTGAAAAATTGATTGACGCCGCCGAATGTGAGCACAAGAAGTTCAACACCAGACTTTGCGAAGATCAGACAAAGCCCAGACAACGTCCCTGAAGCCGCAGCATATGCTAAGGCAAGAAGAAGCGGGGTTCTCCCAGGAAGTGGTACGCGTAACGGTGATGAGGACTTTAGATTGTGTGAAGTAGATTTGGTAGATGGAAGGCGACCACATTTTGGATCGAGCAGTGGTGTTACCTCAGATGCGAAGCTGCCGTTTATTTGATCCTCAGTGGGACCAGTAGATAAAGTAGGTGGTTGTTGTGTGCGTGTGGGAGGCAGCGGTGTAGGAGAGTTTAGAGGAGAATTATGTGCGGAGGTGCAAGACGACAGGGGTGAGTCATGGTTGGCCTGCAACAATGAATAGGCTGCAGCTTCTAGTTGTTTCTTGTAAGAATATTCAATACCGTGCGTCTGCAGGAATGCTATATATACAATGAAACCATTTATATCGCGACTGGCACGCACCACGATAAGGCATACAAGTAGGATGAAACCCTCGGCACAAAACCAGCCTATAAATGCAGGACGCGCGAAAAGTGCCATCAATTCGTCGAGGCTGCGTGTAGTTTCAGGAACGATCCCATAGATAGCAATCAAGGCGGCGCCACCAGCGATGAGAGCTGTTCCCAGGAGCATTCGTGGGCGAAGAAGGAGACGAGCGAAGAGCGCATTCCAAAGGAGAGAAACGGCGCCCAGGGGTGCCAATATGACGACCGGAAGGGATGCTATTTGTATGAAAGATCCAAACACATTAGATATCAAGAAGATAGCTGATAGACGTTGTGTTGGTCGGTGGAACGAATAAAGGTCGAGTGCGCTCACCGAATCCTATCAACCATAATCTAACAAAGGTAAGGGGAGACTGAGCTATAGAATACATATGTACTCACGGTCGGCGGTGTTCTACTTTCTGGTCTTGTTCTGGGAGCTGTGAGTTATGGACATGGCTACGACGCTGGACCGCAAGACCAAGGCTTTGGACGAAAGATGCGAGCAGCCCAATAAAAATCCCCAACGGTATGGGTATGTCTTGATTTAAATTTGTGTTGGTAAAGAGCGAAGTAGGTGCTGCAGCGACGTGGGTTATAGAGGATGTAATATGCGCACAGAGTATGCCCATCGACGACGAGGGAAGAACCTGTCAGTGTCTCCTACTTGTCGTTCAGGTGCCAATTTAGTGTAGGCAGGCACTGGCAGCAGGAGGTAGAAATATAATAATTTGTGGGCAAAGCGTAGAACGTTGTAGTAGCAATAACTGAAGTGGCACTCTGAGAGGTATACACGTGATCGACACTAAATTTAAGAAAAGTACTCTCAGAAATTGCAAGGATCATTTTTATTCTATCACGGCTTGTTAAATGAAAATAAGGTTACCGCAGGGGATCTGCGCAAGCCACTATGGGACCTCTGAAAACGTCAGTACGAGAACATGTTCAAGTAGTGGGATGCTCTGGCGACCGTACTGAGAGGATGAAACAACAGTTCAAGAATCTCGCTGGAAACTTCATGTGTTATGTAGCTGATAATGAGCCGCATTTTGCAGCACTATAGGTTACAGACCAAGGAAGATGCGGGAACTTTGTTACAGACTTCCAACTTCAATAGAAGGAGCCTCAAGCCTTTTCGCTTCAGGCTGCTTCGTCTCCTTATCCTCAGCAAGCGCTACTTGGCGTCTGACTTCCATCTCATTGACACTCGTTGTTACATAAGTTAAACTTTGTGAATAAGGCTGGATGAAATACCTTCTTCGCGTCGTGGCAGGTGGTAACCTCTGGTGTGGCCTCTATGCTATTGGCATGATGTGTGGCCTGACAGAAGAACCCAATTTATGATGGCTGTAAATTAAAAGACGTCGATGTCATGCGTAACTTGGCCGTATCCCCGCAAAATACCATCCGATTTCAACCGTGGCTGCCAGTGAGCGCTGAATATTCTGAATGATGCATACGTAGTGCGCAATGACAAATGTGCATCCAGCCTTGGGAGATAATCATGATTGAACTCGAATGCCTTGACTAGTAAATTCGCTATACGTCCGCCGTTCGTTTAAGGAGGAAAAGGTGCAGCAAGGCATCGACATTCTTCCGTTTACGGTTTAACGGGGCGGTGAGGCGTGTAGCTTGAGTCACGTGACCGTCTGTTTGGCCCCCGGTTAGTACTTATATAAGTACCTGCGCAGTATTTTTGTGGCTGTGTGCTCTCTGTGAGTGTAACAGCAGTGTCTCCCATCAAGTTCAGCGCAGTTGGTCACTGTACATGTATACCGAGTATTGTCCCGAACAATCACTGTCATAAGATCAATCTGACAACCCTCGTTCAATTTCAATTCACTTTTCAAGGTCATGTCATCTCCAAGCAATTCCAACGCTCATTCTAGTGATGCGTCCTCGTCCTCGGTATCCACTTCGGACCCATCATCTCTTCGTGAACGAGGAGTCTATGAAGCGTCTGGTGATGATGACTCATTTAACTTTACTGTCATGGGAGATTTGGACACCACCGTGACTTCTAGCCCTATGGGTTCCCAAACAGACCTGTCAGGTTCTTTAGAACAAAACATTTCTGAGGCCCGTCTTCGTCAACTGTATGACGAGGAAGAAATCGAACGTTATCTCCGCCTTTTTTCTGACGTAAGTCCTTGCCGTACTCGATGGGTGGTCTATCCTGAGGTCCAATAAGTATGTGACGGAAGTGAGACTACCAGGTGCTTTGCGTACCATCAAGCCCAAGCCATCAAGTAGCTCCCTCCACCTTCCCCGGTCACCAAAACCACCACCACTCCCTCCACGACCATTTGCTCGTAATACTTCCGAACAAACAGAGCCACCTACACTTCTTCCACCCGTCGTTCCTCCAAGACCAGTGGATTCCTCCTGGTCCGAACAGATCGCCATTGTGAGCATTACTGTTATCATAGTGATTAAATCTAAAATATCCAGAAATATGTACTACCAGCTCTTCCACCGATGCCTCATCCGCCGCCACCCTTCTCTTTAAAGCGCATGAAACTTACTAGCCAGCGTTTTTTCCTCGCAGTAGTTCCTCCTTACCAGAATTTCTTTCTTTCCATGGCAAACTTAGCGCTATGGAAGGACCCGCAACGTAGCAGACTACGTTGCATGGTAGGTGGCCGTCACTTTTCAAAATCAATTTACTCATCAACATCCAGGCGTTCTGGGGACTATGGCTGTATGATCTCCTTCTTCCAGCACTAATGTTTCGAATCTTGTGGGAGATGCTCAGCCGGAGACTTCTCCCGTATCCCACTTTAGAATCTTTACAGATGCGGAGAAAAGATTCCGAACGAGCCAGGGAGTTCGGAGATGAAGTTCAAGAACGCCTATCAGCATCTTCAATTGGACCTAAGGATATCTTTCAGCTCCTCATATCGCACAGATCAACAGGAAAAAGTAAAACAAAAACCCTTCCGAAGGATACAGGGGCACTTCAAACGAGTTTAACTGGTGATGGTGGCGAGGATGAAGCGGCTACTGTGCTTGATGGCGATTCCCAAGAAGAGCAAGACATCAAACGAGAACTCTTGCATGTTCTCAATACTGTCGCTAATATTCACGAACGTATCAAAAAGTACGTACCCCGTGAATCGTGATGGGCTGTCAACTAAATGAGTATATGCCGTCGCTAGCATTTTCATCTGGAGACGACCAGCAGTCTCCCGAAGATATGCAATCGTGAGTAAGTTCTGGGCGTTGCTTCGGCATGTGCTTGACTCCTAGCAAGATTTTGGCTGTTATAAGCTGCTGCACCCTGATCATTCCCGCGCATTACTTGGCAAAAATTATATATGGCAGCTGCGGCATATTGTTCTGGCATGTCGTTCCTGTGTTAGCTGCTCTCCCACCAGGCGCTCGAGCCAGGTCCGTGTTCAATGTATATTTGCATCGTATTTTGATGAGTGACGATATAGACTGCCCGGACCGTTGGCTGATGCCCCCACCGATGCTGACTATGCTATAGAAATAATTACACAGAGGATTGCTCGGGGCGAGGACATCAAGCCTCCGCGCAAGCCTAATCCTCCGAGCGCTCGTGCTAATAGCACAAACGAAGCCGATCTTTCGGCGATCCTGTCACCTGACACATCATCTCGAAGCCAGATGCAAATCAATGATGGCGTTGATTGGAAGAAGTGGGGATCACGTATCGCGCACGGCAAGTCGCTGCTTAATGAGGGCAAACAACGCTTTGCTTCTGGACAAGTCAATACGGTTGGTTTGACATCCGCAACTTTACGAGACGAAGAAACACATAGTACGCCTGTAATACACCAGGCTATGATACAAAGACTGAATCACTCTCAGCATATCCTGCGCACCACACTTCAGCGCCTGGTCTAATCACACTGACCGCTACTACAGTATACTTCACAACACTCGCATCACAACAAGCAAAATTAATCATACCTCGCGAGAACCTCTGCGGCGTGAAGAAAACCGGTTTGATGAAAGGGCTTTTGATTTCCTGGGTTGACAGCGAAGAAGGTCACGGAAAAGAATTAGAAGAGAAGTTCCACTGGGTCGGCAATCGAGATGAGCTTTTCGCTCGCCTTCTTGGTCCAGATGGTGCCCGATGGATGCGAATCTGAAGGCTCAACGCGTCGGTGGCTGAATTAAAACTCAGAGAACTCCGCGCAAAGAACGAGCGACATACGCTTCCCCCCCTCCCTCACAATTTATTCGGTCTCTTTGCCTTTACCCATCTTTCGTACGTTTGTTGTATGCATTCTGCTCATCGATATCTTGCTATCACCGTAACCTATTTGCTAACCCAATTTTGTCATTTATCTGCCACCGTTTGCTCATTACCAAGGACAGTGAACTGCAGAATGTTCTTCTCTACCGAACTGTTGTCCAAGAGGGACAGCGGATTTGGCCTTCTTTGGTGCCTTTCTTTTATGCTTCATTGACGATGGAATAATATCTCATTGCTTGGTATCACGAATGCTAGGCTAGCTGCAACCCTTGGCTCGAAATCGGCTTTTAAGAAATTACCCAAGCGCTCCGTGTTGACTGCAGATATCTCTCAATTGTGTGATCTGATTGCTTCCCCTTCGGAACCTCTGGCTCTTCGCCTCTCAAGTAACCTGATGGTCGGGGCTGCACGGTAGGCAGATCAACTTTGTTGGGGCCCTTGATGCTCATTCAGTTCCACAGTGTATATAAAGGTTTTATAATTTATGGCTGTATAACTACATTTAACGTTGCTTCTAGTCAAGCAAGAACTGTTTCTTTCTGATGTCACGACTTGCTTCAACTCCCTAAAGCGAGTCGTGCAAGAGTTCCGTTCGATGGCTGCGTCAGAAGCCCATCTTCAAATGGCTCAGCCAAGCGTGAGGTGAGTTGGCTCACACAATGCGAGCCACCTCTGACACCTCCTGCCAAGGCCATCGGCTGTTACCCTTGCTACCGATCCTGGCGCTGCATTTGCCATAGATTTTGACGCAATGGTCGCTGTACGTTTCTGTCTTTCTTCTTGTTCATCTCAAAGCCAACGGTGTGACTAGGACTGGGACGAATACTTGAACATTGGAAGTACGTTAGTTTACAGTACTTCAAGTGGCTTATATTCATGCCCATTTGTAGACAACAAGGAAGGAGCGGAAGAGGGTTCATCCGATGATGAGTACAACCCAAAAGCCAAGAGATCGAAAGGAAAGGGTAAGCAGTCTGCAGTTGCACCAGCATCCACCGCGGAAAATACCCGCGCCAGCGCGCATACACTCAACGAAAATCACGACCTCTTCCTCGCCAATTCTTTTGATGCCTCATTTGGCGGCAGTGGCGCCAACATAATTCTATCTTCCCAGAATGATACTTTCGGCTTCGACGATAGCTTCTTCGGCGCTTTTGATGGCCTCGATATTGGGGAGGGCGTTGGGGATGACCTCGTAAGGGAACTTGGTGAAGGCTGGGGAGGAGCCGCCTTGGAGAATCAAGTCGAGTGTGTATCCCTTTGGGCCGGCTGAAGTTTTACTGAAATGTTTTAGTCATGATATGCAAGTGGATGAACCGAATGACTTCGGGTTCAATGATGCGGATAACCTGTATTTCGAGCAGGATGTCCCCGTTGACAATACTGGTGCATTAGAACAGAATGTCTTGCCGCTTCCTCCGTCGGCCTTTGCTACACCTCAAGGCACACAACGAGGTTCAGCAGGTACGACACATTACTCTACATTGACTATCTTAATGTATGGAAATTTAAAGCTGCCCTTCCACCCTCTTCGTCCTCCATTGGATACTCTCTCGAATCTCCTTCTGGTCCTTTGGCTGTAATTGCCCCGCAGGTCGAAGAGATCGACTCCGTTGTACCTGATGATAATCCAGCGGAACCCGCACCATCTAGGAAGATCAAACGCGCCAGGATTCTTTTAGATGTGCGAACGGAGTTGACAGATGACGAATTGAAGGTGTGTGGTAACGCCGCTCGTAGCCCGCAGCTACAACCTGCTTTTCTGTATAGGCTTCACGTCTGTATTATCTGGAAGAACAGAATGGCATTCATCGACAACTCGCGCGGAAGAATTTTGAGAAGGATCAAAGCAGGCTCATTGACGGTTTGCTTTGGGCTATTCCAGAATACAGTGAGCTTCCATTTTTTTTACTTGTGCTCATCATGAGCTTATATTTTGAAGTGCAAGCCAAAGAATTAGTAGACTTTTGGTTGGATCATTTCAAAGCACAATTGGACGCTCGATCTCCATTTATGATTGAACCCCATGGTCAGTATTACAACACCTGCGTGAGCTTTATTAAATGTACATGATGTTCAGACGACTCTCCTGCGCCAAAACGGAGGAAGAAGACTAAGACCAATGCTGAAGTCTCTGGCGGAGCCGAGTATGTCCAAGATCGCACTAGAAGTCCTGCATTTGGTGTAGGCCAGGCAAGCCCAGATCACATGGATTTTGATGCGGGTAGAGCGGATATTGACATGAATTTTGAAATGAATTTCGACATGGGTGGTAAGTTGTATTGATCACCGTAGATGGGTATCACCTAATGTCCTTTTCAGATGGGTGGGGTGGCGCAGACGACGCAGGACCAGAATTGAATCATCTTCGCTCGTCCGAGGTAAATCAGCTAGCAACGCTTTCTATACTCTCATTGACAAAGTTTTAGGAACCGGGACAAGCACGTCACGCCTCACGCCCTACGTCCATACTGGGAGACGAATTTGGCCTAGATATCGTGCAGAACTCCGTTTCTCAGCGCAGTGCACTCTTCCCTTGGGACAATGCGGGTGGAAGTTCCTCGGTATCTGGTGCGGTACTCCTAGGTCGCCATAGCAGTGACAAAATCAGTGTTGACCACGCCGAGACTCGCCTGAGGGGCAGCTCGTTGAGCCGACGAGGAAGTTCTATTCCAAGTCAGCAAGGCGACGTATTTGGTGGTGCCGGAGGTTTCTCTGCGAGCCCTCAAATAATCGATGACGATTTTGTATTCAACGGTACGCCGATACATTCTACAACTTGCCAGGCAATCTAGCTCATGGAATCGATAAGTCCCTGCAGGCAATTCTGTGGCCGAATCCCAATTGTCCGAGGTCAATATGGCCACCCTCGAGAGAAATTCCTTCAACTTCCTTGAGTCAACATTTTCACTATCTGTTATTCAAACTTGGTGTATTCACATGTCGTGTTGAAAGATACGCTAAGATGCAATATAAATCGCTGTCTGGGTCTGCTCGATTTCTCGCTTTCGACGATGTCGTACCACAGACCACCAGTACCGCACACGTCGCGGCAGCAGCACTTTACCACTGCCTTGGTGCGTGCTTCACGGCCGCATGCCGGATCATACCCGAGTATGTACTGACGCCGATTTGACCAGTGTTAGGCACGAAAGACCTGATCCGACTTCGTCAAGAAGAGGCATACGGAACCATTGAGATCCGTATCAAGTGATATTCTTGTCGGCCGAGACGTAAATTATATGCATTACTTGTAAATAGTGCTATGCTTGTCATAATCGGCTCCTGCATTTTTCGTTCCGAAAGTGAAACCATGATCAGGCCATCTATACAAAATCTTAATCGTGCCACTTCCACCTTAAGCACACGGTAATAACGTTAAAGGTTCACACTTTGGTATGTATACACTACGTGCTAACCTGTCCTCTCACCTTACTCGCAGCTTTAGATCATATTTTTCTCAACGCACCATGTCCTCACCAGCAGTTCTTGCCGCACGCACTGCCCTTGCTAGCATAGATCTCACTAGCTATGACCCTGAACAATCAAGACTGATGGATGAAAAATGCATCTTGGTCGATGAGCAGGATAACGCCATCGGCGCGATGGATAAGAAGACTTGTGAGTCTATTCGCTCTACATTACATGGGGTTTTTGATAGCCGGTTTTCAACAAGGTCACCTCATGGAAAATATCAACAAGGGTCTCCTTCACCGAGCCTTCTCTGCATTCGTCTTCCGTCCCTCTGATGGCAAGCTGCTCCTACAGCAGCGTGCTTCGGAGAAGATTACCTTCCCGGACATGTGGACGAATACGTGCTGTTCGCACCCACTCGACGATTTCGAGGAGGAAAAGATCGAGGAGGGCCAGCTCGGAGTACGGATCGCAGCTTCGAGAAAACTCGAGCATGAGCTCGGTATTCCGCAAAGCCAAACACCAGTCGAGGAGTTCCAGTACCTGACTAAAATTCATTACCTCGCACCATCGAATGGTATGTGGGGCGAGCATGAAGGTGCGTTGATAGCATGAAAATACGGGCACACGTCTTCACCCCTCCCCCTCACAGTCGATTACATCTTGTTTTTGACGGCGGATGTTACGGTGACGCCAAATAAGAACGAGATCCAGGACTACAAATATGTGGACAAGGCTGAACTACAGGCGATGTTCAATGACTCATGTGCGTATGTTGATTGTTGTGTGTTGGATGCGGGCTCACTCGGTGCCCACAGCGAATTCTTTCACACCTTGGTTCAAGCTGATCGCTCGCGACTTTTTGTTTGGATGGTGGGATACGCTTGTTCAGCGCCAGGGCTTTGATGGACGCGTCTATGCCAAGACTTTAACCTGGTGTTGCTGATGGTTCAAAGGTTGTTAAGATGGTATGATCAAATTTGTATTGTTTGCCAAGCACCATACATAGTCAAGAGACTATGAAGTAGTTACTGAGCAAAGAAATAAAACCCCCGACGACGCGAGCCAGTAGTGCAGTAGCAAGGTCATCATGTCCTCCGAGTTGCAAGCAGAGCTCGGAGAAACAAGGGCGACAAAAATTTGATAACCAAAGAATGAGGGCGGTGCCCTCATAATAGTGGTTAAACTATTAAGAACAGATACTACACTTGATCTAAGCCAAAAGGCCAGAGTGGTAAGGATCCAAATCGTAAACAGATCCCTTTTATATCTTCTGGTCAAGCGCACGGACCATTTACTATAACCACATCCAATTAAAAACTATAAATACATACGGTAGTTATACATCATGAGCATGTCGTTTCTTATCGTTACACCCCGTCGTTGAGATGGACTCTCTCACAGATGATGCGTCGTTCGTTGGCCCGTTTATCCTGTTAGTGATCGATGTTCTGCCCAGCACGGGAACCAGCACGGGAATTGGCGCGCGAACGCATCCTCGTCCCACGAAATATCCATATCTCCTTCTTATTCCCAAACCCAAGCATCCCTGTCCGCGGAAGGGCAACCGTAGCTTCAAGCTTATACCCCATAGTACTAATTTCCTTTAGTGCAGATGCTGCAAACACGTCTTTGCTTAAATCAGGAGCTGGTATCAGACCATGTCAGCAACGGAAAATTAATCTGCAGAGGTGACAAACCGCCAATTGCATTCCTTTTAAGCTCAATTGTGTAGATCTCATCTGCACTTGTTCGATCTCCAGCTATTTTAAATGGCCATGCAGCACGGAGACGCGGACCAATCTGCTCCCCGACACGCCGCGGCGGCCGCACGAGGGTCATCCTGTGTCCTGAACGCGAGATATGCGCGGCAAAGAAGTCGCAGTGTTCATCAGGTCCGCTATCTTGAAATACCAACTGAGGATACTGATCACACCGTCAATAATGCTTGTACGACGCTCAAGGTAATTAAAGGACGCACAGAATAGCCCGTATTGAGAGAGGTACGGTATTGATACCCGTTGTGTGCGAGGCAGGTAAAGAGTTCGCATATCATTTTTTGTGCGCTGCATATTCGATCAGCACGTGATAAACCATCAGCGATTGGGTGATTGGACCTACATCACGCTTTCGATTCCACTCGCAGTCCAAGGATTTCTGTTAAACAGAATACGAAATGCTTGATGAATGGGAATGGCTGAGGATACACCGTGTGGCCACATAGGAATAATATTCTCCTTTATCTCTTCCATGGTATCTTGAAAGGCGACATTGCCCATGCGGAGCTCGTTTGCGCCGTGAAAAGAGACAAACAAGTGTTCTATGATGACATGGCGTGGGAGGAGTAACAATCATAGTACACCTTTTAACATACCTGGAAGATAGGACTGGGTTAGAACTCATCCCCGTGGCGCGTGTCATGGGCACGAGGCGCTGGCGTGCACTAGAAGAAGTTCGAGTACGCTCCAAAGGGGGTGGGGCGGCGCTAATGGTCTCTGAACGGCGAAGACCACCGTTCTTCTTCATCGCGGACTTGAGCTGGGCCTTCTCGGGGTTATATGAGGGCTTTGGACGTGTTGTACTAGCGCGCTTGACTCGTGGTGCATGTGGAGTCGGCTCAGAACTTGGCGGGATGAATGGTGCGTTTGGCTCGAGGTGACCTTGTGAATATTGAGTGGCCTGATAATTTTCTCGAGGCCATGGTGGAGAACTGTATGGATCAGATGTAGGAAAAGGTTGTCGCTGCTGTTGGTGCGGATAGCCAGGAGGATAATATGTATGGTATGGCTGACCATAGTAAGGGAAGTTAGGCTGCGGGTAAGCTGAATGCATTTGGTGGTCAGGGAAAGAGATAGGAAAGATGGTCGTACACTAGGTCAAGTTATCATAAAAATGGCCTCGTGTTTAATTGAAGACGGCAGACATGAGGATTTCTATTCTAGGCCTCTAGGTCTAGTTCATGACCTCGGTCCGCTTTCGGCCCTATAGATCACGTGAGTAGTTTTATATCCTGAATTTCCTTGCTTCCGAACTCTCCATACTAGTAGTCACACTATATCAGAGCAGCGATGGCATCAACATTCTTTACATGGCTCAGGTCTCCTGCTGCTCGCGAGTACTTCTTCAGTATGTCTCCCATAAATTATTTGCTTGAAACGTATCTCATCATATTCTTCACAGGTACACACTTCTGGGGACCGGTCAGTCATTTCAACCTTTACGAGTCGCATAACTCACTCATTTTAGGTCGCAAACTGGGGTCTTCCCCTTGCTGCCCTCGCCGACCTGAGTAAAGATGAAGAGGTCATCTCAGGATCCATGACCACTGCACTTGCTGCCTATTCGTATGCCCCATTTCACTCTCACGCAAGCTGCCTGCTAAACCCACGCAACTAGAATGGTTTTCATGCGTTTCGGTGCGTTCTATGGCGATATCATAAAGCGCGTGGCTGACTTTTCGTTATAGCATGGAGAGTACAACCGCGGAATTACCTGCTCTTTGCCTGTCACTTGACAAACGCGACAGCACAGTCAATCCAAGAAGCTCGCTTCGTGAACTACTGGTATTATGGTGGTCGTGAGAAGAAGTTTGGTCTTGACAAAGGTCCAGTCACTCAAGCCATCGAGGCTTCACAAGCAGAAGCAAAGAAGGTTGTGGATGCAAAATAACAATATCCCTCCATCTAGATACTGATACGTAAATTTCACCAAAATCCATCATCTCCATCACCTTTGCTTTTCTTCCCGCCCTTACTCTGCGCAAGCACCTGTCGTTCATACATCTCAGAGATCTGCCATATAATTATGAGTAACTGCTATCTCATCGAATCTCAACATGGCGAAACACTCACTTGCTCAGGTCCGGTAGCATCATCTGCCGATTTATCATCCCGTATTCGGATGAATCTCGGAAAGCGTAACGAGATCCCGCGTTCCTCTGCCAAGCCTTGTGCTGCTGTGTATATCGGGCTCAAGCTCAGATCTGCCGCAAGCACCTCCCATACGATCTTTGGCTCAAACCACACATCAGGCTTTGCTCCACCAGGTTTGATGTCTCCGCGTGGTTTTGTGATCTCGAGCGGTCGTAGAGTGTCCCAGTGCGTCTGCAGCATCTCTTCGCTGAACCCGGTACCGATCTTGCAGATCGTCTGATACTCTTCGGCATCGGTGTCAAAGCAAGCTAGGAGGAAAGCTCCATAAACGTTCGTTCGCTTGCCTTTGCCGTAGTACCCGCCGACGACAACGAGGTCCAAAGAATCACCAACGCCAGCGAGATAGTCTTTCTTGAGCTGTGTATGGTTAATCAACATTAGTCAAATTTCGATGGGGTAAAAGTTGAAGGCACCTTGAGCCAGTTGACGCTCCGCCGGCTGGGTTCATAGTAACTTGCGTCTGACTCAAGCATCTTAACCATGAGTCCTTCGCAGCCGTCTTTCACGCTCTCTTCAAGGAACGCCTGGATCTCATCTGTTGTCGATCCATCTGAAGATTTGGCAAAATCGAACTCTCCAGGTACGATCTGGAAGTGCTCCCTCAACAACTCTCGCCGCTCGCTGAGTGATTTTTGGAGAAGTGGCTACGCGCACACCAATCAGTACAACTCCCTGATGTCATTAGAGACAGGTAACGAACCTCGCCATTGAGGTAGATAAGGTCGAATGCGAAAAGGCAGACTTTGACCTGTATGTCTTCGACTTTTACGTCCTTGCGTTTTCGCTTGCTCAGCTCTTGGAAGGGCATGAGCCTGCCCGAGGTCTTGTCAATCGCAACGGCTTCGGCATCCAGCACAAATGACGTGGTCTTCTCCATGATGCACTATCTTTCCATCAGCTCAATCCGCACAGCCAAGTCTATAAAGATCAACACCCACCCTCGGCAGCTGCTCCACCAGATCTGGATACTTAGCCTTCATATCCTCTGAATTTCTACTAAAGACGCTGACGCTGCCATCCTCCAGCCTGTGCACCTGGGCGCGCTCCCCATCGTACTTGTACTCACACGTGAATCGCCGTCCCTCAAACCGGTCAAGTACTTCGCCAATCGCTTTTGTCGGCTTGGCGAGCATTGGCTTGAGCGGAACCCCGGGCGTAAGCTTGCAATGAGTGCGCAAGCCCGATAGGCCATGCGTGAATAACGCAGGGATCACAAGTTCGTACGTGGGGAGCTCGCTGGAAGATGTGTCAATGAGCGCAGGTGGCGAGGCGAGGGGGACCGACCTATACACAGATTTGATAATACTAGCACCCTCTTCGAGGCGAGATGCCAGTTTCTCTTTGCTCCATCGCTTTCCAGCTTTGACAGATGATGAATCAGCTTCATTAGAGAGCTTTGAAAGAAACACACCATGTTCTTTAGCCAGAACGACAGCGTGTGCAAGAGCCACGAGAACCGTCCGCTCAGCATTACCGATCCGGAGCTTGCCTTCCAGACTGCGCACAATGTACTTCGCCTCGAAGTCCTGGCATGCGGCGAGGAGCTTTGTGATGATCGATACCTTCTTTGCCTGGGACTGCAGTGAGGGAGTGCTGAGTCTCTGAAAACTTGTATAAGCATGAGGAACAAACCGAATGTCCAGATGACAATGCGATCTCCCGCAAGTTCGAGAAGACGAAAGGAACTGTAAGGGGCTTGGGTTTAAAGAGCGTCTTCTGACTGTTTTTAGAGTTCTACCAATGAAGTAAGCTCGTGTGGTTGAGGTTGAGGCAAGTAACAACAGAGCACCATTGCTACAAGCCCGAGATCGCCTTCTTTCTTGAGGTCTGCTTTGACTGTTGCAAGACTGCGTCCTGTGGACTCGCTGATAGCTTTGATGAGCAGGCTCTCGCCGATACCCAGTTCAACACCGACATAATCTGGGCTTAGCTACGTCGCTTAGTACACGAGAACAGAGTAATTGAATAGAAAAAAACTTACGCGGTTTATGCACAGGTATACGCACTGCAGGAGGGAGTTTGAATCGTCATTCTTGCTGCGCTGGATGACGAGAAGGAAGAACGAAGTAAGAAGGGCGGTCTTTTCGAGCCTCTTGGTGGTGGCTTCGATGAGTGAGAATGTCTTCGTTAATGCAGCGTAGGGCACTCTACCAACTCACTGTGTGAGTGAAACGTCAGAGATTGTAACACGACGTACGAATCTCCGATTTTCCACCCGCCCTTAATGTCTACCTCTGCGACTCGGGATAGTGCTTCCTCGGCACTGTGTATGCAGATCAACTTGATCCTTCTGAATACTGGCTAAAGGAGTCATACGTACGTTTGTGTGGCCGCATCCTCGTCATCATCCTCTGGCTCACTTTCGTCAGGATTCTCATCCTCGGCCTCGTCGGCACTTGCTGGGGACTCGGCTAGTTGCTTTTCTGCAGGCTCGGGTTGGGGGACTGCTTTGGCTTTCCCTTTACTTTTGGAGGAAGGCTCAGGTTGGGAGACTGCTTTGGCTTTTTCTCTACTTTTGGAGGAAGGCTGTGGTGAGGAGTGCCCATTTAGACCGATGAGAGTTGGTGGGGTGGTCGTGGAGTCCTCGTCATCTGACTCGACCACACGTCTCCGTTTTGACTTTGAAGGCCCAGGTGATGCTAGAGCATAGTTGAGTCTAGCTTCGACTTTCAAGGCTAGGTGGCACTCACCAGCGAGTTTTGGCGACATGGCATCCTTCCGTTTTGTCTTGGACTTGGCCGGTGCTATCCGTCATTATAACCTGTCAGCTGCGCAGAGCGGAGGAGCACTCACATGCTGGTGGTTGGTCGACGTCCATTCCATCTCTCTCTTCTGTTGGTTGTCTACCATTTGAGACAGGTAATACTAAGAGTCCACGAGGGTTAAACTCCACAGTTTGGATGGTGGTCCAAGATTCTCACTAATTTCAGACTTCAGTGACGCGCCCGTCTTCAGTTCATCCGCCTTCCCGTTAACGATGACTTCTTCCTGCACACTCTCCTCATTCGTGTTGGGCTTCCGCTTCTTCCCTCCCCACATTTCTGACAGGTTCGACTGTTGTGGCGGCGCGGCTTTACTGCTCTTTGGCATTTCAAAGAATTTACCTGGAAAAGTGGTGGTATGATAGGTGGTCAGAAAGACCAAGTTACGTACCGAGTGTTTGTTGTCTTCCCATAAATCTTGTGTGAGTCGCGACGCGATAGAATGAGCGCGTGACAAACATAGACGTCAACCCGTGTGAACTTGTTTATTGACCCCTATTACGCGGAGTCAATGACAGCTCGAATTGCTATTGGTTAAATTGAAATAGGACCAGTCGAAAACGTTTCTTCATACACGTGCGTCCCCTTTGCCATGACCAAGTTATTTTGGCTCTATACTTCATAAGTAAACGATTGGAATGAATTGAACCAAAGTGAATTGTACAGTGATGGGAATTATCAATGGCAAATGCCGGAATCTGTACAGTTTTAATTTAGTGGCTTCTTTCCCACGCAAGCAAGCACAGACCAGGCTGAGCTCCTCATCGTCCTAATCATTCACTATGGCTGACCAGGTATGACCTGCTACTTTGCCGAATCTACCCTTCTTGCTTGACTTATCATCATTTTTAGATCGAGAAGGCGTACCAGAAGCAGCATTTATTCCAAAACGCCAAAGCCCGCGGTATGAGACTTTTAACCCGTGAAATCGGAGCAGGAACTTATGTGATTGCGATCGCTGTGGTAAAGGTGGCAAGAAGGTTGCGACCAAGGAAAAGCGGTGGTACAAGGATGTTGGTCTTGGATTCAAGACCCCTGCGGAGGCTATCCAAGGCACTTACATCGGTGCGTCACTATACTTGTTACATGTGGTTTAGGTGGTTCATTGTTATGTCTGTTTTCAGACAAGAAGTGCCCCTTCACTGGTAACGTCTCCATTCGTGGCCGTATCTTGACTGGCAAGGTCGTTTCAACCAAGATGACCCGGACAATTGTGATCCGCAGGGATTACCTCCACTACATTCCTAAATACAGTACGTCAGAAGACAGACATATCGTCCATTCACCCTTATCTTTATTTGACAGACCGTTACGAGAAGAGACACAAAAACTTGGCCGTACATGTGTCACCCGCTTTCCGTGTAGAGATCGGTGATATTGTCACTGTCGGTTAGTGTTCCTCTCAGTCGGTGCTACTCGAGAATTGATCGCATATTATGTAGGGCAATGTCGGCCACTATCGAAAACGGTACGATTCAACGTCCTGCGGGTGTCGAAGAGCAAGGCATCAGCCAAGGCCTTCGGCAAGTTCTGAGAGTGCCATCGAGATTTTATTTACGTTGTTGACATTGCATGATTTCTACTACCCATTGCGCTATGCCCGCATGAAAAATTCATTGCTGCATTATGACAAGCACTTTTTTTAGAAGATCTCTGAGTGGCGGCAAAGTTCAGAATCAGAATCAGAACCAAAGTACCAAGTAAGTATGACGGGACAAGAAGTAAACAATGGAACAAATAAGGACAGCAGTGCAAGTTGCCGCTAAGACGATTGACTGGTCCTCATTGGAGAGGACTCGGCTCAACTTAGTTATCGTCTTCTTTGACTTTACAAGCTGGCTCCAACACTCATTTCAGTCTTAGCTTCCAAGTTAACTCCAAGGTCGCGCTCCCGGTCATCAGCATCACAGCGAGGCTCGCCCTCACGCGAACCACAGGTTTCACCACCAATGGGTCAACAGCAATCTAAAAAGGCAAAGAAAGGAGGAAAGGAGAAGGACGTAGACCATGTGCACGAAGATTCTGTAGAAGAATCGAATGGCCAGATACCCCATGGCAGTTTGTCTCGTGCAACGGGGAGTCATCCCAACCACTCCCAAAGTGTCGCCCACGAGTATGATGCAGTCCGAAATAGTGCACCCTCTCTCAACGTACCTAGTTCCGGAGATTCCAATGGTAGCAGCTCAAGACCACCAGGTTCACCAGGTGGTTCACCCGCTATCCTTAGTTCTTCCCCGAACAACCTTTCTACCCCCTCCCTACTCGTGCAAACTTCGACGCCACAACCTTCCGCTTTATCAACGAAACCTTTTCCCGCTCCCCTCGACATTCCACTCACCCAAACAATCCTCTCGACTTCTATGCCGTCGTCATCCTTCACGCCAGGTTCAGCGGCTAGTAACTTCCCCTTGAGCGACCCTGCGGGAGGAAAGGCTGGACTCCTCGACATCGACGGTATGATCCAACGCCTTCTGGACGTGGGATATACCGGTAAAGTCAGCAAATCTCTATGTCTAAAAAACACGGAGATTGCTGCTATTTGCCAAGCAGCGCGCGAGGTGTTCCTTAGCCAGCCAACTCTCATCGAGTTGTCACCACCAGTAAAGATTGTCGGCGACGTGCATGGGCAATATTCAGATCTCATCCGCCTTTTTGAGATGTGCGGTTTCCCTCCAGCCGCCAACTACCTATTCTTGGGTGACTATGTCGATCGCGGGAAACAGAGTTTGGAGACAATCCTACTGCTCTTGTGCTACAAGATAAAGTACCCAGAGAACTTCTTCCTCTTACGTGGCAATCATGAATGTGCGAATGTCACAAGAGGTTAGTTACTTTCCGCCTTCCGTTTAGTGATGGTGTTCTGACATTTTCTAGTGTATGGCTTCTATGACGAGTGCAAAAGACGATGTAACATAAAGACATGGAAGACATTCATAGACGTCTTCAATTGCCTGCCCATTGCAGCTATTGTCGCCTCCAAGATATTTTGCGTGCACGGCGGACTTTCACCTTCACTTCACTCCATGGAAGATATCAAACGCATACAAAGACCCACAGACGTGCCGGACTACGGGCTCCTAAACGATTTGCTATGGTCCGATCCTTCTGATACGGCATTAGATTGGGAGGATAACGAGAGGGGGGTAAGCTACTGTTTTGGGAAGGGGATCATCAATGACTTCCTGGTACGGTATGACATGGACCTGATATGCAGGGCTCATATGGTCGTTGAGGATGGATATGAGTTCTGGAACGACCGGACACTTGTGACGGTCTTCAGTGCTCCGAATTATTGCGGAGGTCAGCATAACTGTTATTTTTCTGTTCGTTCAGAGCTGAAGCGATGTTCTAGAATTCGACAACTATGGTGCTTGTATGAGGTAATTTTGCGTCTGTCGACACATCTGGGGATTCCAATTGATTTGTATCATTTCAGTGTCTCAGAGGACCTTCTGTGCGCTTTCGAGCTCCTCAAACCTCTGGACGGGCCGGCGCTCCGAAAAGAGATGACGAAGGCTAAACGGAAGAGGTGGGTCATCTTCTCATATTCAATATCACGTATTGACTCATGCCTAGTCTAATGGCGACCGCAACGTGATCATGACATGCCACGCGTAGAACACCAATGTCACAGGGTCAAGGGTGTGGGTGACCTGTTAATGAACACTGTATAACTTTGGTATCACTACGTATTGTGGCGCAGACACACTCGTTGAGATATCCGGGGCCCATACCTAACCCTCTCACTACAAACATCACACTACCCCTACCCCCCTACCTCACTTCCGTTTAGTCCTGATCTGTTCACCTTGATATCCGAGTAATTTGCCTCACGCAAGCACATTCCTTCCTGTCGTACTTCGCATCTTTCCTCCTTACCCTCCTGTCTCTCCCTGCCCTTTCTTCCGTTTCATATTTTCTCGCCCCCTCTCCAGCTTTCTCCTTTTGGGCCTATTTAAGACGTCGCATATTTCTCTGTGTCTGTGCTATATAATGATATTACAGCTGAAAAATGCTAGCTGTGGTTTTCAGCCGGTCAGGAGTTGTCACGTCGCATCTCGCCACTTATTAGCATGATGCATTGTAGGGTTGTATATGCCCTTCATCCCTAGGCTTCGAAAACGTATTCAGTGCTCCCAATTTGACAACAAACATCATGCTCGGTTCAAGGGGTCAGATAGCTGACGTGGATGAACCACACGACAGATCTAATATAGCGTAATTGGGACCAACGGGACATGTCCAAGTGAATGATGATGTTCTCTTGACAAAGAGCACTCAGCTGAGAAAGATGCAAACGGTATTCGCCAAATGATGCCAAGGTACAACTCTGAGATTGCTGAGTATCAACCAAGCCCGCTCAATTGTATGCATGACTCTACCGTCAGCTCTAGAACATATCATAAGCAAGTACAGCGAAAGCCCCTACAATCATGCCTGCTCCCAATAGTCCCCAGGCAGTCAACCCGACGGTGCCTAACATTAGATCCGAGATGAGTGTGAGGACGATTGTAAGTAGACTCCCAACGGAAGTAACAATCGGACCCCAGACTCCCAGTAAAATCTAAAAATGTTGATTAATTATGGGACGCTGTGCGTTCATCATACGCACCATGAAACCTGCATTGAATATAACACCTGTTATACAGATTCCTGCAATTGCAACGAAGGTCACCATGTTGGATGGAAGCCCAAACTTTTCGATGCCGTAATAATGCAACACAATTAGGGGTACCCATAGCACAGACAAAGTGCACACGCCTATGCATGCGGTGAGAAAATTTGAATGGAGGCCGAATGGAAGAGAATGAGCAACTTTATCACCGGCGACGGGTGATGGTGAAGCTACTGTCTCCTCATCATCAACCTGTTCCGCTGATGTTGGGACATGGGAATATTGTGGAGGCTCTGCAGCTGGCTCTAGGTCTGATGGCAGTGCGACATACTTCTTGTAAAGAACTTGATACAGACCGTATATCACGGATGCAACCAGAGTTAAAATGTCGCCAAATAAAGGAGCAGAATTTTGAGCAACAGTCGTACGGCCAGCCAGAGGTGCGGTTGCATTTGACGGTGTGCTGTCGCCATATACGATAGTGAGCACTCCGACAGTGGCGAGGCAAACAGCACACGACCGGATAAGACTCCATTTCAGGTTCAACAACTTGACACTAAAGACATAAGCGAAGAAGGCATTGGCATTCCAAATGGCTGTGACATCAGTGACACTGCAGGATGCTTAAGATCAGGAGTGTGAAAAATGATTAGCGACGTACGGGGCGTATACGACAGCAATAAACCACAATAGGGCAGGTGCATTGTAGATGACAGTCATGACTAGAATCACGACCAGAAATCGAGACACAGGAAATCGAGAAGAGTGAATGATTCTTGGATCTTGTAATGTCAACTGAGCGGTGATAGTACTGAACAAGCCAGACATCAGGGCACGAGGAGAATGGTGGGTTGTCATGAGGAGATAACCTAGGTGCAATGGAAAGGAGAGCACGAATGATGAATGCACGACATAACTGCGAACTCTGAGTTCGCATCTTCATACCGCGGTCATTTATCTACTCACAACAAAAAGAATGAGTGCTGGTAACCCAATGTTGTTTGGACATACTAATTTGGCAAGTCAGTAAATTTATCGATCTAAAGTGGTTGAGCTTACCTGTGTGAGTTGGGTCTCTCCAACAAACGCAAAAATCACTGCAACGAATGTTAACACCGCAGTTTTTCCACGCAGGGGCCGCAGGGGCGGCGGCGCAACGAGGCCCTCTCTCTCGCACGCCATGATAAGGTAAAGTATGAGTACAGAAATTCAAGAAGTTTTCAAGAAAGTAGGCAGATAACCCGAATGATGTGGTGTTATCACTGCTCCGAGTCCATCTCGCGAATAGAACTTAGAAGTGCTCGTAAGTCCTGGCGCTGGCGCTAATATTTTATAAGCCGCAGTAACTGAAAGATATGAAATATTTTTTAAAGTTATCTGACACGTGACCACAGCTTCTTCCTCTTTCATGACTTGTCTTCTGGTCTGCATTTCACCATGTTGAGAGCTTTGCTGGTTTCAAGCAGGCCATTACTAGCACGTTTGCGCATCTCTACCCTTCCTCACATACACAATTTCACACCTGCAATCCCATCACTGGCCACGAATGCAATACCATCTACAGCGCGTGGAATGAAAGTGAGGTCATCGGTGAAGGTCATGTGTGACGGGTGCAGCGTTGTGAAGCGAAAAGGCAGAGTGTACGTCGTGTGTTCGAAAAATCCGAAACATAAGCAGGTGTGTGATTGATCTTATCCTCATCTCGACCTTCGTTGACTCTCGTATAGCGTCAAGGATAATCATCGTCGACCCTGCGTTTTTTTGAATCCCGTACATTGTTTTGGTAGAATGCGTGTAGGGGAAGGAGGATCATTTTTGTCGATATAATGCACAGCTCTCAAAATATTCTACCACCAATGTCACTGACGAAGCCACATCTGGAACTCGTAGCTAACTCCCTTTTCCTCCTGGACTCCAGCTGGCACGTCGAATCCTGTCCATTGCACGAGTTCATCATGAGTTGCTTGCTTCCATTTTATCTCCCCTTCCTCGCTTGCTCCCAAGAAGTCTGGAATAAAAACGTCACATTGGGAGAAATCAGGCGCAAGGATCCGTGTCAAGAGGACACGGTCAGCGATGCAAGACGTTGGACTCGAAGATGCAGGATTTAGTGCCTCTGAGATCAAGGATACTCCACCGATAATAAATCGTCGGTGTATATCAGCCTGAGATGCCAAATCAACTGCCAGAGTCAAGTTCGAGCAAAGGTGAACTGGAGTCAACGGGTTGGAGGACGTCCTGATTGCCGCTCTATCAATAAAATGACGGGAAAAAAAAATGCAGAAAATTCGTACAGTTCGTAGTCCTTGTTATGGCTGATGACTACGTTGAGGCGTTTAGAGAGAGGCCTGAATTTGGCTGGTATGCTCTCCCATGTCTTCCGCCCCATGATGACCGCGTTCTTCCGTCCTTCAGGCGCGGTGGACGTGACCCGAGCAAAATAGGCCATCTCCTTCGACAGCCGCCATGGAAGTTCACCATGTTGGCCGATACCATTAGATTTTGTGGCGGCAACTATGATCGTAAGACGTGACATGGTTTCTAACGAACCCGGTTGTAAGTACTTGCTTAATAAAAGTTACAAGACTTTTGGCAATTGATATTTAGTACTTACACCAAATGTCATACGCGGCAACTCTTTCAATTCTCGCTTATTTTACAATCCTTCTACATCATATATACCTCACTATCCAACCCATCCCGGAACGTCGTGACATCCCTTAGGCCGCGTTAAACTTCTTTCTGACAGGAAAGAAATATGCGTTTTAACTGACAAGATCACCAATGCTTTCGATGGGACAATGATCCATTTTGAAAGCGTCGATAACATGCGGAGTGACTGATAATACAAACCAAGAATCAAGTTCAATTCCACTTCTTCCACTCACTACCTGTCGGAGGCTTCACTTCAACAGTACCCTTGCTTACTTCCTCCCAGTTTGTGCTAAGCGTGGTTCCTCCACTCTCCTGGAAGCTCTTCATCATTGCGCGTTTAGCATCATCATCTGCATCTCCGAAGATCTTTTGAAAAAAGGAGTTGACCGTACTGTCACCACCAACGTTTGGATCCTCATCTACAGTGACCTCCGTTTCGGATGAGAGAATTTTAGTGGTAAGTTCCTCCCAGTTCTTCTTGGGCTTAGCCCTCGCCTCGGCCACTGCCGGAGAAGTAGTTGGTTCGATAGGGGCGGTCTGGAGAGCTAGTACGCGTTAGTACGTATTGAAGAACTTGGGCTACATGAAAAACACGTACGATCAGGAGCATCACCAGTGATACCTCCCCAACGGCCTTGAGCCATCTTCACAAGACGGAGCTCAACCTTGACTTTACCGACCGTGAAATCGCACTTCTCTGGATCAATCCGTCCTTTCAACGGCTCTAAGGATAGTGTCTTCTCGCCATTCACGTAGCTAACCTATAGCTCCTTTGAGGACTGTCTCCCAAAATGAGTGGGATTGCTCACCTTGTTTGGCTCAAACGTAATGGATACTTGTGCAGGATCAGCCCCTCGGTCGAAGATGGAGATCGTCAATTTTTCGTCTGTCTCGTAAAATTCGTGCCTTTATTATATGTTAGACGAATGTGAAGCGTAAGTGATGTTGGTCTGACCTTAAGCATGCCATGGTTGGGGCGACGATGCAAGAAAACCGATGAGCCTAAAGTGATGAAGTTACGCGACTCAATGAAAGCAGAACTTTCCAGTACAAAGGGTCACGTGGACTGTCATGAGGGAAAAGATTTACAAAAGACTGAGACTTGACTATTCAAGAATCTGAATCGTGCGCATCGATGACAACGACTCGTGTTTCAAAGATCCTAGAAAAATACGAAGTCGTGCCCATATGTGTGGATAGCACCTTTGGGATCAAACAGATGATGCATCAACGATGAATGGTTCATGCATACAGCCCAAGACTGAGTCGAGTTGCTCAGCAGCCCTAACCGGAAATCAAAAGAAGGACAAACAGGTGGGGTCCAGACGTCATCTTCCCTGTGGCAACCTAGTACCACCATGTCGTCTGCAATACCCAAGGCCGTATTGTACTACAGCCCACAATCTGTGTGGTCCTCTGCGGGTAAGCATCGGTATTTACAGTTGTTGTTCTATGTTCTCACTTCAGTGTATCACAGTACTTCTTGCACTGTGAGGTCATCGCGAAACAACGTATCGTGCTATTGATCTGCGATTTCTCTGCAGCAGCGAGAAAGGATACGGAGAGGATGAAGTTGATCTCAAGGTTGTCGACATCAGTACGTCTTGAGTGCATCGAAGTGGCTTGAGCATTGGTCAATGTATACTTGCCATCAGACAAAGGACAAGAATTTTCCCCGACCTTCCTCAGGTTGAGCCCCAAAGGTGGGATTAGGCACCTTCTGTGTTACGCATCATTGATCACCCCTCAGCAATGGTGCCAACTCTCATTGTACCCCTCCGCGGCTCTCTCGCATCTGATGTTGCAAGCCGTTTCAAGGCTATCTCTGACACGAAAGTTAGCTAGCCTTTGTTTCGCTGGTTTCCTTTCTGCTTATTAAAAGAGCAGGCACTGATCGAGTTCCTGGACAAATCTCGGTCCCAATCATCTCACACGCACACTACATCAAGCGCTCCAGCTCCATCATTGTCCCCTGCGACAGTTGCATTCGCCAGTGCATCCAGCAAGATTATTGACTCTATTCATGCTGATGAGGTCTCTCCCGATCGCTTGCAGTACTTGAATGCTCGTGATCAAGCCTCACTTCAAGAACTTGGAAAGTCTCTGGTCCCTATCCTTGAATCCAGACGGGCGGCAATCGTGGGATATCTCACCGACTGTGAACAGAAAACACTGCAGATGTCTGAAAAGACCAAGTCATTCTGGCGAGAGAAACAAGCGGAGGCAGAGACGGCACTGAGCGTGTTTAGCGGGAATGATGTCGACGGATACTTATCACGCTCTAGGATTATGTGGGAAATCACAATTCCAGGTGTTCTCACTCGGTTGAACGAGGAGTTCATTGGGCCCTACGCGTTAGGTTCGTCGAGAAGCTACTTTGTTTGGCTCATGATCACAGAACATGACACAGGTGATCAGGTCTCTATCGTGGATATTCATTTAAGCGCTTGGCTTTCTCACCTTGTCAGACTGGCTGGCGGAAGCCCTTACGATAATGGAGATGTTGCTATTAAAAGAGTGGAAAAACATATTGGAAGTGGTGGGTTTGTCTTTCCCGAGGATTTCTTGCCTTCAGCTTTTAGCCCATTCACGGAAGAAAAAAGCAGTTGCGAGGAGCAAGCTAGCAGCATTTTGGGATGAAATGAAATCACGGTCCAGTTGGAAGAAAGTTTATGCTCCATGACACCTTCTATACATATGTACTGCATGATGTCCAATGATATCTACTTAGCTACCAATAGTCAGAGTCTTGTTGCATTTAGCTCGCACGCAAGTTGATCGCAGCTGAAGTGGCAGTGTTCCTGCCATACCCGACTCAGGACTGTTTACTGCTAACTTTACTTAAGAGGACACTCATATCATTTCATACCAAGAAAAACCAACGCGGGAGGTAACACGACGCTAGCGTCCGAAAGGGAATTCTAGCCATCGCGTCATTAACTTGCGATACACTTTGTTAATTTTGCAGGCTGTAATTTTCTGAGGCTTGGCATACACGCTCTTTTTCAATGCTATGGCAGGCATTGTGGATTTCTCTGACTCTTCCCATCTATTTCGAGCACCAAGCAACGAAGAGCGCCGCGACATTCTCTTGGGAGTAGATTATAGGGAGAGTCGTTCGTCTAACACTCCCTTGTCCGAGCGCTTTTCCTTCATGGACACTGGATACCCTGATGTAATGCCTGGAAGGTCGTCTTCGGATTCTTCGTCATCTACAACACCCACGCCGTCTCGCCCTTCTTCCCCTCTGCCATTTTCGCTCCATACTGCAACTCTATCCGACACGGAGTCCAACGCGCCTCTACTTGGCCTCGGAAGATACGCCTCCTCGGGAGAGAGCCGCTGGATCTGGCGTAACTTAGGTTCAAGTTCTCCAAGGAGACGTAAACGAGATGGAAGAAGGTGGAGAACCCTCAAGGGTATTTTGAGACGTATTGTCAGACACCCGCTATTCCCTCGTCAACCGCTAACCATTGTATGTTTATGTTTTTCATCTGCGCTTCGTTCCATGTCTGACATTTTGATAAGATACTTGCGCTCCTAGTGCTCACCGTCTTTGCTATTTCTCTCACATTAATTTTGCTCTATGTCTTGAACCCCGACAAGGAAGCCCTACCTTGGAGGGCATATTGCACCATTCCGCCAACAACTTCTGTTCCTCCGCATTATCGTGAAACATTGCCATATCCTTACATCAATCCACTTCCCAACGTGATGCCGCCGTCGTTTCCACCGGATGATCTTGATACACTGCCTCCCGCAGGACTGTTCTTAGCTGTTTTCTCGATGGATTCCTCTTTAGAACGTAGAATGTTGATTAGAACAACATGGGCAGCACATCCCCGTAGTCGTAATGGCGCAGGGGAAGGAGACGGCGGGATGGGCACCTCGAGAACTGTGGTACGTTTTGTTCTTGGACAGCCCCGGAAAGGATGGGAAAGACGTATTCAATCAGAGATGGAAAGTGAGTATATATCATGTTGGTCCGTTGCACCACTCTGACGCATGCTTTTGTGTAGTGTACAACGATATGATAATCTTGCCCTGCTCAGAAAACATGAATTCCGGCAAATCGTATGCCTACTTCACATGGGCAGCATCGAATGCCTGGGTCCCACCAGTCTACTTCAATACCACGCATCCTGTACCGGAGCTCTCTTACTCGAATCAATATGCTCCTGCTCCCCATCTTGCCCCCCATGATCCCTACCTCGCTTGGAAAGACAGTGCCTCAGGTCATCCAAGGCCTTGGGTGCGGCCCGATTATGTGGCTAAGGTCGATGACGATGCTTTCGTTATGCTGGCCGAGCTGGAGGCGCGTATGAGGCTAGAGCTGTACGCTACAGGGCAGAGGCCATACAACATGCCCTATGTTTCGCCAGTCTCAGCATCATTTAGAGAAGAGGCATTAAAGGTGGAATCGCAGAGCAACGCTCCTGCCGATAACTCTACGTTGTTAATGGTTGAGCAGGAGATGCCACGCGATGGAGCGGCGAAGGACCCATTGGTTTACTGGGGCTACCTTGTTAAAGAACAGTTTATGGCTGGCGAGCTGTATGGCTTGAGCTGGAGTCTTGTCGACTGGGTTTCCAAGGATCCAAGCGTCAGGGGTCTTACCAGGGGCGCAGAGGACAAGCAAACAGCCAAATGGATGGGGCTACATCCACGTGCAGCGGAGATCCGTTGGTCAAGCGACCATTGCTGGATATATGATCATCCCCGGTCAGGAACTGTGTGAGTCAACTCACCTGTCTATCTGACATTCTTGTGCTAATCTCCTGATAGATATTCCCATGGCTTCCTGTTTCCCTCTGAAGTCTCTCGCGTTAAGAAATCTGTTTTGCCATTTCTCGACAAAGTGTCCCGTAACTCATCTACTGGAACGACTGTTGTGACTCCTTCGGCACTTGTATCTTTGTCACACTCAAGTGTTTCAGCATTTGGTACCCGGTACCAGCAGCCCTTACAAGAGATGGACTTGGCTCATAGTGTTGAGGCGCTAGTTGAAGGCAGTTATATGTCTGAATTGCAGGAAGGTACGATATCAATTGCCCTCGATAAGCATATGTTGAATGTTACTGGCTGCAGGGAAGTCTACGGGCCCAGAGACCGCATGGCGCGCCCGGGAAGGACGCATCACACGGTATGAGAACAAGCGTGTTGGTGGAACTGTTGTAGTGCACTTCATCAAAAAGCACATGTGGTTTTTAGAGACTGCGCTCGCTTTATTGGAAGGCGATAATTTTTCTGAAGCTGAACTTGAGGGTCTCGATACGGACGAGGGCAGGCTCAACGTGAGCTTGGCGTCAGTATGGACAGATAGTTCAGTTTTCAAGCCGACGAATGCAAGTGCTGCATTGTGATGGCTATATGTGCGCTGTCTGGACCGTTTTAGCAGACTTCTTGCGTGTATTTATCTTTTGAGGACGCCCGGGACTATTATATACCACTGCTCGGCCGGAGACTACTTGACACCTTTACTACTCGGACGTAGAGTTTATTGCATACAATATTATCGAGAAAATGGGAAGGGTGGTCGGTGTATCGCGGATTCCCCCTTCAAAGCTGCACCCCTCGAGGGTGTTCAATACCCATCCAACACTAACGCCTCATGCGCAGGGTGATCATCAGGCATTGTCAAGGGTTGTCTGTCCTGCAGCCTGTTTTGCACTGCTCTTCTGATGGTTCCCTCCCATTGCCTAAACCACTCTCCTTCTCGCATGCCAACCACTTTCGTCCGTCGGCCCGGAGGGTCAGCGAGGGAAGATCCTTGGGCGGTGGCATCCACGGTGTCAAACACATCACGGAAAGGACTCTCCGCGTGCACATCGGGAGCAAATTGCTTTGCACATTGTTCGACGCGCTTCAGCGCATATGCGCCACCGCAGACGTCCCAGCGCCCACCACCGCGTGAGTGGAAACGTTTGAATAGCCATATAAACGGGTATATGAAGGTAAGGAAGAGTAAAAACTTGATCCAGCGGTTTGAAAGAGCGCGGGAAAGGCGGTTGTGTGACCGAACAGATACGAGATTTTGGGATGTCTCGAACTGGACGGACAAGTCGCCCCGATAGTGGGTAGAATTGACGATGGAAATAGCAGCAACCCTTATGGCCTCAAAATTCCAACCATAAACAATCTGTGGGTTGAGGATGAGAACTATGCGAACGAGGTCGCTAAAATGTCTACTAACCTTGTGGTAATTAAATTCTTTCAAGTACTTGCGGCTGGCACAATAGTCGTCTGCCCACTGACGTAATGTCCACGATGATCTAAGGACACTAGTTCGTTTGCATGGCGTATGGCTGGTCCTCTCTCCATGCGTAGTCACTACCGATCCACGGAGGGAACCCCCTGCGAGTGCGCTCAATGTCCCACGCCTTTGCTGCCTTTCTTTCCGACTTCTGTGACTTCCGTTTCTCCGCTGAGATGCCCACTTCTTGATACATACGCCCCCTGTATGCAGGGGTGGAATCAGCATATGACCAGTGAGTTGGCTCTCCAAAAATGTGCTGTCCGACGTCTATGCAAAAGTCGAAGTCTGTTATGCGTTCGGTATACTGCTCCGTCTTCATCCTGGAATGCCCATTGTGATGGGAGTGGACCATCCGCGTGTGAGTCTCGTTATGTGACCCTTGACATCGCAAGATGATGGTGGGTGGCGTTGAGGCCTGTGAGAGCAAGAAACGGTATAGGGCTTCGCCTGAAAGAATTGAGAACGTTGAAATGTCAGAAACCGGATGGCAACGTACCGTCATCATTGAGATGAGGATCATGAGAGATGATGTCACCAGAACGGGAAGTAAAGAAGTGGGCATCATATGGGGCAAAGGCTGGCGGTTCCTCATCATCTTCGTGCGCAAAATTCAAATTGTCGTTTTCGGGTAAATGCAGAACGTTGTCTGCAACACTTTCCTCGAATGTTGGAGGAGGCTGCTGCAAAGATGATGATGCAAGCGAAGGGTTGCTGCCTCCGATGAGATCCTGCTTGGACTTGACTGGATCTTCTGCATCTATAATGAGCATGTCGTTGTCGTCGTCGTCGTCAAATGTGTAGCTGTGTGGCTAGAACAAGTCTGCATCTTAATAGGCCTGGGTGTAAACGTTTCAGATGGTAAATATTGCACAGCTTAGAGTACATAGCGATGTTACGTAATGTCATACTTAATGGTGTGTGTGTGTAAAATGAATTCCAGTGTGCTCCAGGTTCAAACCCTTTCAAGGTGTGTCACCGCCATGTTTCCATCCCAGCGCTGACCTTTGTTTACCTGTTATCAGCTTCTATCGCGTTGCACGCGATGATCCTGGAAGCTTCGTCTATTAAGCCACGACTTTAAGGTTGGCCCTGCAGTGTGAGTCTCTCATTCCTAAAAGTTGTCTTCTTCATACTTTCTTCATTTTACTTGTGCGGCAAGAATTTTGGGATTCTTACCTTGCCTTTGTTCCTAGCGTCTTGTTAGGAACCTCGTATGATTAACTCTGTAGCAAATACGCTTGAGGTTTTGATTGGGGTCTTATTGTTTTTCTAATACCATTTCCTGTTAGGCTCAGCCTGCAGCTGCGGCGTTTAGCTTTCAGCGGTGCAAGTTTCCCTTGTCATCGTGTATCGTTTTTTGTTCATTCTCCTCCAAAATTGTTTCTGATAAATCATCTTCTTGTTCCACCCCGTTCGTATTCACAATCTGCCAACGACACGCCTCCGAAAACACGACGACATTGCCGCCATATCCCACCCCTGTAATTGCAACTTTTCCACCAACTACACTGCGCTCATTCGCTATCCCCACCACTTTAAAACCTGTGTCACATCCACATTTGGCTCACTTACATCATATATCTGTTGTCTCTATTCATGACTTCTATAACTTCAATGTCTTCGAATGCTTCTTCCTCGTAAGTTTCTCGGTTATCATCCAGGCCCTGTTCCTTGACCCATTGCGCAGTGTCGCGCCCACAACCATAGTGCCCAGCAGTGTGCCGCCATCGAACAGTGATTCCTTACTGCCCACAAGTTCTTCTACGCGCCTAACGACGAGCCCTACGTCGTCCTCGACGTCTACTATGTCTTCCGGTGTGGCATCATCGACAACCCCCGCATCATCGCAGTCCCCTATCAGTGTCAGTGCAGATACAAGCACAGTCGCAGCGACGACGACTTCTTCGGCAACTAGTCAATCGACGGCGACGATAAGTAGTAGTACCACCAGCTCATCGCAAACGACTTCCTCATCACCGACGACTACTTCTTCATCACTCACGACAACCAGTTCATCATCAACGACAACTTCCTCATCACCAACAACCTCCTCGCCATCGGACACCACAAGTACGCCACTCACCACTTCAAGTGCGCCTCCGGAGACATCAACCTCATCGTCATCTCAGACTTCATCGACGTTGCCTAACACACCGTCGTCATCGGTCACACCGGTGCCAGTCGTGTTTGTGTGATCCTTGCGTCTGCACGTATCTACTGACGTATCTTGTTCATGCATTGCAGTACAACGTTGGAAAGTACCTTGTTTATAACTACGACGAATGCTGAAGGACAGCCGACAACGACAGCGCCCTCTATTGTCACAGAAGTTACCATTTCCACAAACAGCGCAGGAGCTGCTACGACTGTCACAGTAGCAGTTGCAAACCCCACCCTTGCGCCCAACTATGGGACAACATCGGGTTCCGCGTTAGTTCCACTGCTTATCAGTCACTATTCATGATTATAATAATATAACAGGTTCTTCAGGGATACCGGCGCCGTAGTCGGTGTCTTTCTTGTAGTCGGTTTGGCCGCTGCGTCTATCGTGCTCTGGATCTTCTTTTTCATCCGACGTAGGAGTCGTATAAATCGAATTGACCATGAGACCGAAGTCGAGGCGGCTGTTGCTGCCTCGGGCTTTGGTCGAGCTCCTTTGGATGATGACAATGATTACCGAGGTGCCCGGTCACCACAATCATATTCTCTGTCTTCGGCACAGATGGTGCAGCGTGGGAGCCCTGTTGGTTATATTCCTGACGGTTCTGGCCTACCCACTTCCACTTCCGGTCAGCCGGTTTCAGGAGGGCCTTTCGATGACGACAATGTCGCATTCAATCCCTACGCAGGTTACATAGTCGAAGGTCCCCCAACAAGTGAAGGCTATATTCAAGCCCGCAGTGCTAGCCCTCCTCCAGGAACTGAGCGGCAAGGGCCTCCTAGTAGTTTAGGATTGCATGAGATCAGTGATTCTTCCCGGGATCGGAAAAGCTCCTACGGTCATACCCCTACGTACAGCGTTGCAAGCTACGAGCCGCTACTGGCTGCATATACGCAAGGATCCTCTGCGGAGCGAGGTGTCAGCTCACCACCCACGCCGCCCCCAAGGAACCCAGCACGCCGTGCGCACCTCGACAGTGTCGCTTCCCGCCCTGTGAATAATTTATCAGATGGAGGTGCCGATGACAGGTTGGATCCTGAAATTCGGAGGCGGACCAGGTCGGACAGCCTTGGCTCAGACGACCTCAAGGATGAAGAAGACTACAGCCGACCAATGCTCACCGTAAGGTCTTTGATTTTTCTTCTTGACGCTATACTGAAATGTCACAGGTCCGCAATATGCCTGATGGTCGCAGTATAAATTCTGCGCTGTGACAAACATTGTGTTCGCGTTCGGGTCTTACTTCCCTGGGATCTGACTGTTGTATCCGAAATAATCTGGACTATTTACTGATTTGTTGAGCAGATCATAATCATCCTCATCCTTTCTGACCCTCGTACGTACTGCAACCACATTCTGTATATCACCACAAGCCATGGACATACACGGACGAATGTTGCTCTCAAAAACTTCATACTTAGTCTTCAATCTACTCCCGTTCTATGTTTGTGTTACGTCACTCCGTCATGTGGTGCTACATCCCCGGCACACTTTCCGTGACTCCTTAAGACCCTTTGTATCCCGTGGTGCATCTATTTGCAGACACTTATCATACTTTCTTATCCCATGTCACTGGGCAGAGCTCTCTCAGGCTGCCATCGCCCATATTGCTCAACTTATCTCGGAACTCCTATGGATCACGATTCATGAGGTATAACTCTTCGATTACCTCTTACTCTGTCGTACTTACGTTGCCTACGCATGAGTCAGGTCCCTATACACGATACCCCAATACTCGGCATGGCTACGCGTCCTAGGGTTTCAAAGGCTATTGAATATGGGAACACACCCAACTTCTGGGTTGAATACCCCTCCGGCCTTGTAGACCTCACGCGTTCGCAGCATCTCACGACTGACGGAGTAGAACCATCTTTGGTAAGCTCGACACAGTTCGACATCCCTGTAACTGGGGACCGTACCATTCGCGTGGACAAGTCCAAGACAGCTGCAGTGATAATTGATATGCAGAAGTAATTTACTATTCCGCTGTTTGTTTGAATGTCGAATTGATGGCAGACAGCTTCTTCCTGCATCCCGAACTCAGAGTGCATAAAACCGGCTTGGCCTGTGTTGACCCGCTTTTGAAGGTTATCGGCCCTCTTCGAAAGCAAGGAGTGAAGATTCTTTGGGTGTATGTCATCAATCTTGCATCAGTTATTGTTCACCCAACCATAAAATAGGAATTGGGGCCTCACCGATCAAGAGCTGAAGACCCTTCCCCCTGCTGTAGTCAGGGGATTCATGAAAGGAGGGTTCGGAGGGTTCGGCACTGAAATGCCTGGCAACTTTGGCAGGTTGCTCATGCGAGACGCTCGCAATTCGGAGTTGTATGGCCCTTTGCAAGAAGAGTATTTAAAAGGAGAGAAAGAGGGAACCGACGTTTGGATTCACAAAAATAGGTCCGTTTCCTCGAACATACTTCCAATTGTACTGGTTCTATTCGAGAATGTAGGATGAGTGGGATATGGGGACATCAGACAGCGTTGGACCTCTATCTGAAGGAGAATGGAATTACAACATTGTTTTTTGGAGGTGTGAACGCTGACCAGGTGGGAAATCAACGTAGCTTCATACTTTCTTGCTGCTGAAGTTGACGCAGTGCGTTTCGGGTACCTTCATCGACGCTTACTTCCAAGGCTACGATTGTGTTATGGTCGAGGACATCACGGCGACAACTTCTCCAGCTGGCGCTCTTGAAAACGTCTTATACAATGCTGCAAACGTGAGCATTCGTTGTTGTGACGGATTCGGAACTAATCAAACAGAGGGCAGTCTCAAGGTTTCGTTACCAATACGTCCAATATCATCAATGCGAGCGGCTGATTTATTTTTATCGCCCACTTTGTTGAGTTCCATGCACTATCTGATGTTATCTACCTATCATACAAGGTTTAGAGACACAAATTCAGGCTATTCTTGTACTATCAGGATCGTCCATGGCACTATGTGTCCACACGTATAAATCGCAGTCTTTCACCGACAAAGGACAGAACTACGACAGACGGCAACCGCAATGTGTACTTGAGGCAGAAAAGTATGACAGCACTTGTCAGCTTCCAAGTGAATACCAGACACTGAACGTCAATGGCAAAATGGAATAAGAATATGGTATTGCGTTACGAAGCTATGTCTAAATGAATGTTCAAATCAATAGGACCTCCCTGTCATCAAAACCTACGTCCACTCGCAGTACACCCCTCTCGAACAGTCTATTCAGTCTTTGATTAACAATCCCGCCCATCCTTCCATCGTCTTCATTTGCTACCACAACAAGTACATCCTCCAGGGTTGTCCATGGCCTTCCGTCCAATACGTGAGCTAGCCCCTTGAAGTCCATTGATGACAGGGCATGCAGATCAGCGGGGTGCAATGCGAGCGAGAGGGCTCGTAACGGTGCGCGCACACCATCAAGGAGAGCAGTGAGTGGCATCAACTGCGGTGGCGGCTGCGTGGGAGGTTCGAAGTCTGATATATCTGGGGGTGGCAAGGAAGGAATAATGAGTCCATACACATGTATCTCTCTCAAGAAATTGTTATGACTGAGGTTAATGTGCGATACAATCTCGTCTGCGCTGCGTGAGTCCTGGCCTTTTGTTGTCAGAAGCAAGTGCTCACCTCCGTCGTCTATAAATGCAGCATCGAACCCAAGATGAAACTCTTTCAAGCTTGTGCCCAGCATCTTTAAGAACTCTCCCACTGCTGGGGCACTCTTGATATCTAACGCTCCAAGTCTCAGCACTTCAACCGTCACCCGCCCTCCGTCGTGCTTTATTGCCGCCCTCATCCATTTCAACACATGTCTGGTAAGTGTTCCTCGCATGGCGAGCATCCTAAGTTTTTTTGGAGGCTTAGGGATGGCTCTACCATCGGCTCTAGATACAAACACCTTCGATTCCGCAGGTATATCATCCCACTCACAGTGCACCCCGTCCAGCGTGAGTGCTTCTACATCTTCAAACTCTCCGATAAACCTGATCATATCCAGCGTCGTCCTGAATTCCCATATGCGCAGCGTAAGCTTTCGAACACCCTTGAAACCTTTGATGAAAGCATCCCGAGACTTGGACGAAAGGTACTCCCAAGTGATACGCTCAGCTTCGAGAGAGTGGAGATTGACGAGCGAGCCAGCTAGGGATGGCAAGACTGCATTAAGCCATTTCGGGCCCCACGGTGAACCTCCACGCGATTCACGAATGAAGAGGTGTTTGACGTGCGGAACAAAACTCGGCAGGGTAGATCCATGCCCTGAGGTGTAATGTTGCAATAATTCGACAAAAGTATTCCCTCTTCGCCCGCCTCCGAGTCGCACGTATCTCCATATGTGATCCCGGGCTGCGTATAACCAAAATCTGCTCACAAGGGAGCAATTGCAGATGTCTGTGAGATTGGACTGGCCGTATATGTCCGTCGTAGCGAGTGTGTCCGGAGCAGCAAGGAACGAAATGATATCTAAGAAAAGCTCTGGTGGAATGCGCGGGGAAGGAGTTACGCGAGATGTACTCTTTGTGGAGACGCGGTGTTGTAAGGTGGATGATATTGGGGTCGGGAGGGGGAGTGTCGGAGAGATATCTGGAAACGCAGGTGATTGTGGGGACTTCCAAGAATGCACCAGCGTGGTCGGGGAAGTGATTAACGACAATGAAGGGGACTGCAGGTGCAATCCAGGGACGGTGGTGATCAGTGTGATTGCCATGGTCCAAATGAAGAAGCTAGATAGTGAGGTTTACAAGTTAGCCCGACGTCTACTGGGCGGCTGGATAGAATCAGGTATATCTGTGCGCAAGTACTGTTGTGGACCAGCCAAGCAACCTAATCCTGGTGAAAAGCTTATCTGGGGGATTCGAAAGACGTAAAGCCTGATAACAGAGACAGAAATCAAAAGCATGTTTATACCGCGTTGAGACACAGCAAAAAAAAACCTTCACAGAAAGACTTTCCCATATTGGTTCGCCTCCGAGTCTTGTCTAATAGCTGTGCAAGTTAGCAGCTTGGTTACAGCCAAGCGTTTCATGTCATCAGCTTCAGCGGAGAAAATTTTATCCACTTCCGGGTGCTTCCATCCTCCATATCGGGTTACACCTGTTGCGCCCTAGTACCTTAGCGCGGGTACCCATAAGCTCTTGCCAGTGTTAGTAAGAGCGGAGGGTAACAAGTTTAGGTTATCGGACTCAATGCGCTGTCGGGTTGAAGTGTGTCGGTTAGAAATACCACCGCGTCCGAGTCAGCATAGTCGTCCCTAACAAAGTATGCAACTTGAAGATCGTAGAAATTTGAAATCTGTCCAAAATGAAGCGCACCAATCAGAACTTCAAGACTCATCTCTCTAGCCGTATACCCATCTTTCACCACGAATGCACACACGGCAGCGATGTCTGCATCTTCCCTCCTATGTCACGATGGATCAGCATTCAGCCTATCTAGGAAGTGCTGTACCAAGGACAAGGGTGAACAGCTTACTACCTGCCAGTTCGATTCATCTTGATACCCGGAAACCATAATTATAGGCTGTTTTGATAGGGTAGACTGCGCCGAAAAAGACGGGTAACTCGACTTTAACACGACAACAGCGATACACACTAGCTGCTAAGGAGTCAGGGCGGACAGTACGGGGCAAGCATCGAGCAGCAGTGGTGACAAGTACGGCACTGTAATTCATATGTTTCTGCCAGAGAGGCGATGCGGGGCATGTTACAGCTCCGACGTTCGTGGCATCGCGATGGAAGACGTGACTTATCCATAACGAGAGAGCGCCTGAGGCCCTGAAAATTGAAACTTGAATGAGAGAGATGGTTCTGAAACCAAATTCAGCGCTCATGCAAATAGACAGCGGACTGTGATAAGATAAAAATGCAGCTCACCAAAGTTACCGTACGAAAAGTTTACCACAATATACGATAGCGTGCAACGTAGGCCATCTGGATCCCATCAAAAATTGAAATCGCTGTGTAAGACAGGCAGAAGCGCTCCTAATTGACATATGGAGGCCAGATGAGGAGTAGACTGGCGGTGATTCGAAGGCAGCTATCGTTACGGTGATATCGACAACTTAGTCGTAGCCTACAGACCAGGCAACAAGTGGCAAACAAATTGTCCCTCTCCCTGCAGAGTACCCGGACAAGTGTTAACCACATTAAGTATTTCTTGTACTACACACCACAGCTGGTTAACACATGCAGACGTCCCGACAAACAGCTGAACTCATGGTGGTTTCCGCATCAGAGTTGGCCACGAGCTTAGCGTGACGTTGTCGAATGCTAAGGATCAGGCGTGTTCCGAGCACAAACATCTGGATCAACGTAGAAATTTCAAGAACGGCAAGAGAAACATAATTTTCCAAGGAATTTAGGCCCTATAGAATGATGGACCATGATCAGTTACACATATTGCAGGAGCCAATAACAAATAAATGAGATGGGCAGCCGCAGAAGAAACAACAACAAAGCCGGCATCCGCAGAACTTCAGCAGAAAAAGAGAACCGCATTCACATTATGGGCTCACCTCGCAAAGTAAACTATGTGACTCTTCATCGATGCCGTGAAGTAGTCCCAAATAATCCATCCTTTCGATGGTCGTTGCATTTCACAAAAATGTTTGATTCAGACAGCGATCAAAACAGCGAGACATAGCGCAGTAAGGTCCTGTGATGACCTCCATGACTGTAAGCATCAATGTCATGAAAGACAGATTTGGATCATCCTCCGAGTCAAAGGTGGTAGCTATTGCACTGATAGGTACCGGATAGAATGAGCACTTCTTCTAAGCTGTCGATGAGCATGATGCACCGAAGTCTTTCGTCCATGAATGAAGTTCATGTTTTGAAATATGAGCCATTGATGTGGTGGTGATCGCTCTGGTAGCAATCTTGACAGCCAAGAAGACAGGAACGAGGGGTACCGGTGTCAGCAAATCCCTGATACGTGGCGTGTAACCGAGCAATCATGACAATGTTTCAGTTCAGTCAGATGTATTCAACTCACTGCTAAGTATTGCAACCTATGATGGACACAATTCAGTTGGACGTAAATGGCGGGAAATGGTGGAGGGAACTCACTCACCCCCACATGAATGCAAATGGTTGGTATCTGCGCAGAACGAGTACTGACGCAGCAGCAGTCTGGCCACATATCAAGTATACCGTCGGCGAGAAAACCCCTCTCGACAAACCTTGGTGGTCAAATTACAAGCTGTAAAGTCTCACAGGGTGTTGGGGACAATGTGCCATAACCTTCTACATGAAACATAACTATGCATGACTTGATGAAGATAACAAACGATAATAGTATGGAAATAGATGGGAGATATGAAGCATCTACCATTACGTACTATTAGATACTGTGAATGAGTAAAACGCAAGGGCGAAATGATGTACAGCGTTTGAGTAGAATAACATTGTGATCAAAGACAGAAAAAAGATTGGTATCCAAAGAGATAACACCAGGCGTATGACCACATACATGGGGAACAAGCTAAAAGTGGCAATCCTCACCAAAGTCCATTATCAATATGCTTAACAACATTTGCCCGAGGGTGTCCAATTTTTCAACCGAAGCCTGTCCGAGCGTCGCCTTCGAGCCCCACTAAGACTCCCAAAGCTAAGATGGCTAGAGCTCGTCACTCTTCGGAGAGCACGGTCCCCGTAGCTGACACCACTTCCGGTTTTCTCGGGATCTAAGATTCCTGACTCTATTGAAAGCAGGATAGACCTTGCAGCAAGCAGAAATGGAGCTTCGACGTTGTCGCCGCTTAATGAAGAAGCCTCAAGAAAGTGAACATCTTTTGAGACAGCGTCAATATATATAAGGTCAGAAAAATGACGGATTACCATTCTGCGCTGCCCATCTACTAGCTTCAGCCCACTCCACTTCACGGTCCTCCTCTCTGTCCGACTTGTTTCCAACTAGGACTGCAACCAAGTGTGGGCTTGCCAAAGCTCGGGCATCAGTGAGCCACTGAGACATATTCAAAAAAGAATCGCGGCTGTCAGTGAAAGTTATGAGGATCATGGGAGTGAATGAGAATGAATGCACCAACTTCGTGATATCGTATACAAGAATTACGCCAGCCGCACCGCGGTAGTAGCTACGCGTTACTGATCTGTTCTCCGTGCTGCAGTCAGAATTGGAGCAAGTCACATCAGAAGCGCGACGAACCGAAAGCGCTCCTGACCGGCAGTGTCCCATAGCTGTGAAAATTGTAAGAGATGCGGAATTACTGAAGGACATGACTTACTTGGAGCTTTATTTTCTTCTCCCCTAAGGCTACTGTTTTACTGGAGAATTCTACTCCGATGGTATGTTGAGAGTGGTCCTTGACTGTGAGGAGGCCTGAGATTGACACCCCGTAGAGAAACAGACGACAAACATGCGTTGTGGGTAAAATGATGCAACAAACATGATTTGCCTGTCCCTGCCTCTCCTGCAAGTGTAATGAGTCTTACTCCGAAACAACCGTTCCCAGTAAGCGCAACACACCGATGATAATATACTTCATTAAGAAGTCTGGAAGTTGATAAGCATGAATCTCATTCAATAAATCACCCAAAACAAACCGTAAGTTTCCAAAAGTTCTGTAGCATCTACATCATACTCGTCTAGCGCCATAGGGTAAGGAATAGGGTGTTGGTTTGAGTGCCAATTTGTGAAGCTTCCGCCAACTGCAGAGAGGCTTACCAAATTCCCACGGTATCAACATGGACGCCCAACTTATATTTTCAATTACATAATACATGGGTGTAAGTCTAGTACATATATGACCCGTGACCGGGAAAATGTCCTTGGTTGACAATGACAATCATGGCGTTTTTGATGAGACGACAATACTGCGCACGAGCTCACGCGCTGAAGGCAAGCAATGGCGTGGCCACAGTTTCCTTCGAAATGAAGGAGTGGTCATGATGTTTCGACGTACAAGCCTAAGGGTTGTGCAAAAATACTGGAAGTCTAACCTCTGCTGCTTCGTTATATAATTAGTATGTATCGTACTAACTCGCTTCAAGTTGTACTAAAGTTCGCAGCAGCTGTTCGCTCGTTCTAGCCTATTACACACTTGCTTCAGAGTTCTCGCCTTAGCCAACAACATGCAGACAGAAAACTCGAATTTCAATGTATTCGAGCCTGTTTCAGACATCATCAGTACACTACAAAACATCGCATCACAGCTCTCACGTTCGCAAGTGATTGTGCGTCGACTCCTTGGCCAATTCCGACATGTTACTGACGATTACTAGATTCCAATCCTTGAAACTCCATACTCTACACTCCCCAATATCGACCGCTCTACTGTCGAACCCGAATGCCAGAGTGTTATCAACACCATTGCTGAGCGCCAGCAGCAATTGGATGCAGTTTTGCATGAGATCTCGGGCCTGGAGATCGTGATGGATAGCATCATGAATCTTCATCAGCAAGCTGTCGATGAGAAGCAGAAAGTTACAGAGTCGATGAGTCTGCACAAGGGATTCGTGTCGGGTCTCTGGCGCCTGCCAACGAGAGTCCTATCCAACATATTCACCCACTGCCTCTCTACGACGTTGTCTCTTCCATCAATTTCCAAAGCTCCATTGCTGTTAACAAGAATATGCCGACGATGGAGAGAGGTTGCTGTGGGTACGCCCGATCTATGGTGCGGGATGTCTGCGAAAGCCGACCACAGAGATTGGAAGCGGGCAGCTTTTGGCTATAATTTGTGGCTCAAGCGTTCACAAGGACGTCCACTCTCATTAGCAACACTCGGTTACCGCCGCTCGATTAAACTACAGAGCTTTCTTCAGCCTTACCTCACTCGTATCACCTCTCTCCGAGTCCATATTCATGAATTCCCTGACCTTCCCGTTGCGGACCTGATAGTACTCCAGGAGCTGAATGTCGGAGGGATGAAGAATGCTGACATTCCGAATATTGTACAATCTATCTCGCAACTGCCATCCACTATGCGCAGTCTCAACGTCATTGATATGACGTCGTCTTTAGACATCAAGGACTTGTCACCTTTCTGGCCCGTATGGGCCCACTTGACGGATGTCCAGATCTCCGTACGTGACCCAAACGTAGTCGTCCATGTGCTTCAGCTATGTCCCAACCTGTCTTACTTAATTGTCCGCGTAGAATTCGACCGACGACCATTGAAATCGTTTGCACACACCAAATTACAATTCTTAGGCGTCCTTTATCCCGCCTTGTTCAAGCGCCTTTTACCTGGCCTGCTCAATGCGCTATCGCTCCCTAATTTGCGGTCACTTGAAGTTGAATGCCGCAATCATTCTTTGCCTCATGAGGATATGAAGGCATGGTTGGCACAGTCAAAGTGTCCCCTGGAGACCCTGACTGTCTGCGGTCAACTGACAGTAACAGATGCGCAGCAAGCGGAATATGTTTCCATTATTCCTTCCCTCAAAGTATTGCGCTCTTACAGGATTTTATGCTGATAATACTGGGTGGCTACATATTCGGACTGGCAGTAGAATGACACAATGCAACTGGTGAGAGAATAGCATAATTCGCGAAGCCAGAATTGACCAGCGCGAAAGCATCAGGGATTGACTTATCTAGTGAACACTCCCTAGTTTTTTGCCGTGGTACAGCATTCTTTGGGAGGATGAGGCGAAAGAAGGCGAATCCTTTCATATTTTATGTTGTCAGTGAGGAAGGGGTGGAATGGAAAGGACAACAAATGCACCAACGATGAGTCTGTCTGTCACGGTAATTAGGGATTGCTCCAATACAGAGTTTGGGACTTGCGAGTACTGGCTATGCTGTATTCACAATCTATCGATCAAGATTCCTCACGCTTCATCAGGAATCCCAAGTCCGAGCTCTAGAATTCAACAGAACCAAACAACGTCGTCATCGCCACCGGGAATTCAACATTACCTTCTGCCACTAGTACCTCTTTTACTTACTTCTTGGTACTATACAGTGATTCACCGGCACCATCCACACTTAGCCACTTTACATAACCGTTCCATATCATCTTATTGGCTAGTAGCTGTGCAGTCGTTTGTTCTACTCGCCGAGGTATGTTATCTCCAGTATCTCGTACTCGCTTGTGCTCACATATCCTAGTTTGTTGGTGTTCTAGGTACTACTCAATATTATAACGTTTGTTTCACTCGCTGAGTTCGCTCGTGCTCTAGCCTATCATGCCTTTGCTCCTCGCTTCAGCCAATAACATGCAGACAGCCTACTCACAATTCAATACATTCGAGTCTCTTTCAGATATCATCAGTGCACTACAAAACATCGTAGGTACCAAATTTCTTGAATCAGAATTTGTGTCAGCTGAGGATAACAACTATTTATTACAGCTCCTACGCTCGCAAGTGATTGTACGTCTACTCCTTGGACAATTTTGACATATCAGCATGTTACTGATGATCACTAGATTCCAGTTCTTGAAACTCCATACTCCAGAGTCCCCAATATCGACCACTATACTGTAGGATTCGAACGCCAGAGCGTCATCAACATCATCGCTGAGCGCCAGCAGCAATTGAATACAGTTTTGCATGAGATCTCGGGCCTGGAGACCGTGATGGATAGTGTCAAAAATATCTATCAGCAAGTCGTCGAAAAGAAGGAGAAGATTATACAGTCAATGAATCTTCACAAGGGACTCGTATCATCTCTCTGGCGCCTGCCGACGGAAATCCTATCTCAAATATTCAACTATTGTCTCCCTGAGATCGAATTGTGGTCCCTATCAGCCCAAGACCCAACCGAAATGTATACCGACCATCTCCCAGAAACCGAACGGTTGCGCCCATCAGTCCTAAAAGCCCCCATACTGCTGACAGGAATATGCCGACGATGGAGGGAAGTTGCTGTGGGTGCACCCGATTTATGGTGCAGGTTGTATGTGGAACGCGACGACAGAGACTGGGAGCAGGCAGCTCTTGGCTATGACTTGTGGCTGAAGCGTTCACGAGGACGTCCGCTTACGGTAACGCTCGGACATCACCGCTCAACTAAAATACGAAGCCTTCTTCAGCCTTACATGAATCATGTCACATCTCTCCGACTCTCCCACCCTCATGGCGATCACCCTTTTGTTACAGACCTCCCAGCACTTCAGGAGCTGACCATAAGAGGGTGGTCATGTCCTGACATTGCACGATCTATCTGGCAACTGCCGTCCACTATGCGCAGTCTCCACATCATTAGCATACGTTCATTTTTCAACATCGAGCACTTGTCTTCTTTCAGTTCTGCATTGGCCCAATTAACGGATGTTCAGATCGCTCTATATCACCTGGACACAGTCCTCCATTTGCTTCAGCTATGTCCCAACCTGTCCTCTTTAACTCTTCGCGTACAAAATGACCAACAAGATCCCTTGAACTCGTTTATGCACACCAAAATCCAAACCTTCCGCTTCGTGACTTGCCTGGAAGAGCCATCCTGTTTATCTGGTCTGCTCAATGTTCTATCGCTCCCTAATTTGCGCGCGTTTGAAGCTCGCCAGGAATCTTTTTTCCCTCATGAGGATATGAAGGCATTTTTGGCACGGTCAAAGTGCCCCCTGGAGACCCTGACCGTTAGTAGTCGAGTGAGGATAACAGATGCGCAGCGAGCGGAATACGTTTCTTTCGTTCCTTCTCTCGTGGTGGTAGTGGATCGCATTTCTACATGATACTGGGTGGTTACATCGAGAAATGACGGTTTCAGGTTGACAGTAAAATGATACAATGACATCGATACTTAGGAAAATAGAGTTATCAGCGCGCGAACTTAGGCATCAGAAATTATAATATCCATTGAACACTCCCCAATTTCTTGCTACGAACCACTGTACCGAAACAAGTGCCTTGCAGTCAACCCTGTGACCGTCCACCCAAGACCCACAGCATTCAAGTCCTGATCGGCTGTTCAAGTTGCGTGTAGCCACATCATCACTTGCCTCAAACTAATTCATTTTGGTTTCATCATATCTTTACGGCTGCTACATCTCCTACCAATGTCTTCCACTGTGTCATCGTTGGCTATGTGACCATGCATATATTTACAAGCAGCAATAAAAGCAAGGAATCGACCACAAGACATATCATTATTTGCGCTGCTTAGGCTAAGGTTCGGCCTTTTCACACGTCCCAATGAAACGCGTTTCATCGACAGTGTGACTGGTTGTCTGTGGACAATACGTGCTACAGCCATACACATTGGAAACGGTTCTGTGGTTAGATGAAACACCATCACGCCTACTTCGTCTTCCTCTTTCGAGACAGGGATGGGGATGGACTAATCTCTTACCCAGAGAGTGCACATGGAGAAAACGGCTTGGGCTGTGATGTAGTTCATGATGAGTGTGCTGCAGAAATAGAGGAATTAGGTGCGATTAGCTATGACGTTTATTGTTTCGTTCCTTCACAACTTTTGACACTGCTCCAATATTGCTATTATGCGTGTCACATATATGAACTCGGCTCTACCAACCCTTCCATGGGACCCAGATGTCGACCACTTTGTCACCTCCTTCATTCGAATCGACGATGTAGTACCACGAGTGACCAGCGGCTATCAAACAAGCATGCTGCCCAATGATCTCGATGGTATCTCCGATCTTCAATGTGGAATCTGTGCGACCTGACTCTGGGTCTGGGGGGACTTGCACCAATATCCCGTGCTCCTGCGAAATTCTCCCTAGCTTCCATGACTTGCCAACAACCTCCCCGAACCCTGGAATCCGACCCGTGTCTTTGCTCATAGCTATGGCACCAGCATCGCACATGGCCTCGTCTAACCCGTCGCTTCCTCTTCCTGGATAGTATGAAATGACGGTGGCCAAGACCTTCTGAGAGATTTGTGGACGGCCGATCAAGGTTGTGTGTAGCTGCTGGAGGTCGAGCATGGGATAATTTCCTGTACGAGTCGGATTATGCCACGCTTAAACCTTCTTGATCAGGTTCGCTTACCTGTATGGAGCTCTAGTGTTCCATTGAGCGTGGATGTCATCTTCAGCTTTGCTTCCGCGGTTGCGCTAAGAGCTGTGGGAGTGGATCCCACGGAGAGGACGAATGGCTGATTGTCGACCTCTCTGTCGTTTGACTCTGCCAAAACTTCCATGGCCATGGCCGCTGCATCATTGGTAAGACGCACTTCCCCTGTTAAATACGAGGTGGCTTGTTCTACTGATGTTGATCCATACGAGTATCCTGCGTGGGTGTAAAAACCAAACACCGAAATTGCCGAAGACGCAAAAACCCTCCTCATGAATGCCTTGAAAGATACAGGCTCTGGAAGTATCCCGGCTCGCCTATGTTTGTGAGTAATATATAACGGTGGTATTATGAGAACATACTTCAGACCGCCATTCATCTTGATAAAGGCAGACCATTTCTTCGGGTGCTCTTGCGCTTTCTCGTATTCCTCCAGAAATTTTACTTGATCTAAATGATCCAAGAGAATACGAACGGTTCCTCCATATTTTGTCATCTCAGCATGTAGAGCAGACAGATCATCCAGTTTGTTCAAACCAACTGGAAGGCCGTAAAGAATCTGAAAAGTGGATGAGTCGAGACAATCTTATATGCCTCTGGACTGACATCTTTGACTGTACCGTCGGCTACGAGACCACCTTGCACGACTCCCCAAGCTTCCATGAGCGTTGATACAACGACCGCAGAAGTTTTGCTGACATCTGAAACTAGCTGCATTTTCGTTCCTTCGACTGTCTGGTGAAACTCATCACAGTCGATTTCATTTGTGCTTGACCTCTCCTACCTTGTGTGTCTTCAAGTGTGCTCTAAAAGTTGCCCCCCAGCTCCTGGCATTCTCGTGCATCTTCCTGCAGTTATCTGCGAACACCGCGCGGTCCACGACGAAGGCGGGTGTTCTTAGACCATCGAGTGGTTTGCCCACAAAATCAGCAACCAATGCATCTTTATTCGGGTTAAGAAAGTGCATCGGCGTTTTAGTCTGCAGTATGGGTGACATGATCTTTGCGGGGAAATTGGCTGTCATATCAGCCAATAGCACTTGCTTATAAGTATACAATGTAAGCTGCTTCTCTGCAAAATCTACATCGTATCTACCCCGTGATGATATCGTTGCAGCTACCATGTGGTGTGTTTTGTACACATTACGTGGCAGGCTTTGCAAGTTCCACCGTGACGGTATTTCGTAACGACTCGGAGTATTAACAGTTCTTGCGGAATTCCGTTGTATGTCCTGGTGATCTCACGAGATCGGTCCGCTCTGACCGAGGTGGATATTCCCCATTACGAGCCTACGCCCATCATTGCTTTTGGCTAGTGCGGCTGAGGCAGAATTATTTGTGGGCAATTGTGCTAGCAGAAAGTGGCAGAATCGCCACTGTTCTGCCACTTGTAGGCAAATTTTTCAAAGCGCCAATTACAAGGCTATGTGTACAACAATGTATCACTATAAAGCATCATTCCCGCTGTCCTGCGTTGTGTGAGGTGTAATCAGCTACCATGATCTTGTCATCAACAGAAGACCTTGGTCAACATGCTTCAATTCTGCAAAATATAAATTTAGCCTTCCAACACCTCATTTCTGTCAACTAGCACCCGTTCCACGGCCCGTCTTGCGTTTCAGTAGCGCAAATGCTATGTCGATCTCATCAAGTGATATTGGATCCAGGACTTCATCGATATTCTGAGTCTGTAGTGCTAGTGGCGCAAAATTGGCTTCTGGATCAGCAGCTACATCGACATTGATGCCTGGCTGTGCATGTGCACGCATTGCAGACTAAAACGCCAATACATTTTCTTAGCCCCAAGAAAGATGCATTGGTTACTGACTTTGTGAGTAAACTACTCAATGCTCTGAAAATATCCGCCTTCGTCGTGGATCGCGCGGTGTTCGCATAGAACTGCAGAAAGATTTAAGATGCACGAGAATGGCAGAGACTGGGGAGAAATCTTTAGAGGGCACTTGAAAGGTGCACAAGGTAGGAGAGGTCAAGCACAGATGAAATTGACTGAGAGACAGTTGGAGGAACAAAATTGCAGCTACTTTCAAATATCGGCAAAACTTCTACGGTCGTTGTATCGATACTCATGGAAGCTTGAGGAGTCGTGCAAGGTGGTCTCGTAGCCGACGGTACAGCCAAAAATGTCAGTCCAGAGGCATGTAAAATGCGCTCTTTTTTGCTTCCTGTGCCGAAGGCACAATGGGTGTGTGCTAGTATATTACTCACGGACATAGGCGAGCTGGGATACTTCCAAAGCTCGTATCGTTCAAAGCATGAGGAGGGTGTTTGCATCTTTGACAATTTCAGTATTTGGATTTTACACCCACGCAGGATACTCGTATGGATCAACATCAGTAGAGAAAGCCACCTCGTATTCAACCGGAGTGCATCTTACCGATGACGCAGCGGCCATGGCCATGGAAGTTTTGGCAGAGTCAAATGACAAGGAGGTCGACAATCAGCTACTCGTCCGATGCATTCTGACATCTCTTAGCGCAACTGCGGAAGCAAAGCTGAAGATGACACCTTCTGAGAGACTTGTGGAAGGCCGGTCAAGGTCGTGTAGCTGCTAGAGGTCGAGCATACCGGGATAGTTTCCTGTGTGACTCGGATCACTATCCTATTGAGCATAGGTCTTGGCCACCGTCGTTTCATACTATCCCGGAAGAAGAAGCGACGGGTTAGATGAGGCCATGTGCGATGCTGGTACCATAGCTATGAGCAAAGACACGGGTCGGATTCCAGGGTTCGGGGAGGTTGTTGGCAAGTCATGAAGCTAGGGAGAATTTCGCAGGAGCACGGATTCTACGTTGCAGATCGGAGATACCATCGAGATCCTTGGGCAGCACGCTTTTTTTGATAGCCGCTGGTCACTCGTGGTACTACATCGTCGATTTGGATGAAGGAGGTGACAGAGTGGTTGACATCTGGATCCCATGAAAAGGTTGGTAGTTCCGGTACCCAAAAGGGTGCTTGTCTCACGAATTGTTATGTCTGTCATGTAGAAAGTAGTTTGAGAAACCAAAGACCCAGTCTAGAGACAGTAATACAGTGTGCAAGAAACCTCGAAAACACAGTTTGGATTCAAATTATTAAGAGTCTTACTAAGCACGACTGCATCTCCTGTCTTTTTTCATCAATTTTAAATATTACAACTTTATACGCATATCACGCGACGCTTACTTTCTGGTTTTCAACGTCCCCGTCGTCAAAACACCTCTTTGTTTCCAAAGCTTCCCCTCATATGCACCTTGAGCTGCTCACATTTTCCTTTCATGCTCGTGCTCAAAAGATCGTCTCTATTCATGTAGACGTCGCCGAATCCAGCGCACTCCCAACCCTGAAGCCAGAAGCAGAAATCCCAAAAATGTCTCATTAATTCAAAGCCTCTCCTCAAATACCGTCACCAACTAAGTTCTATCTGTTTTCCCAAGTCTCAGCCTTGTAAGAAGAAAGTGGTCACAATTCATGTTCTTTCTCATGCACATCAACTTCATGATGGACACTGGCAATCACGCATCAGAAGCTGTTCGAACTCTAGATGTGGTTCTAAATCGGTCCCACAGTCCCACCCCAAACTTCAGCCAAAGAAGAAACGGGCACAAGTGACTGCTGTGTTACCCACGTGAGGATGAGCCACCGTGCACACTAGTCTGCCTCGAGCTCCAAGCTGATCTTCTGATTTCTTTTTTCCATGTTCTGCATTTTTATTTATTGAAGTCCTCGTGGTGAATCCGGAATGGTAAGTACTGAATCTATCCTCCTAGTAATGTATCCTTCCTTGATAATCATTTTCTGCCTCCAGCTACAATCTGGTGTCCATATAATTTGTGTATCTAGTCCTGGGACACGAGATCTTTTTCACAATGCTCAGGTCTCCAAGGCCTCGAGGAGTTTATGGAATGCGTGTGTCGCAAAAGTGCCTCTAATTCGAGCTCCGACCCTGGCCACCTGATGCTCCTATCAAAACTTTTAATCTAAGCACATGGATCATAGTTGCGACCTAGGGAGTTGCGGTGTTTGAGTGAGTGATACCGTACAACTATCGTCTATTAACAGTTCCTCGTATCTACGGAATTCCGTCATATGTCCTGGTGACCTTACAGGATCGGTCCGCTCTGACCGAGGTGAATTGTCCAACCTCTACATAGAGAATACATTTGGAAAACATCTGCTTATTGAGTTCGAATCCATTGTTTTAGTTGAAATGGCAGCCCCGCAAGCTATTGACCCAGACATCCTTCCACGTCTCGATCCCGAGTACGTCGCCTTCCACAATAAATATGTTGCTCACCTCGTTCCTCCTCACTTGCTACCTTGGGACCCCGCCATCCGTAAAGGTGACACCGTACCGGGAAGCGCAGAGGTTTTGTCAGTCGGCAGTGTTCAAGATTATGACTTGAGCCACTGTAAGGTACGCGTCTTTACGCCGGAGGGCACCCCTCCTTCCGAAGGCTGGCCTGCATACGTCTGGTACCACGGTGGTGAGTTTGAGGCACCTTTCAATATCAATGATATTGAAGCAGTACTATAAGGCGGATGGACCCTCGGAAACATTAGCTCAGAAAACGCTTTCTGCTCTCGGCTTTGCAAAGGTACATTACTAGGTATCAAAACACACCTTTGTTTATCACTAGCTTGTAGGGGCGAGGTGTGTTGTAGCATCACCAGATTATCGTCTTGCGCCAGAACATCCTTACCCCGCCGCAGTGGAAGATTCATTTGAAACGCTACAATGGGTCTTTGAGAAGGGAAAATCCCTCCTAGGAGTTGACCCTACGAGACTGGCGATTGGTGGTTCATCTGCGTAGGTGATTATCGGCCGATGTATCGAAATTGATTTGACCAATCTTTGTGTAGTGGCGGTAATCTTGCTGCCATAATCTCCATGAAGGCTGCCGAGCTTCAACCGCCTATCCCTTTGAAGCTTGCGCAGCTCATTGTTCCAGTGACTGACAATACTGCTCTCCACACGGATAATCGGTACCCATCTTGGAAAGAGAACGCAAATACAGTCTGGCTCAATACAGGGAGGATGCTCTGGTTCCGTAATTTTTATGTGCCAAAAGAGGCAGAGAGGACCGAGTGGGACAACTCTCCAATCTTTGCGCCCGATGAGCTTCTAGCCAAATCTCCAAAGACCTGGATCGCGGTGATGGAACTTGACATTCTTAGGGACGAAGGCCTGGCATATGGCGAACGACTCAAGAAAGTTGGCGTGCCAGTCTCGCACAAAGTGTATAAGAAGGCACCCCATCAGATTTTGGCTATGGATGGTATGCCTCCTTATATTGTTATTACACAATTGATTAGCTGATCATATCTATCCGTTTTCTCTATAAGGGTAAGTCACAAGAGTACTTTCTTATTCAATGCTCTTCTCATCCAATCTTCAGTGTTCTGAGTGTCGGTCGTGAGCTCGTGAGTGATGCCGTCGAGAACCTTGCCGAAACTTTTGGCACATTATGAATAATTGGAGTTGCTTGTACGAAGTAAAATCAGGCTGAATGTGATAACGAGAATTTGAACGCTTTTTTCGTCAAGCCTGTGCTATAGGTACTACTGTCATCCAGGTCTTTTGATTGCCCAAGGGTGAGTATTATTGGTGTGAAATTGATAGGGTCCTATCTCTTTTCGAATAGCACCTCAGAATCGCGAGTGAGACAATCAAACTGCAGCAATCGCTTCGATCTCGATGTCCACATCAAGAGGTAGTCCCCCAGCTTGGATACATGTACGAGCCGGCTTAGGGTCTGGGAGAAACTGAAGATGTTGTTAATGATCTAATCCCGATCAGAAGTAATGATTATGACGAGCCTTAATATACTCCTCGTTCATGGCCGCGAAGTCGCCCATGTTCTTGAGGTAAATGTTCACTTTCACCACTTTGTCCCATGACGAACCAGCCGTTTTCAATACGTCGCTCAAGTTAGAGAGGCATTGAACCTGCAAAGCTCGGGTGTCAGGTAACAGGCAATAGCTTCATCATAATGAACTTGCAGTGTGGACTTTGATATCTCCTGGGACCACGTTGCCTGTGCTGTCCGCAGGGATTTGTCCGCTGCAGAAGACAAGGCCTGGGATCTTCACCGCATGCGCTGAGGCCCGTTGATCAATTTCATATCACCGACTCGTTTGAACTCATACAATACATAGGTGCTAGCGGCCTTTCCTGGCTGTTGATTTTTTGAACGGACATGTTGAATATCAATGGCAGAAGAAAAACAGATCCAAGGGGATTAGAACAATCAACTTGATATCAAGCTATATAATATGCGGACAAGAAGCCCTGTCATGAATTATAAGTTGTTCAGGTGACTAGACATCTTATCTTAGACCGTTAAGTCCTACGTGGCATCGATATCGACCAACCATGTGAGCTGCGGGATAGTGTCACAAGATAGCGGAGGAGACACATTCGCACTTACGGATTCCGTTTTTCCGAAGCGCCGCCAACGTTGTAAATTGTTACCGCAAGATCTGGTCACCAATCATCCAAGGCTTGTATATCTGTCCATACCACCTGGCGACCACTCTGAAGACATCCCACGTTCCTGGAGTGCAGGTTTGTCAGGCTCACCACCAGGATAAAGGCAATAATGACTGGATTCAGACAGTACGAGAATCTACGGCAAGAAAAAGAATTCTCTGAGAAAATGAAACTCGTCATGAGATGAACAAGAATCGGCGATCAACCTGCCTGTGCTTGTTATCTTTTCTCCGGAAGACTATGCACAGCATAAGTTTGGGAATACCAATCGAATCGGCCAACAGAGACCTGTAGCATACAAGCATCAATATCTTCAAACCGTTATCACTTCAGCATGGAATATAAATCGAGAAACAGTCAGTTGAGTGGCGACCGCAGTCGATGGAGATATCGCTCATTGATGCGCAGCCATTATCGCATCCGAGATAAATACCGCAGAGACTTGTTTGCCACCAAACCACCGAGCGTTCAGACCCTGTACAGCTTTCTTGGCGGATTCGATTGTGTCAAACTTGACGTAGATCTCACCCTATAGTTGCGTTCAAAAACTGAATCAAAAACTATATGCAAATTGAATGCAAACCTGTGTCTCCCTTTCAACCTTGATGGCCTCTACTCTGCCGTATTTTTCTTCACACTCGCCTTTGACATCGTCGGCAAGCTCTTTATCCCAGTCACGGTCAGTTTCCCTATAGTACGAGAAAAATTGTTAGAAGAAACTCGATTGCTTGGATGTAAACCCACTCTTCTGGGTCAAACATATTCTTCAATAAGACAGAACGGGACTGCATAGCTTGTGGAATGTTTGGTTTGTTGCTACAAACAATTGTAAGATAAGCTGTTGGTATAGTTGGATTTTACATACACAAGTTGCGGCTTCGGAGCAGGCTCGATTCTAGCAAGTTTCTGCATTAGTGCTTGTCGTGATGCTGCGTTCAAATTACCGCCTATAAAAATATTAGTAAACACTTATGAAATGTTGATTAAAACGCACCGCCAGCTTCGTCCAACGAATCCTGCTGTGCGTATCGCACAGTGCCCTTCTCGTGGACTGTATTGACTCTCAGCTGTAGCTGAAATTGAATGACAATCTATGAGTTTGCGATTTGGGATGCCATACCGTTCTACCAGCAAGCTCGAAACCTTCCATCTGTTCAAGAGCCATTCTGGCATCCTCGGCACGTTTATATCTGTTGAATTTAGCGGATGCCTAGAAGGCAAGACAACGTTTACTTACTGCACAAACGCGTAACCTTTGCTGCGCCCGGTCATAGGGTCTCTGTGCAAATCAACAAATTCTAGTTCCCCGAAGGGTTCAAAGACCTGCTTGATATCGGATTCGGTAAGGTTGAAATGCAAGGAACCAACGTAAAGTCTGAAAAGCAATACGTCACAACTTTGGAGCGAGTAGCTGAGAAGTTTTCTTACTGCATAGCTCCATGAGGCGCATGAACGCCGGGTGGAAGATTTAGGTTCCTCGACGAACTATCAGATGGCAGAAACACGCTACACATGCAAAACTCACCCGTCTCCTGGATGAAGCCTATTCCTTTCTGACTCAGTCAATTGAACCATGATAGGGAGACCCATTACGACTGTTCCGCTCAATGACATAGCTTTCTCTACCAAATCGATCGACCGGAACTCGACGTATCCGATACTACCAAAAGGCATGAGCATCTCGAGAATAATCTCAGGAAATGATGAAGCGCACCCTTTAGAACGGCGTGACAACCGGTCCGTGACAATCCTAGAATCCATTACGGTCCCTTCGCCAAGTTTATCCTCAAAAAAGTATCCAAGGTCACGCGCCGTGAGCCGAGCGGCAAGCTGAGAAACAAAGACCGACCGAGCTTCCGAATCGTCTTCTTTAGGTTCGTCGGGATTGTAGTCTTCTTGAGCCTCGTAAGTAGGTGAGGGTCGTCTGAATATTATGAGCCAATGAGACATGGTAATAAAAAGGTGACGCACTTGATTGGCGGGGAACTCATTTTTAACGAGCTTTTGTCTATCTCCTCCTCATTGAGTGAGGTATCATTGATGGGGGGATGTTTGTCGTGCGCATGATCCCTGTCCCTCCGCAACCGAGGGGGGTCATCGAACTCGTCTCGTGGGTCACGATACCTACGTTCACGTGAGCGTTCTCTACGGTCATGACCCCTTCGTGGACTGTCCTTGAGCGGAAATACAGCAGAAGACTCGTCCATGTCATCGTATCTCTTCTTCTTCAAGCGCTCATCCGGGGGCTCGTCTGTTTCGTCCCTCTTGCGGCGCCTGTCACGGTCTCCCCCATCACGGTCACGGCGATGGACGTCTCCCCGCTCTCGTCTATCATCATCACGATGACGCCTGTCTTTGTCTTTTTCACGATCGCGGTCCCTGTGGGACCTATCGCGCGAGCGATCACGATAATCTCGTTCGCTTCCTCTGTCGCGACTGCGTCGTCGTTTGTCGTCATAGTCTCTTTCTTTGCGCTTTTCACGACGGTCACGGTCTCGCTCGTGCGAGCCAGAACGAAGAGACCGCCTCGTGCGATGGGTATCAGTGGAATGGTTGCGAGACCTCATAAGGGTATCAGTGGGTGGGTTGAAAATAAATCATAAGTGTGAAAGACGCACGATTTTCGATTGGGAGATATGTCTACATCCATATTGCTTGGCGGTGAGTTTCGCTTGTGGTGGACGGTGTTTGAGTTGCTTGCAGTGATTCGGAACAAACATGCGAAAACTTCGTGTGTCAACACAGCCACACGCCTAAATATGATTTTTGGAGACAAAAAAGTGGCCATGCATGGTGGCACGTAAGTACTTAAACTTTGTGGCCTTACATAGGGTCGATGAAATTTGTCTACAAAAGCCCAGCCAACCTTGCCCTGACGCGCTTCTCAGCCTTGACGAGCTCCATCTCCTCTGATCGTTTATACAGCTCATTCAGGGGGTTCGTATCACCTTCCTTGTCAAGATCATCCTCAATTTGGCTGAAAGCCTCGCAGAATTTTCCACTCAATATCTGCATAGGAGAATTCAGCAAGGTTTTGGAATTGAAAAGAAAAATCATGCCTGGTTGTACAGGATGTCCTTGAAGTGTTCCCGCATGGCTCCTCCTTCGAGCTTGAGTGAACCACCCAGTTGACCATACTGAGAGATAGTAGAATGGTGCTTGAGCTATTTTTTTTACTAAGCATTAGCAACATATGTCATTTTACTTCGTACATATGCTTACCTGTGCCACGAAACCATCATCCGCGGCTCGTTCGAAGATCTCTGCAGGTTCTTTCGACATCCACCTGGGAGTGTATTCATTACAAATAAAGTCTGTTAAACAACAACTCACATTTCATAGCAAAGAGCCTCGTCTGAGCACCCAGCATCCTTTAGGACATTGAAAGCTTCCCTGACGATAACTGTGTCATTTATGGTGGCGTTTGAAACTTTGGCGGTATTCAAACCTGAACATCATAATAATGTTGGGCCAGAGGGCTTGTTCAGCGAAGAGATCCATCATCGTTTCTTCCCGCACCGACGAAGCAATAGCTCCCTGTTTGGTTGCACCAATGGCGCGGGAGAGTGCAAGAGCTGCATCCAAGCCTTTACCGGTTCCGTTCTGCTCGACGGAAACAAAGCAAGGGAAACCACGACCCCTCTCGTGGAGAGAACGCACTGAAGAGCCAATCATCCTGTGAAAAAGCGATAGTCAGGGATCGTGTAACTCGGCAAAATGTACAATTACCGACTTACCGTGGCGCAACCATCACGACATCCTGCCCTGGCTGAAATTTCAACAAGTTGAAGAAAACGTTATACCCAGAAGCAACAACAATAGTGGTATCACTCTTCAAATTGGGTGAGAATTGCTCATTAAACACGCGGGGTTGGACCTGGTCTGGTATCAGGATAAAAAGCACTAGGAATTCCTGCGATTAGTTAGAGTTGAATGGTATGAATTCATACATACCGTCTGCCACTGCGGCAGCTGTTGCGAAGTTGTGTTCGACGTGAAAGCCCTTGGCTTTCGCAGTCTCAGCATACGAATCTACCCGGTTGGCAATCAGGATTTGATCATTAGGAATGCCACTGTCGCGTAAGTTCTGCGCTTGTGCAGAGCCTTGATTTCCAAAGCTAAGAAATAAAATGAACGGGGTCCAAAGGCATTAACGGACTTCAAGACTTGCCCGAGGAACACAATCTTCTTGTTGCTCAGGACACCTAGGTCCGCGTCAGAGTCATAGTAACTGCAAAGTGAATTTTAAAATCTTCATGGCGTTCTAAGATAATCAGACACGCACATCTTGGCCTGTCCCATGATGAAGTTGAATTCAAGTCTGGAGAGGAGAGCACGCTTGTAGAACACCCATTTCCCTTTATCATGGGTCCTTATAACATACAATACAGCGGGAGAAGCAGCCGAATGACAGTCCCAATGACCCTTGGTGCGAGTCACGTTCCCTGATTATAGAATCAAAAGGAGGTGTAATGAGTTTGTGGCGAAGGTCATGAGGAGCACAAGATGATAGAAGACCCAGTTCGCGGACCGGTCGAAACCGTCCACTCGTACATCATCCCGGAATTCCGGATGGCACTGTATATAGAGAGAGGGATTCCTTGAGTCGTCTGACTATGGCTTTGCTGGCGGACAAGATCGTGTGTATAACTGGATCGTCTCGAGGCATTGGCCGAGCATGCGCGGTCGAATCTGCTGGACATGGTGCAATTGGCTTAATATTGCATTACTTTGGAGACCAGGAAACCGAAGCAGAGTTTCAGTCTTTGAAAGAAGAGATATATGTAACAACTCACAATCACTGTCGAGTGGTCGGTGTGCCCGGCGATATCGCGGACTCGGAGACTTCACAAAAGGTGCGCTGTTTAAATTATAAACAACCAGCTGTTCAAGTTCTCACAACATCCAAAATAGATCGTCGAAGCAGGCGTCGAAGCGTTTGGACGAATCGGTAGGACTTGTAAATCAAGAGATATTTTAGCTGATGCTCGAACTTCCCAGATGTGCTCGTCAGTAATGCGGGAATTTGTCCATTCGCTGAGTTCTTGACGATGCCCCATGCTATATGGGAACGTACCCGACAAGTAAACTTGGATGGCTCCTTTTACGTGGTACAAGGTGTGTACCTCATGATTATGACAATACGACTCTGAGGTAATATCGCATTTCGTGCAGCTGTGGCAAGTCAAATGAAGAGCCAGGTCCCCCAAGGCGGGTCTATCATCGGTCTGGCTTCCATTTCAGCACTCGTGGGCGGTGAATTTCAATGGTTCGCATATTGATACATCGACGATTGAAACTCAACCTTTTAAAATGCATAGTCACTACACGCCGACAAAGGCAGGTATCGTGTCGATGATGCAAAGTTGTGCTATCGCTCTTGGGAAGTATAACATACGTTGCAACGCTATACTTCCTGGCACGATTGCTACAGACATCAATAAAGAGGACCTTGCGAATGAAGAAAAGCGGGAGTATACGATCAAAAGGACTGTGCTCGGGAGACTTGGTGGTACGGTTCAGCTAAAAGTGTCTGCTGTTGCTGAAGTTTGATCTCCTAAATATAGCTCCCGACGATATAGCTGGGCCTATGGTATTCCTTGCCAGCGATCTCGCAAAGTATGTCACCGGCGCGCAACTGCTAGTAGACGGCGGCCTGTTTGTCAATCTTCAATGATATATTTTCCTGCTACTACTAGTGTAACAAAGGAGGAAAGATCGTTTTCCTCGCACGAACAGCTAGTACGTGCATTGTTATCAGATACTACTTATAATACGCAAACGATGCTCAGACTTTGAATGTTCCATATCTGAGTAAGGAACACATTCAGCAACTTGTTCAAACAACACTTTATATGCACACCTACTTCGGTGATGCAGACCTTCCGAATTTACTTGTCCATCTCCAAAAGCAATCCCAGCTCCTGTCCATTTACCACCGCTGGTTTGGCATCGACCAGAACGGTCGCCCACCGTGTCCATTCATTCCCAGGGTTTCTCCAGGCGTGATTTGTCCCCTTCTGAATCACAACATCTCCTGCGTTCTTGAGGTGCGTTTCTTTCCCATCGTCTGTTATCAAAATGAGTTCACCACGGACTATCCATGGTATACTCCAGTCAGGCTATGTTGCGCACGGAAAAAACGTATACGTACTCAGGATATTATAGTCGATAGAGGGAGTCCGATGCTGCTCTCCTAGTTCCATCAATTTTGTATGTGTCAGACAATTCTACGTACCATCGGAGTGCGAACTCCAGGACCAAGGTCACTGTATATGAAGTTGGTCGTATTACTTGCAAATAATCCGAAGTCGCCCACTTGACGGGCTCCGCCGTCCTCCCTATTGTGTCTCATCTCAAACCACTGAGCTATAATATTTCAGGTGTACTACTCACGAACAATTGTTATCATTCGTTGGCAGACCATCAGTAGAAGCCCAGAATCTGCCCGTTCGATGACCATGCAAGCCTTCTAACATCACCTAGGTTTGATTTGATGATAAGTCATTCTGTTGTACTCATCGTAACCTGGATAAAATGCACACCGATGAATCAACTGTTCCATCAACTGAAACCACGGCTTGTCCGTCGCTATCATGCGAAGTTACGATGCGACGAGGACCTGGGAGAACTGGAGGTAGAGTACCAGACATGAAGCTTTAGAAGTAGGAAATGTCATAAAGCGTTAACAATCTCGGTCTACCTAAGTACTTGCGGAACTTGCACCTTGACGTAATTTACGTTGGCCTAATAGAACTCCACCTTGACGTCAGCAATTTAAATCACTAGCGTGACGCATCATGATGTGGCCGATTAGAAGATGCGAATCGTGAACTTCCGCGTACTACGGGTCCAATTCAAGTGGGCCAACCAATCGTGTACATCACGATAATACCACGCAAGTGACGGAAACACCGCTAGTGGGACGAGAATCGCGGATCTCCGGGCACCACGGTCACGATTAATGAATCTACATAGGCACCCAATATTAGTATCCTAAGTGCGTGTACGAGTGCCTCAGTCTGGTATAAGGGACTGAGGGAGGAACGAGACAGCAGGAGAACCAGATATGTCTCTAGATTGCAATACTCATACTCCGGCACTCACGTGCACATTGCATTAACACCAACAAATTCGCGCAAGGTCACCGACAAGAATTCGCTTGGTTCCTGAAAAGGAAAAGGTGGAGCGCCGGGACGCCGAGACTATATCAATGTTTAAGTGCGTAGGGTCAATATTGTACATGAAATCGGGAGGAAGATGACATAGATAGCACGCTAGCGTTTAAGGAGCGGTGTCTGGCGCCAGTCACTGTCAGCGAGAGCAAGGATCTGTCAAAAATACTCACAATAATAATATTCATCAACAAGAGGTATCCAATCCTTCACGAAGGAACTGAGGATACCAAGGATTGGCGTATTAGCGGTCTTCTCCACGACAGCCTCAACCTTGGGCCTAAAAATATTTTAAATATCATGCTTCAACAAGGGTGGCACAAAATGTACAAACCTCGAATACGTCTCCCATACAGAACCACGCAGAAGGTACCAGAGAATATCCCTGTCCCTGCGGGCATATTCTTCACGTTCTAGATCTGCAGAATGTGATGGCGTCCGCCTCAAACTACGAGAGATGAGCTCCATGGCAAAGGCAGTCACAAGAGCTTTGCTCTCATGTTTCTTGGTGCTTAACATAGTCGCTACAAGAAAGTCGTGAGCATGTCAGGTCCCGGCCCATGTTTTGCACTCACCGTAAACCAAGGGGCGAATGATATAGATGCACTCAGAAACCCACTCCAAGGGTGATGAAAAAGGCTTCATCAGTAGCATAGAAGGCTTGACAGATGATGTTGTAAGAGCTTTAGGGAGGAGATAATCCTCCACTGATGTATCGGCACGGGCAGGTGGTGGAGGGGTGATCATCAAAGCATTTGGCTGTAATGGAATGTGATTATTCTTGAGGTGATCCGGAGTCGGTGGGGAAGATGACGATGGAGAAGTGGGAGCAAGCGTCGGAGAAGTATGCGTAGAGCTAGGAGGCATCGATGCTGGATCAATGTCACGTTCTGGAATTGGAGGAGATAAAAGTGGTCTTGTCGTGAGCTTGAGTAGCGTAAACCGTAGAATCATTCTTGAAAAAGGAATTCAGACGCGAACTCAAATCAGCGTCAAAACTTACTTCACAGTTTCGAGAAACACAACACCCCTCCATCGGTTCTTATCTGAGACTTTCCTCCGAAGCAGCATTTCGATAAGGAGTTGAGTGAACCGAATAAGCTCTAGAGATCGGGCAGCCCATTTGTATAATGTGACCTTGTCTGACCAGGCGCGGGTATAGCGCGTGTGCAATGGGATAGGAAGGATAGGCTTCCAATGGGGATCACTCTGCACAACTCTGGCCAGGAGTGTATCATGATACATGCTGGACACATGAAGTATCGCGGACACTAAGACACATGTTATTGCTTGAACCATACAAAAAATTATAGCAATGTTAATACTGACGACCCTCTGAAGCAAGATCGGCGTCTTTGAACCGTCCAGGTAGAAACCATGTTACAGACCTCAATGAGGATTCGAGGGTGGAGATAGTAGAGACGTTTTTTACGAGGAAATTTTCATATTTTTCCAACGTTGACGACATGTATAGAGGTCCAGTGTTATATAGCGCGAGGTGTGTTGACCAGTGGGAAGACTTACAGCCGCTCTGTCCAACCGGGTATACAATCACGTGTAATCCCACGTGTTTTACGTACGTTGCCGCTCACTCCAAGTAGGAATAGCAAAGTGGTACAAAAATCACATTATCACTATAGAGCGGTGATGCATGGGGTGTGATGTGAGTGCTGCAGTAGTCATTTTGCATTTCGTAGCTTGCAAGAACATACTAATATCATGGGATCCCTGTGGAAGGTAAGTAGTGACACTAAAGTTCAACGGTTTATCCCAAATCCCCTAGTCTTTGTCACAGCGCTTCCCGTTACCGTATTTACTCCACCCGCTTCTCGTACGTGCCTCTCCACCTCATTTACCTTACCCTCGACTTCGCGCACAGCCCCATCGATCCATTGCAGGCTGTCCAAATGACTGCTCAAGATCTGAGATATCTGGGTCATGGGATCATCGTTGCCAACTGTCCCTTGTGACCCATTCGGTATTAAAGATAGCGCATTGACCGAATCAATCATCTGTGTCAACGATCCAGACAAATCGTCCAGGTGAGCATGAAGCTCTGTGGCCAGCATATAACTGATGGAGAGCGGCAATCAAAATCGTGCAGTCTCAAACTAAGGTAATATGAGGGCTCACTTTTTATCCCGCTCGGTGTCAGCGGGTCCAGTATCGAGCGCCCGCAAAGTGCCGCTTTCTCCAAAAAGTTCTTCCGCAGATCGCTCGTACGCATCCAGCGTCGCGGAGAGATCCTTCTGCTGTTGCTCGATGTGATCGAGAGCTTGATCAATGTCATTTTGTTCCCGCTCCACAGCCTGGACATGGGTAAACAGAGCAGCCAGCTGTATTGTATATTGTCAGACGACAGATCCGATAAATGCAAAGCGAATAAACATACATTGTTACCATTTTCCATCAAGGCTCGATCCCACACAGCCACTTCACCAGCGAACTTGTTGAACTCCCGGACATGCACCTCCAGTTCAGATGACCACTTATTTACTATTTCCTCGATGGTTTTCCCCCTGAGTGCCGATGGTGGAGGCACTGCTACTGAAGTGGTGGTGACAGTGGACGCTAAGAGTAGTAATGAATGGATGGAAATGATCGATTTGACGGAAAATGCCCATACCATCTTTTGGCTTTTCACATTCCTTTGACAGTCCAAGGGTTGGTTGCACTTGCGGTGCGGCTGGGGGAAATGAAGTTGTAGACAGGGCGTGCCAATAAGACATACTTACTCGTCGTGGCGGTGGTTGTGGTTGTGGATTTACCACCAAACAAGTTGGTCACAGGTGCTGTGTGACTGCTGAAGATGGACCAATTTCATCTTTAAAACGTGATCTCACCTGCAGGGGCAGTGGCGTTCTTTGCACCAAACAAATTGGTTGGTGGTGTTGATGCTGCGCGATAGTCAAACGGGTCGTCGATGCTACATGCAGATAACTCACCTGCAGGGGTAGTAGCTGCCGCGGTCGCAGGCTTCAGGCCGAAGAGGCTGGTCGCAGGCACTATATACAATGGAGCGTCTTTAATGAGAAAGTTGTTGGACACATTGAAGAGAACATACATGTGCTGGCATCTTTCTTGTCTGACGAAGTATCCTTGTTTCCGAAGAGGTTGAATGCTGAAGGAGTAGTAGACATTTCTTTGAAGATAATTATCAACGACTATTGGTTCGGCACGGACGTCGACTTTACAAACAAAGCCAAGCAATTGCAATCGTTAGTAGAGTCGCGTCGTTGTGGACGCAATCACGATTCATTCATTCATCGACGGCCAATACATAATGCTGGCGGTAGTACTCATCGACACGTACTCGCGACGACATTCCCTGACAACTCGAGGCTGCCCTCGTTTGTGACAGGAGCAGGAAGCGGACATGGGATCCCCATGAAGGGTCTATCAGCGGATTACCTTGACGAATCCGCATGTTTCATAGCCTTGAATATAATAGTGTATACAGCTACAGTACATACAAGGGGATACATGTGTAAAAAATTGCGCACGCTGGTGTGTACAAAGCTTGTCACCAAACAACCAGCCGATCGAATAATGAGAATTCCATATGCATAATATTGCCTTTATAATAAAGTCTTTCCCCCCTTCGCTTTCCCGACTCTAATGCGCAGAGATTCGACTGCTAGCACTGTTACCCTCCCTCCGTTGGAATACCTTCATGCCAGTCCGGTCAGAGGTCAACTAGAGCCCTCAGATGAGGTCACAAAAAAAACAGGATGGCGCTTTCTCCAGTGCACAGATACCCCAAACGAACTCAAAGTAGGTACAAGAACTTTCTCTTTTTGACGGTTCTCAATCAGACGTACTGCAGGTACTTTTGCCTCCCCGCACAGCTCAGTTATACGCCCGCCTGCTCAAAGCAGAGAAATCTGAGCTCGCCAAACAGCTCGATGCATCTTGGGATCGTATCCTCGAAATACGGCACCTCAAGGATAGGATGATTAGAAAGTGCCAGAGGCTAGCTCATTCTTATTCCGCCGGCAAACCTTCGGCGAAGGTCCCCTTCTTGTCCATTCATGCACCACTAGATTTCAGATTAAAAGAGATGGAGAAGTGGATTCGCCTGTACGGCGAGCCTGATGAATCCAGCAAGATGCCCGTTAACGATTCCATCCGCCCACGCAATTCATTCTGCTGTGATCGCTGCGCAAATATGGTTCCTCATCAACACACCATATCTCGTCGACCATCCATCCAATCCACCCACTCCCGTCGCTCAGCAACACTCTCTGATCATCACCCATCAAAAGCTCTCCCGACATCTCCCCGACGCGCCCGCTCTTCCAAGGCGAGCTCTATTCAAAGCGATCACAAACCTTCCCCCGTTGCGAGCTCCATCATCCTAAACGAGAGTCAGTCGCATCATCAAAGCCAATCATACGAAACCAAGGTCCACGAAAGTAGCGTACACCAGGAGGCCAGGGATACCCAAGTACACGCGACTTTCATCGCACATGAGAATAGGTTCGATGATAGCAGCATCACTCAGGAGAGCAGGGTCCGAGACAGCAGCAATGTCCGCATGCGACAACACAAACACTCCAGGAGTATGTCATATGATGCACGAAAATTTGCTGAGAGTGGTCTTCATGAAATCACGCGTACTATACACGTCATTCCTGAAACATCAGAAGTCGGTACCGATCACAGCAATTGCTCAGCACCAGTGTCAGTCAGCAAACTATCGATCATTTCGCCCGAACCATTGCCTCATCCGTACCATGGTTCAACTTCAGCGGTTTTCTTGAACATGGTCGAGAGTCCTGTAGCTGCTCATGTACCGAGCACTGAACCTTGCTATGTTCACATCGCGGAAAACGAAGGACTAAACACACCTCCTTCCGAAGATGAACCTACCAGCGACTCCCCTCCCCAACCAAATGCGCTTCGCAGACGCAGTAGCCTCAAACGCAGCAACAGTGACTTGCGTGTGAGCATGGCGTTCTCCGCTAAGACCGTATCCTGGGCGATGGACCGCGACTGGGCCGATCGGGTTTCGAAGTATAATGCTGCGGCGGGTGAAATCGAGCATGCTGGTAGGTTTATGTCCCATTTCCGATGACATTGGAGGTTCACCAGTCTGTCCGTGAGATCGAGAATGGAATGCCATTTGCGCGACATATCATGAAGAACTCGCTGGCATGAATGCTCTACGTCGAAATGTCACGCAGACCTTGGCCAGGTTACGCTTGGAGACAGAGAAGTTACAACGCGAGGACGAGGTGATCCGGGATCAAGAGGACAAACTTCGAGTAGGGTATAAGCAGCTCGAGCAGAAACATGGGCAGTATCGAGAAAAGGGTGAGTACTTGTCCTCGTATTTACAGCCTGTTAAGAGATGCTAATGTTGACTATAATTATCGTCGGTTAGTTAAAGCTGTTCTAGAGGAGACCGAACAGGTTCTTACATTGTGTGGTACCAAACGAGATTCTTAAGAGTCAATTCGTCCGACGTTGGAAAGTCCTTAAAGCCTGCACATCTATATTCTTTTCCATTACGATTTACACGAATTCTACATACCCATATCTTGGCTGCTATAAATTACATGACGCTATCGATGTTTTAGATTAGGTTCAACACCGTTTCATAGCTAGGGTTTCACAGCAAACATGAAAAAGTTTCTATGAAAGCTTTGATCGGGTACGTTTTGCCTGGTTCCACCAGTGCCGTACGGTAGTGAGAAAAACAACCAGAATGCCAATCGATAAAAGTATGACCATGGCGAAATAATTATAAGGGGCTGAAGGATGTTGATGAATGCCATTTTTTGGAATCTTGATGTTTTGTGAGAATAATCCTATGACAAGGTAAATATGACACTACTGAGAGGACAGCTGATAACATACCTATCGGAATTTGAATGCACAAAATCCCTATACTGATGAGAGACAACGCTAATATGATCTTATCAGCGTATCCTTTGGCCATAGCAAGACGAGTTTGCAGCTGGGTCAGATATGCTGGGTGAGAATCGCTGAGCATGTGCTCGTAGTGATAAAGGGATTGCTGCAAAGTCAATATATGATCTGCAAAAACAGTTCAAAGTTGCATGTCAACAGTCGAATCAGCTCTTTACCTTGAACGTCCCCCATGTAAATGGCGATGTCAAGGTCGTCGTTCGCCTGAGGGGAGGGTGCTTGTCGTCCACTGATCAAAAAGCGTTTGCGGATTTGTGATATGACCTCCGACTTTGTAGCAAGAAGGCGAGTCAAGGAGGTAACAAGTCTTCTCGCCCTAGCCATGCGTAGTAGTGTATCTGTTGTCGTCGCTTGTGTTTTGACCTCACGGGTAGTCGCAAAACTATTCCTCAGATTTTGAAGACCGCTTTTTAAGCGTCGGAAGAATGGTGGCTGAGTGAATCTGGGAAAGTAGCTGGAAGGTGTTTCTTCCATTTCCTTCGAAACCGTATCTGGCAGTTTTTCAATGTTGGAATCATATTGATCATCTGTAGGTATATGAATGGAATCAACAAGAGTGCTTGTCGAAGAAGTGTGGGAGACGCCGTTGCTCGAAAATACGAGAGCTTCCACAGCTAGAACTTGTTTCTCGATCTCCTTAAGGAATGGAAAGAATGAATCCACGACAGAATCCAATATGCCATGAGCAATCCAGTCTTAAAAGTACGTCAGTGTGAACAACATGTAATTCATACAATAGTTACCTGATGACATATTGAAAGAGTCCTGGAGGAGTTGAAGTCTATTCCTCACTTTCTCTATGTGTTCTGGACAAGGTTAAACATCGAGTCTTTCAACTAATATGCAGACCCACCTGAGACATCGGTGAAATAAAACTAAACGTCATTGAGCATGATCTTTATAATCTGATGTAAAATGCGAACCTACCGTGCAAATACCTTCCTTAAATACCACCACGTATATGTTAGCCTCTCTTAAAGCACCGTCGTCAGCCTTGTAAACATCGTCATCACTTGAAGTGCCCTGATAATTCGGTTGCGTGACGGCTGCATTCTGTATAGTTCGGAACGAGATAAAATAATAACCCAATCTTGAAAAGAGTTCCATCTTTTCGCGCGGATCTTGTTGGAGAATATCCTCAAGTGTAAGAGGATGGATATGTAAAAGCTACTCATCAAATCAGTATGGCATGCTGATGGATCGAATGCACCTACCTTGCCAATTGCTTGTAAGTCGTCCCAAGTGGGACTGGCGACGTCAAGCCACCAGGCTTTGGGAGCTCGAGTGAGCTCGGGCGAGCCTCCGGGAGCCGATTCGCTGGGCGTACGATTCACTGAAGAGAGCTCTTTCTGTTTTCCTTGGACGGGAGACAGCAAGGCGGAGGAAAGGTCACCGAAAGACGCAGGTCGACTGAGCATACCTTGAGACATATAATCATGATGCAGGGGAAGCGGAGGTGTGCTAGGGCTGAATTGACGCTGTTTCCCTTTCCCTTTTTTTGCTCTTGATGACTTCTTCAATGCAGCCTCCAAACGGTTGAGGATAATCGGTAAAACCTGAGAGGTTGTTTGAGAGATGGCCTGCTGAGGTCGGTCCAAGGATTCCGACAACCGCCGGGTCGTGGTGATCTCGGGATTCAGACTCGGTGGTAGATATAGGGTAAACCCTCTATCAACACGTCTGATTTCCTGTCTGACCCTAAGACGAGCGGCCACCTCACGTTCGGAATGTGTGGAACGCATGTTAGCGAAGCTTGTTCGTCTCTTGCGCCATCGACTATGGCGAAGGCGAGAAGGCGTGTAGATAGAAGAATGGAAAGATGTAGTAGAACTAGGAGATGATGAAGTCGAAGCCGACGAACTTCTCCTTCGAGCCCAACGGGTAATTGCATTTTCTGATACAGCAGCAAGAGCTCCCAAGCGACCTGTGATGAAGGACCCGGATGATGTCAATGAGGAAGTAGATGATGCAGGTGCCACCGACTCCGCAATGGTAGGTAGGGCAGGGGGGACCTTGCCGCGATAGATGTCGTCCTCTGAAGCCATGTGTTAGATATATTCTGTGCTTCAACGGAGTAGACGAAAGGATGTCCAAAGGATAAGAACTGCTCAAGGCATCCTAGTCGTATCGGTGACGATAAACGATATTTCTCCAACGAGCGAGGCGGCTCGAGCACAGCTAAGAGCCGACCGCCACGCCATAATTAGTACATACAAAGCTCCGACCTCATTTTCTTGCGACTGCAGTAGCTATAGCAAGTGCATCGCGCGCACGTTAGGCAAAACAATTCATAAAGAAGACATACATATAATATATATAATAACATGATATATAAGCTCCATCCATGAAGCTAGTAAGAAAGATTTATTTGTATTTAAAATTCATTACAGCGACAAGGGGGGCAACATGTGTCGGAAGCTTCCAAACCGAGATGTATGCGTGTGACCGCGAGTAGTTTGGAATGTCCCCCTGCCACGACCCGAACGTGTTCCCACAGAGTCTGCCTGGCTGACCGAGCCGACTCGGGGGGACCCAGGTAATGATTGTGTGTGCGCTGCTCCATTTACCTGGCGTTCCACTTCAATATATAGCCATTTCTTCTGTAGCTCTTCCTCCACAGGTAGCAACTCGCAAAGAAGAGCGGAATCGAATGAGATCGGTGGTTGCTGTTGAAGAACAGAGGGGTGGAATGTTTCGTGCGTGATGTTATCTGTGACTGTTGGAAGTTTTCTGACATTTGCCTGCGATAATACGAATATACCGGTGCGTGCGCTGCAATAATTATATGAGCATGGTTCCAAACAAACTCTATGGTATGCTTGTCGACTTACTCATGTGGGCGCTGCTTTCCCCAAGGAGCCACTGGATTTGACAGCGAAGAGATGTATGCAATATCAATGAACAGCATGTCAGCGATATTGGCCTACATAATGAGCAACTCATTCAAAAGCAATCGCATCATAGATTCAGGTACTCACCACCATCCACGCAAGAGTTATATCAGATAAGTCATGTACTTTCCAGCCACCTCCGATCTATTGGTTCATAATCAGCAGATAGTTGGGATAATAAACGACCATCGCTTACGTCTGAATGTTCACCTATAACGTATGTTCATCATTTATATTTGTACAAGAATTGTATTGTCCCGAAACTTACCAGAAAACCAGCACTGTGAAGAGCTCCATGAGTAAAAATCTACAAACCAAACAAGATACAAATTACCTGTTTCAAAATCTGCCCTTTCCGTCGTCCGCCGTCCGTTTGCACAAATTTGCAGCAGTCCTAGAATAAATGGATGAAGGAACTCCAAAGGTCAGCGTTCGACTAACTTACAAAGTCTAGTCTGGTTTCATTGATAGCAAGCGCATGGTATGCACGCTCGATATGTTCCCCAAGTTCATTGTTGGGAAAGCCAAAAATAGATTTTGTGGAAGGCGACTTGTGCGTCAATTCTTCAGGTAGACCAACCGAACCGACAGTATCAAAAACACCGACACATCTGAAGGCGCATCTTAGCCGCCGTTGCTGCCGTGGATAAACTGGCAAGACTCACTTTATGGAGAAAGAGTTATCATCAGAATAAGCTCTTCTCTTTCCCCGGGAATCGGGGGAGGTCCACTGGCTCAACAATGCATCCAGCTTTTCGATCTCTGAAGTGCAATCAGAAATGTTGGAATAATGATAGTCAGTGTGACAAACCTTGTGGGTCAGTTTCTTTGCCAAGTTTTTGGTACGTAACAAATATCTTGGCGAAGTTATCCATGTCGGTGCGGTCTAGGACACCGATGGCGCCCTAAAGGAAAGCTCATTTATAGGATGAGCATCTTCGACAAAAGGTCTACTTACGATGAACATGGCTACCATCCGTGCGGTATATGCACCCTAATGAAAACGTCAGTGATGACGAATTCCTTGCTAGTATACCATTGCATACCCTAGAGAAGCCAAAGAGGAATATCTTAGGTGATGACGTTAGTCTAAAATTGAGATGTTGACGAATCTCTTACTTCATCGCCGGGGTGGTAGTTTCTGCAAGGAGATGTATAAGCCGCAGCTAAGCATAAATTCGGCAAAACTTACTGGGCAATGAACGCATAAGCCTCTTGAACCTTTTCACCTATATAGAATAATAAATCCTCGCTAAAATCAGCGAGCAAAATTGATTCTTACCTAGGGATCCTCCTGTCGCACCTGATTCAAAGAAAGATTATAATCTCCATATATTAATAAAATCATCCCACGGACCTTCGACATATTCAGAGTAGAAATTTTGGCCGGTTCCAATGCCACATTGGTAGTACACGACCTGCGGAATCGGAACTCCCCTGTCGATGTATATGAATGACGAATAAGAACATGTCCTGATGAGCTTACGATCGTGTATCCTGATGCTCCAGTCCCCGGGATAGTTTCTGAAAAACAAATATGTATTAAGGTCCCAAACGTGCATGGACAACGCACCAGGATGTTGGTTTGCTGCCAACCCTCCTTCGCAATCACTCCGTCTTGCCAGGTTCTAAAAGAACATTGGCGTGAGATGAGAGTAGCGCCCGAGATTTCATTAAGTGGCTTACCCATCGCAGCACACGATGATTCTTTTCTTAATTTTAGCGCCAGCTTGTAAGGGTTCAGTCGAGGCCCTTGGTAGTTGTGCAACGTCGAGCTTGACCATGGCGGAGATCATCATGGACTCGGTCCGAGGGAAAAGTTGAGGTGCAGACAAGAATAAGGCGGGGCGTATTTATGCTGTATTCCATCTCGCGGCCAACATTATTATAGCCACGATCGAGCCATATGAACACACTGATATCATAAACACAGGACGGGTTCGCCACAAATCCAATTGGCCAGTGCTAGTGAGATCTAGGCCGATGTGAAAATGTTGCCAGGGCTGAGCGCGGGTCGAGTTGGGATCCGATGCCGGTTTTGGTGTCTATCAGTTTCAGGTGAGTTTCGTTTCGACCACTTGCCAGTAGGTGCCTCAGGTCATTCAAAGGTTGGAAGGTCTGGGAGAGTCACACGTACAGCAACACAGCATCGCGCGGCCCGAGGTCGAGTGGTGGCCGTGCGTGTGTTACTAAGTACTTTTGATACCGGCGTTTGAAGAGAACCGCTCTCAATTTCCAATTAGAATGAACAATAATCTAAGTATCTTGTCAACATATGCGTCGTTGCTAGGAACCTCAAACACGTGTCCGAGCGCCGCACAGCAAGACTACTGTCAGGATGAAATTACCTCCCCAATCGAAACTGAGCCCCGGCGTACTCGTCCAAGGCACGACAGAATGCTTCCTCGGTGATTACGTTTGATATCAGGGGAGCGACGTCACGAGCGATAGTTCGGCTGTGCCACGTCAGGTGTCAATCCAAATAGTGATACGATTTGCAACTTACTGGATTTCTGTCAGCGCAATCTGCCACGGAGGAAAACCGTGTAGTTCGAGAGGAGGTGGGGAATCCTGCGAGCGGATATGATGGATAATCATGAAGTCTGGTGATGGCAGACCTCCTGGTACATAAGTCAGATGGGCGAAATACAACACAGAGTGAACCTTCCTTCTAACATCGAGTTCAATTCAGATATAGGAAGCTCGTATGCCTTGACGTGATCCAGGTCCTGACTGTTCTGGCGCCTGCGAACTTCTTCATCTAAAAGGAAACGTGCAGCAGATGCAATGGCAGCTTTTGAAGCACTGCGTGAAATTATATGGAGTGTCAGAGGATCACAATGAGAATGCTTGTCTGTGAATGTCATGTTAAGAGTCCTTCGTGACTGCAAGAACGCTCCACCTACGGTGCGCTCGTCGGCGAACCGCAACTTCTCTTGGCCTACGATGCGGAGCGCCTTTCCTGAAGGAGCATACCGTTGTAACATTGAGTTGTACAGACAAGTCTTCAAAGTCGGGCGAATGGCTTCTTGATTCTGAGGCCTCAGAAAGTGGAGGAGTCAACGGATATTCGAGTTCTGAGTCACTCTCGTCGGTGGGTAGATCATCATGATGTGTTAGGCGTTCCTGGATAATGTCAGAGCACCTTAACAGTGTACCTGAGGATCGTTCAACATGAACAATAATATCAATATCCCAACAAAAAGTTTACCCTCGGCATCATATGCGGTAAGCTGCTCTATACCTAAAGCTCTACACCATTTAACAACCCTAACTAAGCATTCCAAATACAGTTCTTCTGTGTGCTTTGAATTTGCCGCGTCATAGGAGACCAGAATGATCGCCAAGTGTTTTGGTAGCTTGCTGCGGTACGCAGTTAACGGTTGAGGGTGGAAATATCGGCGTCTTTGAAACTTTGTTGTCAGAAACGCTAGCGAGGCATGCAAAAGATGCAGAAGCCAGAGAAAGACAGGAGCCACCATTTAGCCAGCATGGACCAAAAAAAAGGGAAAGTTGGGATCAGCTGTAGTCTTGCACATACGTTGCAACAACAGGATCACGTGATACACTGCAATTCATACATAATGATCATCTTTCCATGACCATCATGATCAGAACTCGTTCGGTGACCATTGTGTAACCATGCTCCCCGTCAAAGAAATACAAGAACTATCTGATCTTCACCCAAAGCCTTCAGCTATCAAGTTTCAGTATGGGACTGCAGGTTTCAGAACACTGTACGTTTGCGTCTGATTAATACACATTCATCAATCTGATAGTAGCGACTAGGGGGAAGACCCTTGATTCAGTACTATTCAGAGTGGGTGTCCTCGCAGCACTTCGAAGCAAGAAACTGGATGGAAAGACGATCGGTGTGATGGTGACTGCCTCACACAATCCGGAGCCTGTATGTCCTTCCATACATGCACTGTTCACCTTGGATCCAACTGGTGCACCGCTTTATAGGACAACGGAGTTAAACTCGTTGACCCACGCGGCGAGATGCTTGAGTCGTCATGGGAGGAATACGCTACTGCACTTGCAAACGCGCCCGATAGCATTGCTTTCCTTGCTGTGGTCGATGAATTGGTAAAGGCGACCAAAATAGACCTCTCGATGCCCGCTCGTGTAGTGTATGCCAGGGACACACGTCCGACAGGCCCGCAACTTGTTTCAGCCCTTAAGGATGGGTTGGAAGCGATCAAGGCAGAGTATAGGGACGCTGGCGTTACCACAACGCCGGTGCTCCACTACTTGGTGAGGACCATCAATACCAAAGGTACTAAAGATTCGTACGGCGAGGATACCGAGGAAGGATATCTTACGAAAATAAGCGATGCCTTCAAAAAATTGCTTGTGGGTGATGCATATATGCGCATACATGATGCTCATTTCCGGCACAGGCTGGCAAACCAACCCCGCCGCCATTACTCATCGATTGTGCGAATGGCGTTGGTGCCTTGATGGCTGAGAGATTCAAAGCATATCTTGGGGATGTCTTCAATATCAATGTCGTGAACGCTGACCTGCATACCTCTGGCGCACTGAACAACTCGTGTGGCGCGGACTTTGTCAAAGTCAACCAGAAGTTACCTCCTTCTATCACTCTGCAGCCAGGACAGCGCGCTTGCAGTTTAGATGGGGATGCCGATCGTCTTATGTACTATTATGCAGATGAACGTGGTCAGTTCCATATGCTCGACGGAGACAAGATTACGACACTTGTGGCGAGTTATATCGTTGAGCTTGTGAAGGCCTCTGGATTGGATGAGCAGATCAAAGTCGGCGTCATTCAGACGGCATATGCGAACGGAAGCTCAACAAAATACCTTTCTGGGGTAAGTGGGACAATGAATATAGTATGGATGGAAATCTGACTTTGCAATCTCAGAGACTTCCTGTCAAGTGTGTTCCCACAGGTGTGAAACACTTGCACCATGCTGCAGAACAGTACGATATTGGGGTCTATTTCGAGGCCAATGGGCACGGCACGGTTTTATTCTCGCCCGCTGCTCAGGAATTGATTTCTAGCCACAAACCTTCCCCAGCGCTCACAAACCTGAAGAATATCATCGACGTGATTAACCAAACAGTCGGCGATGCTCTCTCGGATGCATTCCTAGTGGAAGCAGTTCTAGCACACAAGTCTTTTAGTGGTGTGGAGTGGGACTCCATGTATTGTGACCTCCCGAACCGTCTTGTGAAAGTCGTCGTAGGTGATCGGAACGCGTTCAAGACGGAGGATGCGGAGAGACGCCTAGTCAGTCCTCCTGGACTGCAGGGCAAGGTCGATGAGCTTGTGCGTAAGTACGAAGGGGGTCGCTCGTTCGTGAGACCAAGTGGCACGGAGGATGTAGTCAGGGTTTATGCTGAAGCGGCCACCCGCGCCGAGGCTGATGGTGACGCTGCTTCCTCCTGCTTAAAGATCACGCGCTTATGGTGTTTTTCTGGTTTAGAACTCGCGTTTCGTGTCGCTGGTCTCGTGTACGATGAAGCGGGTGGTGATGCGTCACAAAGACCAAAAGAATTTCTTTGAATTATGACCCAAACACAGTCACGTTTATATCTGGACATTGGAAACCGGCGATGTGTAGGAATAGAAATAAACTACTTGCCCACGTGTACCCCGCAGCGGTCAGAGTACCAGATCAAGTTCTGCTGGCATTGATTAAATGATGGTCTGATTTAGTTGGCTTACCTTTTTGTATTAATCTTGCTGGGAACTTGCATTAATTGATCAATGCAGCCGATCACGTGCACATGCGATAAGACGTAATATGAGGCAAATCTCAAGTCATTCATCACTCACTTCGAATTCCAGTTGCATTCAGTGCGGCTGCAGTGATATGACTCCAGTCCTGTTACGTGTCCGATTTTATTCTATAACACCGACTTTTACAATCGACTAAAACCCAATATCCCTGGATCGACTTCACACTCGCGCATGTGCCGCTTCGTGATTTACAAGGGCACATCACCTGTGCAGCTGTCTCATGTTAGTAGCTGATTCAGAGCTGATAGTTGAAAAGAAGACACTGACATTCCCGCTTTTAGCTCTTAACTCGACCCTGTCATTCCATTATAAACCAGGCCTTTGATTCGCGGCTACGTCTCGACCGTCGTCGACCGATCAACGGTGACGGCTTTGGGGTCGGTGAGTCGTTTTCTGAATCACTCAATGACAAATTTGGGAATCTAAATGTTCAGGCTGGTATGATTCGATCCACGACGAGGAACTTGGCAGCCAACCCTGTATATTTACCTCCGTCTCGCCAGTACGCGTGACCTGTCGCCAGAGTGTATCATCAACTAACTCGCTTTTTCACATCAGGCATGGAACAACGTAAATTTAATCCGATTAGCCGAGAAAATAAAGTCGCCGCTTGTCTTGTGAGTCGCCCTCTCCTCCGGTAAATCGTGCTGAACAACTATTGTGTTAGTGGGCACGTCCGCGCGACCACCACTGGTTCTTTGTCTTTGGACAACTGCCACCCATTCACATATGGGAAACTTATGGTACGACACGATGTGTACGTCCGTATGATCGCCCTTGCTGACTTTTTTTGGTAAATAGTTTATGCATAACGGTGGTATTGCAGGCTTTCATCTGATTAAGCGACGACTGCAGGCCGATCTGTCAGATGATGTTTTCAATATAGTGCAGGGGAACACTGGTGAGTAGAACTCACTCGTGAGAAGGAGTGAATCATAACCATATCTTGCAGACTCTGAGTGCGCTTTTGCACTACTGCTGTCGAAGGTATATTTCTTGGTGCTTTCGTTATTTTCGTCTAAACATAGTTGTGCATGTGCAGCTTCCCGATCCAAAGGCTAAGAGCTTTACCACTCGCAGCTTGCAGCAGGCAATGTTGGATACCATTGCAACATTGAATTTGTATACCGAAGAAGCCGGTATCACTGAGGTGAGTTGAAGTTGGTTTTCCTGCGCAGTGTTGCTGAGAGTCGATTAGCCAAGCTTGATGAACTTTTGCGTTACGGATGGCGAGAGTGTTATTGCAACGCGTTACATTTCCTCTCGGCATGACGAAGCTGCGTCTTTGGTAGGGTTTTATCACTGTATCGTATGACAAGGGTGTCCTGATCACAATTAATAACAGTGGTTCTCGTCTGGGACGACATTCAGCGAGTACGCCCAAGGCGGTCATTACAGGATGGCGAAAGCTGATAAAAGAGAAAATATCATCATGGTGGAACCCTTCTAATCTGCCAACCCATTCTCATTTCTGATCGCTCTAAATACAGATTGCCAGCGAACCGCTTACTTTCGAAAAAGCGGACTGGATGGAGATACGCACGAATAACATGGTCGTGATCACACCCAAAATGAACCTTCTCCAAATCCCCATCATTGACAAATTCTATGTCTCTCCTTCTGACCCAGCGGCGCAGAATCGTGACACTGACTTTGCCGCGGCCAAGGGCCTCCTCAGCCCACGTAAAGCCTTGACTCCAGACCAGCCTCGCGAAAACGCCCCTCAGTTGTCCATTTGATCTTTTTCTTGTGATTCCTTCGTCGCATTTTATCCTATCCATCGCTATCTTTGTTGTGTTCCACTGTTATCAGGATGTGTATAGTAGATGACTCAGATTAATGTCGATTACACGTTATAGACCCTTGCGTTCAACGGCTGTGAATGAATAATACGTATTGACGCTGGTAAGTGTGACGCTTCCCCGGGCCTTCCCTATGTTCGCATCCTTCTTCTTCTTCTACTACCACCTATCGCCAGTATCTATTGGTACTGTACAGTGTGCATCAAGCCACCTGATTGTTACATAACGTTGCATACGTCCCGTCGTCGTCCATACCTCAGCGCTAGGGCTAGCGTTTTCGCTGAAGGCCTGTTCGAGTGTAGACCCTGTAATAGCCACTAAAATCACGCTGCAGACCAACTTCTTCTTCTCCCTCATCGCTTCTTCGTGTTCTTAGAATCCTTCAGCATAATGAACCCATGGTTACTCTGGAGCGCCTTGTCGCATACTGCTAGGTCTTTGATTCGGTGTCATTCAACACTTCTGGAGCATCTAACGATACACTCACATCCAGGTTATCGACAGCCTTACAGATCTTGCTCTTCTTACCATTAACGCTAGCAACGCTTTCAACCCAAGCTTTTCTATTGCTTTCACTTCTGCTCTCGGTCCACTCCCTCATTCATGGAACTCTCATCTTGCTCTGGGGATCCAACGCGCTCTCCATCATGCAGGTGCCAATGCATCCCTTTCTCCTTCTCGTCACTTTCAATGCCTTCTCGCAGTCTGCACAGCCTTGGCTTACCACTGCAGTCTATTGGTGGGGAAGACTCCTCACGTTTTGTGGTCCTTCCTACGTAGCCATGGAGGGTTTGTCTAGTCTACTGTTCGCGCAGAAAGCGGGCCAAATAGGCAGAGGCATTGCGGATGAAGCAGAAAGTTACCAGTTCGTGATTCTCATCGTAACAGCAGCTGCATTCGTCGTAGCTGCGTGGTGGGTCGTCATTGTGCGCGCTGCTTTGTGTCTTCCTCAATCACCCACATACTAAATCTTATACAGGCATACCCCGCAGCTGCCGCATCTCCTTTGTCCTCCACGTTGTTGGGTGTGGCATTGACAGCATTCCTATTCCTCGTTCTCATCGGTTTCCGATTACGACGCACCAACGTTGTCGAGGCCTCTCTCCTTGCACTCTTTCTTGCATATAACGTGTGGCTCTGCGGGTTTGATCAAACATCGTTCTCGGACCCTGCTTCCTCCTAGTATGTTCTACTGCTGTCTCATGTACTCATACTTACTGACGGTTCCCAGTGCTCCCCTGCTTTCAAATATCCTTCCACATTTACAGACACTTGTAAATTTCATCACAAATACCCTTCCCAAGCCTGTACTCGTTGCGTTACTCTATCGTCTTTCAATATTGGAAGTTGCATCACGTATTTTACCTACGATCGGTGCTGACAACTGGGAGTCGGACCAAGGAGAGATTGATGGACGACCGGTACGAGCACTTGCCCTGTGGTTTCCTCCTGCTGATGCTTATCTATGCTAGACCTCGATTATGACACGGATCCTTCTAACGTATAGACAGCTAATCTTCGTCATGGTATATTCGCACCTCCTTCGTATGTATTTCTGTTTACATGACTTTTCAGAGTCTAGCTAATATTTTGCTCAGTTCTAGATCCCTCTTCACAAGTCTGGTGGCGATGGGCGAATATCATGTTTACTCTGTTCCTGTGGGCTGTGGAACTTGTGGTCAGCCCTGATGGGGACGATGATTCGGGAAAGTGGAAGATCGATTAGTTCTGTTGTCCGACATCTGGAGAACCGAACCCCATGCTGTACTTAGACCATCCTCAGCATCACACCATTCTAGTTGCTATTCGCCTTCCACTCCGCCTCCTCCTCCTTTTCGCCCTCGTAGTACTCCCTCTTCCATATCTGTGCTTTCTGCTTCACTTCCTCGAGGATCTGCTCACATGCAACGAATGCCTCCTTCCGATGCGGTGAAGATACCGCTATCACGATCGAGGGGTCTCCTACCGGCACCGTCCCCAGTCTATGGTGCACAGCGCAGGAAATGATGGAGGGTACTGTTGCGTGCGTTGGATAGTGGGTGGAGCGTGTGACCGATTGATGTGCAGTTCGGATAATGTCTGTCATGGTTTTGATAGCTAACTTGCTGTACGCCTGGTATTCTAGACGTGTCACGATCTTTCCTGTTCGTAGCAGGTGGTGAATATTAAGGCATGGATGAATATGGTACATATACATGGTTAGTACCTTGATATGAATTTCGAGTCGTGCCGATGAAGAGTGCTGTTGCCCCTGCACCATCATCGCTGACTGATTTTATGATCTTGTCGATCTCCAATGGCTTGTATGAGAGCACGCATACACTCCTGCCCACTTCTTCTCTCGCTTCCACCGAGGTGCTTGGATAGGAAGTTGTCATCTGAAATTTGTATGAGCGCGAAAACTAAGATAACGAGTATATCTCCATGAGTCTGAATTGACTCACGTGAACCAATATTAATAACTATCTGGGGCTGCAAGAACGACCGTCCCGAGGAGTCCATTCAATTTTCAAGCACTACTGCTTTCAGCTCCTTGATATCCAATGCTTCAAGCTTCCTTTCGGGGAACCTTTACCAACCGACGTCTCGTTTTACTACGGAAGGCGTCGAGTCTATCTGCTGCTCGGGAGCGTCGAGCTCCCATCGATGTTCACCCCGAGGTGGAGGATGCATTGGCCACCGGAAAGCCTGTAGTTGCTCTCGAATCGACCATCATTACCCATGGAATGCCGTACCCGACTTCATTGGAGATGGCCCAATCAGTCGAGAGGAAAGTCAGGTCCACAGGGAGTATACCAGCCACCATCGCTGTCATTGGGGGACGCATCAAAATTGGACTTCATCCAGCAGAACTAGAACGTCTTGCAGACCAACGCTCAAACGCAAACGCCGTGAAGTTGTCCAGGCGAGATATTGCAGCTGCAATTGCTCTAAAGAAGGATGGCGGGACTACATGTTGTTCCACCCTGATCTTTGCTGCACTGGCTGGTATCAAGGTGCGCATGGGGCAAAAATTCTTGCACGTCAATATGACAGTTTTTTTTTAGGTCTTTGCCACTGGAGGGTAGGTCAGGGAATATTGATTTCGGATTCTTGTATTCTAAGGCGGTATTCCTAGGCTTGGCGGAGTCCATCGCGGCGGGGAGAATAGTAAGTTACACTGAGTGTTTACGGGACTTCTGATTATTTTGCCCCGTGTCTTAGCAATGGACGTTTCAGCTGATCTACATGAACTCACGCGTTGTCCAGTTGGTCTGGTTTCGGCTGGAGTGAAATCCATTTTAGATATAAGGCGGTATGACTTAGTATTACCTCTGTCGCTTGTCGCTAAACTGACCAAATAGAACTCTCGAATATCTGGTGCAGCTGCTAGAAATGTTTTGGAGGATTTGTCTCTAATTCGTTCACACAGGAAACGCTTGGTGTACCAGTAATATCTTACGCAGAGACACACGATTTTCCGGCTTTCTACACCGGTCGAAGCGGTCTTGAGGTACGAGTGTACTAAATGTTGGTGTCTTGGCTCACTAGTTTCACAGTCGCCTTGGAGGATAAATGATCCTAAAACAGCCGCTCATATTCTACGTGAGAATGCTGGTACATAACTCAGTTCGGCGGACTCATCGATATCCACAGATACTCATTGGCAACTGGGCATGTCTAATGGTGCCCTTTTTGCGGTCCCTATCCCTGCTGAATATGAGGCTATCGGGTCAGTCCTTCAAGAGGCAGTCGAACAAGCTGTTCACGAATCAGAAGAACAACATATCAGTAAGCTAGGGAAGGCTGTCACTCCTTGGCTTCTCAACAGGGTTGGCGAGTTAACACAAGGAAAATCACTTGCTAGCAGTCAGTATTGAACCTTCCTAGGCGTCACTCGCTGCTCAACTTTGACCTCAGACATAGCCCTTGTCGAGAATACTGCACTCGTTGGTAAGAAATTGATATAGGAGGTTTTGTTCAAATGTTGACGTTTCAAGCATAGGAGGTCAAATTGCAGTAGAATACGCGAAACTTGCTGAAGACAGACATGACCAGGATGTGAGGCGAACTATCAATCATTAGACATAGCAAGTGATGTCTGTTTCTCTTAGCAATGCTATCCTGTGATAGGAATACGAGGAAAACCGGATGAGCCTCACAGTGCATATGACGTCGCCTCATCAGGCACTACTGATGATCTCAAAGGGCAACCATTACCGAACGCTTCGTTGGTTGTAGTTGGTTGTGCAGCAGTAGACATTACATCCCAACCTCTTACAGATTCGGACCTTGTCCACCAGTCTACATCTCCTGGGAAGGTTTCCATGTCACTCGGAGGCGTTGGCCGTAATATTGCTGAGGCTGCTCATCGAGTCCTTTCGTCATATAGTAAAGAGTTCTCGGCCGCAACTTTGCTAGTGTCTCCAGTAGGTGATGATTCTTTCGGGAGACTGTTGAGCGAGGAGACACGAATGCTAGGGATGAGAACAGATGGTCTTATTCCCGTGCATGGAGGCAGGTCGTCTGTGTGCAGTCTGCTTCTGGAGAAATCGGGTGGATTGAGGGCAGGCGTGGCTGACATGGACCTCGTTCAGAATATGGATGGACATATGGTCAGTCATGTCCTATAACCGCTCATCATAGGCTTGATGAGTTTCTTGCCAGGCACGTGAATTTATATTGGCACACAAACCAAAACTACTCGCAGTGGATGGGAACCTATCACCAGATGCACTGAAGGTAGTAGTGAGCGAATGTCTTCGAAACGGCATTGATGGTAAGTTTCTTCGTTGATGTAAGTTGGCGGAAGTGTGGCTAAAATTTGTGCTTGCTAGTGTTTTTGTTCGTCCACATGCATGTTTTTATCAATGAAGCTGCTAATATTACTTCAAAATTTAGTGAACCAACTTCTGTCGTCAAGTCAGCTTCGATTCTTCCCGCTATAGCCAGTAATCTCGACCAGCTTGCATGGTCCCCCATTGCTTTTGCATCTCCTAACCTGCTCGAGCTCGCTCATTTGTATCAACAAGCACAACTTCTGAACCTCACTTCACATGATCGGTGGTGGCGGGTTCTGGACGGCCTCGGACTTGGTTCGAAGTTCCGCACAGACCTCGATCTGCTTTCTCGAAGAGAAGCATCAAATCACGATACTCCACGGGGCAACATGGCCTTCCTTGTTGAAAAGGGTATTGCCCAAATGGCAATCAATCTCCTACCGTTTTTTCGACATCTTGTCATCAAGTGCGGTGACTTGGGAGTTATTGTCGTAATGCATTTCACGGGAGATGATGCGGCCGAATCACCGTGGTCAACGGAGTCGACTAACCATCATAGGCGCTGTGTGGTGTCCCACTCGCCAACGTCGGGTGATATCGTAGTTTTACAGCATTTTCCTGCAATACAACTCCCAAGCGATGCGTTGGTCAACACAACTGGTGCAGGAGATTCGTTGGTCGGAGCTTTGCTGGCCGCATTGGTGCAGTCTCCGAAGGCATTCCACTCCACAATAAGCCTACAACGTACGATAGACATTGCTCAGCATGCAGCACTGCTAAGTTTGCAGAGCCCGCTTGCTGTTTCGCCATTGCTACCATCCTTGCACGGACAACTTTCCCATTGATGATAATAATGATACCGTCTCTAGCGTGCCTCACGGACCATGGACCACTAGCGGTCCTACCTGAACTGTCTCCCGCTCCTTCCTTCGTCTCTCCTTCTCTGCTACTTGGGAGGCTTTATTCGCTTCTCTCGCTTTCTTCTCATAATAGGCCTTCTCAAGAGTATAAGCATCAGCTGAGATGTACATATGGACCATACCTTGGCTCCATGTTTCAATCGAGTGATAATGTTGGCTGCCTCGCCCTTGTTTATGTTCTGCAGGGTTGCGGCGGCGGCATCTTGATCTAGCGCGCGTTTGATGCGTCGTTTATAGATGAAGTTCTTCTGGCTATCGGATGCAGGCGCTTTCCGCCATTTTGCAGTCCGAAGCAGCCTTTCTGCGTGTCAGAGATATCATGACTGGTATATAAACGAAGGTATACCCTAGCGCCAATGGTCCACGAAGAACCTTTTGCGCTGCATAAGTGTCGCAGCCTCGGATTGCATCGCTGAGTGTCTCCGCAGTCATAATCAACCTTTTCCGCATGAATGGTGCTACTTTAAATGCCTTCGCAGATGGCATGTGCATCGTCGCCTCGGTAAATGTAGCGCGATAGTGTGTCGGATTTTCTGAATGGCACATGAGACGAAGGATTAGAGCAGAACTTGTCGAACTGACTCTCATCAGCAGAAACGCGCTCAACACGGATGTATCCCTTGCCCAGGCACTCCAAGATGTAGACGTCTTCGCCACACCCTACCCATGCATTGGCGCTGAGCTTTAGGACGTGAGGGGCACCTGAACAACCATCAACTAGTGCGAACGGATTCTCGTAATCGATATATGTTATGTATTTCGGGTCGGGGATATCGTCTCGGCTGTCAACTGGTATTTGTTCGTCATTCACGTTCTGAAGGCTGTCAATCTGAGCACGAGCCTCCAATGTCTCAACGGACTCATCTAGGCATGATATTAGCCCCACATTCATGAAACGGAAATGCACCTTGCCGTCGATAAGTTCCTCAGGATCAAGGCCAAATAGCGTTGGAATCGAGACCACACCAGCTACCCGATTTGTAGAGTCGACAAAGTCAATTATGTGGCAGTTCTCTTTGCCTGTCGATGGTGATTGCCGCATCCCCCTCCCGATCTATCGAAAGTGAATGGTGGGCATACAGGAAGCGTTCAACATAATGCACTTCAACCTACCATCTGTGTGAAGACATTACGTGACCGAGTCGGGCGAGTAACTATAACACAATCGATGTTGGGAATATCGGCGCCCTCAGTAAGAATTGCTGTTTGTCCCAAGATAAGTCGCAAAAAGAACCAACCGTGAAACACAAACCGCAGTTGACAAGCACAGGGTATTGGCCTGCTTTAAAGGCGGTTATCAATGCATGTCGCTCAGCAGCAGGCGTCCCGGAGTGCAGATAACGTGCATCAACTCCAAAACCTTGGAAAGCCTTTGTCAGCGCTCGGATGTGCGCAACGTTAACGCAGAAGACAAGTGTTGATTGACGCTGCCCTATTGTAGATATAAGATTGCGAGACTGCCTCAAAGGACGAAACATCACTTACTCGCTCTGTCGAGCCACGCTTGCACGACAAGGTTATTCACGGTATCTGTATTGATGATGTGCGCCAGGCTTGTAGCATTGAAGTCGCCAGTTTTTGAGTTTACAGTGACATTGCGCAAGTCAATGTTTGCCTTGACGGATGTGAAACGCACATCACAGAGCCTACCATGGCAGATTGAGAAAAATCCTAATGGTCAGATTGAGATGGTCTGACCATTGTTCCTTTATCATCTCAAGAAAATCACAATGATAAACTATTTGTTGAAAAACCGAGCCAAGAGCCAGCCCATCATGACGACTGAATGTGGCAGAAAAGCCAATAATTGGAATAGGGCGAGACAACTGCAGAGGCTGAAAGGTTGCATCGGGGCTCCTTATTGCAGGATCGAAGTGCGCAAGAATTCGGCGGTATCTATGTGAAGTGCATAAAATTTGAATTAATAGCCCCAAAAGATGAGGAAAAATGAGGGTATTCACGATGGGGCGGCAGCATGGTGTGCTTCATCTACAATCACCGCCTTCAGATTACCCGGATAAAACTTGGCAAGGCGCTGAGGTTGTAGGAGTGTCTGATAAGTGGCAACTGTCCTGTTCAATAACGATAAATCGAGATGAGAGAAGCGAGTTATACACAGTCAAGTACGTACACATCCGCATTTCCAGATGCTTTATGCTTGCTGCCCTGCTCAATCTCCACGCACCATTGCGGGAATTGTGCTGCAGCTTGAGCAGCAGCTTGTCTTGCAAGCTCAACACTATTCACTATAATTAACGAGCGCGATGTAGATGGAGAATGAGATGGTGGAGAGATCTGTGCCAATAAGGATATGAACACAGTTGTTTTACCTGCCCCTGTTGGAAGGGATACACCGATGCGTGTCGCACCAGCCTGAAGGGCATTCTTGCATGCTTCGAGACAGGACTCTTGGTAGGGTCGCAACTTGAAAGTGACAGCACTGGCAAACCAACGCCGAGAGCCAAACATAACATACAAGTAGTAGTTCGGAACAGCTTATATCTTGGTAGATCACGTGAGGGGTTAGAAATGAACAATACAGACTTAATGCCAGATCTTGCCTCAAAATATTGGTCGTGAATGTCTTCTGCATTCGGTATGAACTAAGGCCTACTAGTGTGGGAGTATGTAGAAGAGACCATACTGAGGGACCCAGTGAGATGGAATAAAGTCTATCGAAATAAATCGTGATACGTAAAAGAAAGGATGGAGCCAAAGCCCGAGTAAATATGCGATGCAAGGCGTTTAACCTGATCCACCAGAGTAGACCTTGCCGAACATGACTTGCTGGAGCTTGTCATATAGCGAAAGCACACCAGCACCAGCAACACCACGGAGAATGTTGGCACCTGCACCCTTGAACAATGACTTCATACCCTCCTTGGCAACGATCTGAGAACCAGCATCGAACATGGACTTGTAGTGAACGCCAGCACCAGAGGTCATCATCATACGACGACTGGAGATAATGAGTACGTCATTCGATTTGATATCATAGGGTAGAACTCACCGGATAGTGTCAAGAGGGTAGGAAGCAAGACCAGCACCGATGGTAACACCCCAACCAAGAGCGAAGGAAGCCAAGAACGAGCCCTCAAGAGCACCAACGAGAACAACGGGCTCTATAATCACAATTAGTGATGATCAAGAGTTGGTTGAGTCGACTCACTAAGCGAATCGTATACACCAAAGTAAAGACCACGGTAGACAATGATACCGACGACTGAAGGAACGAAACCACGGTAGAGACCCGCGATACCGTCGGAAGCGAGAGTCTTCTTGTACACATCAACAAGACCATTGAATTGACGAGCTCCTCCACCCTTGGCCGACTTGGCATCATTTGCAAGACGAGTACGAGCGTAGTCGAGAGAGTAAACAAAGAGCAGCGACGAAGCACCAGCGGCACCACCAGATGCAACATTGCCAGCGAACCACTTCCAGTAGCCCTCGTTCTTCTTGAAGCCGAACAAAGACTTGAAGTAATCCTCTAAAATTGGTGTCAGATATGAACCATAGAAGAGCGAACGGAGAACGCACTGAATGCGAAGTTCAAGGCCTGCGTAGGGAAGTAACGAATCACGTTGGCAGTGTTACCTCTCCAAAGTGAGACAAGGCCTTCTTCCTTGTAAGTGCGAGCGAACGCATCCCCAACGCCCTTGTAGGGAGTAGCCAGACGACCCTGCTTGATCTGAAAGGCGATGTGTAAGACATTTGCGCACTGGCCATAAGATAGAGAACGTACCATCTCATCCTGATTTTGTACCAAGAGCTTAATGCGCTCAATTGGGGCTGCCGACGTCTTGGCAACGGCCTACAAAACACAATTTCAACGTCGAAAACTTGACCGCACAGCAGCATTGACACGTACAGCAGAAACACCACCCATCAGGAAATCCACTGTTAGAGACTGTATTTAGCGCTCCATACGTGACACCGAGCTGCACGGCAGGCAACGACGACGGGCAACTCACCGACGAAATCCTGGGGAGTCTTGACCTTCTTGGTTTCGGCCATTTTTTAATTAGAAAGCCAACAGGAAAAGAAAAGGCTGAGTAGAGAAGGATGGAGGGAAGGATGAGAGCTAAGCAGGGAAAAAAGTTCGCGTCAAAAAGGAATTCGGAATCATCCGGAATGTTTTATCTCCGCTCTTCACCGATTGAACAGCATCGTGTGTAGGTACGTTCCGGGCGGCCTCTGTTCTGCTGCTAATATTCTGATATATTCATGGTTGAATACGTAAATAGAGGTGATTGCATATTACGCTATCCCTGCGACAAACAAATGATTATTATAGCCAACCCAACCTCAAACAGCCGGATAGTAACGGAATAAACTGGTCCTGCAATGCGAAATTAATATTAAGGCCACACGCCTGGTCGGCTAGTAGAACCACTAGGTCTGGGCGGATAATAACCGTTGGGATTGTACGTATCATATGGACTACGGACGGTCTCATGAGGAGAAGTAGTTGACGCAGGTGGCACGTATAAGCTTGTGTTGGGGTAACGTACTGGAGGTAATTGAGGGACAGCGTAATTGCTCGGCCCGGTAGGATATGATGTCGCGGGTGACCGAGGTGTACTCATAGGTATGACATTGGCAACCGGCGATACAGGTGGAAGGTGTACCGCGTGAGATATTTGAGGTTGTGGTTGCTGAGGTGCTGGAACGGAATCAACCCGGGATTTTTTCCAGATTTGCTCTGTAGGCGAGGGTGCACCAGACAGTGCCTTGCGCTTCTCCAGAGAACTCCGCGCCATGGGTGGTGGCTGGGGCTCATCCTCGTCGGAGTCGGCTGTTAGGTCGATGACATCACCGCCTCTGGGTTGCCGTGCAGTTGTCGGAAGACCTGCGTTGGAGGCAGGGCTGGATAAGGTGTTCATCGGGTAGGAATCTGATAACTCCTGCTTGACTCTGCCCTCGTCCTCGTCATCAGAGTCCAGCACAAGGATCTCCACATTTTTCCTCGCATGGGCTTTCGCGGCAGCCTCTTCATCAACCGATGCTGGTGATGATTCGCGAGGAGAAGGCGATAACCTGAACGGAACTGTCCCCGGATGCGAGGCCAACCAGGAAGCCGAGCCAAACTTATTGTCACTTGTATGCCACTGCCCATCGCTTTCAACAATAACATCTTCGACATCCTCAGAAGTATCCTTCAGAATCTGGTCGAAATACCTGTTGGCATATATATTGGTTAACTGACGATTCAGTGACACAACAAGAACGCACCCATCGATTATGAGATCTTCAAAATTTAGAGCCTTCTCACATACAGGACAAAGCCACGTTGTTGTTTGCTCCATGCAGTTAAACCACGAGGATGCATCAAAGCACTGCGGGTGAGGACATAGTATTGATCTGCACGGCGTTGTTACTCGCATGAAACTCAGCTAGACCATTTTACCATGAGAAAAAGTCAAGCGGGTGAAGGACGTCCATACTGGGCATTTTAGAGACATCTTTTGTGATCCGGCAATAATATCGTCATCTTCGCTTGAGGTTTTATTCACTGTAAGAATTATTATTTAATAGATAATTTGCTCGTGTGATGAACGGTTTACTTTGTGCCACAATGTCTTCATGATTGCGGTACTTGCCCTTCTTGAGCTTGTCCACGAGCTGCTCTACAGTCGTGGTTTCAACAAGCATGACAATCAGATAGAATTTCTGCTGGCGATACTAAGACAAAATGTGCGTGCAGATGACAGGTCCACCAACCTTGGGCTGTATAGGCTGCTGGCTGTTCACGTATACCATTTCGACTCGGTTTTGACCTGTCGTTCTAACGGTCCTCCCAAGGTCTGCAGGTGGAGCAGTACCAGGCTTCTTCTTCAAACCTTTCAGGTTCGCCGTCAGCTGCACACCATTGACTCGCACTTCACACGTGGGAGGAAATTCGATCGGACAGAGTGCTGTGGTAGGCCTAAATCCTGAGGAATAAAACGTGTTTGAGGTACAGTATAATCGAAGCTGGAACTTGGCACTAGAATGGTGTGTCAAGCTCGCTACATCTAATTCACTGGCAGAAACATACCTTGTCGAATTCAGCTTCATCGCCTGCTCGCTGTTGAGAGTGAAAGTTAAGGTTTGTTGTTTTCGATCAGTCGAGCTTGTGGATTCTAGGAAATGGTTAAACCTGACCCAATTATTAAAAGTAAGCATGCACTTGCCAGGACACTCGACAATGCCAGAGACAGCTTGATCTACACGAAAGAATGGAGAGGCCTTAAAGCGCATACCTGCTGTATGTATTCGTGATAATGAGCTAGGCAGTGCATCCACTTATCTTACCTGGTTTGGACACAGCCGACGGGCCAGCGCCTGTAGTTGGTGGCGGGGGTAGCCGTGGAGGAGCATAGGGATCATAGCGACCAGCGGGGATCGCATTGAAACCGCTACGAGCTGTGTTTGAAGCTGAACTATATGCTGCTGCGGGAACCGAAGGTAATGGCTGGGATGACATCGCTCCTGGCATACGGGAGCTTGTGTACCTAGTGGTCAAGCGCGCGGTCAGTGCTGTGTCGGGAGTAAAGGATGCCACCACACATGAATGCTGTAGCTAATCGAAGGAGCCCAGAAATGCGGCGCATGAGAAATGCCACGCACGCGAAATGAGTCAAGTTCATGAAATGGCACTCACATTCCCGTATTGCGAACCTGGTATAATATAACTTTCGCCTTGGTCCATTTGTCGATATTGTTGGCTTGACGCCATAATTCCAACTGCTGTACGATCCTCTCTATCAGGTCCTGCTTCTTTCCAGACTTGTGAATTACAGTGTTGCATTCCTCATTAAATCCGGTAAGAATTTGTTTGAGCTTATCCACTGTATTATGCTTGACCGTGTGCCGCAAATTCTAGAGTAACGATTTAGTAGCATATGATGTAAGATTTATAACACAAACCTCAAAATCGCTCCAAGAGTCATTGGTGGCCATTGATGTCTCCGCTGTCTGCCACAGTGAGCAAAAGCTGTCAGGAGAACAGAGAAGAGTTGAGACTAAGCTGAGCGGGAACAAATTGGGTTTACATACTATAATACACAAAGGTAAACAAAGCAGATTCCCTCACGTGCACCATCTCTTTCATATCGTTTAAACTTGTAGAATTGTCAAAGGATTGTTTCATACTTATGTCTTCAGACAACGATTACGACAAGCTCACGAACGAAGAGAGAGAGGCGCGCGATAAGATTGATAGGGAACGTGAGGAGGTTGAACAGGCTGGTATGGTTCCACTTAATCAGAGGTTGATCAGATCATAGATCATGGCATGCAGCTCTCCCTTACAAATGGAAGCAGGAGTTGGGCGAAGTTGATATTACTGTTCCTGTTCCGAAAGGGACACGAGCCAAAGATTTGGTCGTTGTCATTCAGAAGAAGAAACTTAGTGTTGGCTTCAAGGGTCAGGAAAAAATTATGGAAGGCGAACTCTGCAAGGAGATTAAACTCGAGGACAGCACGTGGACACTCGGTGAGGTGTCGCATCATGATGCATATGCTGATTCTGAATCGTAGTTCAGAGGATCGGCAGTCTCTTCTTATCCATCTAGAGAAGCTAAATAAACAGCAGTGGTGGGACAATATCCTCACACATCACCCTAAGATCGACACTCGCAAGATCCAGCCAGAGAACAGCAAGCTCAGCGACCTTGATGGAGAAACCAGGTAATGCTTACTGTTATTAGTCAAAGCTCGTCCTTACCCAGTTTCTTCAGGGGCATGGTCGAAAAGATGATGGTGCGTATCTAGCATATGTTATGTTTCTTTCTACCAACTTGTTTTCGTGCTTTTAGTTCGACAACCAACAGAAGGTATGTACTTGATTATCTATAAAAGTATTTATATTCAGTATGCATCTAGCAAATGGGAAAGCCTACTTCAGACGAGCTGAAGAAGATGGAGGTTAGTAATTCCCGTGTCAAGCTTCCCGAGGCTAACCAATATTGGTGTTTTAGGCATTGAAAAAGTTCCAAGCCGCACATCCTGAACTCGACTTCTCGAATGCCAAGATTTCATAAATTCGATCTATTGTAACAACTACCAGGTTTAATATTGCATCCGCCATGTACAACAAGGAAATTCTACATATGTGGAGAGTTATGTTATCTTAGTGTTTCTCTCCAGATGCAAACCCTACGTTTCTCAAGTGTGACCAGTAACTGTCCTCCAAAGCCGAGCACGCTAGCCTGCACGCTTCCCTGCGCACCAGGAACTAAAACCTCCCATCTCTGCGATTCGGGTGACTTCCCGAAGAATGTTGTAATCGGTTGATCTTCCTCTTCCTCTTCATCGTCTAGACGTACATTTTTGAATTCAAATTCAATGTCATGTTCGGGCGGGTCACGTAAGGGTGGGTCTGGCGCTATCACGCGAGGGTGGAAGTTTGCGAGGTTGTACAGACGAACGCTATCGGGAAGAGACAACGCAAGTATGTAGTCGCCTGTGAACGTCTGGGTGACATGAACGTGTCGAGTCTGTTGGGGCAACGAGGAGGTTGAGATCAGTGTAAATGATGCTGCAAAGACGGATTGAGCCACTAGTTCAAACAGAAATGTCGATGCATACAACTCTCATGATAATCCTGCACAATGATCAGCCACATGATTAAAGAAATAGATAGCAATGTACCGATGAGCAACCCCTGAACACCTTCCCAATCTCTTGTCCTGCGGGAAAAAATCTATCGAAGCCAATCCACCGGAAAATCGTCACGGTTCCATCTTCGTAGTATACATCATCATTGCGACCGCGACGTCTCATGAGAGCGGGCGCACTATGAGTTACTAAAGTGTCTGTGCTAAGCCTGTCTTGGCGTGGTTGACGAATTGAAAACTGTTCCTGAATTACATGGACATACGTACCAACTCACGGAGATGACGCGTGCCTTGTGTATCCGACTGCTGCTAAAAAGAGGCTTGTCCTCACGAGAAAATTTGTTGCAAGATAACGCTGAAAAACTCCAAATCTTCACAGCCCGATCTAGCTGAGCGATTGTCGGAAATGTTATGCGAAACATGCAACCTTGGATGGACCTACCCCACACGTGGCGATCAGAGCATGAGTTGGATGGAATGCCTCATGATCATACATCAGTCATGGTATCAGTCTAATATACAAGACTCACAGCGCTCAGGACGGCGGCCTCATGACCACCGGATGGACCACCACAAAGAACACCAATGCATCGGCCTATACCCATACCCTCTGGTTCGCTAGCTTGCAGTCCATGAGGGGCTCCACCTAGGCTGGGGGCTTTAGATGGTGGCCAGCAAGGATTGTCAGGGCCCTGTTGCGGGGACAATGTCAAATCATATATGCGTGTTGTAAAATCCCTTGAAGTAGTGCAGAATAAGTAGGGATGCGTGGGGTGAATGACTATGGATGTGATCGGCTAATCACGAGAACCATCCATCAGCGGATTGAAAGAGGAGCGCAGGCACTCACCCCGCCATGTCCACGCAAGTGGCCGATGATCTCGCCTTTCACTGGGTTCAAGATGTAAAGGATGCTGCCCGCTGAGAAAACAAGAAGAGGTTCGAGTGGTCCCTCAAAAGGCAGTGCCCACCCCACGGCCATTACGGGTGTCTATATACGAGTTAGGTCGAGTAGTAGGTGCATGCATCTTGCCTCATACGTTCTGTTCTTGTTTTGGTACAGACACTAATAGGCCTTTGCGTGGCCTCGACGCACTGAGTGGGATAACAAGTAAAGAGTCCATAGTTCCAATTGCGAGGGCCCCAGACCAATCGGAAATCATTTGTTTCCATGGCCCGTCCTGGAATTCTTTGCCCTTCGCGCCATACCACAGAGCACCCAAAGACTGTTCTGACCATGGGAAAAGCGCAGTGCAGTAACATTCCTCGACGAAGTCGAGCTGACAGATGCTAGTTGTCTAAAATCACAATCGACAAGCCAGAGAAATCAGCACGGACATCGACAGTTTTAAAAAGCGTGAATGGCTTGGAGCGAGCGGGGTCTTGAAACCACGGAGAGTTGCTGTCATCAGCAACTATCTGGTCACTGTCTTCGAGAGATTCTTCCATTGCTGAGCTGCTAGTAAACTATTCAGATTCCACTGATATGACAATGGAGGATGTTGAGATGGAAGATATCGAACAAAGGCTCTTAACTTATAATAAAAAGGACTATCGACAAATAAGGTAATCGTTTAATAAACCTTTTTCGCCGACCCCCGCCTCGTTCGTATCACTCATAGAGTCATACTAGCCGTTATGTCTGGACTACCCTCGGAAGACGCTTTCGAGCCGAAACCCGCACTACAAAATGCAGCTACCATAGGTCTTCAAGCAGGTATTGTCGGCGCATTTGTGAGTGCAGTTCAGAATGCTCTGGGCTCGCATACGCGAGGCGCTGCTGGGTTCTTGACACGTAGTGGAGGCACTATCGGAACTTTTGGTAAGAGAAAGCAATCTGCTTGCAATATGAGAGTGTCGAGGTTGAGCTCCATATTTACAGCTGCTATGGGCGCTGCTTTTGCGTTTACGGAGGCAGCCGTAGCGAATCAACGAGAAACAAATGATGCACTGAATGGGATTGCGGGTGGTTGTGCAGCAGGATTTCTTGCGGGTCTTCGAAGTGGGTTGTCATGCTGGATCTATCATTCATTCACCTTACATGTCAACCTCAGCACGTTCAATACCAGTTGCACTTGGATCGTGTGCTGTAGTCGGTGCGGCTATGGGCACCTTCGACTACGCAGGGGAAATTGCTGGCGGGTCGAAAGAAGAAAAGGAGGAGAAGAAAAAGAAGTTCTTCAAATCAGTACCTCAGCCTGTCCATCATGCTTCCGAGTAGAGGCACCACTCTACCTCATCACCTCACTTCCATCTAGAACTAAATGCTGACATCGAGCCTCACACCTTCAGAATTTTGAGTGCATTCAATAGATACTTGACGATACAGCATGACAGAACAGTTCATAAAAACCAGTCACTTATAGATCGTCCAGCTAGCTGGAGGAACGCACAAGCTCCTCAATATGTGCATAAACTTCACTTTGATGTGTCGTGTAATACTCTGGCCAAGACTCCGCGCTTTTGCAAGGTCGCTGAATGAAATGGTGGTCAGGAAGGGAGCAAATGTGAAGGCAACGGCTCACATGCTGTGACAACTTTTCCCATACCCTCTCGTCATTATCATCGTCCCCTCCACCATTGGCAAAGAATTCACAAATTACTTCAAAATCTTCTCGTTCCAAAGATTCCTGTGATACAGTAGGGGGAGCCGGCAAGGCAGCTAATCGAGGCTTCTTCGATGGGCCAGGTCTTTCCCCCTCAGTTGCTTTCTCCGTATTCCCATTCAAAGACTTGCGAAACGCGATATTTGCCCTCTTGCGAATCTCAGTAAGTTGTGTTTTCAGTTTTGAACCCGCCTGCATCTGCCAGGACCCAATGGAGTGATGTGGCATCTGCAACGGATGCCAAAATCAGCTCTATGAGGACAGATGGAATATACACATCAAAAGCAACCACATACCTTTTTGTGCATGGCTTGAATCAAGACCGTGGTAGACATCGTTGGGTCCTCATTGAGCAGGAATTGAGCATACTGACAGAAGTACTCAATTTCTGGCTGCGTAAAGTGAAACTTCCCATCCCTCATAGATTTGCGAGTCTCTGGGGGAGGAGGGGTAGGAGACCGTCGTGAATGGCGGGACTTTACCTCATTCGAGAACGGTGATAGAGATGCTGCTAAGAATTGTGGGGAAGTGGCCGCTGATCTCTTTTCCACTTTCTTTACTGGCGTCTCTGTAGGCGTGGTCTTCTTTGCCTTCGGCTTCAGCTTTGACGTAGATTTTTGATTCTCTTTCTTGGCAGAAGGACTGTCCACCTGCACAAATTCAAAAAATGCGCTACTTGGTCTGCCGCGCTTCCCATGTTTGCCTGAGACCGTGTCAAGCACGTACTCGCGTTCATCCAACAACGTGTTCTCAGCGATGCAGTCGGCAACGAATGCCGACTGAATTGGAACCTTGTCGCAGGCATGGGCCTCACTCAAGAGCCCCTGGAATGTCTGCGAGCGTGTGAAGAGAATGACATAATCTGCATCGGCAATACTCCCGATGATTTTGCCTTTATTTTTCTGCATGTTGGTAGTTAAAACCAAAATAAATGCGTAAAAAGCCTGAATATACAACCTTGATGTTTGAAACCACTCCCGATCGCCCCTGCAGATCAACCTGCACAAAGAATGTCAGAGGCTGCCCTTGATCATCCAGGAACACCTCTCCAGAATTCTTTCTTGCGTTCGGACGGCCCGGTGAGCTCAAATGCGACTGCTCAAATACATCGTCTGAACCGGCAGGAGGGGTGCCATCGTCATTATCAGATTCGTTAGATATTACGAGACGTTCCTTGCCCTTGAGAGATCGTTTGTTAGGCAGGTTTCCTGCCGGGTTTGCGGGCGGCATGGCGTCGTGAATAGCTTTGCGCTTTACTGAAGGAGGAAGCAAAATTGTCGATGGCGCGCGAGAAGATGTGTCGGTGCGAAATTTGTGTCCGGGAGGACGAGGCTGTTTTTCCGGTTGCTTCAACACAACAACGTCGGGAGTTGGGCTACGTGATTTATAAGAAGACGATGAAGGAGGGTAGGGCTGGTCTGCAGCAACGATTGAATCCGGTGTTTGTTCATCACGGATGGCAGACGGAGCGCTGGACAAAGTTTCAATCTGCGAATACATGGGTGAGGGCTGTCCCGCCTGTAAGAATTCACCACCGTTGGTGTTTCTCATAACATCCATCAAAGTCACAAGCATTTGAAAACTCTGCGGGTCCCTCAAGTTTTGAAACGGCATGCCTGTTGGCATCGCCATTGATTGAGGCGGCATGTATGGCATGTGACCAGAAATAAGTTGTTGTTGAGGAAATTGACCGAGCTGGTATGATTGTTGATGAGCGGGAAATTGTTGAGGGAACGGTGCAGCTTGCGAGAATTGTGGCTGAGAAAAATGAGATACTTGAGAAAACTGGGGATGCATGAAAGGTGCTGGCGTGGCGAACTGTGTTGACTGGGTTTGTGGAGGAGTCTGAGAGAACTGGGCATGCGGAAACGATGCTGGTGTGACAGATTGCGCTAACTGGGGTTGCGGAGGAGCCTGCGAATTATAAGGGAATGTTGAAATGAGCTGCTGAGGTGGTGCAATGGGTTGAGAAATATTGGATGATTGAACAGGAGGTGAAACGCTTGTTGTATGATTATGCGTAGGTTGGCCTACATGTTCTGCAGGCTGCTGTATATTTTGTGAAACAATAAGTGAAGCTTGTTGCGGTGACTGAGATAGTCTTGCATTATTCGGGATTAGAGGGACATCTGCAGCTAGAGTTGCAGGGCCGTTATTAAGGATTCTCTTTGTAAGTGGTTCCTCAGGCGTAACGCGGGGCGTAGGTAGCGGACTTCTTATCGATAGCATCAGCAGAGAGTCCCCCTGAGGGACTTCAGGGCGTGAAACTAACTTTGAAACGAGCTGTTCGACCTCTACTTCTCCACTATCGGCAGCCACTTCGACGATGGGTTGGCCATCATCCACCGTTTGTGTCCCACCCCAGCCATCAACCTCAAGGAGGGGTCTCCTAGCTTCAATACTTTTACGTAGCCATTGAAATTCAAGAACGGCTTTCCCTGGGGTCTGATACCAGGTACGGATGAGACGCTTTCCATCGAGTTGCGAAGAATCAACGAGAATAATATCCGCATCCTCTGGGCGACAGGCGTATGCACCACCTTTCTATAAATGTATGACATTATAAGGGTCTATAAGATTGATCCATATAATCACATACCTTCATCATACGAACTAAGTTTGGCCGTGATGATATGCCATTGACTTGCAAGTGGATGTTGAAACCTCTACCATCTGGATGGACAAGAATTTTCTCGTTATCGGAAGTACTCTGTGATGCAAAGAGCGTGTCCATGGGTGGTTGGGATGACAGTTCCATGGCGGCCCAGCTACTTGAACGTGTTCTGATTCTCGAGCTTGAATTCCGACTTCACTTCAAGTCACGTGCTTTGTGTCAAATTAAGAATAAAGTCGCGAACTGTGGCATGGTCACAGCCATATACAAGGTATCGAGGTCCACACACATATTATATCAAATGATGTAGAATGAGCCACAGCAACTTCTAATTGTTCTTCTTCATATAAGATCACAACAAGGCCACTATCCTCAAACCGCCATAATCCCCTTTGATACGATGGTCCTCCCCGCACCCGACCTCGAGAATGAAATCTCGAACTCAGTCGATAAGCTGCAGAAGTTGTACCCAGGCGAATTGGATGCAAAGAAACACCTATATTTGCCTCACGGAAAGTATGCATTCGCTGCTAAACACACATTCCATGGAAAGAGTAAAAAGCAAATAGGTGGGTACTCTTCACAACTCTCTCTCGATCTGCAGCTCAAATTTGAACCAAGGCCATCTATCAGGGAGTGGATACCGTATAAATGTCCGAAGTGGCGTTATTGCTGGGCATAAAGTTACCTGTCTCTGGAAAACGCAGGTTATCTGTTGTGTAGAAGTTCATAGCAAAAACTAACTATTCACCAGCTGGGATGTTTCCAAATCATGGAGAGGGTTTTTTCAAGAGGTATTCTGCACTCTGCTTATAGACTTGTGTTACTCTGATACCGCTTCGAAGTTATATTTCTACTCTCACCCCGAGCTTTTGAGATGGCTTCAAGGAGTCGTTGTTTCACACGTAATTGGTGTACATGATGGATCTAATGGACAAAAGAGTATTTTCATGGAAACACCTCATCACATATTGTGGCATACAGCACATCTAGGCTTGTCCATCGGCGAGAAACAGGCGGTCATTCGAGCTTACGAAACCTTGCATGCACATGGTATCCTGCACAATAACGTCGGCTCCCATAACATATGCATAGGTCAGAGACTAGCTCAGGCTCATGCGAAACATTCAGAAATTCATCAACATGGTTCTAGATCAAGATAGGAACGTCACGCTGCTAAACTTTGAAAAGGCCTGCTGTTTGAAAGACAAGGGAATAGACGAAGTCCCCGGGTGTGATCAGGAGGCGTTAGCGCGAGAAATGCAACAAGTCAAATACTTGATTTCCTACACGGATCCGAGGGTTATTGAAGGCGGCATCATCACACTAACCTCTACCGGTGAACAGCAGGCAAGTTTACCCTCCTTACAAATCGTACGTTATCTTAATTACGCCAAAACACAGACTCAGGCGCTCGACTCCGACGATTCTGTTCGCTGTCTTAAACATGTTGAAAACACCCATACCATCCCGATCGAGATGCGCAATCGGCCAATTCCAAATGACGGACGTAGAAAACCCAAGAAAAGGGTGAAAGCTGGAGCAATCAGTCAGTGGGAATCAGGGGGGCCTGTGCAACATGGTAATTCTGGATTTCATAACGAACCGATCGTGTCTCTCACTCCTCTGCCAACTGCCCAATCGCCGTCCTCCGCAATCATTGCTACGCCTTTGCCACATTTAGACCTTCCTACAGCTATGCATGATTTCGTTCCCGCATATCAGCTCCCATTACCGAATCCTAGTGCTGCAACGCCTTCTATTTGTCATGAAGAGAACACTTCTCGTACTCAGGACTGGGATACCAATGTGCACCTTCCGCCGTCCCAATCTGATGTTGAAGGCCTTCAAACTGTATCAAGAGGCCTGTGTGATGTCCCTGTTCACACATCGTCAGTCTCTCCCTTTACCCCTACCCTGTTATTGCTCCCAAGTACACCCATTTCGGACCCCTTGGAGCGAATTCCACGAATACACCCCTGCCCACCATTGTTTACCCATCTTGAAAATTCCACCTCTGTTCCATATCCCGAGCCGCCTTCACCCAAGGTGTTCTGCGACCTCACACACGAGCAACTTCGCCTCGCAATAAAGCAACACAATGCGGATGTAGATGCCAGATTGTCATCGCACGCTGCGATCAACACAAACAAAAATAACGTTGTATTTCACCCCGACACAGATGACAATGGCACATACGCTACAGGAAGCGATCCTTTTCGCAAGCGGAAGCAGAGACGGCAACCTACCCCTTTTTTCATGGAAGACTCTTGTTCCATGGAGGAAGAGACTACCCTTGATCCGGAAAATACTAGCTCCATTGATGACGAGGAAGATGAAAAGCCTGAGCCCGAGGTCGAAGTTGATTTCGAAGAACTCCTCGAGGAAGCTCATTTCGCCAAACTCAGAGCGCGCCGACGCATGTCACGTTCTGCTGTGATACCTGACATGGTTCTCGCTAAAGCTGTGTGGCCTGGTCCAGAGGCAAAACCTCTCACTGTTTCCCAACAAAGTACTAGTACTCCATCGTTGCCAGCATTGTCCTCGATCAGCGAGGAAGAGAGTCCTGGTGATACTTCAGGAGTTCCCCCTTACACTGTGGTTTTTGTCGGAGCTAACGGTAGTCCAGACGAGGTTTGGAGACTCCCCGTACCTGCATTCATGTTGATCAAGTCGTCGGTGACGAGGCAGCCGCAGGCTCAGAAACTCCGAGTAGAGCAGGTCCCTCGTCTGCGAGGACTTTCTCTACCGAATTCTTCCTCTCCGCGGACGCTAAATCAGGGCACGCAGAGTCGATCCTCCAAGAAACGGGATATCGACTGCGTAGAAGGGATTGAATATTTAGAACAGACGTCGAAGCGCGCACGCCAGGACCAGTCAACGCTTAGCTCATGCATGATATGTTAGATTATACCCAAGCCAGACCACTGGATTCTTAGTACCTAGTAGGTATTCTTTCGATCGATAATGTTGGCGATGTACTACTTTGCAATAACATGTACAATCACGGATATAGCAATCAGAATTGTAGTCCAAATTTCACATCTCCTGCACAGGAACAACTCCTACGATGTGATGGGTCCCCACACGGGGGCATGCCAAACAGGTTTGTCGCACCTCGACTTAGATTAGCCACGCATAAGCTCTGGATCGCAAACTCTACTGACTCAAAAACTGGACACGGTCTGTACATGCGCATCTTGATGACATTCCTTACATACATGCATTTGGATGCGCGGAAGTTTACGAGGTCGAGTTGAGGCAGCTTACGATACATTGGGGGAGGGGGGGCAGTGAGCCAGCTTTCATAGTCATAGTCACTGGTACACGCCTTGTGCACTCCAACTTAATGCTTTGTTTTCGGAGCATATCAACACCGGTATGGCAATGTTTGCAATTCATAATCATAGTTGCATACATGCTATCATGGCATTGTTTAAAGGCAAAGGAATAACATGATAAAAAGATGTGTACCAGATAAGTGGTTTCACCGGTAACTGGAAATGCTTGTCAGCCGGGTGTTCAAGAACTTCACGCAACCAAAGTACAAACCTCTTTTGCCTGCGAGCACGAGCACCAGCACCACCGAACTTCTTCGGCTCCATCCGTCTAGGATCTGCGATCAACAGCGTCCGGTCATATGCCACCAACTTTTTCTTCAACTCCATTGCGCTGTATGCATCGATGTACTTGGCGTAGTATGCGACAAGAGCTTTGGCAATGGCCTGACGGATAGCGTACACCTGCGATGTGTGTCCACCACCCTTGGCGCGCACACGGATATCGAGTGGTGCGAATGAGTCTTCACCAGCTACAAGGACGGGTTCATAAATCTTGAAGCGGAGAATTTCAGGTTGGACAAGGTTGATGGGAGAGCCATTCACGCGGATGATACCACGGCCCTCCTTTGCGTGTGCGACTGCAGTTGCCGTCTGATAAACTCTGGGGTAAGCATTAAGTCAGCGCACTAAAGGTGTTGTTACTCGCCTTCTTTTTGCCGAATGTTTGAACGGCCTTTACTGTAGATGCCATTTTATCGTGTAGAGGAATCTGCCAGAGTTCGGCTCCTTGATGAATTCTAGGGCAGAAAGAATGAGTTCAGCAACTACTCTTGAGTGAAGCCCAAGTAGGTTAGGTGTAACCCAATTCATCCAACCCAATCCATCGAATCCTGGCTATTCACCAATAACTCTGGTGCATATTCCGGACCGTGTAGACACGACCGTATCGTATGTCTGTTACACGTAGCATAAGAGCATAAACTCACCCTCTGGAGGTCGTTTGAGGTGTTGCGGTCGATATTTACAGCGGGCTTGTAGCAGCAAGTGAGTGGTGGCAACAAATTCTCACGATCCAAATTTGGAATTGCAACCCGTCTTCTCTGGCAACAATTCTCTCTGGTCTGTAAATTACAATCAAGCTTGACGGTTTCCCAATGCTTTCTGCTCTGCGGAAATCAGTGGCAGAGGTGAGGAAGAGTTCATATTTATTTTAATGATTGTCCTGACAATATCAGCAGTCTTCGCAAGCAATATGTCGCAGGCGAATGGCGACAATTGCGCCGACCTTGGTTCAATCAAAGGCAGCTGATTCTTCACAAAGCAAACCTGCAATTCGCAAAGGTGAGTTTATTAATGCCAGAGAGACACACGCTCATAGAAATCAGCTGCTGATCCAATCAAACCGGTGTATGTGACAATGTCGAGTTTTACTGGCAAGTCGAACAGTGCCAAGAAAGCTGTTGCGCTGGACCCAACGGTGTTTGATCATCCTATCCGCCGAGATATTCTGCATCTTTGTGTCGTGCACCACCTGGATTCTATTCGCCAAGGAACCGCCTCTACTAAGACGCGTGCTGAGGTTGCTGGTTCGCGTCGCAAAATTCGGCCGCAGAAGGGAAGCGGCAGAGCTCGCCTGGGAGATAGGCAGAGTCCGATGTTGAGGGGTGGAGGTGTCGCGTTTGGTCCCAAACCGCGAGATTTCAGCACGAAGCTCAATCGCAAAGTTATCCAGATGGGCATGCGCGTCGCTTTGACAATGAAGCTCCGGGAACAACGACTGGGTGTCTTGCAGCGGATTAACTGGTGGTCACACAAGACTGCTACCCTCAACTCAAGGTTAAATGGACTTGGATGGAGAACCGGTACCTTGTTTGTCACCGGAGAATCTGAGGTACCGGCAAGAATGAGGTTGGCATCGAGGAATCTGCGTGGGATAGAGTGCAGAACTGTAACAGACTTGGTGGTCTACGACATTGTGAAGTGGAGAAGAGTTATACTTGACCTCGCCGCTGTCGACGCACTGGAACAGGCTCTCGGAAAGAGCTTTTCGGGAATTTCGGATTCGGAGAGGGTAGTTTCTGATGTTACGCCCTCATCTGTGGAGCAGGTTGAGACATCCACTTAGACTCATAATATATCTTGTTCTGTGCACATCAAGTGAATATCGATATTGTCTGGTCGCGAGTCATTGTACTTGCAAAAGCACTAGCACAGCAGTAAATGAAAGTGGACATAGCCACTACGCGACCACGTGATGCAACGCGTTCCTAATTACATATGACTGCGCCTCGACTGGTACTTCCCCACTCTTTCCCACTATATAGCACATTTGTTTCTAGCAGAAATCCATCATGTCTCAGGTATCTCAGGATGAAGAAGGGCAGGAGGGCAGCCTCTCCATGTCTGGCCCCCTCATGGTTGGCAAACTGGAGGAAGCCGGAATTCACGCCAATGACATCAAGAAGCTCTCCGATGCAGGACTGAACACTGTCGAGGCCGTCGCATTTACGCCCAAAAAAAATTTGATAGCAATTAAAGGCATTTCAGACGCGAAAGCAGATAAGATCTTGGCAGAAGGTGAGTGCTGGTACCCTGACATCATGCGATCACTGTTTGATGAGTCACATCGTCCAGCTCAGAAAATCGTCCCCCTGGGCTTTCAAAGCGCCACAGAAGTTCACGCACGGCGTTCTGAACTTGTTCACATTACGACGGGCTCAAAACAGCTCGACGCTTTACTCGGAGGTGACATCTCAGCTTTCGGAAAGCATGATTGTTTTCTCACTTCTTTACAGGGGGCATCGAGACCGGTGCCATCACCGAGCTCTTTGGAGAATTTAGGACTGGGAAGTCACAACTGTGCCACACATTAGCAGTAACATGTCAACTCCCCGTGAGCATGGGCGGTGGCGAGGGCAAATGTCTCTACATCGACACTGAGGGCACCTTCCGCCCTGCTCGTCTCCTTGCAGTCGCAGAACGCTATGGGCTGAGTGGAGAGGAGGTTCTGGACAATGTCGCATATGCGAGAGCATATAATGCTGACCATCAGAACTCCCTTCTCACTAGCGCCAGTGCGCTAATGGCAGAATCAAGGTTCGAACTGGCTGTATGCGTATTTTGATCGTGTCCCTCACGATCCTACTAGATTCTGCCTTCTCATTGTCGATTCATGCACCGCGCTCTATCGCACTGACTTCAGTGGACGCGGTGAACTATCGGCGCGTCAGAACCATCTCGGTAAATTCTTGAGAACCCTCCAACGGCTTGCAGATGAGGTAAGAGGAGAACTAGTCTGCATACATCTCCGTATTCATTCCGCGAAATAGTTCGGTATCGCAGTCGTTGTCACAAACCAGGTTATGTCCAATCCAGATGCATCAGCAGGACCATACGCAGGCAATGAGAAGAAACCCATCGGCGGAAACATCATGGCACATGCTTCCACGACCCGGTATGTATTCATCTTATCATCAGTTGGTTCACTGAATGAGCTGTCTTATCAGCCTACAACTCAAGAAGGCCCGCGGAAACACTCGAACTTGCAAAATATATGATTCGCCTTGCCTTCCTGAGATGGAGACTCACTTTGCAATCTTGTCGAGTGGGATCGGTGATCCCGAAGAAGAGACTTGAGTATCAATACCCTCATGTAATTTGTATTCTTGTAGCATTCAGTTTTTATCACTATCAGGGAAGCTCCATAATTTGATTCTAAAAAGACATCTTGGTATGAGTGGTTTTCTTCCACCTAGCAAACACGTAATATACATTTTTATTCGAAAGATAGGATACCAGTTGAGTGGGATCTATAGACTACTGTGGGTGGAACAGTCTGTTCTTGTTAATGAAGTTTCGAATCTATAAATGTATACATTGCCACCATCAAGCCAACAAGCGAGTGAGGATATTCGCGCTCGTATGCTCAATCATCTCCTGTAGCTTGTTCACGTCTTGGGGGCTGACGTCTGCAATATCTGCCAGCAGATATGCGACGTCACCCTTCGAGTCTGAGTACTGCTTCTCGACATTGTACGGCGAGAGAACCTCGTTAACCTGCTTCAATACACCAGGCTGGTTACTGTGAACATGGCAAACACGGACATGATTGCCCTGTTCTGCGGTGATCGCGCGGAGGTCGACTTCGGGGAAATTGACTGCCCCGAGAGTGGAGCCGTAGGTCAGGTACCGAGAGAGAGCAAGAGACACTTCCTCCCCAATCATGCGTTGCGCTTCTTCTGTTGATCCGCCAATATGAGGAGTGAGTATCACGTTCGGTAAGCTGCGCAGAGCGCTTGACCATGAGTTGACCTGATCGTCGAATGGTGCCCCATTAGACCCTGGCTCTTGTGGGTATACGTCTATGGCGGCACCAGCGAGATGATGCGACCGGAGGGCTTCGATCAGGGCTGGAATATCGACGACGCGCCCACGAGCGTTATTAATAAGGTAGGACCCCATTTTCATCTGGGCGAGCTCCTGTGATCCAATCATATTGATTGTTTCAGGGAGCTCTGGTACGTGGAGCGTGACGAAATCAGCTTCCGCCAATAGCGCAGGAAGGGTGATAACTTGTCGGGCCGAGCCGAGAGGCATGATGTTGATGACATCGTAAAAGATGACACGCATGCCAAGGGCTTCTGCAAGCACCGACAGCTGTGACCCGATGTGCCCGTAGCCAACTATGCCCAACGTTTTGCCTCGGACCTCCCAACAACCTTTTGACTGCTTGTTCCAGATTCCCTGGCGCATTTCATGCGAGCGCTCGACGAGCTGTCGCGAAAGCGCGATCATCTCGGAGACAACGAGCTCTGCAACGGAGCGCGAATTTGAGAATGGAGAGTTAAAGACGGGAATCCCGGCCTTGCCGGCAGTAACTAGATCGACCTGATTCGTTCCAATACAAAAACAGCCGATCACAAGAAGCTAGTGAGAGAGGGCTTAGAAGGTGGCCATTGAAACCGGGGATAAATGGACGTACCTTATGTGCAGCTTTGATGACTCGCTCTGTGATCTTAGTCTTGCTGCGTATGCCTATGGCATGGTATTGGGAAATTTTGTCTACAAGCTCATCCTCAGAAAGAGCTTTTGTGTAGTGGTCGACATGAAAGCCCTGCGCTTGAAAAGCTCGAACTGCATCCTGACTGATGTTCTCTAGGATCAACAGCCTCAGGTCTTCATTATCAACTGGGTGAAGAACTTTGGGCTGTCTGATAGCCGAGCATGAGTCTCGCTTGCGCAGCCTGTCGTGGAGTGTCTGCGACGACGAAGGAGATATAGAAGCAGCTACGACTCTCGGGGATTTTGAGGGGATGGCAAGCGGGGAGGACATTATGAGGGATTGGAAGTAAGAATGATCCATGTCAATCTGAATACGCCTTCTTATATATAAGACGTGTTATTTTTCTTGATGAGTAGTGGGTCCTATATTATAAATAATCAAGCGCTCGAGCGTTTCAAGGAGCATTCTCAAACTTGCAAATTTTGATCATCCCGATATGGCAACTCGCGAGTCATGATTTCATGATCGAGTCAACCTTGAGCTTATGGCACTCTTTCTCCTTGACCATGGTGCAGGTAACGTCCAGAGCCTGGCTAATTCAATCAAGAAACTTGGTTATGATTTCTCGTGGATATCCAGTCCAGACGACTTCCACAAAGCATCTGTATGTCACTACTTCACTAGTGTGCCCATCATTCATCTCCACGCAGATCCTGGTATTTCCAGGCCAGGGTTCTTTCCACACTGCGATAGAGTGTTTGACAGAGCGTGGTTTACTTGAACCCCTCTATAACTATATTCAATCTGGAAAGCCCTACTTTGGCATATGCATTGGGATGCAGATACTCTTCGCATCATCTGCAGAATCCCCATCAACGCTTGGTCTAGGTCTTATACCCTGTCAAATGGAACGATTCGATGATACAACTAAACCAGTTCCTCATATGGGCTGGAATACCGCAGAACTCATAGACCCCGACACTTCATCATCAGAAGGTGTTTCTTCTTCAGATCACTATTATTTCGTCCACTCGTATCGTGCCAAATACGACACACAGCGCAATCCTGAGGCTGCTATGTGGGCGCACTCGACTACCCAATACGGGCAGGAAGTGTTTATGTCCACCGTCCAAAAAGGCAATGTATTTGGTGCTCAATTCCATCCCGAAAAATCCAGTGTTGCTGGACTCACTGTTATTGACGCTTGGATAAAGCGGTCTCTGGCAGGTCGCACACCAGCCGAACCATCACCTCGGATTCCACGCCATCCTAAACCGCAACACGGTTTCACTAGACGTATCATCGCTTGCATGGATGTTCGTGCGAACGACGAAGGCGATCTTATCGTAACAAAGGGGGATCAGTATGACGTTCGCGAGAAGTTTCTCACATCGACGCCACTATCCAGCACCACTGCTGTCAAAACCGCTGGCGCCGTCCGCAACCTTGGCAAGCCTGTTGCACTAGCAGCCCGCTACTTCGAGTCAGGGGCAGATGAGCTGTGCCTTCTTAATATCACCTCCTTCCGTCATTCCCCCCTCCAAGATCAGCCAATGCTAGCAGTTGTGCGGGCAGCAGCAGAGCGTGTATTTGTACCGCTCACCATCGGAGGGGGTATCAAAGATACAGTCGACCCTGATGGCACGAAACGCTCTGCTGTCGAAGTCGCCGGTGCATATTTCCGAGTCGGCGCTGACAAGGTCAGCATCGGATCTGAAGCAGTCTACGCTGTCGAGAAAGTCCGCGCAGCCGGAGGTAGATTGGACGGCAGCAGCGCCATCGAAACCATTTCGAAGGTATATGGCTCTCAAGCCGTCGTCGTTTCCATAGACCCCAAAAGAGTATACGTCGATCCCGCCACATATGATGGCCCCTACAAGGACGAGCTTGTGTATGGTCGACCTGATGGTCCCGAAAACGAGCGATGCAAAGCTTGGTGGTACCAATGTACCGTGTCAGGTGGTCGCGAGACTCGCCCTGTGTCAGTTGTGCAACTTGCACAAGGTGCACAGATCCTCGGCGCCGGCGAGATCCTTTTAAATAGCATCGACCGCGATGGAACAGGCCTCGGGTTTGACCATGACTTGATCAGGCTCGTGAAGCGTGCAGTGACTATTCCTGTGGTTGCGAGCAGTGGAGCAGGAACCGAGGCACATTTTGTGAACGTGTTTATTGAGACGGGCGTGGAAGCTGCTCTTGCCGCGGGGATATTTCATCGGGGAGAAGTTGAAATACAGGAAGTCAAGTTAGCTTCGAGACAAGCGGGCATCAACGTCAGAACATAAAGAAGATATCTAAAATTATAGACTGTTCATATCGTAGCTGTGATACGCTATACTGTGTGATCTTCTATCTATAGAAGACTACCGTGAACACATTTCTAATAGACTAAATCATATCTTCGAGAAGCGCTTAATAGAAAATTCAGGGTATTGGCTGCCACTGCATACTCTTACAACAGGAAGTATGGTAGAAAAATGCAAAGTAAATGAACCGTCTCGCGTGTATATGTAAATTTTCACAAACACCGTAATGGATACAAGCATGGAATCAGGAGCGTTGACGACGAAGGAGGAAAAAACACACAAAACCGATTCCTAGTAATATCTCGTCCGAACTTTGGACGAGAGAAGACAAACAGAGCAACGATCATGGCTGTAAAAGTGCAAGAAAGAACAAAAACTAGAGTAGTCTCATCAAGACATGCGTATGAGGGCTAGCGAACAAATACTCAGGTACATACAGGAATTGAGGACTAGGCTCATTTTGGGCCCCTGACCACATCCTTCACTTTCTTCAATAAACTAGTTTTTCGCCCAAGACCGCCCAATGGCGGAGAACTGGATGCACCGTCAAAGTATCCGCGTCTGTCTTCGGCAGATGGCGTTCGAGTTGTCGCTGGAGCATAAGGGGTTGCAGGTAGTCGTTTGTCCCTACGCACATCATCGACGTACACATATGCTTCATCTGAAGGAGGTGAGGGGTTTGGACGACCAGGACCGTTGTAACCGTTGGAGAAGCGCCCAAGGAACGAATTTTGTGACCGATGTGTAGGACGCGATGGTTGGTAGATATCTACATTGGGAGAAGGAGGCTCGACACTCTCGTCAAAACCCATGGGCACGTTTGGGGAGTCACGCATTTTGCGAATGCGCTGCATCAATGATTTGGTGCGTTTTGGGACTCCTGGCAGTGACGGAGACCCTGGTGCGCTGTCATAATCGGTACTCTGGGCTTCTGGCACAAGAATAGGCTGCGGGGGCGGGATACCACCGCGTTTAGTGCGTCTTCCTTCTCTCTCACCACCACGCTCCCGGTCGCGAGCTTGCATCTGTTTCATATCGTCATCGGGGTACTCTCTATAGATATCACGAAGGTCACGCCCGTCCTTGGAGCGCTTTCCAAGGGAGTGTCGCGGCGTGCCGTTCCGTGATCCGTGACCTTCCCTCCCAGCGTAGATTGAATTAGACGGTGTGTCACCATCACGTCTACCAGTGCCCCCGCCTGCAAAAAATTCCTCGTACGGTTCTGGCTCATGGATACCCCATGCTTCTGCAATGGCATCGACTTTCTTCTTTGGTGGTTGGTAGGCAGCGGAGAAGGCACCATTGTAAGCGTCAGGTGGGGGATAAGGGGATTCATTGGATAGTGCCACATCTGCCCCCGCGCTGCTCCAGGCAAGCATGGGCGCCTTAGTTCGATGGCGGTTACGAGACGGAGCACAAGCATCAAATGGACCATCATGATGGAACACTAGAACATAAAAAAGATTATAAATGAATAAATAGTAGCTTAGGGAGCCGAATAAGAACGTACTGGGACCGACGCCAGTAAAATCAAGTCTGTCTATGACGTCCGCATGCATGGAGCCTTTCTTGCCTCGTGCCTTGCCCTTGGCCTTATCAAGAGCATTCGCTGTGTGAAGGATAGAGTCCTGGGATAATGAACGACGACCGACGTGTGTGGGACGTAATGGGGAGTTTCCCTGGGCACTGATAAGTAAAAAGATTGGCGTCAGTGAGAAAAATGGGCGAGACAAAAACATACGTTTGACTTCTTCCCATTCTTGTGCGTGAAGACTGATCTACACCTCTGACCTGGACAGTGTCCCTAACAGCTTCTACGATTGTATTATCGCGATGTGGGAGAGATTTGGCTGGAGATGGGGCCATCCTAGTATTGTATTGGGGATATTTAGGCGGAAGCTCTGGGGGGAGGCGGGGAACAGGCTTTGATGGGTAAACTGGGTCTGAGAAGGGGTCTGAATGAGATCTGTGGCGGGTTCTACTAGGTTTGGGTGGTTGAGTTGGCTTTCTTGATGGGATATGCTTGCTAGCTGGATTATTGGAAGTACTCAACAAATGCGAGTTGGCCATGTTACCCGTGTTCACCTATTGACACGCCCAGACCAAGCGTTATTTACTTCAAAGAAGAATATTTGATGGTAATGCTGCTCGTCGTCCGTGATAATGGTGGGCGTCGACTGTGACGGCGGGAACGATACTGTCACTCAAAGGCTATGTTCGCCGTATTTATACCGACTTGGCAATCTGGCCGTAGTGTGTTATCCACTTTCAGTCATTTACGGTCAAATTTTCAAAACGGTAGCTCTTTACATCACTAGCTACTTCCGTCACCTTGCAGCAACCTGCTGCTATGGGTGCAACAAAGAAGGAATGGACCAGAGAGGCAGTCGCAGCCCACATTCTTGCAGGTCAAACACTGGTTGTCTACAATAACCAGTTGTTGCGCATCCCCCAAGCTTGGTTAAACGCCCATCCAGGTGGTTCCCTCGCAATTCTTCATTTCGTAGGGCGCGATGCCACTGACGAGATAGACGCGTATCACTGTGACCAGACTCTTGCGAAAATAAAGTCCTACGTCATTGGCACGGTCGAAACCTCGGGCGGTATTTGGGAACCTCTTGTACCCCCAATCATGACAGGTTGGGTTCGGAAATTGTCTTCTGATGGCAAAAGCGCATGGCATAATGAGGCCACTCCATCACCACCTTCGAATCTCTCCTCCGAGATTCTCCTGGTCGAACGGGACTCTTGCCTTCTTGAAGCTTCAGGTCCCACTTTATCTCATTTGGTTCCCCCTCCAACGACGCTTTCCCTGAAAGACCAAGCTCGTCATTCTGCTGCTTACAAGGTGTTGCATAATCGCATCATCGACGCCGGTCTTTATAACACTCGTTACATTACTGGTTACGGCCCAGAGATTGCCCGCTATCTTCTCCTCGCTGCGTCATCCGCAGTAGCTTACTCCCATGACTGGCTCATAACAAGTGCTGTGTGCCTCGGCCTTCTATGGCACCAGCTCGTATTCACCGTCCACGATTTAGGACACATGGGCGTCACTCATGATTGGACGAAAGATCGCCTCGTTGCCATTTTATTGGCTGATTTCATCGGTGGCTTGAGTGTCGGTTGGTGGGTTGACGTAAGTTCACTTACTTCTTTCATGTTCAGTCGTCGCTCAACACCTCGTATCTCTGAATCTTCAAGAATCACAACGTGCATCATTGTAAGGTTTCTACCTAAAACATCTCGGTCTAACTACTGATACTTGCTTAGTGGTTACAAATCATCCTTCGCAGTAAGTTCGATGGCTATTGTGTGGCCTCACATACATCTGAGAAAAATGACAGTGATCCTGATATCGCGCATCTACCATTCCTCGCAGTCTCAACGGCATTTTTCAACTCGTTATGGTCGTCGTACTACAAACGAACTATGGTCTTCGATCGAGTTTCCGCTTTCTTAATTTCCTTACAACATAAGCTCTTCTACATATTGCTTGGTTTTGGCCGCTTCAATCTATATGCCAATGCATATGGTTTCTTGTGGCGCAAAGCCTTCGATCACCGAAGAGCAAAGGGTGGCCGGTGGTCCTGGTGGCTCGAAGTCATCGGCGTCCTATTCTTCTGGTGTTGGTTTGGAGCAGTCCTGAAAGGATGTGGATCATGGAGCAGAGCCATTACATATCTTTTGGTCTCGCATGTCACTACGAGCCCTCTCCATGTCCAGGCACGTGACTATCTCGGCGTATTGCTCATTCATTCATTTAGCCACAGATCGTTTTATCACATTTCTCCATGTCTACGGAGGATTTGGGGCCGGTGGAGTCATTCCCACACCGTCAGCTCCGAACTACAACAGACGTCATATGCCCCCCTCACCTTTCATTTATGCATGGTGGGTTGCATCTCCAGGTGACTCATCACCTCTTCCCGCGTCTCCCACGACACAACTTGCGTGAGGCTAGCGTTTTGGTGAAGGAGTTTGCCAAGGAACAAAACCTTGTGTATGCCGAATTCGGATTCATTAGCGGGAATGGAGAAGTGCTCAACGTTCTCAAAGGTGTGGCGGATCAAGCGAAGATTGTGGGTATGGTCGCCAATCACGAGATTCGGGAGGCGATGGAGAAAAAGTTGCGATAAGCGCATGGGACTCTTCGACAGAGGCATTACTAGATCCAACTACCTTCGGCATCTTCATGCTCTGATACATCATGACTATATAGATAGAACGTGTGATTGTTACACTGAAGTGGCTCTTGCGATTTTGATGCAATGCAAAACAGTCGTGTCCATGAGCATACGTAACGCATGTGATACCCTAGGCACGACTTGTCGCACCCGGCTTTTAGGAGCATACAAGAGGGTAACCAGAAAGCATGATGTAATGTGGTAAGACATAAAGAAGAGAAACTATTTTTTCTTGTTTGCTTCCTCTTCCTCCTTCTGCAAATAAGGACACCCCTTGAGTAGCTGAATTCATGGTAGCTAGTGAACAACAAACCTTGGCTGCCCGGATTTTGCGTACACCATCATACCGAGCATCAGCTCGTGCAACGCGAAGGGTCTTGAAAGCCTCGAACGACCGTTCATCTTCTGTGATTTTGCGAGGTGCTTCGTGAACGTAGGGTGCAGGAAGTGGAAGGTGCGTGCGTGTGGTCTCAGCCTTGAGATCGTCACCCTGTCAAGCAAAAATCAAAATCAATCCAACATTCCAAGGGCATCACACACAGTCGAGTCGCCCTTCTTGGGCTTCTTAGCATTCCGAGGGAAAACGATCAGCTTGGCCTTGTAGGCCTTCAACCGCTCGACATTCAGTTTCTTCCCCTCCTCGCTCAAGTTCCTCCTCCTGTGGTCAACGACAATACCGACACCAAGTGCTTCTTTGCGGTTGATACCAACCTCCTTCAGCTCAGCAAGGGTGAACCCGCGGCCCTCCCGGACCTTACGGTTATAACGGACAGTCTGGGCGCGAACAGCGGGACGGAGGAGAGTGAGTGGGCGGACACCAAGTGCGGCAGCCTTGGCCTTGCGGGCATTGCGTCTGCGGAGTTTGCGACCGGGCTGATCGAACCAGGTGCGTACCCGGCGCTGCCAGTCTTTGCGGAAATGGTTGGAGTGAAGTACTATGCACAGATAATGTCAGATCGGACGTGTCGAAAGAACATTTCTGGTGAGGTACAAACCGTTGTTGTGCGCGAAACCCATGGCTTAGTCTAGAGCGAAAATTATAACGTTAGCACAATGGTTTTGTGATGTGTATGCATGTAGAGTAGTACATCTGACAGCATATGGTCGAATCCAGCTTTTCCACCTGTCTGCACCAATTTCTCCGATAGATCATGTGCAGCAAAAGCAGGCCTACTATGGCAGAATATGCAATGGACGAGCATACTCACCTTGAGGACGGGCTTTCTTGACGCTGAGGACGGCGAGCAGCTTACCACCTAGCACAAGATTTGGACTTCGGCGATTGCCGTGGGTTAATGCGGCGATTGATTTTTGAAAATTAATCCTCACGTGGACATTATTGTAGTCACGCGTCGTCGAAGCGTGACAGCTGCGCCGTGAGATCTGTGGTGATATTCGTCTCCTCTCGCACTCCCTCACAGCAGGTTCCCTGTATCATAATGTGACCTAACGAAAGTAAATTTTTCAACCTCACCGTGACAGTTCACAGAGAAGGTAGTTAAAAAGACAATTTTCGATCATCAACTATCAGGAGCGACAGTGTTCAATTCCTGCAGGTAGTGTCTGAATATTTTTACCTATGCCATTTTTATCTCTTAAGCCTGCATTAGCTGTCCCTGATGCATATGCATCAGCCGTAACAAACCCAAGCTTTGCCAGTGGGTACATGGTTCAGATCTCAGACCTATGTCTTCCTACTATAAAATTGCACTCAGTACAAGAAACTTGCGCTATCATGTTGTAGCCCGCCTTCACACGTTCTGGCCTGACTGTTTTTGGCAGTGCGTATTTTGCTGGAGTCGTGTCAGGAATTCAATCAGATATATTGCACATGATCAATACACTGTAATCAGCTGTGGTCGCGGTTTCCCCCAATATTCCTTGGCCGTATTACAACTAACGTCAACCTTTCGACAGACGATGCAGAGGGGACATCGAGCTGTGCTTACTCGTTCTCCCTCCGAATCAAATCCACCGCTTCTATAGTCAAGTACTGGATACGGGGGACAACTCGTGATGCGTATCATTTTTGATGTCTTCCAGCTTTCAAGGTCACTGGTATCCAGACAATGATGGACCTTGCAGTCAACAGGCACGCGCCGCTGCCTTGCGTCCAAGCCACCGTTGTTGTATCTATTGTGAAATATTGGCTCCCATCTCCTCTCCTGACACGATCAATGAAATTTTAAATTCACCTTATTATATGGATAGTATTATCAAAGCTCTTCCGACATACAATGTGCAGCGCACCTCTGCAGTGTGCTCATGTCTCATATATTATGCTTCCGCCGTTAGTACGGAGCGCGACTCGGAAACCAATACCTATGCTGACATAAGCAACTAATTGACATGAGGTCGTCAAGGCACGATATTTTCAGCTCTGCACAAATTCTGTCGTTATTCCTTGGCTGGGACTGTGTCCGTGTCTTTCTTTACCATTTTCTTCATTATTTGGACATGCGAAATTCACCCCACCTTCACTCGTTTACGTGCATAATTCCTTTTTTCTCAGCAGTGCACGCATTCAGTGTGATAGTCGGGACTCCAACTCAATGCGGCGATCTCTCTGTTTCATGGACTGGTAAGCAAGCATCTAGTATACTTTATATACTCCTGCTGAGCTTCATCGCAACAATCAGGTGGTCAACCACCATTTGAGATCCTTTTGACTCCCGTTCGTCGGCGTTATCATGCGTGTCAATCACGCGTTAATCTTGCGCCTTCTAGGTCTTCGCAGTACCGCAGAATATATCTGTACCAGCATCAGCCTTCAGCAATGGCAAAGGCTCATATACAATATCGCCATTATCATTTTGGAATGACACACAATTTCTACTTACTATGTCTGATGCCACCGCATTTGGCTCAGGTGGGACATCGCCAGTCTTAAAGGTCGGTAATCCTGTTGGCAAGAACAACTGCAATACCACAGGTGCATCTCTGGATTTTACGTTTGATTTGCCAACATCACTCCAGCAATGCAAGTAAGTTATGATGATCGGCTAACCTTTTTGTTGCATTGACCTACCATTTCCTTAGTGGGTATACCTTTGATGAATACGACAATGCGGTTCAACCAATTACTATTACGGTAAGGTCACCACCGACTCTATCATGATGATGGATATACTTAGCTTTTCCTAGGCACTTATTCCTGGTGGAGAGTCTCTTATACTTCACCCTCCGATTGGCCCCAGTTACACTTGGGTTGCAGATGTTAGCGCAGGGACAAACCTCGTATTTGTGATGACAGATTCCCAGGGTAGGCAAGGTGGTAGCTCTGACCTCGAGACGGTGGCGCTTTCAAACAATGCCACGTGCCTCAGCTCCAACTCACCATCGTCAACTGCATCTGTGCCTTCATCCACCACAGCATCCACGTCAGCTGTCGTTTCGCCCACGTCCGATCAAAGCACTCCATCAAGTAGTAATACTGTTACTATTGCTAGTGCAGCCATTGGCTGCGTGGTAGCCCTCGCTGCATTGATCTCCCTCGGCATGTTCTTGTTGCGCAAACGAAGAGCGTCTCGCTCTCCGTACGTCATGTCTTCTTCGAACCGCCATTCACGTCGACTCCCATCTATGGATCTCGATCACGAAGGGAACCGATATGGTCACGTTCCACCAATTTACCCATTCCCATATCAGGCAGACTCTGTCAGCCGCCTTGCTCCGCCCATCCACCCCACAGCCCAATCGCACCTAACTAGTCCGTCCACTGGCAATTTCGCACTCAGCGACCCTCACATACCATCTAATCAGACACAACATTCGCGTCAGATATCTGCACCAGACAGCTTCGCCGGGTACGGTGATGGTGGTACATCTATGACATCTACTGGTAGACGAAAAGCTGCAATGGCTGGCCAAACAGCATACAAACCATCTACTCGGTTCATCTTGCATACTGACGTGGAGGATGTTTTGCCAAACGAGGATGGCGTAGTAGAACTTCCCCCGCAGTATTCAGAGCATCGTCAACCCCTTGCCACACAGCCAGGGTCAGTGCCAAGGCCGATATCATCACAGTCCGGTCATTCGGGTCCAACCGATCTAGCATATGCCGGTAGCGCATTTGATTCACCCCCTTCGTCGCACTCTTCTCTACCGCCTCACTCATGATGCTCGATTTATGTTGTCACAGTGTGCACTCTCTTGTCTCCCTCGACGTGTTGCGGACAGTTTTCTTTCGTATAGGAGGCGTCTTGTTTTCTATTTCTACTGCTTTTGTGGCGCTTCATTACAATCGGTTTTTTTACATAAACCACTTATGTATGCCCAGCGCTAAGCTCGCTCCCTTCACATTCGTAACATATCGTCACCGGGAGTCCCGCCGCAACCGGAGGCCATGCAATACAAAAGGAAGATTTGGTACTTGTATGCAACTTGTGCTGGACACATTGTGTGAGAACAAACAAGCATACTGTGCGTATCTCAAGACAGTCGGTGAGATGAATTGCGATAAACAAACATCAGTTTTGTCTAAATAATACATGCTCGAAGTCAGGTCATCGGAATAAGAAGTTGTCAGGGGGGGGAGTTTAGAGTACAAATTGCATGCTACTGCGCACCTTCAAGGTTGCGCAATCCTGTACGGTTGTTAGTCAATACGCCGTTACTCTGTCTAATCCATCCATTGTCAAGAAGTGAACTGTGTTCATGAATCTGGCACATCATCGCCAAGATGGTGTTGTTGGAATGCGTCAATCATTGCATCCTGGTCTTTACGACGCCTATGTCTCCTGCGTCTATCCTCTTTAATGACACGCTCAATGCGCCGACGAGCCCTAGTATGGGTTCGTGGATCAACTACGGCGAGCCTGCAACGATAGCATGCGAGTTCAATGCTTGCAAGCAAGCGAAGGGTTTCGGAGTTGTTCACGGCCTGAAATTTGGCATGAGCTTGGTGTGACACGATCAAGAAGGACAGCCAATCACGTTCAAAGACCATGAGATAACCCGAGAACCCTCCACACAGCCGACGACAACGAAGTTGCCGCGTTTTTCGGCTTGGAGCTCGGACGCCTGTGTCAAGTCACTTAGTATTATGATAGTGTGAAGGAAAGTCGTTGTTACCTCTCCGAATGCGACCAGCACCTTGCTAGATGTCAATGAGCGTACAACTGTATGGGGATATGATTAGAGATCGAACGTAATCTTGCGAATGAATCGATGCTCACCGACACGAGAGGACTGGCCTACGACTTCTTGTGACACCAAAGCACGTCCAAGGTATGCCCAAGAGTCCTTCTCAGGTCGACGAATATGCACCTTGACTTGAATATCTCGAAACTCGCGGGCAGGCGGGAGGACATTGGCTATTCCCCAAAGGAGATGTCAAAAACATAAAACTTGAGTACAATCAGATACTTGGCGAATCACTGTACGTACGCATCAAAGAGGAAGTGTATTCACTCTCAATACTAGGCAGCCGCGGCGCTACCTGTACGGAGCAACTACTGCCTTCCATCATGGCATCATTATCCATTATGTGTATCTGCAGATTGCAGGATCAAACCAAGTTCAATTCATAATGATGCTGGACGAACTTCTGTGAGTGAGGACCGTTAGAGCTCGTCGTTGCGTACGTCTGACGTGCAGTGGGGTGTAGCCTCGGCTGAAAGGGCTATTTACTGCATGTTCACGTGACTCATTATCAGTGTTGAAGGGCTCCCCGGGCCATTGACAAAACTTGAACTAGTCGACAACCAAGGATCACCATGTACCCGCTGTATTCAGCGCAATTATGATCCTTATGAATTACTTTCAAACTGGTCCTTTCTTTTCAAATGTGCCCAAGTATAACATGAAAGACTGCTCGCTACTTGCGAGCCTTTGAGCGACCACTAAATCACTGTATCATATACGAGAACTTGCCGTCACCTCGGAAAATCAGAACTGGCTTGTATTCATCAATGCGTTCATCCGAGACACTCCGCCGCACACGCGTGCCCCGCCCGCTGACAGCAGAGTCTTTAGAGGAGTTCGAAGAATTATCATCCTCTCACAAAGATGAGCAAGTGTCACAGAAGTACATTATACAATTGGATAACCTGAAGATCGAAAGAGCAAACAATAAGGTAATGTCACAATAAATCTGGAATGCCTCGCTTGACCGCTCATGTCAATCTAATGCACAACAGCACGACGAGGAAGATGAAGGCTATATCAAAGATAGTCGGGGATCAACTATTACTGCAAGCACGTCTGGCAGCACAGGGGACGATGACGAAGACCGCTAATGCAGGAACGAAGGCGCGACAATCCCCTGCCGAAAATCAGGATGTGGAGACGTTTGAAAAGATACCCTCCCATGACATCAAGTAATTCATTCAGTACATCGGCTACAGCAAGGATCAATATAAAGTGGCGACAACAGTTCGATGGGAAATCGGAGACGAACAGCCGCAATCTATCAAGACTTAGATTTAGCAGCGTTGACACGAAGTGGACAACTGGCCGAGTGATTTTTAAACCGTGCTGACACGGATGGCTGCAGGAAATAAACTATCATGGTTTAGGTTTAACGTGAATATACGAAATGCTCTACGTCAACGTGAACAACGACGTACAAAAACAAGAGTGGCAAATTAATTATCGTGAGTCGGGTGCAAGATAATTACCTGCTACCAAGCATAAATTACGGGGGGTGAAGTGCACGTTGGTGATGGGAGTCCGTTTGGTAGGGAACGTCGCGAGCAGGTCCGATCTGATGGTAATGTTAATATCAATGCGTGAAATATTTTGCATGTAACGAACGTTTCATTGTTTTCGTTGTCGATCGTCCGTGTGATAGGAGACTCAGCAGCGCCACTCTCCCGTGATTTACCGGGCCCACCAGCTCCCCTCACGTCCCAGCAGCGTACCGTCCAGTCTGCACCTCCACTTACAAGCATGGATGACTCAGCACTGAACGAGAGAGAGTATACAGATGCTGTATGCCCAGTCATTTTTTTGACACGACGTCCGGAGCCGAGATCCCATAGATTGATGGCAAGGTCTTCGCCTGCGCTGGCGAGATATCGCCCATCTGGACTGATGGCCAATGTCGAGAGGCTCCCCTGATGGCCGATGAAAACGCGAACGCAAGCACCACGTTGAACATCCCAAAGTCGCGCAGTCCAATCACTCGAACCCGTAGCGAGGTATAGTGAATTAGGATGGAACCGGACACACTTGAATCAACGAACATCAAATCAGTATAGAAAACTTATCTTCTGCAAGGTCACTTACATCCACGTCACTCAAGTGTCCTGCATATATTCTCAAACATGATGTACGGTCTGTTGACCATAACCTGGCGGTTCGATCACGGCTTGCTGTTGCAAAATAGATGCCCATAGGACTCCACTGAACGTCCCATACTGGGTTTTGGTGGCCACGGAAAGCAACGACATTCGTCATTGTGTCAAGGGACCATAGCCGCGTAGTTGCATCTGCTGAAGCAGAAAGGAGGTATCTTGGGGGCGCTGCTGATCCTCCCAATGGATCAAAAGACAAAGAATACACAGGACCGCTGTGGCCGACGAGCTTTCGGGTTGTATTTCCTTCTTTTTGCTGTATTTTCGACAACGATCCAGCTAGCGTTCGAATAAACATCACCATTGTCACTCATTCAACTTAAGAGACTCACAATCCTTCACTGAACTCAAAGAGAAGTCATTGCGTAGTCCCTTGAGTTTTTCATTCTTCAAGCTCCATAGACGAATGTAGCTCTCAGAAAAGCCGGCCGCCATGAGAGTCAAGTCAGGTGAGAAGGTGCAACACGGCGCACTGCTCAAAGTATTTTATTAGGAGATATGCCGAATCCGTTTCAGGTACTTACCCTTCTCCGACGTCATGTAGCGTATACGCACAGATGCTAGGCAAGCCACGCGCACGGGCAGCGCCTCCTTGCACTGAATTCATGTCAATAGAACTTAGCGCAGAGGGCTCAAGTCGTATGCGTTTCCTTGCATCTCGTACTTTCTCGACCTCTCTTTGAACATCAACGGTTTTGAACGACTGGGGATAAGGGAGCATGTCTGATTCAGTGGGTGAGACAACCCCTTGGATAGCTGGGGGCCTCAGGAATTGTAAATCATATTGAGCATTGGGATCGCGGTCCAGTACAGATTGTTCGCGGATGACGCGTTCAGTCTCGGTGCGCAACTCTTCCGAGATAGGGGCAGGGCCAAGTTTTAGTTCGCCTTTGGAAGCATTGAATGCATGGGGGTTAGGAGTGGCAGAAGCGCTTGTTTGCGGAATGAGTTGCGACAACAGGCCAGTCGATTCTTCCCATGCATTGGGCGAAACTGCTGTAGCGCTCGCTGAAGTCACTAGCTCAAGTTTGAGTTCATATACATTACTTTAGAAGTCAAAAATTTACCATCAAAGCGAAGATGGTTGTTCACCACTCGCATAATTGCTGCTCGGCCTCTCTTTCCCTTCTCGCCAGAAAAGCCATCCCCTGCGCCAGTGGCTTCACCTCCAACTCCTTCTGTCAGCCATCCCACTAGCAAGCTGAAACCTGACCGGCTCATTCTTATGACATATTTTTCATTCTTGAAGCGTTGTGCATCGTCATCATTCTGAACATGCGAGGGAAGCAGGAGAGTCGATAGATGATGTAAAGTGCTGTGATGCATCGGGGATAAAGACGGCGAATACGTCGCATAGAAGCGCAGAGCTAGGAAATGCAAAAATATCGGTAGAACTTATGTAATAGAGGACTTGCCAGACATACCAGCTTCTTTGAATCCTCGCTGGACAAGATCCAGATGAAAATGACAAAATATGGGAAACAGGATAGGTCGAAATTCGGGCTATTTGATAAAATTAGCCTACATCTATGGCAGATGCATGCTCTCGGAGTACCTTGTACATGTCAAGCGAACCTTCAACCCACGCTTCGAGCTCTCGGAATCCTTCCTCCTTGTCCGTTGGATCAACAGACAGGATCTCTTCCGCACCAACAGTCCCAAGGCTGGCAATCAAGTTCTGTATACTCGGCGGATTTCCCATCGCCGTAAGTTCCTGTAGAACGTTTGCACTTTCCTTCAATACATTGTCTCCCGGGCGCGATGGCTTTTGTGCATAAACAGCAAGAGTCTTGATGAGATCTTCAGCAGATACAGTCTTCCCAGACTCATCTGCGCTCCCGCTTTCAAGTGATTCGTTAAGAGCCCTTTCTGCATCCTTGTGTCCCCGAGAGCGAAGATACTCCAATACCAGACGGTCGATTGAGCTTACGTTCTGGGTGACATCAGGCGCACTGGCGTTAACTGGAGAAACGCCTCCAGAAGACGAGGCTGCAGGCGTCGCAACAGACATAGGTATGACCAGTCCAGTACTAGTGTTCGGTTTGTAATGTTAGAAATGATCGATGATACCGTGACGTCGAGGTCCCTAATGTTCAACAGACAAGGTGTTTGATTACGTAATCAAGTTATATAATCGTAGCGGCGCTGGAAAGTGCCAACCCTCGACTTCAACTTCAAGAAATGACGATGGATTTGTAGCAAACAGTCTATGATATCAGTATACAACAACATTTGGGTATGTACAGAAAAATTTCGAGACCAATAAAAACAACACTCAAAAACCTGTTAATGTCTGTGGAGGTCCATGGCAACAGACACAGTAGACATAACATTCATGTCGTGCGCACAGGTATTTCCATGGAAAACCTGGGGCTGTGATAGATTGGATGATTGAAATAGGCAGGTGACATGTACAGTAATGGAATATATGGCACAGGTCTTCTCCTTGACCCAGGTCAGATCACAAAATTGATTAGGGAGGGTGCCATGGAACAAGCCATTTGCAAGCACTAATGAAGGGATTTTATTCTGTGTCATAGAAGATTTGCACTGTAGACATACTTTGAGTCCAATGGCCTTCAAATTTTCAAACATTATCCCACGTTTCTCCAATGTAAGACCATCAATTAGAACATCGTCAAAAGAAAAACACATTGATATGTTCTAAATCACGCACTTTTTGATAATGAAGTTGTCTGAGACACAGAGAAAATCTAGATTCATTGACAATATATCCCCTGATAGATGAATATTAACAGCATATCTCTCATACTGTGTGTTGGAAGTCAGTACAAACGACGATAACGGTTATCGTAACACGTGACTGCTTACTTACATAATCACGTACAGTTTTTCTTTGTTCATTGTCATCTATGCACCTCAGTTGCTTGTATAGCCAACTGAGTGTATATTCAATAGGTTATGAGCCCTGAGCTCCGCAACTGAAAAAGATCACCCACACAATGTCCTCGAATGTTAAACACAGAGACGAGTTCTGGAGAGTCCCGAAGTTGGATGCTTCAGGGAAGGATTGGCCTCTGTGGAAAGGCAGACTCGAACTCTCGTTGTTAGCTCGTGGACTGTCAGGGCACCTTACAGGATTAGGGATGCCAGTTAATCCAGCAGCTGGACAAGCAGCTGGATGGTCACCTACAACACCCACAGAGCTAGCTGAAATGCAAGCTTACGAGACTGCGATCAAGAAGTGGAACGAGAACGATGTCATTGTTAGGCAACAAATAGCAGTACTGGTCCCAGATACGCTATTCATTCAACTCCTCTCCCTAACCTCCGCGAAGGACTTCTTCAACACACTGAAGAACCAATTCGAGAATCGATCACTAGCTGTCACCATGGAATTACGTCGTCAGCTCGGCGAGCTGAAACTAAAGGAAGGCGGGGATGCTCGAGCTCACGTAGACACATTGCGAAAACTATGAGAAGAGCTAGCATCAGCTGGTGACCCTGTCCCAGACAAAGACTTTTTCAACATCACCTTCGCATCGCTCCCACACAGCTATAACAATATCCTATCAGCTGTTTCGACAAGTATCCAGCTGCATCAGAAAACACCCACCGTGCACGAACTCATGAATCTTGTTATAAATGAGTACGACCGATTACTCATCCAGAACGGGACAAAAGGGAAGTCAAAGAGTGACGACGTAGCTTTCTCGGCCGATGGGACCTCGTATAAGGGCAAGCAGCATTCACAGAAGCCCAAATTTCCATACAATTGCAACAATTGTGGCTGGAAAGGTCACAAGAAAGAGGACTGCTGGGAAGACGGAGGAGGCAAAGCTGGTAAAGCACCGAAAGGGTGGAAGTCGTGTGGGAAGAAGTCGAAGTCGAAAGATGATGACAAATCCAAGGCTAGCGGGTCAAATGCGGATGCATCGAACTTGAAGGACAATTCTGAACCTGATGGGGTGTGGTTGGTGAGCACTGAAGATATTTGGGACGACGAACCCAAACCTCGAGACACATTGTCAATATTGTTTGACAGTGCCCAGCTCGCACAAAACAACATGAACACACACAGAGCATCTGTTGATCTCTACGACAGTGGTGCATCACAACACATGTCCCCATACCGTGACTGCTTCATTAATTTCAAATCAATTCCCCCATACCCGATTGAAGCAGCCGATAAACGTACCTTTGATGCCATAGGCAAAGGTGACCTTCCCATCGAAATCCCTAATGGTAACACCAAGACTCGCATCCTGTTGACAAATGTCCTTTATGCGCCGTCAATGGGAGCAACTTTGGTCTCGATCAGCAGACTCACTTGCGCAGGCTATGCGGCCTTATTTCGTGGAGACTCGTGCCGAATTCTAGATGCTAAGAACAAGACACTAGGCAAAGTTACTGTCAGTAGAGGATTATATCGCATTCGAAACGAACCTACCCCAAGTGCAGTGGCCATGAACACGTTTAAGGTCCAGTCTATGGAAGACTTACACCAATGAATGGCCCATATCTCCCTGTTGGCTATTCGAGAGATGTTAGCAAAGGGGATGATAGAAGGAGTCACACTAGACCCCAATCGTGCTACCATGGGTCAGTGCGAATCGTGCGAATATGCGAAAGCCACACGCAAACCAATAGGGAAGGAGCGAGACCCAAAACGATGTGAAAACCTCAGCGACGAAGTCCATACTGACTTGTGGGGACCCTCCCAAGTTCAAACACCAAGTGGGAAGACCTATTACGTGTCGTTTACAGACAACCACTCCCGTTATACATGCCTATACCTCCAAGGGTCAAAGTCCGAAACATTTGAATCATACAAGACTTATGAGGCATGGTTGCAGACCCAGCACAACATTCAGGTCAAGTGTTTACGGTCAGATCATGGCGGAGAGTACCTCAGTGATGAATTCACTCAACATCTTTGAGCAAAAGGGACAGAACGGAAACTCACCACCCATGATACCCCACAACACAACGGAGTCGCTGAAAGGTTGAATCGCACACTCGTCGAACATGTCCATGCAGTGCTACATGCAAGTGGTCTACCAAAGAATATGTGGGGTGAAGGCATCAAACACGCTGTCTACGTGAAGAATCGCACTGCCACACGCTCGCTAGAAGGGAAAACTCCATATGAGATGTTGCACGGCAAGAAACCAAACTTAGCAGACTTACCAATCTGGGGGACCAAGGTATGGGTGCATGACCCAACCGGTTCGAAGCTAGACATGCGCGCACGCGCAGGTTGATGGATAGGATTTGATGCCGAGAGTGGAGCCCATCGGATCTATTTTGAGGACCGGAGGAGTATTGCCATCGAACATAATGTAACGTTCGTGAGGCAGCACGAGGAAGGTCCAGTGCTAAGGCCAAACTTGCCGATTGAGAAGGAGAGCGAAACTACAAAAGCCAATCAGCAAGTGACCAATCCCCAAGCCCCATCCAATCCACACCAGGATCCAAATCCCCTGCCAAACCCAGACCCTCAAAATGATCCACTAGGTCCAAACTTCGAACAGCAGCCACCTGGCCCTAGATGATCTACTCGTCAGCGAACAGAATCACCATATATGCGCAGGTTACGAAGCGGCGAAGGTACTCATGATGGTAGGAGTGGCGAGCCAATCATTCCTAGAGGGATGCAAAGGGTAGAGGAAGAGAGAGAGGAAGGTAGCGGTGGCATGGTAGCGTCTGGAGAAGGATTAGGAAGAGAATTGGGATTTGATGAAGAACTTACCGCTTATGCGATGTTCGCGGGAATGAGTGAGGCTGAAGGCCTGGAACCAAGCACCATCGAAGATGCGAAGACACGATCTGATTGGGTGAAGTGGAGAGACACCGTCAATGTGGAACTACAGAGTCTCAACGAAGCACGTACCTGGGACATTGTTCAGCGGCCCAAGAACAAGAATGTCGTCAGCTGCAAGTGGGTCTTCAAGATTAAAAGGAACACTGCAGGAGAAATCGATAAGTATAAAGCCCGGCTAGTCGCATGAGGCTTCACTCAAGTATACGGTGTTGATTATTACGAGACTTACGCACCAGTGGCTCGTCTCGCATCATTGAGACTGATTCTCGCTATCGCCGCGCACCAAGACTGGGACGTTGACATATTCGATTTCCACAGTGCGTTTTTGAATGGCAAGCTTGACGCGGATGAAGAGATCTATATGGAGTTGCCACCAGGAGTGGACTTAGGAGGAAAGGACGAGGTCGCGAAGCTTCGAGTTGCGCTGTATGGATCAAAACAAGGCGCATTAAAATGGTACAAACGTTTGTGCAGAGAACTCACCGAATTAGGGTTCGAGCGGATGGAAAGTGACTGGGGAGTGTTCACAGCACACATAGGAGAAGACCTGCTCATCCTCGCAGCACACGTCGACGACTGCACCATAACTGGCAGCTCGAAGGAGCTAATTAAAGTGTTCAAGGTCGAAATTGCGTCGCGATTTAGAATAACAGACCTAGGACCCATCAGCTGGTTACTCGGCATGAAAGTCACTCGAAACCATGAAGCACGCACCGTCTCGTTATCCCAAGAATCATTTGTCAACGCTATCATTACAAAGTACAACTTCGTTGATGCTAAACCCGCAGCAGTGCCTATGGACCCAAGTATTCAGTACACACAGGACCAATCCCCTACCACGACGACACAAGTTGCTGAAATGAAACAAGTCCCGTTCCGCTCAGTGCTCGGATCCCTAATGTACCTGGCCATCGGAACACGTCCAGACATAGCCTTTGCCGTCTCGACACTCGCGCAGTTCGCAGACAAGCCAGGGTGGACGCACTGGGAAGGAGTGAAGCGGGTATACCACTATCTGCTGGGAACGAGGAAGTTGGGACTCACTTTTGGGACGAGTGGTGCAGGGTTAGTCGGGTATACTGACACTGATGGCACCAGTCAAGAGCACAGACGTGCCATAACCGGATTCGCGTTTTTGGTTGACGGCGGTGCAATATCGTGGGGCTCACGAAAGCAAGAGCTAGTAACCCTGTCAACTGCAGAGTCAGAATTCGTAGCGGCCACTCATGCAGCCAAGGAAGCTCAATGGCTTTGTCATTTCATCGGGGAAGTTTTTCGGCCGCTGCAGCACCCAACGACACTATACAGTGACAACCAGTCAGCAATCGCACTCACCAAAGACGGAAGCTACCATGCACACACCAAGCATATTGATATTCGATACCACTACATTCGTTTCTGCATCGAGAATGGCTCAATCGAACTATTATACTGCCCGACGGAGAACATGGTCGCCGACACGCTAACGAAGGCCCTTCCAAGCGTTAAGGCGAAGCATTTCGCACATGAGCTAGGAGTTAGAGTCATCGTTTGAGAAGGAGTGTTGGAAGTCAGTACAAATGACGATAACGGTTATCGTAACACTGTGACTGCTTACTTACATAATCATGTACAGTTTTTCTTTGTTCATTGTCATCTATGCACCTCAGTTGCTTGTATAGCCAACTGAGGTGAGACACTTTCATTTACGGTCTACTTACCTAGCTAATACTTTCATTCAGTGTATATTCAATAGGTACATATACTAATACAGTTGCTTGTATAGCCAACTGAGTGTATATTCAATACTGTGAACACACAGCACATACAGATGGCTCAGTCCATCATATCTTCCATATAGCCATTCAAACACTTTGAATGACTTCTCTTGAAACAGGCATTGGCCATTCCTGCTCTTAATCTGTATGAATCTCTTTTGCCTCTGCCAGTGCCATCAGAGAAAACCTCCTTCACAAAATCAAGGTAATTTCAGTAATTTTTTGAGAATCCCTCGTAATTTCAGTGAAATCCAGTATGACCAGATTTCTCAAGCTCAGTCGCAGTTACTTGGAATTACTTGGAATTTCTTTGAATTTTTGGTCATTATTCCTCAAATACCATCAAATTATCTTGAATTCAGTCGAAGTTGACATACATGAACATTGATTAAACAAAATATCACCATCAAAAGATGTGAAAAGAAAAGATCAGCAAACTCAAATAAGCATGGGTATCAGTATGTACAAATGGTATATTAGATGCAGAGAAGTGACTGACTCAGTGCCATATTTATAGCTTGATTTATTCTTCGACCATTGCGTCGAGATCAAGATAGTCACAAGTGCTTGATGAGCCAGTGGATGCCAAGTTCTCAATTGCACTGGTGTTGAGTTAGTCAGAGTGCCTCAATGAAAAATAGCGCAAGCAAGACACACCTGACTACTTTGTAGAGTCGTGCCATCAGCGCATGGTACTTCTTTCTACTACCATCAAAGATGCATGTGAGAGTCACTTGGTGAGCCTTGTAAACACCGATGTGGGAGGAGGCATTGGATGATTTGACTTGTGCACTTGAAGGCGGGTTGCCACTACTCCAATCCTTCAATATTGCATAAATCTGCAAAGAATGTTATGTAGTCAGTATACAGAGTTTGAAACAGTATCACAACCGGTCCCTACCATAGTTGCAATCAAACACACCATAGCCACAGGTAGCCTCAGGCTTGTTGTTTTGATCTAAGACAGAAATGAAATCATCACAGCACTGACTACCAAACAAGTTCTCGCCATCAAAGAATGACAATTGGATGGTATCAATGGTAGCCTCATCACAAAATGGCTGGTCCCCAAGGACCTTACCCTGGGTAGTAGATGAGAATCAGACAAACGAAGAGAGAGATAATGAAATACTAAACAGACCTTGGCATCAGTTGGAAAAATATATTTGTGGCCCTTAAGAAGGTCTTCTACCTTGTCAGTGCAGCCTTTCTGGAGTCTAAAACACAATACAACAATTTGATGTGCAAGCTTCTTGAGATTGGTGTGGAAGGAGCTCAGCCGTCCCTCCAGCTTGTAAGCATATTAGCTTCATCCAAATGACCATGCAAAAAGTGTACTTACAATTCCGGCAAGAGCAAGCGCATAATCAAAGTTGTGCCTCATCCTCTTCACTATTGCATATTCCTTGTGCTTCCCAGTAGCAATATGGACCACTTCCAGGGACATCTTTCACTTCTGAGTGATGTTGGGGAATACATTGTCAAAGAGAGAGGCTTTCTTAAGTTCAAGTATGGCGGTCTTCAACACATTCTGTATCCTAGTGTTTTGAGACTTGAGGTTGATAGTGCCATCTGCTGAGTAGACTAGTTCTGTAAATATGAGCCATGTAAAGGAATAATCAGACTCTTTATCATCTGACTCGGAAGCTGACTCATGAGTAACATCTGCTGGCAGCGCCTCCATTTTTGGCTCTACAAATTTAGGTCTCTACAAAGTGTGATGTGAGACAGAATGATGAGAGTGTGTAGTAGAACACGTTACCTCAAGTTCTTGTTGTTCTTCTTGTCTGGCTGGTGTTTGGTGACTGTTGATGAAGCTTCATGGTAATAAGACTTGGAATGACCATCATGACCATCAGAAGCTTTGTCAGCAAACTGCGTCTCCAATGAGTCTGAGTCAGCAGCAACATCAACCTGAGGAACACCGGCAGTAGTGCCAGAGGCCATCGACAACCGTTCAGATACATCACCACTGGTTCGTGAATGCGTTCTAGCAGCTCTAGCTGTGTGAGGAGGCACAAAATGGGGAATCTTTGTCAGAAGGTCAATTTCATTTTCTCACTGCCACATCAATGGGGTTAAGAACCTCTTTAAGGAGATCCTCCTTGGAGAGCAACTCAAAATCATCATCTTTAGGAACCTCCATATTGTTGTCTGATTTTTCAGAGGCATGGTCACTGTCGCCATATTCAGTGACAGTGTCACTATCTTCAATTGACATCGTGGCTAACTTCGACTTGCAGGAATTTGAAGAGCGTGCTGATTTCTTATGAACTTGACTTTGAGCAGGACAGAACTCTTCATCTGCTCCTTGACCATGGTCCGCTGTTGAGTATCTCAGGGTTTTATATCTGTCTAAGTTCTACAACTAACTGTTGTTGTGATCTAGCTTTTCTGCAGGTGTCTGAGTCTTCTGTGCCAACTTGGCTGCAGGTACAGATTGTAGTCCAGTTACTGTGGGTGACTGTTGAGGAATTTCCACAGTGCCACGCAGGTGCTCCAGTGCACCACTCCTCCACTACAGCTTTTGAGTCTTATAAGAATGTACTGCAAAGTGCAGAAAATGTTTGGGCCCCCTTTGCATCTCGCATAGATTATGAGGTCACAAAGTGGGCAAAACTTCGTGGTTCTGGCTCAACTGCTTTTTCAGAGCTTCTCGCAATCAATGGTGTAAGCTTTTTCAATTGAGTCATGATGCTGGCCAACATTTACAACAACATTTATATAGCTTCATGATGCCTTGGGCCTTTCATACCAGAACACCCAGTGAACTCAATCAAATTATTGACTGACAGTTATCATGTAGACGACTATATTTCAAACATGAAGAAATTATTGTTGCTGATGAGGCATTTGATGTTTACTCACGCGACATCATGGAGTGTGTCAAAGCTCTTTATTCAGATCCCGAATTCTCGCACCATCTCAACTATGCTCCTGAACACCATTATGCTGATAGTGACAAGACTATCTGAATGTATCACAATATTCATACAGGCAAGTGGTGGTGGTCTACTCAGGTAAGTTGTCTGACAATCTGTTCAAGTCATATTGAACTTATCACAACCTCATTTAGAAAGAACTCAAAACCAAGAAACCTGGAGCCACAGTCATACCCATCATCCTTTCATCCAACAAGATGCAGGTCACCATGTTTAGAAACAAATCTGCCTATCCTGTCTACATGACAATAGGCAATATTCCAAAGGAGATCTGTCAAAAGCCATCTCGATGAGCGTGGATCCTGCTTGCCTATCTACCAACCTCAAAACTCAATCATATCACAAACAAGGCTGCTAGGCGTCGAACAGCAACTAATTTGTTTCACGCTTGTTTGCGTCACATTCTGGAGCCTCTGAAAGTCCCTGGCAAGGATGGTGTTGTGCATTGAGGGCATCCAATTGTTGCTTGTTATTCCACGGATTACCCTGAACAGCTGTTGACTACAGGGATAAAGTCAGGAGAGTGCCCAAAGTGTGATGTTCTGCACAAGGAGTTGGGAAGTCCAGATTTTTCTGTAAACCTGCTGAGACCTCAATGCAATTCTCGCCACATTGTCCCTCATTGATGAGGATTATGACCTGTGGAGACGAGCATGACAGGAGTGTGGCATTAAGCCCATCTTCAAACCATTCTGGCTGGATCTCCTGCACGCTAACATATTCCAATCCATCGTACTGGATGTGTTGCATCAGCTCTACCAGGGTATCATAAAGCACCTCATCAAGTGGATCAAGGAGACATGTAGTGAAGCTGAGATTGATGCTTGTTGTCATAGGCTTCCCCCAAACCACAACATCTGCTTGTTTCTGAAAGGAATCAGTAAACTCTCGCACATTAGTGGAACAGAGCATAACCAAATCTGTCGCTTCCTGCTCGGTATTGTCATTGACATACAGTTGCCTGAAAATCTCAATAATGCTTGCCTTACTCGTGCCATTTGTGCCATCCTTGATTTCCTTTACCTCGCACAATACCCTTCTCACACAGATCAAACTCTAGTACTGCTTGACAATGCCTTGACGTGCTTTCACGATAACAAGGACATCTTCCTTGATCTTGGGATCCGATCAAATTTCAACCTCCCGAAACTTCACTCCTTCCATCACTATGTACATATGATCAAAATGTATGGCACAACTGACAACTACAACACTGAGTACACCGAACATTTACACATTGACCTCACGAAAGATGCTTACAGGGCTACAAACCATAAGGACGAGTATAGTCAAATGACTCTCTGGCTCGAAAGACATGAGAAGATGTTGTGGCATGATAACTTCGTTCAGTGGCGTCTTGTTGGTGATCTTGCCTTGCAAGAAAGGTCACCACCAGACATGGATTATCGTTGGGCAATCAAGATGACAAAACACCCGACTGTCAAACATGTTTCATTAGATTGCATTGTACAGGACTATGGTGCCACTTTTTTTACAGCAGCATTGGCTCGTTACATGGTTGGCAGAAATCAACCTGGTTTATCCATGGCACAACTGGAACGAGAGGCCGCTCATATCATTCTTCCCTTTGACACTGTGGCTACCTTCCACAGGATCAAATTTCATGCAATTGATGCTTGTGGGTTCTGGGACTCGAGTGTAACTGTATATTCTGTGCATTCTCAACCATCATGAAAGGACAAGAGAGGGCACACAATCCCTGCACGCTTTGATACTGTTTTGGTCAACAAAGGGGATGGTGGGATAATGGGTGTGGATGGTGTGTTTGTGTTTGTGTGAACAGGGCCATTAATCTGACTTGATTCCTGAAAGGATACAGTGTTGCACAAGTTCGTGTCATCTTCACGCTAACAAGTCAAGCTATGAATGTGTTATTCCCCACTGGACCTGTAAAACCACCCACCCACCTTGCTTATGTGGAATGGTTCATGCCTTTCTGGCAACCTGAATCACACCATGGGCTGTACAAAATCAGCCATTTGATGTGTCATGGAGAGTGTCTTGCAAGTATTATTGACATATCAGACATCTGCAGGAGTGTTCATCTTTTTCCAAATTTCAGCACAGTAGTACCTCGTGAATGGACAAGCAGTACCATTCTGGAGCTCTGTTCCAGCTTCTTTGTAAACTCATTCAGTGACTGACACACTTATTTAACTATTGTCTGAGGAGTATGATGAAATTGTTGAAATACTTTGTAAATACATGTAGTTTAGTGAATTACCTGAAATTCCCTCTTTTTTGAAGCAGTTTTGTAAAGAGGTTTTCCCTGATGGCATTCTGTTTGCATTCAAGATTGGCTGATATGTCCTTGACAGCATGCGAGACAATTTTCTGCAACAAACATTCAGTAACTAGCATGCCAAACTCATGAGCAAGAATCTGACAGAAAACAGCCTTATCTGAAAGTAAGTAACAACTCAAGGACAGAAAATACGTGAGATAAACATCACCCAAAACACTTTCTCCAGTAAGAAATAGGTATAGTGCGCACTGCTGGGCATAATTAGTAAGTGCATGATATGTTTTTTGATGAGAGACCTTGTTGTAGAGTGTGTAATAGCATGGTGCCAATCGACAAATACATGTCTGAATGTCAGTACAAGTTCTGAAACTGAGCAGCAAGTAAAGTGCCACATAATCTTGGGAGATGAGCAATAACTGTAACCAACAGCAAATTTGTAGGCAGTTGTATGAATAGGTTTATGATATTGTGGATAATACAGAGCATTGTAAAACAGAGGATATGATAGTATATCATGAAGAATGTTGTGAGGTGGGCAATATTTAGCATCAAATACGCGAGGCGCTGCACTGGGGTATTTTGAGATAAACACAGACATTCTAAATATTGTCAATAAAACAAGCACACAAAGAAACCAAAAAGACATACACACAAGTTTAGCTATAGAGATGACAGACCTCTGAGAGTTTGTTTATGATGATGAAGTATAATATTAGTATATTGACAGACAACTTGTTCATGTGTATGAAATCATCATTCATCTAGGATCATTGATTGATCATCAACTGTACAGTTTTTTCAAAAACAATTCTCAAACACTGAGGTATAGGTGCCTGGGGATTTGGATCCAACAAAATCCTCCTCCCACTTTGTGGGAAGTCAGGGATATTCTAATTACTAGTGGTACTCAAAGTAACTTTTGAAACCTTTTGGAAACTTACTTAGATGTTGGATAAATACTTTGAACTCTCAGCTAAAGTAGCTTAAGAACAATTGGATTGTGCTTGGCATCCATCAGCATAAAGTCAGGTATTGAAAGACTTAGGATATTCATGGCATGTTGTATGTAGTGAAAAGTCATACTTTACAGAACTAATGTTCGCCACATTCATAAGATTTAAATGCTCCAACACATCATATTTCAAATTGCAGCATGCATGAATTCTTTTTTTTTAAAAAAAACTAACTCTCAGCAAGAACAAAACCAGGTGTAGGTAGAATATTGAAGGAAACAAAAGATGCAAAAACCTAGTGAAGAATGGACTACTTTAAAAGACTCAAGACTCCGCGAAGAGTGGACTACTTCTGGATGTTGTAAGCTGCTGAGAGTACGGTCATCTTCGAGATAGCACACAAGAGCGTCAACACCCTTGAACTAGCTGAATTGAAATGGACAGAGTCAGCCTTTAAGAAAGGTTGTAGAAAGTCTAGGAAATAAGGTAGAGGGCAGGCAGGTGGCTTGCTGGCAAAAATAAGGTGCTGGTCAGATGGTATGTCTGCATTAGAATAGACTTTTTGTGAGATAAGGATAAAGCTTAGCTACAACTTGCAAATAGAACAAAAAATTACTTACCTTGTTGAATGCATGACACTTGATGGTGTCATGCTCAGCATTGTAGATGAGCATTTAGAATCAACAGGTTTCTGATGATAAAACATGTGAGCCATTAAGATGACTCAGAGTAAAAAGAAGACAAATGCTCACTTGCTTAACAGCTTTTTCACATGCTCACTGTTTTCTCTTTTGCTTAGCTGCTCTTTTGTGCTTGTAAGTAGTCTTCTCAAACTTATTAAATCCTTGCTGATAACTTAAATTGACTAGGGTATTTAGCAATAATTTAAAAAATTAAGGTATAATGGCAGAGTGATTAATGTGGGATACCATCTTTAAAGTAGGCAAGGAAATAGGCTAAAACTATACCTACAGAACCTCAGTGGTAATAGCTCCTTGGTCATCCAAGCCACTGATAATGCAGTGCTTAGTTAGCACTTTGGAAATGAATCCCTGCATATCTGGAGAGCTCTCATAGGCATTATTAACAAACTAGATTGATAAAATAAAATGACAATGAATAATATTTATTTTAAGATTCAAGGAGGCAAAGCAATAGACTAGGTTTCTAATAGAATTCAGAGGTATGGGACCTTCATACATACAGTAATATAAGATCTAGGTCTGTACTAATCTTTAGCCTAAGCATAGAAATGAGTTGTTTTAACAAATCATTCTCCATTCATTTGAGACAAATTACAAAACACTATTTCTTAACTCTATTAAAAACTCTAAATATGGAAGCTCCTTACTCTACCTTGCTCTGTTTGGAAGTCTTGAAAGCCATACTGATTCCAGACTAGCACTCACTAATTATAATTATAACTTCACCTGCTCTCAGTAGTGGGTCTCTCTACATATTCCACACTATTATCTGCATCTGCATCTTTTCTCATGGATTCTAGGCCACATATAGCCCAAGATTATTTTGTCCCAGGGCATGTAAGTTGAACAACATGAACATTAGTATTTAGCTTAATCCATCCTTTCATATTAGATGTTTTGAGTTGATATATGATCTTCTCTGCTGGAGTGTGAAGCCTTTTGAGATGGATTGATCTAAAGGGCTGAGCCGATCATACAGACTGGAATGTGTCATCAGCCTACTCTTCAATAACTAAAATAATCTCAAGCCAGCATTAGATTGCCTGAGAAAGTAGTGATTTCTGCAATTACAAAAGCTACACCACAAGCTATATTAGCAGATAGATACCTATCCAAAGATAGTATAATAGAGGTCTTTAATAAATTTGATCCAAATAGAACAGTGCTCAATATTTAAACTAATGCAGTATCAAGTATTGCCGATGTTAGAAGCAGACACCTAAAAATAAGTCAGTTTGGGCAGTCAATACATAACATCTCTTAATACAATATAACTCTTAATATAAAAAGTATCCTCTAGGACAGCCTGAGTAGCAGTCTTGATCTAAGAAGTATTGTCATATAAAATATATTGTTGCATTATGGTCTATTGAATAATGGAAAATTTATAGTGGTAGTGTATACAGGTTGGAAATAACAGAAACCTAGTTGTATTATCCTGCTAGTTTTCATCAGCAATATTGAGTTTATAAATAGCCTATAGTACTTGGCTGATAGTGACATAGTACTTTGCCCTTTCATGTGTTATTTCCAGGGCAGCTGGGGCAGAGTAAACTCCACAGTGTATATCTCCAGTTTGCTGAGTATGCTAGCTTTTCTGTTCATCATGGAAGTTTCAGTTGAGCCTCCTAAAAGCTCTGGAAAGTGATGGTAAAATACTGCAGTAATAATGTATCACAGTATAGTGCAAGTCAGCTAAATTTAAAGTAATGTAGTGGCCTACTAAAGGGCCTTATTGACATTATTTTCATTCCAGAATTGAGGGAGATCTTGGTTTCCCTAGTGCAATAAAAGTGCTCAGACAAAGATGTGAATATCTTAGTATGTGATGTCATATCCAAGGTCCTTGAGAAGCATTTACATAACCAGCTAAATAACTCCAAGGTAAAATAAAAATAATCAAGCAAGAGCTTGTGGAAAAAGCCAGAGATATTCTTTAACACTCTTGCCTTCCAGCTTTCCAGCTGTGATGCCAAGAGCTAGTATGCTATTAATAATAAAGTCCAGTTGCATCTATTGGGTAGGAGATATAATGGAATGTAATGATTTAGAGGAGTCTTGCCACTCTAGTAGTTTTGGGAGCTGTTACAGACACCTGTGAATTGCGCCACACACATTATGCAGAATCACGTTTTAGTTAAAGTACAGAGTGAACAAATGATCAAAGAAAAGAATGATACACTTTTTGAATAATCAGAATATGAATCGTATTGAATAAACCAAACTTACAAGTGCAAATTCTCTCTCTCCATCGGAAACACAGCGTTGTTCTGCCCTCATCAGGATCTGCCAGGCGGGCTTCATAGGCCATAAGAACTGATGAACGGGCCACACTCTAAAAAAGTTCTCAAACAAAGATGGCCGGAAGATATGAAGTTTGTTGTTGCGACGAGCAGTGAGGTATAGTGAGATGTGGGCCTTAAGCCATTCCCACTGGTCATTAGACCACACTCCAATGCGCGCGGTGAGTACACCTGCCCCTGCTTGTGGGTGCCGATCCTCGAAGAACGCTCTGATGCGCTAAAATTGAGCAATGTTAATGATGGATGGGCGAATACGAAAATCGAACGAATAAAATGTACCGACTTCAAAAGATTCTCTCCTCTGTACACACAACATAACTCAGGCTTTGCAAGGTACTGATACTCGGGCTTTGAAGGCCATAACGTCTCCCGGACAGGCCACAAGGATAAGAACTGTTCGCACACAGTAGAGAAGAATGAGAGATCATCGTCTTGAACAGACACTAGATATAATTTGGTCTGGTCATCGAGCCATTCTACTTGCTTGATGGTTCAGTCTCCAACACGATTCATGGCCCGGGTGGAAGTTACAAGGTGATTACAATTTATCAACAACAGCAAACAACCCTCAACATAGCGGGCTTTGCCACGTGTCACATGGCCTTGTGCGACTTATTTCTCATTAGGTTTCCTGGTCACACCCTCCATGCTGCTCCTCTTCCAGAAGGGTAAGCTCCTGATATTATGCTCGGCTAGCAAAGGTATGTATCATATTGTCTGAAATGCGAATGTCTGACATTTTCAATGCAGCCGTGGGTTTATAGCCAAGTTCTTGCACCAAATAAAAGGGAATCCTCCTGTTCTAGTCGAGATACTCGTGCAGGCAAAGGTGAAGGAACCACCTAGTGATGCATTGCCAAAATTCGTGGAGGCTTACACGTCTGTCAAACACTTCGGGAGCTTGATGAAGGAAGCATGCACAGGGAAACTGATGACAGAGTGGGAGCAGGGCGTCTCAAAAGCTGACAAGAAACCTGAACTGGTCGATATGGCCCCTGCGTTGTCTGCATTCATGGCTGTCAAGGACAAAGAAGAAATGGTGTGTTCACACATTGCATCTGGGAGTCAACGGTCTTCTAATGCACAGCGCAGAAATGCATCCATACGGCGGCAAATCTTACTTCCACTTTGCTTGTTCACCACATCATTCTAAAACTGGAGATGATATTGGACAAGGAAGCCAAGATAACTCATGAACAATTTGCCACTCAGATAGAGGTGCGCCTTGGGTCGGGTGAAGGTGAAGTTGCCAAAGGGCCTGATATGAAAGCATGGAGTAAAGGGCGGGGCCTCAATGATGTGTGTCAGCTGCTCTTCCAGACTTGCTCATACATCTCATTGGTCGTTCCAGGTTGATTGGGCACTGACAGAGTTTTACTACTCTCCTATCATTCAGTTGCGGTCAACAACCACTGGTTATGATTTGTGATCGACTGCAAAGTCATCCTCGGACACCATCACACATAAAGGCATCTTCCTCATCGCCGGTGGTATGCGATACAAGGGTTACTGTGCCAATCTTGGACGGAGTATTATCATTGACCCTTTGAAGGTCAGTCACGGTGCATCGAGAAACTTTGAACCATGGCGAGAAGAGAGTTGTTGAAGAGGAGGATCGTCTATATCGCACTTTCGATGTTGTGTGTCGCACATTTATTTATTAATGTTCACTACAAAAAGGTTCTTCACTATTAAAATTTGAATGCAGACCCCTCATCCTCAGAGTTGCTGCCAAAGTCTGAACCATCTACATCACTGTCGCAATCGTCGGAAATATCCTCATCTTTGTCTGCATCATCCTCACTGACATCATCATCTACATCTCTATCGCATTGCCAGCTTTCTTCTCTGAAGTCAACATTGGCATGGGCTTCAGGGTCCTCGTCATCCGAAACGTCTTTGTGACCAACACTAGTACTTCCACCCCCTACTGTGTGGTTAGGTTGGATGATATTCAATGAGTCATATTGAACTTGATGACCAACACCTATGCCTGCGAAATGGCAAAACATGTCTCTATTGGCAAAACTGCATGAGTTACGGTGATGTGAGTATGAGACGAGCTAAATCTCACATGTTAACATAAAACGAAGCCCAGTCATTGACCTCTCCAGGCAGTCTTGCAGCGGAGGGACCATGCCTGAGAAGGTCATTTGTACGATGATCAGCGAAAGCAGGGATAAGGTGGCATGCCCTGATCACTAGCAAAGGGTCAAGAAGCCCAAAGGCAGCGGGTGAGTTGGAAATGAACCCAATCTTTGGGAGGCGGCCTTCTCAGAAGCCCCAGCAGTACTGTGGCACAACACCAAACCATCGCACCCACAAGACCTCCATGTACTGAGGTGAAACACCTATGCATACCAAAAAAAGTGAGTGCTTGCACTGCTTTCTCTCGACAACATCATCACTGTAGAGCCATTTCCAGGTTTGAGCATGTCTTGATCCCTACGGATGTTGTACGTTGTGTAGTTGATTTGGAAGCGCTTAGGTTGGAAAACACTGTTCAGATTGTTGACGAAGCACACATCATTTCGCTCGACATCCATGAAATCTCATTTGTTGCCGTCATACTCTAAACCTAGCAAGCGAGAAAGAATATGATCTTTAATTTTTGGTATGAAGTTCTATCAGGTAACATTATTGAATGTGTCAAAACAGTCATACAAAAACATATCTTACCACGACAGCTGGGTCACCTTGATGCTCTTCGAAGAAAACAAGCTAAATTGATGATGATACCCAGGATAACTTGATAAACAATGGTGAGCTTCCAGCAGTAGTAGGCTTCCGGCAGGTTGATTATCTTTAGTATTGCTGGATTGTTGCAGACGTCTGATACGAGTGTGCCTCCATTCTTGCTTTGCTAACTGTTTCAAAGGGTCTTGTTTATTTGTACTCTGGTAGAACCTTTTCAAAAGCCTATGTGTGAGCTCTCCCTGGAAACTCAAAGGTTAAGCTGTTTACTTGCCACTCAATGAAGGTGCATACATACTATTTGGGTAGTGTATGAGTCAGTGGTTCCAAACATTTTGATAGAGCTTACATAGTCACCGAGCGTGTGTAACTTGTAAGTTTGAATATTGAAAGCCTTGGGACGCGCTCCAGATGGACCTGTTCCTGCACCTGCTGAATTGGAACTCTTCTTCTGATGGGCAGCAATTTCCCAGGGGAGTTCCATAGTCCGAAACGCTGAGCATGTGGAATCCCGAAATTTTCGAAGCTGCTGTCCTAGACATCTAGTAGCTCGACTGAGTAGATCAAGGGAGTCGTCTGTGTGAATTTGAAGCTTTGCAAGAGCGTGCCATTCAGCCAGACGAAGGAGGAGAATACGGACAACTTCATCGTGTGAGCCCAGGAATAGACCCTTGAATGCAGGGATCGCACACTGGATTACAACCAGATTCAAGAACAACACTGCAGCAAGGATCAAACTTACCTGTAAGACATCCTCGAAATGTCGCGCAGCTCTTTGTTTTACATTGGATATGTTTGAAGGGAAACATCGAATGGCACCCTTTCCAAATGACAAAATTGAGTGAAAACTTAACATCAAAGGATCGTCAGCATCAGTTGAGGCTGCCGTGCTAATGAATGTGTACCGTTCATTCAGTAAAGCAACTGATTCATGATTGATGGCATATAGAAGCCTCATAAGATGCTTGAAGACATATTTGAACACTCCAAGCTCAAATTCATGAAGGAGATCAACCACAAGCATAGGAAAGAAATCAAGGCCTAGATTTCCAAGTCGCTCATTGAAGGTATTCTAAATGCAAAATATGCTTGAGTTATTCAAAAAGGTCTGCAGCTAAATGTGCTTACCAAGGTTGGCACCAATAAGAACGCCTTCAGAAGACACTTGGCTGCAGCACCTTTGACCGGAGCACCAAGTTTGTATAAAGCCTCACATGCTGCAAAGACCTTATCTCTGAGGTATAAGCGCACACTCTTGATGCGTGCTGATATGTCAGCTTTGAGGCCAAGCTGATCAAAGCGTGATTTCGGCATAAAACACCGGGGACATGGGCAAACTCCTTTGTTGCGAATAGTAGCAATAAGGACTCTATTTGAATGTTGTTGGTTAGTGTGAAAGTCAATGCAGTAAATTAGCTCACTTCTCTGGGTAATCTGCTGAATAAGTAAAAATCCTCGGAAAGACTCGTTGAGACATGCCATTGTGGCATTTGATCACAATCCCATTCCTATACGCATCTAGGAACTCATCATCTAATAGCATGCGCCAAAGCGCATGGAACAATTCCCGTTTGCAATGTGTGAGGATGTCGCTGATGCTCTTCGTCTTGACATACTTGCCGATGAAACCTACAATAGATTCTGGTAGCTAGAGACAAATTGTGTTAGGGTACTTGCTGATTGTCTGATGGGAATGATGTAAACTTACAGAAGGAATAAATGTGATAGGGTGACAGGCATTGGTGGTCAGACAGGCATGGATGTATTTCGATTGGTTTCCAAAAAAAAGATAGACTGGCCATGCAGAAGTGTTGCCAAACTGAGTGTCACAACCCAATAACGAATTAACGCTGGGCAGAGACTAGGACTCAAACAAAGGTTATCGGACAAAGATGAGGAGGAGCAAGTACGTCTTGGATTGCTACAATGTAGATACAAGAGGTTTGAACTAAAGAACTATCGACCAAGACATGCTACCTATATACAACTATTGAGACGGAGATTGAAACTGAGTTACAACTACTAGCCAATCATAAAAAGAGAAAGGGAATCGTACCATAGAACATCATAGAATATTAAAGAAGCATCACGTGTCCGTATCTTATCTTATCGTATCTAATCTAATCTATTCACAATCAAAGAACTCATCTTCTTCATCAGTCACATCGAAGACACGTGTTGTGGGCGCTAAAGGTATTTCGGGAATGATAGATGCTTTCAGGGTAGGGTTAGGGTTAGACTTAGGTGTTGTGTATTGGCGTTTAGGAAGATTCAGGAAAGAATAATGGTTTGTTAAAGGTACTCGTGACACTGAGCCAAGTGCATTGCATCGGACCCGAACATGAGTCCAGTGATTACCCGCTCCAACTGACACCCATTGTCCCTTTTTTGCTTCTGCAGCTTGTCATAGGCCTTATTCCAGGCATCTGAAGTATAAAGCTCATCATATACGTGTTGCTCTCGTCCAGTTAATGGCAATTTCCAAAATCATTTGAACAGAGTGAGGTGAAACCAGCGTGATGATGCCTCTGAGAAGGCTGCACGAATAACAGCGACGAGTGGCCGGTAATGGAAACCTGGGATGGTAAATAGTTGCCTGTTGCCATCTGCATGTCTCTCCCTAGTTGGTACTAGTATTTCCGCTACTGATTCCCTCCAGCTATCTCTTTGAAACATACCATTGGCATCCTTGCTTCAGAGGCGTCAAAGCACCTCATTTTGGTGTGAGCATTGAAATCATCGGGTACATCATCGAGACTGAAATCCTTTGCCTTCAGCACTTCGCGAACAAGACAAGTTAACTGAGATTCAGATGTAAGACCACTATTACTGGTCATCTTCCAAGACATCAAGCACCAGATACTCATACTTCTCCATGGCCAAGGGGGTGACTGCGAAAAAACTTCTGGGCTCCTGGAATGATCAGCCGAATCCTGTTCATCAAGGGAAGGGAAATCGGACATGATATTGGATAGCTGCTCAACGGAGACAAAAGCATCTGGGTCATATGACAGTCAGTGACGATACTCCTGACCAATTCCAAATTGATTGAGAGATGTGTGAAAGGAATCGAATACATGAAGAATCACCCGGTGCACAACAGTCGTCGAAGCTGGTGCTGGAATGGCAGGTGGCAGGACAGGAAGTTTGTCCCTGAACCATAAGGGTAGGCGATGCGTTCGAGAGGGATGATCAGCTTGATTCTCTGGCTGCTCCTCCTGTACAATGTCAAGTGCAGAGGCGCTAGACGAGGCCATTGCCAAATCATTGATGCTGGGTGGAGATGCAGAAATATTGGGGGGGTCAGGTGTCACAGTGTTTGTAGGCATGGGTGGGGGTTCTGGGGCAGGGGTGGGCTGGCATTCAGGTGCAAATTTCATCTTCTTTGCAGGAGGTTGCGAATCTTGTAGGGACATAGATATGTGTTTGAAATGTTGTGATTGTAGAGTCAGTTGATTCTGCCAGTGTTTGCAGGTCTGACAGTGACGAGTCAGGCTTCTAGGCGCTGAGAACATTCGGCTGCAATCCCCTCCGCATTTGAGGTTCATGCTAATGAAAATGATGATAAGTATGAGGATACGAATGAGTTTCATGGCCTCTTCATACTATAGATGCACCGTGGATGTGATAGAGACTTTGAAGTGGGGTATTTTAGACCCCGACAAACTCATTTGCAAGATCCATCAGAAGTTTTGAACCTGGTAGATTACAATGCAAGGTCAAAGAATTTATGTAAATAATAATGTAATGAAATGCAGGTAGGTTAAGTTCTGAAAATATGACATGGCTAACTTAAGCCTTACATTTTGATGGAGCACTAAGCAATAAACATGTCATCCCTTGACTACGACTCCCGCTCCAACGACTTCGAGAATCACTCAAGGGAGTCTACTCCCAAATGTCTCTTGGGATGTACAATGAATTCAGGTTGTGACTACGGGCCTGGGCCTCATGTGTATTCTTGTAAATGCCATAGGTACCTGAATGTGCTCAAAAAGTTCCAACAACCTCCAACAGGCGAAGATGGTGGTCCCGAAGATGACAATCATGATGTGAGTGTGCAGCCCAATTTTTGACTGATGCACTCACTGCCACTGGCACATGCAGACTCTGAGTCCACACGACGTCGGCCATGACATGAATAAGAGGCGAGCAACATCAGTACCTGTCATTGAACTTCCCCTCGAGAAACATAGGAGGACTGGAAGGAATTATGTGTTGTGTGAAGAGGAATTGCTGGCAAAGGTCTTGCAGGAAGTTGTGGGAATGCGTAAGTCATAGAAGCAATCTTTGGCAGGTGACACTCAGTTCTTCTTGAACTCTGTAACACTATTGAAAACCATGGCATGTGAATCGTTCTATATAGACTCACAATGTAATAAAAATCAGTATTGCAGCTAAATTCTTGAGCATCCTCTTGTGACGGCCGCGAGGTAACAATGTCATCTGATGTATAGGAATGATCGCATTGGAGTCAGCGAGTTTCAAAACACCGAGGCCGTGTCTCTTCTGCACCTATAATCAGTATGTGAATTGTAGAACTCACCATAAGAGTAACAATATGTACCTTGCCCTTCTTCTCATCCACTGACAGAGCACCATGGATCAAACCTGATCCACTCTCTCTTGTCTGTCCCAGCTCAAAGTCCTCGCCACTCTCTGATTCATCAACAAAATTTGCGAGCCACCGTGCCCACCCACCAGGTCCATCCCCATGCCAGAGCACTATCTTCATGTCAAACTCACGCCCAAAGACGATTACCTGACCCACTGCGCCGTCCTTGTCAGGGTTGAGGTCGACACCAATATAGTTGTCTGCCTCATCGACGACAAGAGGGATCCAGCCACGCTGGGAGTATTCTTTCCACACATAGCCATCAGGTAGAGACCGCATGGTATCGCGCAGATGTGGATTACTTCCTGTTTGAGGGTCGTCGTCGACATTGCGCCAAAACCACCATCCTTCAAGGACAGCTTTGAGAGGGAGTAACAAGCCTAGAAAGTCGCCGATGGTGAGTGTCGATTCCCATTGCACAGTGTAAAGCAAGGTACAGTGATTGTTTATGTGAAAGAAGCTCAGCACTTTGGGGGTGGATGGTATTCAAAGCATGAGAGACGTGGAGCTGCATGGCTGGCGAGGGAGCAATGAGCAAAGGGAGGATGTCCTAATGGCGAACATGTTAGATAGCATGAATAAGTTGTTAAATATGATACCCACAGAGCCCCCTTTCCATTTGATTCCCAAACAGTGACTGCTAGTTTGAAGTCACCAAGGATCATTGCAAACTCAGCTAAGCATCGTTGCTGGGATGGTGGAGGAATGGTGGAACCAGATACTGAGAACTGAGTTGCGGTGTATGTACTCGAACGTGTGGGAAGAGAAGGTGTAGAGGAGTGCACTGGGGTTGCAGGTGAAGTTCCAAAAGCCTGAAAACAAGCGTAATGGTAGTCTTCGGCAGCTGGAATACTGGTGAAAGAACTCGGTAATTGGCATCCAGAAAAAGGCGACAGAGGCTGGCATGTGCGATGAAATCTAGAACTGTCCGGCAGCTTTGAAGGGGTAGAACACCGGTTGCCCCTTGCCATGACCAATCTTTCCTGTCCCTTCCAGGACAAGGAATGGTATGCCCACAGTGTTTGCTCTTGCGTCCGCCCACTCACATCTCCCAGTCGTCCCAGAGCTATATGTCACAACCCTCCAGCTAGTAGCAGCACTTTTATCTTTTTGAGCTGCTACAGGTCATGGATGAGCCAAAGCCTTCAAGGAGGCCAAGGGACCATGATCCCGCTCAGCCAACCGATTTTGCAGAGCACATGGTTGCCTTCCAGAGAAGAAATGCTGTGTATGTTTTATTTCTTTTTCATATGTAATGCATTGACTGAATTTTATTTTGTTTATCTAGTTGAAGTCATCCCCGTGAACATCCTGAGCGAACACCTTCATCTCATCTGCAACTTTCAAATCCTAATCCACCACTCTCCTGCAACAACATCTCCACGTAAGACTCTTCTTGCACCTCACATCATTGTATCCCACCCAGAGGCAAATTTATCACGGCACCTCAAGATATCTACCCCTCCCCCCCTACCATCACATCAGACCCATCAGGGCAAACTCAACACGGATCCCATTCCAATGAGATACACAACTGAGCCTGAATCAATTTCCAATGCAACAAGTAGTTCATCCCCACCCCGAACACCCCCACTTCCCATCAGAGAGACCCTACAGCAAGTCGTCAACTATTCGATCAACTATTCGATCACAGGAAGGATGATCCTGTACGATTTGCAGTTCTTGCCCATCCATCGTCAACCGATGCCCACCCTCCGCCTACACCTAAATCATCAGGAGACTATATCTCCGCGTCTTTGAATTTGTCATACGCTCATTTGTTGACATCGAGCTTCACCCTTTTTTCTTCTGGCGCGATAGATAATTCATCTGCATCATCCACATTATTCATCCCGCACTTCTTATAATCTATTCACAGAGCCAAGGTATGTTAATCCTGTATCACTTTACAACGATGGTATCTCACAAACTTTCAGGCAGCCATCGCGCCTCTGCTTCTTCCCAATCATTCAAATTCACTCACTCCAAATCGAACATCTCCACCTCATTCCGCTAATGCTCTCATTAATGAAAGGGCCCAGCGTCATTCCTTGCCATTGTCTTCAACCTCGGCCATCACTCCGCTTTGCCTATCAAGGGCTGCCTCGAGTCTACTCACGGCTTCTAGCACACCCACAACTTTAATAGCTAGCTTTTCAAATCTCTTTCTGAGCTCATCCAAGATGGGTTTCCGAGTTTGTTTCTGCCCGTTGGTAACGTCCCGACCCTAATTGTGCAGAGCATCCACATAAAGGTAAGCACATAATTTTGAAAGATACAGCTACATATACTTACATCACTGAAGTTGTCCTGTGACCTCTTTCGCTTTAGGCTCGGATGTTCCAGCAAAATCTCGATATCCGAGTCTGAGTCTGAGTCAAAGTTGGCGAACCAAGCCTGCCAGCGGTCCTTCGGGTCATTTCCTTGGGGTGCTAGATGTTCTGTTTTAGCCAGTCTGTGAGTTACTTGGCCAGGATATGAGCTTTTGAAACCTGCAATGCTCACTATATGTATAGCACCCACAGGAATACACCGGACCACCTTGCCCATGTGGCTGACCAGGACCAGGGCAGGAGTCCTTGTGACTTTGTGGAGTGGAGTTCCCCAACGCTGGAGTGATGGTCATCCTTGCCTGCACTTTCAGTGTTCATCAAGATGATAGTGTCGGCTCCATCATTGAAGCCAGAGGAGCGTGAGTCAATACTAGTCTCAGAATCTGCGTCAGACAACATGTTTGCTTGTGTCCCCCTTCAAGTTGGAGAGTAACATATTTAAATTCATTTCACTCCTCATCTCAAACTCGCACAAAGACGGCTAACCCTGCTCTGATACAGAAGTTCCTCTTGGATTCTCCCTGACCCTGCATTCCAATGTGCATGGGCTCCCGAAATTTTGTTGTCAAGCTCCGAGAGACCCTGCTGGCGATCATGTCACTTATGATATAGCGTCAAGATGGACTCGATTTCGAATTTCGACGCAAGTGCGGTTATTAAAATGGCTTAGACTAGGGTTGAACATCAAATGCTGAATGTTGAGTACTACTAGTTCTAAGTGGGGAAACAACCTAATGTCTGCAGCCCTTCCGTGGTACTTGACGCCGCTTAAATGATCTGTCAATGCCAACTAAATGCATCTGGTGTGTGACACCTGCTGATAATTTTACATGTGAGTCAGATCCCATGACCACTACTAGTAATTAATGATGACACCCCGTCGCAAGCTTTCCCTCTACTGGTGCCAGTGATATCGGTCCACCACTAGTCGAACCTTCATTTTTGCTGGCCCTGCAACTCTGACATTCAAAACTTCTGCCAGCAATGTTTGCGCAAGATCCGATACACTGAGACTAGTACTGCTTCCATGCCATGTCATTGGTGTGGTGAGTCACACTAAGCCACACTCCACAAGTCATACTCCTGAATCTGTCCTTCAGAAACCGCAGAATTCTCCTAGAGGATTCTATGCTGCTATGCCACGGCTCATTTGTCATGTTGAATATTGCATAGGTGGACACAATGCAAATGTTCTTGTCAGCAATGGTGGAGGACTGCAACCTGCCATGTATTCGAGATCAGTCACGATGACTTTAATTTTACCCCAGATACAAGCATGTAATTAGGTTTAGTGTAAAATCGGCGTGTCGTGAACTTTCGAAATAGAAATACCTGGGTTTCAGTGTATCAAATTGTCAGGGTTAAAATGCTCGGAACTTACTTGCATTTGCATTGCTTGGTCCAAAACACCAAGGGTTTGGACACATGTGCAATGAAAATAATTTTGACAATAGTTCTGAGGTCCCGCTGGTCAGGTGGCACTGTCCCGTCAATAGACTCAGGATAGTTTCATACTGTAAGTAATTGCCGAAAATATTCTAATGAAATCATCCTGACTTCAGCTGTGCAATGGGACAGGCTCAATGATTCGAGATCCGAGTACCCGAACTTTAGGCTAGACATTTTCTAGTTTCCCCATCATCATCTGGTACTCATGCCAGTGCCAGCGTTGCCCCTCGAACTCGAGAAAGAAATTATTATTCTCGCTATTGATTGCATACAGCAAGCTTACTCCCTTCTGTTTGTTTCACAGTGGATACATTATTGGTGAGCAACTTGAATTCCGAAGCACTGAATGCTGAGTTACTGAGTACTACTGTTGTAGGACTGAAAGGCTGCTTTATCGAAAAATTGTCCTGCCAAATGAAACTATTGCTATCTCCTTTCTTTCATCACTTTGTATTCGGTCCCAGTGCTGCAGTGATTTCACTCGAGGGGCTGTGCAATCACTGTGCATTGAGGGCGATGTACTTCTGAGCACAGCTGCAGATATCCTTTCGCTGTGCAGTGGTACCACCAATCTTGCATTATGGATTGCACCATCAGACTTCAATGAAACAACAAATCCTCTGCTGCGGCCCTTGAATGACCTCCCCCTAACATCATTATTGCTTAGTATATCCTTGATTTTCCATTACACCCAATTTGTCTCTCTTTCCACTTTCAAGGCCTTCAGTACAGTGACATGTCTTGAAATTCTCAATGCTTGGGTGCTATGGAACTCCACAGTTGGTCTGGAGTATCTTCATGGACTGATGCACTTGTGTTTACATATCCATACACAGAGGACTAAGCCAGAATTAGTGGCTTCCGTTCTCACTTTGTCACACCTTCAAGTAGTTGTGTTTCGCATCTCCGAAGATATTGAGGCAGTCCAAACATTTTTGGAGTCTAATTCCCTCAGCGACTCTCACATCGTGCTGGCATCTCAAATTCCCACTGCCTGGGGTGAATTTGGAGGTGATGACATGTCTCTCTGGAAGGGTGCTGATCAAGTAGTAGATTGGAGATGCGCTAGTACACAAGGTATGTCTTTTTATCCTACAAACACGCTTATGAGTGGCTAACACGTTCAGTAGGAGGGTCTGCACCAAGACAAAATGAACTCCTGTACTGTTCAAGGAAACTTGCCTTCTGAGAATGGCTGTAGGACTGGGGACAGGGCAAGAAATGGGCTCGAGGCATGAGTTTAGGGCTGCTGCTGCAGTGGATTCATGTATCAAGGCTGAAAGCAGCCCAGGAGCGATCATCTGCTCTTGCATTTTACATTTTGCAAGCTTCACGGGTGTGCTAGTTGAAAACAATAATCAAATACAACCTTTGTACAAGGTGTGGCTGACTTACGGTATGAAACTGGTGATGGTGCCTGCACCTGCACCGGTTAATGCAAGCTGAGGTAACTTGAGATCATGTGACATGGGCTGGGAGTTGATCCGCCATATCAAACTGATTGTTAGTCTTTTGGATGGAGCCATAGTGGAATGCGAGTCACTGCCCAGCTGACGGGATATATCGGCAAATTGGAATGGAGTTACGCTGGAATGATCGAGATTAACATAGTGAGCCTGAGGATCGTTGGGGATGGGGTATCCTGCAGCGGATGGTTGATGAGACAAGTATGCCATGCTGGATGGTTGCCTAGTGAGGTGACTGTGGTCCTCTTGAGGGGTATGTGCCATCGCCATCTGAGCATGGGGATGCATGGGGGGGAGCATGCAAGGTATCACTGTAGGCAGCTTGATGACCATAACCACCGTAATAATTCTGATAGTAGTGTTGAGCATTGAGGGCAGGGGATGCATTGTGATGTTCGATCATGGTTGGTGGGCGGTAATTAAAGGATGGCAGACTGACATTTGAAGACTGAGGTGCTCTGCCCGTCTTCATTGGGCTTGCATTTGCGGTGCTGGAATTTGAATTGAGAACACAAAACGGATGTTCAAAAATGAGACATACAATGCACCACATGATGAGGAAACCCAACACAGCCAAACCGGCGAGACAGCCAGCGATACCACTTACGACTACAGTAGTGTTGACGGAGCCTGAAGAGCTAGCAGTTGAAGGAGTTGCAGATGCAATGGTTCCGGTACTGATCACGATTTTAGTTTGTGATGTGGTTGAACGTGGACGTAGAGTGCGGAGTGACTGCCACTACGGGGGTCTATCAAATGATAAATAATATGCATGGGTATTAAAGGCAAGACACTGACCATGGACAACACAGTTTGTGGGACTGGAGTTGAGGAGGTGGACGAGGTGGTAGTGCTGGAGGTGGTGGGCATGTTGTGTTTGAGAACTAGTTTCCAAGATTGGGCCAGGAAAATTGTCGTCCAATAACGAAAAAAAGACAATTTTGATTGCCTATGCATCCATGCATTGAGACGCGCACGTTGACATCAAATGATCCAAAAGCACGACGATGTGATTGACTGATCAAAACGTCATAACAGTACGAAATCTCAATGTTCAACAACAGTAAACTTTGCCACGTGTCACGTGGCCTTGTGGGACTTGTTTGACATTGCCTTGTCAACCCTCTGCCCTTCCTGCTGTCCCCTATCCTGCCTGTTGTCAAGCTCTCCTGCCATCCTTGCCATCAGCCTACATACGTTTGGCGGACTTTGGGGGGGGGGAGTCTGTACAGACCTTACACAGCCCAGCTATATCCTTCATGTCCTCCTGCCAATGGTAAGTCCTGTCGTCAAACAAAACAGATGTCATTTATCCTGACATGTGCTAGTATAGGGCATGCGATCTCGGCTTTTCCGCCACCACAAGTTCTGACCACCGCTACAAAGGCGACCGGAATGCTCTCTGGTTGAGTTTACATGTTTTCCTAGAGTTCGTGCTGGTGCTTATCTCAAGCCAGGTTTTTCATTTTCGCCATTCTGTATGACTGCTGTACTGGTTCCAAATCTATTTCTTTTCTTCTTCTACCACTGTCTTGATTTCCAAGCACCGTTCAATGAGTTTCAAAGCCATTCTCCGGCAAGACAGTGAGTACTTTGATAATGACAAGAACAATGTGAGTCATACAACTCTCCAGCTCGAGCACAACTCTTATCAGAATTTGACAGACTGGCGCTCTGACATCAAGCTTGAGCAAAGCCCCCCCAAAGATCAATGGTCTCGCTGGCGTAACTCTGGGAGTGTGCGTGTTATGAGTCCTCCTGAGGTTATGATATACTGACTTTGGTTAGGATTGTCCAATCTATCACAACTATACTTGCTGGTATGATCATTGTCCTTGTATATGCTTGGAAGCCGGCTCTTGTCGGCATGGGTGCGTCTTTATTCACGATTTTGAGCCTTCCACTTATAAATCTCATCGTTTTTCAGCATGCATCCCTGTTCTGGTGTCCACTGGCTTTAAATGTTTGGTACGTGACCTGCATTTTATGCTCCCGTCGTGCTAAATGCCTTCTGGCAAGTCGTTGTTCTGAAAGATCAAAATAACAAGTCGGTGCATGAAAGCTCTGCTCAGATTGCCTGCGAAGCTGCGGCAGCTATTTGTTACAAGAACATCTAGACGCTTGGGCCCCTACCATTTTTCTCCTCATCCTTCTGGTATCAGCCCTCGCATCATACCCTTACCCCGACCTCACCCTTGTTATCCTTGTCATCCTCGCATTCCCTTTCGCCCTCTACCTGTCGCTTCAGCAGAGCCAGTCCATCTGGCCGGATCCTTTTGCTGACGAAGCATACCCATGCTCCGTTCCACCACCTGACTGATCCTGTGGACAGTCCCCTTGCCCTTACCGTCAGGACGGTAACCTATGATACGATGCATGACACATCCCCTTTGCCCCGTTTCCTTTCTTAATCTCTGACTCGGTGCGCAGTCGCACATGCGACTTATACTTAGATCCGCAGCTGCACGATCGTGCCCCTGCGCGTTTCACTTCTTATTCGATCTCTGACTCACTTTCTTATCCAGCACGTTCTACCTCGACCGAACGTGCCTTCCTGTTATGGTTATACCCCTTACCAATTGCCTCTCTGGTAGTACGAGTTATCATCCACTAATACGTCTCCTGTCCTCTATATAAACTCGCTACCATGTACCATATTCCCTAACTTGAATCTACTTGGTTCTTGACCTCCTACTCTCACCAGAGTGATCCCTTCTGCCTAGCCAGCAGTCGATATTCTATCTTCTTATCTGCTCATCGCGGATAAGCCTATAGTCTCGATCTTTGCTCATCGACTTCTGTCGACAAGCAAAGCCCCTGTTAACTAGTCGGACTTCTGTCCTTCTAATTAACGACGATCCTTACGATTAACCTTCGGGTGTCGTAAGTCTTGGCAGATACAGCTCATCGTCTAGCATCCGCCTTACGTAAGCTACCCGATTCGGACATAGGCGTCAAATCTTACTTGCCGACACGTCGCCAAGTAAGACCCCTAACCTTGGGCTAGCCCAAGGACGTCCTCGACCGTTGACGACAAAAGCTCTGTTTGAGCGTCACCAACAGATACCATCCAAGTCGTAACACTATTCGCACTGTTGCATCATTGACCCAAGAAGAGCACTGCCTTAATCTTTACAGATGGTGCCTGGAGGACCCGTCAGAACATTCATCAGGACAGTGGAACATTCTGTTCATACTCTCTCAGGCTATGGCGCGACACTCATTTCATAGCTGAAGATTTCCATGCAATCATTTTTCATTGATTTGATGGTATGGCCATTTTGTCAACCTTTAAACATCCTTGAAGTGAACTTAACATTGGCAGAGTATGGTATTTGGCGCAATGCAAGCTGGTAATGTCTTTGCCTTCGTGCCTGATGTCTCGTCGGCCAAAGTCGGCTCTAGCGGTTGCGGTAAAAGTACAGTGTAAGTCTTGTCATTCTACAGTATTTTGACAGGCATTTGAGAGTCCATTTAGCATCCAGTCAGTAGAGCGTTTCTAAGATCCAATTTCTGGACAGTTTTCACTTGACGGTCACTCAATGGAGAGCTTATTGATGTGTTTAATGTCCAAGCATATCAATAGCAGCTTTTACTTGTGTCACAAGAGCCTGTGAATATGCTCATGATCTTAATCCCTTGGTGGAGAGGAGCTGACTACTTGCCTTGCAGACTTTGTATGCGGGAACTATCCACTTCAATATCTTGCTCGGTGCCTCCAAACCGGAATCTGAGCAATCGCTTCCAGAGTAAGACCTTCATACCATGCGAACTCGAGGCATACTGATGTGTTAATAATAGTGGATTTAATACTGAAGTCACTGGCAAGGGATCCCAGCTTTGGGGGTCAAAGACGTGGGCATCACTCATTGGTCAAAACGGAACACTTGCATTACAGTCCTTCGTCGTGCTTGTTCAGTAAGCGAACAGTGGTGCCCATGAATTGTAAGTGCTATGGCTCGAGGCCTCTCAATACAACTGGTACTAAAATACATCTTACACTTGACAGTACACCTCGCGAATTATGTCAGGACCTGGGGACTTAAATGTATGATGGCTGGAGAATTGTCTTCTCCTGTCTCTCGAAGACATCTACTCCAGTGTTTGGAAACTACGGCAGATAGGTTGCTAATGGTGAGGGTTTGCTTTCTACTGGATGGGCTCACCTACCATTCTCAATCGCTTTCCATATTATAGCCTAGAGCTCTGGTGCGCCAAATGGTCAGCTTCATCGAGGTAAGTGATGATGTGGACAAAGAAGTCCATAACCATCAGGGGACAGAGGCGGTGAAACATGGTAAGGCATTCAGGCGATATGATCTCAATGTCATCTAATGTCCTAACCCCCAACAACAAGATCCACCCTCTAGTCGCTCTCAAATGACGAATTGCTGCACTCAAGGAAGAAAATGCGGACCTCCGAGTCCATGGGCTCCCTGGGAAGAAAAGGTATGTCTAGTGTTCAAAATTGCGGCACAACAAGTTAATAAAACATCCAAGTAGTGAATTGAATGCATACTATGGTCGACCCATTCGAAGACTCGTATGTCTGACCGAGCGTGTCGAAGATTTGGTAGCCAAATTTAACAGGCACATTGGGCTTGGCACTGTCAACAAATCAGATGTGGACAAGATGGATTCAGATGACCCAGAGTAAGTACATTTTCACAACTTTTACTGGTTAGCACTCATGTCATGTTCCAGTGAAAATAGGCGGTATTGCTCCTTCAAGAAACTCATGGTATGGTGTCCCTCGGCTTATAATCTGCTACGGTTGTCAGCCGAGCACGAAATTCTTGCTTTTGCCTACAACAAGGTGAGTCTCCCCAAAATAATTCATTGATGAAATGTGACTGTATCTTGCATCCAGCTGAATGAAGGCTCTGATGGGGCCAGAGGGGACGACTTGGCTAGTCTTAAGTGTGCTGTTGCCGATTGGCTAATGGAACGCACTCCCACACCAAATCCCACCATTCACAGACAAGATAAGTCTGGTCAGGGTTTTTACAACAACGTGACGGGCAGACTGCTGTGCCCAGTTGATTACGACTGGAGCAATCACATGTAAGGGCTCTTTTCTGACCTGCGCCATAACTAACTGATGTCTTCAAAGTGTTCAAGCCTCCATTTGAGACTACCATCCTGATTTTTGTATCACCGCTTGTTCCTGGCCGATATTCCTGTACAAGGATGGATGTTATGACCCCCAGAATCCTACCAATGGTTTGTTTAAAGGCAAACTTCTTTTAAAGGTAAAATTATTATGTTTGTTAGAAGCATACTGAATGCAGTCTTCAGGCATTTAAACACGTGTTCACCTCTCCAACTTCCACATATGAGGAACAGCCTGCTGACTTGGCGGCTCGTTCTGTATGGAACAAGAACAGCAGCGAGCATCGCACTTGGTGCGATGTTTCAACACTCCTCAATATGTGGTCTATTCAACCTCACACCATAGCCTATGTGTCTGTTCAGGTACAGACTATTTAGCTCAATATTGTGTGCTTCGCTGATATGGGGATTTAGCTAAGATTTGCATTGTTGAGTGCAGGATCTTGGCACATTGTTGACGACGAATTCAACCACAAGAGTTCTATGACAATATAGTGGACTATCTCGAGCTCCCTCCATCACCAGAAGCTGCGAAAGATGTTGACGACCTTTTACTGTGGTGGAATCAGTGAGTAGTTTTGGCATCACCATCTTTCATTGATTCATTTGGGATTTGTTTTTTAGAAAGGTTTTTGGTAGAAAATTTGTTTCCGATTATTGCCCGCAGCATGCAAACAAAATGTCTGTCGCCATGACTTTGGCCAGGCGCTAGATGTAGCTAGTACTTAATGTTAAATGTTTAACTGGTAGCTATATGTAATTTTACATTGTACATAATGAATGATTAAAACTTTTTATGACACATTGCCGAGTGAGATTCTAGTACGCATCAATATTTGACATTTAAGACCTGCAATAGACAATATGCCCAGACATTCTGCGCTACCATAATTTAGAGATAAATGGTCCACCTTCGTCACTCATTTGGTATCTGGTAGTCAACAAAAATATGATAGATGTGGGACTTCATGTAGTGAGTTGTGTGTGATGCCGCAGTATTGAAAGTTGGGTGTGCTTGTCTCAAGGACAACAATACTAGTAATCAGGGAAAGCATCTACATGACTTGCAAGCTCTGGTAGCATACACCACACTGATACATGTGGGCTACAAGCTCCATACAGATAATTATGTTCAAAGAACCTAAATTCTACAATACAATTTATCTTCCGTATATTTCAGTTGGAATTGTCTAATGTCTGACTTTCCGTTGTGTAGTTATAAAGCAATGTATCACACGAAAAGGGTGATAATTCCCTCACTTAAATGTCATACTTGGTAATCTGTCAAATGTATATAATTACTATTTAAATTGACCAAGGAGGCTAGGTGTGTAAAGGTATGTATGATGTTCAATACTTGTTAGTTAATCATCTTGTAAATATTTCAGTTGCCGTTGCATAACGTCTGACTTCCCGATGTGTAGTTATATGGTAGTGTATCACATGAAAAGGATGATGGTTTCTTCACTTACGTGTCACACATGGTAGTCCGGCAAATATGTAAGGTTATTATTTAATTTGGCCAAGGAGGCTAGGTGTTTAAAGGTATGTATGACATTATATAATTACGTGCCATATTTCACCTGATTGCAGGTATTATGACAGGCTCCTACCCACCACTGCTTCGAGGGTGAAGGCGGACTACTGCTACTATAGTATTAGGATTTTGAGTGATCACATGGTACAAACAATTTTTCAAACCCAGCACAACTTTAATCCTTCACCCTCTCAGCAGCAGCTGGCAGATAACATTTGTAAATACTGCCAGCCACAGCGGCACGTCACTGCCGACAATGTGCGGACACTTAAATGCCTAAGAGATGTAGCATTTGTACCTAAGTCTAATAATAATATAATTTATTATTATTCTTGTGCTACTCAAACAATGACGATGTCGGATCAAGTTGACACCCTCTTGGAAGCATTCGATCTTGTTGGCATCTCAGCATCAGAGTTCCTTGTTGAATTGCTAACTAATCCCCATTACACCACCCACAAGAATACAATCAATTTAAGATCATGCAGCCTGTGCATCATCAAGCTTCTCACAGGACACCCAGGAGCTTCTACAGGAGGTGCGCTGAAGTGGGCCGGTGATATCATGAAATATAGGTGTGCACTGGAGATTCAAGAACTATCAGCAAAGAAATCTGGCTACCATTTTTCAGTCTTGCATGCATCTGTAGAACAACTTGAAGAATTTGACATGGAAGAGTTAGGTGGAGGGATGCTACAATGCGCACCATTCTTGTGGGATATGCTTGATGTCCTTCTTTCGGCAAGGAGAAGTAGCAATTGGAGAGACTCACACAAAAGTTTGGACAACCAAGGCAATGATGATGATGACGAAGCTCAGTATTGGGAGGAATTGGTGTTACGACTTGGATGGTATCTGTTGGCGACGCTCAAACAGAGCATGTGTCGTCAACGGTCGAGGACGTCCTTGGGCTAGCCCAAGGTTAGGGGTCTTACTTGGCGACGTGTCGGCAAGTAAGATTTGACGCCTATGTCCGAATCGGGTAGCTTACGTAAGGCGGATGCCGAACGATGAGCTGTATCTGCCAAGACTTACGACACCCGAAGGTTAATCGTAAGGATCGTCGTTAATTAGAAGGACAGAAGTCCGACTAGTTAACAGGGGCTTTGCTTGTCGACGAAGTCGATGAGCAAAGGTCGAGACTATAGGCTTATCCGCGATGAGCAGATAAGAAGATAGAATATAGACTGCTGGCTAGGCAGAAAGGATCACTCTGGTGAGAGTAGGAGGTCAAGAACCAAGTAGATTCCAGTTAGGGAATATGGTACATGGTAGCGAGTTTATATAGAGGACAGGAGACGTATTAGTGGGTGATAACTCGTACTACCAGGAGAGGCAATCGGTGAGGGGTATAACCATAACAGGAAGGCACGTTCGGTCGAGGTAGAACGTGCTGGATAAGAAAGTGAGTCAGAGATCGAAATAAGAAGTGAAACGCGCAGGGGCACGATCGTGCAGCTGCGGATCTAAGTATAAGTCGCATGTGCGACTGCGCACCGAGTCAGAGATTTAAGAAAGGAAACGGGGCAAAGGGGATGTGTCATGCATCGTATCATAGGTTACCGTCCTGACGGTAAGGGCAAGGGGACTGTCCACAGGATCAGTCAGGTGGTGGAACGGAGCATGGGTATGCTTCGTCAGCAAAAGGATCCGGCCAAATGTACTGGCTCTGCTGGAGCGACAAGTAGAGGGCAAAAGGGAATGCGAGGATGACAAGGATGACAAGGGTAAGGTCGGGGTAAGGGTATGACGCGAGGGCTGATATGAGGAGGATGAGGAGAAAAATGGTAGGGGCCCAAGCGTCTAGATGTTCTTGTAACAATTGGGTGATCTAGAGCTGGAAGGTCATGGTCTTCCCCAATGACGTGCCGGCGATGCACACTATGTCCCGGTCTTTCTGGATGAATGCCTTGGCGACTTTCATCTGCCAAAGACATGGCCACTTGCCGAAACGCTCTTGTGTGACCTGTTGTATCTCGCTGAAACTAGGGGCTTCAGAAGGTTGTTCGGACATGTGCAAGGCATAGGCTAAAATAATTAACTTTATTGCCATTCCAACTACAGTATTTTTAAGTGTCCGCACGTCGTCAGCAGTGACGTGCCGCTGTGGCTGGCAGTGTTTACAAATGTTATCTGCCAGCCGCTGCTGAGAGGGTGAAGGATTAAAGTTATGCTGGGTTTGAAAATTTGCTACCACATGATCACTCAATGTCGCAGTCCGCCTTCACCCTTGAAGCAGTGGTGGGTAGGAGTAGTGTTGCTGCGAGGCGAATCGAATCGAATCGAGGTGGAAATTTGTGGTACCTCAACACAGTTCGATACTTACGAGTTGCAATGAGTTGCGCCTCGTTCGACTCGCGAGTTACTAACGAGTTCGGAATTATGCGAACCGGTGGTTCAGCCAATGAGAAGCCAGGGATGCTAGATACTGCCAATGATGATTTTTGCAAGTAAATACACGATGAGCAGACAGAAACTACAATAAACTAGTTACAATCAATTTCCCTTGCATTTGCAAGCAACTGATCGAGCTCGCGAAGATTCCCAGCAGCCATTAGCTCGTCAACTGCTCTTGAAGTCACAGGTCCAGATATTGTGTAGTCCTGCTCATTAGCTACCAGGTCCTCCATAAAATTGAGGTGGTCTTGCTTGTAAGTGAACTTCAGAACTTGTAGCGCCTCGAGTATGGTTGGAGATAGGTTGCTGCGCCGTAGAGTGCAGGTCTCTTTGCTTGATGAGAATATGCGCTCAGAAGGCACAGATGAAGCTTGAGCAGGCAGAACGTCCATGGCAACACGAAATAGAAGCGGGAATGTGTGTTCTTTTTGCTAGAATATAATACTCCTTAATCCTATGAAATTAATGAAAAAAAATGATATGACATACCTCCCAGAAACGAACTATATCCGTTGTGTGTTCAGCCACGTCAGGTAGTAATCCTGCATCTTTGTAACGAGAAAACTTGCACTCGGCATCTTTCCTGTCTTGTTCGAGTTCCTTGTGAATCAGTTCCTGCACAGTTTCTGATGCTGTCGATGGTTCGGAGACAATGATGGTGGGAGTCAGAGGAGTAGTGCTAGTAGTAGGAATGGGAAGAAATTGCTGTTGAGTTGGTGAGCTCATGCTGTGATGTCGAGGGCGTTGATAGTTCCTGCTGGGCCTGGCTAACTCTGATGGATGTACAAAATGAAGTCAGATATTTAAGTGTTTTACTTCAATTGAAAATTTCAGTGTCCAGTCAGGGTCTCAATAGCCGAGAGTGACAATCCAGATTCCAAGTTCTTTTGGATGTTGGAGGGGAACTTAGCTGCCAATCTGTGTGCCAATTGCAATGAAGGGATACAACAATAATGACCATTATGATGTAGTACAGGGGATTACGATGTATGGATGTAAACTACATGAACTCGTTTCTAACTCGCGAGTCCAACGAGTTGTAACTCGATTTAGTTCGGAAGGTTCGAGTTGAAACGAATTGGGTCATTTTCGAGCCGAGCCGAGTCTAGCTCGAGTTGACCTCACCTCGACAACAACACTAGATAGGAGCCTGGTATTATGACCGTTATAAGGGGGATATAATGGTTTATAGCGGATCTTGACTCTCAGTGATGTAGTTACTATCTTGCCAAAAAAAACATAGATCCTATGCTTATATGTCAATTGGCGGTGTAATACCCATTTTTTCCTGCGACCAAGATCCAAACACGCTGCATTCAGGACGTGACCGTGTCCACAATGCTTGCAGCGATGTTGTCTCACCTTCCCGACTGGAAACAAAATATTGTTTTATGTTGACCGCAGTATGTGCAACTGCAGAAAATAATTGGGACGTTGGGAATACATAGGAGGCACTTTCAATTCTATCCCACCCGTGAGCATTTTCTCTAGGTTTATCAAACCTTCTGATTTTTCGAACTCGTGCTGGGGGCTGAGCGCTCTCACTGCCTCTCAGGCTGCTGTCAATGTCAATGCTACCCCGTTCAATTTCCGAACCAGAAGAACTGCTGTGGGCCCATTCAAGGTTAATTACCGCTGCCCTGTATTTGATGAACTGTGGATATATCAGAGGTTTGGACTCTGCTTATGGCTACAGGAACGGTATCACTCCCATCATCGCCGTACCCCCAGCTGGCAAAAAGTGAGCAACGCATACATAGGAGAAATCGTTGACTGCGGCACTTTCAGCCATCAAGTATCTTTGTCACGCGCTTGGCTCTCCAAAATCCCAGACGCGAGGTACACGTACCCGCATTCATCGGCAGGTGTACTGCAATGACACTGGACGCTCTGCAAGTTCGGAACGACTGTCATCGGATATCCAGAGCTATTCACCCATCGAAGTACTATATTGCAATTCGCAATCTGTCACCGGTTCACCATAACCCGTTCTACAGTTGCGGTGATAGTGGCACATCAAGTCAAATCAAATGAATCTAAAATGGTCTCTCAACTCCACCGCCTTCTTTGAGCCAAGAAATCAGGACTCCAACCAACGGTCCGTTTGCGTTGTTGAGAAACAGGTGCCCTTTCTCATCCATCCCGTTCGGACAACCTTTGATTGTAGATCATATCATGGATAGTGACGATGGCTTTGGACCCTCATCTAATACATAGCAAGACTGTCAGTGCTAGTGATGCCATCAACCAAAGCTTCTGGGTGCCTGACCTCGCCGTTCACAGTACCTCATGAGAGGCAAGGCCTATCATGTTTCCCAGGCTTGATCACATTTCAAGATATCGCAAATCCGTCACTTTTCATTGGTTTCCTAAGCAGTGGGATCCGACGGATCTATTGCAACATTCTTTCTTCTAGCCCGACATCAGCACGCTCATAATAATAACTCAGAACTGATTGTTGCTGACATCGAGAACAATTAGATGTGACTTCACGATACATTTTTAACGAGTAACTATTCGATAAAACATGCGTTTCAGTGCACCGTGACAATACATCTAACATATATCCCAAACATACTGCATACATAATAGCGTCATTACAAATTGAACCATCCACGAAGAAATTGATAAACATCTACTACGACCAAAGCAGCAATCCCAGAATTGACAGTGGAATTCTAGAAGTGCTCCTGTGAATGTACATGTTCAACGTTGGAATGAACAATGAACCATAAAGGAAACAGACCTTGGCAAACGTAAACTCAACATTATTGCTACTGTGCATGAGCGTTGCTGCCTTAATAGATTTCGCAAGAACACCCGGACCACAAAAGTAGGTCTGCGAGAGCAACCATGAGATTTATCAAGAAGACTAAATTCATCAGACTTACGCCAACTTTGGTCTTCAATTGTGCACTGCTACCAGGGAGATACTGACCAATCTCAATTGCTTCCCTGATCCTGCGATAGATGCTCTTCCAGTCGGGGCGGCCAAACATGGTGCGAGTACGAAGCAATGTGAGAGGATCATAATCGGCACCAGCATCGTTGACAGCAATGTTCCAGAGCATATCTTCATCAATCTTTTGAGTGAGGTAGATGTTGATGCGTAAGAAATTTGCTTGATATCATATTTGAGCTGAATATTTCCCGGGCCAATCGAAAGCACTCACGGTCAACTTGAGCTTCCTCGACCTCTTGCAATAGGCTCTGAAACCAGCCGAACGAGGGAGCATCACGACAAACCCAGAAAAATTCGACCCTTCGGAGAGAACCAAGATGACCTTCCCTTTGACGGTACCAGATATGTTTCAGAATTGACGCGAAGGGAGTAACACCTAGATAAAGGTAAGTATCAAGCATTAGGTCCTACGTCATTTCTTACCGATACCAGCGCCGATCAGCACAGCAACCTCGTTGTCGAACACGTCCTCAGCAGGAGCGCCATAAGGCCCGTCAATTCTGACATCAGGGAGTGAACGGGAAACAGTGGGATTGAGTTCGACATAGTCGCCACGAGTGCCGCCATACTCGGTTTCATCTTTTTCAATACCTTTCATGGCGGCCTTTGTCATTGCAGCAACCACAGATGGACCGCAGCCAAGCCGCTCTCCTAGGGAGTGAGTCCAATCACCAACCTGGCGAATGTGAACGGACACATAGGGGTCTTCAGGAGCCGAAGTGATGGTGAACTATATTTTTACAGCGGTCAGAAAATACGAAAGCCGAGCGGTGATCTACTTGTCACGCACAGGATGCCATTGCCATCGGGAAACTTCCGGGACCTGAATGAAGAGCCACTGGCCTGCCGTATACTTGAAACTAGTTTTGATGATCCGCAGTTCCATGGCTCCACTAGGATGAACAAGAACTTTGGACAGCGTTGTTGCCCTTCGAGCACGATACTCTCTATACATCCTTTCGGCGAAGTAAATAATACCAGGCCAAATGGTGAACCTCCAGCTCTCATAGCCAAGACAGTGCTGCGTAGAGTAGAAGGGGAAAGTATCAATGTAGTCCGGATTTGCAGAGTCGCGGACAAAGCACCCAGTGGCATGGCTGTAAAGGCCAATGAAGAAGAAGAAGGCGAGGTGATGAGTGTACCAAAAAGCTTCGAAACATTGGTTGCGGATTTTGTGGTGTGCAGTGGAATACATGAGGACCATGATTAGGAGCATGAAATGGCCAGTTATACCACCAGCCTGTGTATAATGGATCTGCAATGCATACTCCGGTCGAACCTCTGAAAGAAATCAATAACGAGCGTTAAATCCGAAAATCACCCTAGCACTCACGAGTGCGTTCAACGTTGAAAAAGTTGACATAATGGGCTGTAGTATGGACCATCGCCCAAAATGCCATGGAGTATGCGACCTGTCTATGGAACCAGATGTTCTCGTCGGCGGGGAAGAGCCACGCGAGCTTGGGGCGAACAACGCGAATGATATTGCGCAGCATGGGAACCAGTAGCAGTCCCGCATCAAATGCAAGAGTGAGACCAGCACCACGGGAGGTCCAGACAGACCATTTCAGAGCATTGAGAGCAGCCAACTTATTGTCGGTGGCCTATTAGACATATAGTGAGTAATTGATGGATCTGATGCGATGAATAAGGCTTACTTGCAAATACCAACCCAGAGCGAAAAGGGATAATTGGATACCATAAAATAAGACATTAAAAACAAGCCTTCTCGGGTTGAGGAACTCGCTCTGAAACCAGGATTCACCCATGGTATGATAACAGATAATGCGGTGGAAGTGAGTGGGGCCTGCCCCAATTGTAGGAAAGAAGGACGAGAAAAGAACAAAGGCGCTAGAACTAAGAAGAGATTTATAAAGTGTACCGGACGGCACAATGACAAGGTGATGTGATAGTAGAATTATACATAGTACAAGCTGTATCCTGTTTCCGACGTCCGACGTGGTTACGGCAACCATAACCGCCAGCCAAGGCAGCCTGTGCAGTTCAGCGCTGCAGCTCTAATTATAACAGATTCAAAACTTTGCCCAATGCATTGCTTTCACTGGAACTAATAATCGCCGTGACAGTGCACATCATCCCTATGATATACCTATTTTTGCAGTAACCCACCATGACCATATTGTTCTCGAACCGTGATTGCGGTTTTAGATGTATAATAGACATGTCACGGTTGTGATGTACTATTCCGAGTGCGATTTCGGTGCTGTTCAAGTTTGACTATTCATTCAACCTGCCTACGGGAGACAGAATATCGGCTTGCAAAATCAATCACTTGATCGTTGCGTTGATTGAAGAGTACGTTCTGCGGCGCAGCCGTTCGAAGTGAAACAAAATATATATCCGGGCAAAATTAATAAGGCAAAATGGCACGTGGTTTGTAAGATTTGTTTACGACGCGACTTGTTGAACTGCTCATTGCAAGGAACACCACTATAATGGCTACACTAGCCCCCTTCTCTACCTCGTATCGACAGCAGCCAAGTACAGGCACGCCATCATCAGTATTCCGTCAGAACCAAACACAACAAAGGCCGGCTTCTGCCCTTGACCTTCCAGGTCTTCAAAGCGCAAGTCGCGTGTTGCACGACCAGTTCATGAAGGATGCCCAGATAATACCAGATATTGGTGACATCCTCACAACCCGTAAATTGAAAACCCTCTGGTATATTCACTTAATCTCTAACTTCCTTTGCCAGCTGGTGGGCAGTCGTCAGCACTCTATAGCGTCTTTCCAGATGACTACCGGGCACCATTTCAGAAGAGGAGGCTTGTAGGCATTCCTGAAGCACTGTTCCAGTATTATAACAGTATGTCCAATAAATTCGGCTCTGATGCTAGCTTAAAGCTTTATAGCTACCAACGTTACTTCACACATGGGTCTAATACCCAAAATCGAGCGTGTATGGATATCAATTGATCATAAGCTATTTCTTTGGGATTATGTCGAAGGGTATGTGTGCCCTTCATACTTCTTTGCAAAAAAATTGATACAACCTTTCCAAAGTCAAGACATAAGCTCCTTTGTCGACCAACCAGATGTCATCACGCATGTCGCTGTCGTAAAACCAAAAGTTGGCGTCTTCGTCGATGAAATCACCTCCGTCATGGTCATTTGCACTCCTGTATCCGTTCTTTTGATTGGATTGTCGATGTCCTACAGTCCTTGGTACCAATAATCGCTCCCGCAAAGAAATCAAGATGTATGCAACAGACATGACGGTTTCGACTGACATCGAAATGTACCTCTGTTGTGGGGATGTCTGACGGGCGCATCTTTATGTGTGGTTCTCAAGATGGCTGTCTGTACGAACTGCACTATCAACAGAGCGAATCATGGTTTTCGAAACGGGTGCATATAGTCAACCACTCTGTTGGAAGCGTACAGAGTCTGTTCCCAAGGTTCACCTCGCCAAAGTCAGAAGGTTTGTGATTTGTTTGGTCCTTGACTTGCGATCAATAACTCCTGCATCCAGACCGCATCGTCGCTGTGATCTCAGATCCAAAACGCAATTGCTTCTATACTCTGTCTGCTAGGAACTCGATATCTATATACCAGGCAAGCAGCGAGAAGGCTGTGCACCATGTACAAACTATGTCGAATCTTTACAAGTCTGCGCAAGAGAAGGCACCTGGTTCTCCTGCTCTTACCCCTTCAAACTTCCAGATCGTGGCTCTACATGTCCTGGACCTAGGTGAATCACGGACAGGGGTTCAATTGATAGCCATCACCATGAACGGTGTACGCTTGTACTTCTCTCCATCAACCTCTGCATATAGTTTTTCATATGGGCCGACCCCAAGTGCTGCAGGCGGTGTGCGACCTCTGCAACTCATTCATGTACGACTTCCACCCCCAAATCTATTGCACCCAGACGAACAATCTAGCCCCCATCGTCCTGCTTACAACAGCTCCACCCGAAACTCACCTCCACAACCTCCATCCCGTCCCTTCATCGTGTCAGGACTCGAAAATTCATGTTATTTGGACGGACTAATGGTCTCAGCTCAGCCTGGTGATACAGATGGGACAGACTTTTTGCTTTGCACCGCTCCCGATCTCACTCGAATTGGCTCACTCGGGCAACTAAATCCGCCATCCCAACAACAACCATCCCAGCAACCAATATACGGTTCCTCATCATATGGGACTGGGGCAAATCAACGTCCTCCTTTAACTGAATATGCCACCTTGCTGGCCATCCCTGGTCGGACATGGTCGATGGCGACGGTTCCCCGAGAATCTATCCCTGCATCAGTTGCTCCTTCACCTTCAGTCACAAATGAACTTGCAACACAATTCTCTGAGCCTTCGCGACAGTTCATGATCCTCACGAATGTCGGTCTCACATTTTTGATCAAAAGGCGAGCTTTGGACTATCTCAAAGCGGTCATAGAGGAAGTCCAGACTGAGGGAGTGGTGCAGCCAATAATCGAGTTCAGAGACAGGTAGGTTTATTTGTCAATATATCGCTCAAAAACTCACTTCCGTCTAGTTTTGGAAGAGATCAGACATGTGCCATGTTACTTGGTCTTGCAAGTGGAAATACTTTCCTGGATGCTGGGGAACTATCGACAAGTGGCACTCTCTGCACAATAAATTCCGATATTGCCAACGTTGCTAAGCAGGCGTTCTATGATTTTGGCGAGCGACCAATCTGGACAGAACGAGTGACATATGGTACAAGTAAGTAGTGCATTCTCTAATCAGACTCGAACTCACACACTTTCAGGCGATAGTTCTGGTAGTGCCATCTTTAGTGGTCGAAGGGAGGGCTTTGCTATATATTTTGCGCGTCTAGTACGGCCACTGTGGAAAGACAAGTTAACAAAGCCAGGGTGAGATTCACAGTTGTTGTGGCCGAATCTCCTCATAATAAAAATGCACAGCCCCTCCGGTTTGCAACAGTCGAACTTCGATGATAACCTTTTGGTGACTGTACAGAAAAACCTCTTCGCATTGAAGGAGTTTCTGGATAAAAACCCTCACCTATTCCACTCTGCACCCGGGGAGCATTCAGTATCGCGGACATCATCTGGCAATGAGCAAGAAGCTTGGAAGGTTATTCGTCTTTTATATCGTGATGCTCTCGCTTAATCCTTCCTCAGGCTGAGCAAAATTCTGTTTCCCAGCTCCAAGCGCTGTTATCCAGGACAATCGAGGCGATATCTTTCATACTTCTGTTGAACGATTACAGGCTAGGGGAGCTGATAGCCCAGTAAGCGTTTTTGATGAGCGGCTTCCTAATCTCATCCTGATTGCCAGGTGCGATCTCGATACGCAAAAGTTGATCACCTCCATGACATTTGAGGACATTATAACTTCGCAAAATGGTGTCACAGCTGCACGTGCATTGGTTAATGTCGTAATTGACCAACAGATCGGTCAACAGATTAGCGTGCGTATCTGTTATAACTCTGCTGTACTGGGATGACAAGCTATGTACAGGTGGATACGATCAGTGAGGTACTACAGCAACGTTGTGGTTCGTTTTGCAGCACAGACGATGTCATGTTGTACAAGGCCAGTTGTATTTGTTTCTTGTTTTGGTGATTCGTCTTACAGTGAATCAGGCTCGTGAAAGCGTTCGTAAGGCTATGGAGTCGCGAAATCCCTCTGAGCGTCATAATTGGCTCGGAGAATCTCTGAGGTAAATTCAAAATACCAAATGGGGCCCATGATTCTAACTGTATTGCACCAGACTGTTTACCAAAGGTGCGCGGATGCTAGACTTCGACAAAATTCGCGAGGTTTGTGGTGAATACCAGCAGCTCGGTTATGCCAAAGGTTAGTACGTTTGGGTCTAGTGGTCACTGTATTCACACCTGCTCAGGAGCTGTGGAACTTCCATTGAGTTGCGCCCAGGCACTAGACCCTGATAACCTGGGCCTCGAATACTGGTATGCAGCATGTCCGCCAAATGACACCCGAAAGGAGTATTGCGATAGACGACTCAAGTGTTACGACCTTGTCCTGCATTCTCTAAGCGTCTTTGAAGAGCAATCTTCACAAAGTCCTGTAAAAGGGTCAGCGTCAAACGCGATGGACGACCCCGAAGCTATACGCAGCCATGCCTATGACCTTGCATTTTCCAGCGAGGACGAGATGTTTCACTCCACGTTATATGACTGGTTAATTAACCGGGGTCTTGCCGACGAGCTATTGGCGGTATGTCGTTTATCGTGCACGACGATTCCAGCCTCGCTGATAAGTCTGGAATGATTGTAGATGCGGCCTCCATTCCTGGAAGCCCACCTCAAGCGGGAGCCGATTACAGTTCCCAAGTATCAACTTTTGTGGCAATTCTATGTGAAAGACGGTCAGCCGTTACGCGCCGCCGAGATACTTGCCATTCTAGCAGAGTCTGAGTGAGCATTATGTCTATCTATTCTATTCAATCGGCACCTCACCAAACATACTAGTACTGACTTGCTGTTGGACAAACGCCTCGAGTACCTGACACTGGCCGTTGCCAATGCGAAGTCTCATCCGGTGACTATCGGTGGCAGGCATGAGACTGCTATTTCTTTCCTTACCAACCTCGAAGAAAAACTGGATGTCGCTCAAGTGCAGCTTGAGGTATATAACACCCTCCTACCTCATATGAATGATCCTGGAGAAGCTGGAGAGAAAATCAAGTATCTCAGCCAGACCTTGTTGACAATGTCCGAGGTATGACCCAATGAAAGATCTCAGTTGTCGTTTTATTCATGTAAATTTTCAGCTGTATCAAGTCTATGCGGAACCATTCGATCTACCGGTCATGAAGCTCTTGATCTTACATGTCTCTGATCATCACGATGAACATGTTGTCCGCCCCATATGGGATAGAATATTTGATGATGGTACGTAAGGTCAGTTGTATGAAGAGTTGGCGTATGTCTTACTTGCGTCCCGTTAAGCGATTGAGAAGGGTGCGGACGCACAAACCAATGCTGACCACATCATCGCGAGTGTTGTTCCACTAGGGAAACGATTTTATCCCTCTGAGAGTGCCTTCCCCTTGAGTGAGTCAGACTGTACTTCTTCCAGGTCTTCTCAGCTTATAACATAATTGCAGAGTACATTGCATCGTTGTTGGTCAAGTTCTCTCTCAAAAACAGAACACACCTACCAAACGGTTGGACTCCTCGGGTGCTTGTTCAGTGTGGTGTTCCTTACGCGGATGTATGGGATGTACTCCATGAGATGTATGAATCACAGGTAATTGGTCCCATCTGAGAACTTCGCACCAGTGAAACTAATTTTGGCACCCAGATACCGCCCTTCAACACGCAGAGTGGCGTGCAAGTCGTATCAGCTGACATTGCAATTCTTTTAAACGACTGGCTTGAGGAGGCAAAGCGCCCTCAATCTTCAGTTCCCCGAGGAGAATTCCCTGTTGGCAGAATAGATCTCGCTGTTGGGCAGTATCTGACGGAACTAGGTGCCAATCAAGCGGAGACAAAGGCAATTTATGAAGGTATCAAGCGCCAGCTGAGAAGAAACTGGTAATACATGGGATAGCTTATCTATTACTCATCATAAAATCCTACTACTTTCATAAGACCTATATCGGGCAAATCAACTGACTTCCAGGATGACATCTTCCGCGTACAGAAGTAAACGTTCGCTGATCTTTCGCGTCAACTTATAAGCCTTGTATAACGCCCTGCATGCAATGATCAGGCAGATATAGAATATGTGTAAGGAACACCTGCCTCGCAATGCCAACAACTAGTAAACCCAATATGATCATCGCAGCTATGTCTGTTGAACTACCCCTCCGGCTTCTATTCCCTCTGAAACGAGCTATCCAATGGACCGGCCCAAGGAGAGGCACGGACAAGAGCATATGAACTACGGACCCGGCACCTATCATAGGGAGGCCGATAATGAACCTGCGCACAAACCGCTTCAAGAATGATGGTGAGGATGGGAACGGGGCAGGATTAGTTCTCGTTAGTCTTGCAGCGCTGTCCTCTAGAGGTAACGCGTCTTGATCTCGAAGTATTCGTAATGCTGCGCGGATGAGATCGTGGCCAACGTCAATCGGCGAGATGAAGAAGTAGTAAGACGATCCGTAGAACGAATGATCCTCGAAAGAGTCCATGAAATAGGTTGTAACATAGGACGAACACATGACGAGTATGGTGAACAAAAAGGAAGATATCATGCCAACTACGACTGGAAGAGTGTTAGTATCATCTCACTATACGGAGGGACTTTTACTCACTCGGGTTGGTCGCCAACCCAATTGCTTTGGTGCGAGCAAAGTGATAGCGGTAATGACACTGTGGACAGCGATAGAAAGAGTTATTGCTGAAAGACGAGCTCCTCCACTTTTTCAGGCAGGCTATATGAACATGCTGAATACTCGTTCAGTGTATCGAGGTTCGAGTTGTTGGAGAGAAGTGACTGACGCTAATGGAACCCTTGCACAGACAAGGTCGAATAAGTCTTCCTGATGAGTCGTCTTCGCCCTCGAAGCAGATACGACATTGTTTCTCTTGGTCTTGGTCTTGTTCTGCCATGTTCAAACTGTTGTGGGGTCACGAGGATATGGCAGGCAGCATTCGGCACCGCATGTGGAAGTTACCGAATGAAGCATAGATTTTCTTACAAGGATTATTTTACACAGGATGTGGTGGATATCACATTAGGGGAATTCACAGTTGCGTTGGTAAGGCGTTTTTCGCCCGTTGTTCAGAAAAGTTTCGAGGTCTGAAAAACACTGAAAAACGTTGGTCCACTGTGATAACACCGTTGTTCGCGCGCTGGTCAGCCAATTTGTCGCATCTTTTGAACGGGTTGCCGAGTCTGCCGACGCGGCAACAAACATTATATAATCCATCCAGGATAACAGCGAGATTGAGTTGGATTTACTGTACCACCTCGCAACACACCACGAGGACAAGCTATTCGATGCTTATGTCTTAAGTCTTATCACCCAAACTCAGTCTATGATCAACAACGAGCTTTATGACTCATCCAATGGATCTAATTCTGATCACTCATCATCTGACCTCGAGATCACAAATGCCACTGGTCAGGTATTCCTGCAGCTAGCCAGTGACTTAGATATCTGACAGATCGGGTCCATATCAATAAAAGTGGTCAAGATCTTACTCTCGACTAGAACGAGCGGATTGAGTGGGATTCAGACTCCGACGGAGCATGCCGAAGTTGCATTTTCGTTGGTACACAACAAAGTGACAAATTCGGCGAAAAACGCCTTACCAACGCAACTGTGAATTCCCCTAATATTGATCACAACTCATCAAGGTTATAATCCATGTCAAGCCAGTTCGCTTCGGTGCTTGAATTTAATTTTTGTCGTGTTTCTTTACGTCTGGACGGTGGCAGTGGAAGGGATCAGGTATCATTATATTAGGGTTCCTCCGGTTGACGTACTTCCGTTATGGAACGAGCCCCTTCGACTCGGCGCGATCGAGGTCGACTCCAGGGGTTAAGGGATCGCCGCGTTTCAAAGGCGAGGGTTTCATTGTCAGTGTCGCGCTTAACATTTGCGCGCTCGAAGTTTTACTGATGCGTTCTTTATCGCATGTGTACGTTGAGGTAACCATATCGTCGAAATCGAAACCATCACTGGCCTCTCTCGACATTTCCGATTATACCGCTTGCTTTCAGCCACCTTATGTAAATCTATGCGTGCGTTTTGGCCTCAATTTGACACTCATCCACCGCTATGGATTCTTCTGATACATTGGCACTTGGTACAAACACTGCGAATCGGGAAAGCCTTCCATAGTACGCTGATTTTCGGTGAGTTCTGAATATTTACAACCCCGTCGGCGATAACCGACCATAGTCTTCTAACATGGTAAGTAGCAATTGCTCCGACATCATTCGTTCAATCATAAACATACTTGCAAATCTGCTTCAGATGTGACAGCAATTCCTTCTTGCTCACCATCATGTCATTGACAAGCTAGAACTGTGAAAAACAACCAGCCGACTCGGAATAATGTTTTACTACTGTTCTCCTCGCCAACTAATCGGTCCCAGTCAATTTTCCCTCTAGAATTTCCAGTCTACAGACGTAAGTAATCACCCCTGCACATGAAACATCCTCACCAGGACCATCATGTGTTTTTTTCCAGGTACCTCGCATTAATTTCACCTCACTTCGAGTCAGGATGAATCTTAACTTGAAATCAGATCTCCACAAGGCTAAGCTCTTCCTTCCTGCCGTACATCGTTATTATTTTAATGGTCAGCTCGTAGCGCACATTAATGTTACGTGCCCACCCTCGGGCTTTTACATCAATCAAGGACAGGTCATACTCGAACGCACCTTGTGTCGAGCTAACCCATTCCTTCTTGATGAAGTCCACGACATGGATCTCGATCTTTCTGTCTTGAGGGATATAACGGTAGGAGCGAATGGTCTATCTCAACAAGATGGCTACTAAGTACCCTGTCCCATCCAGCGATAAAATACTCGCTCTATCTTGCATGAATGTTGGCGTCGGCCCTGGTGGAACAACCGCAATGCTCGCGTTCGTCATGCGGATTATTCATGACTAGCTCACCTATAACACTGACATTTCAGACGCGTCTCCATCGTCGATTACAAGGGACAAGTCAAACTCGATACATACGTATCACCTACGATGCAAGTCAGCGACTACCGAACTGCAACCACCGGTATAGAATCTTCTCACCTCCTTTCTCGTGAGTTGTAAAACGCAGTCTCATTTTTCTGGTATTCACGCGACCCATCACAACAGCCGACACGCCTACTTTTGCCCAAGTTCAACAGCACGTTGCTGACCTTATCAAGGGCAAGGTACTTGTCGGTCACAGTCTCTGGAACGATCTCTCTGGTAAGCACAGCTTTCCTTCAATTTCCCGGCCGTCATTTATTGACTTCTTACCCAGTTCTAGGAATTCCTCATCCCGCAGTAGCTACTCGAGATGTTGCTCTATATCAGCCTTTTCGAAACGCTCTTCGGTCTCCTAATCAGGTGATCGGTCTCCAGACTCTTATGTGGCATTTGATGTGCCGTCGATGTCAAGATGGCCAGCTTCACCCAGTGAGTTCCTACCATCATGACAATCCTGTTGGACCACTGAGTGATTATATGACCGTAGGTAGAGAATGCACGCGCTGCACTCGACTTGTATCGGACTGTCTCGTCTGAATGGGAAGGGTCAATTGCCATTGGAAATTGGCCCTCATCCCTTCCTCCTAGCACATTCTCGCGTTGCTATCTCTGAACAATTTCCATGCTGATTACTATTCGTTACACCTACATGTCATCTTCCGCATGAGTATTTCGTATTTAGATGCTGTTAATCCTACTATACACTCGTCTTATGCCAATTCGTTTTATGCCAGTCCGTTAGTGGGCTTTATGATCTCTATGTATGGGTGCATTGGCTTCGCCTCGGAGTTCCAAGCAAATTTACAATGACTAGCTAAGTTACTCGGTACGTCACTGCACAATCCTCGACTCTTCTTTGCTTCAACATTGAAAGCTTCCTCCTCAATGCCTGCCATTTCCAATTCTCGGTTCCCCTTCCATGAAAAATCTTTCCAGTCGGCCGTCTGAGTAACCTGGTAAAAGCCCGAGGGGATGCCCCTCCCGTAATGTCCCGTTGCGTTCGCCATGATTGCTTCTGCAAGCGAAGTATTCGCTCAGATTCCAGCATAACCGCGGCGATATCAAGACGTCCTTCTTTGATAGAGAGGCTAGCGATCCGCCGCCTGACAACGCTAGATTCTGTGCGCGGACCCCACCGCGTGCGAAAGGCTTTGAGGCACTTCATAGCGAGAGTCCCGCACCGCTTGCAAGAACGCAGACTTGCGAGGGTTAAAAATAGTGTTTCTGACGAAGGTCGGATTCCAGGGTGAGCTGAAAGTAAATGGGAGATAACACGTCGTTGAGCGAAATGTCGAGCAAGTCCTGATTTCTCAGTCACAGTCCTGATGTGCAGGTGAATGATATCCAGCACTGCGTGTTGCTGTCTGCGGTTGAGTCTCCTGGGGAGCGTTTGGAAATATAATGAAGTAGATTCGAGCGCCTTCACGTGGTTTCCCAACTGAATCATAACTTCCGCGATAAAAAAAACGGCCCTTGGTGGCAGCTGGGAATATTCGGGCGAGGCAACGAGTGGAAACATGTTCATAAGAGAACGATAGCGGGCGACCTGCACTGGGCCAGAGACATCGGATGTTTGCAAAACCACGCATCTGAATTTCGCAGACTTCCATCCAGAATCGCCTCGCCATTGCGGAATTTTAACCCACCGTCGAAGAGCACCGCGTTTCAGAGAACCGAAAAACTCCATCCACAAAGGCAATGGTAGTTCACCCTGATGCCCAGATCGTAAGCCCAATTCTTCTGACCACTGCTCTCTGCTCATAACACGTTGAACACGCCTCAAAGCCTCGTCCCATCTGCCAGTCCGTACCAACCACCTGACAGTTAATTTCCACGTTTCGAGATTTGGGTGGATCGATTCGGTTTTCATGGTATTGAGAAGACGCGCCGCAGTGCCAAAAGCCGCTTGTCTCAATGCAAGAGAAACCAAGAAATTGAAGGAACGAGTCGAATGAAGGAGACGTGTGTCTCGAGGGTTTGAGAAGTGGTAGTTGACGAGTGTAGTGAGTGAGGAGTGCGAGTAATTATGCATGTCCAGAAGATTTTGATAAAACATCTCACGAGTGGTAGGAGTTGGTAGGTGAGGTATCGGCGCGGCGGTGAGGGAATGGACACTGACGAAGGTAGTGGATTTGGAGGGAAGATTTGGAATAAACAATGGCTCCGCACGGCCTGGATCTTTCCACGAAGCCTCCTTTATAGAGATGGAATTGGGATCTATGGGTATGACATATTGACCTCGATGTGGTGTCTGAGGTCGCCGCACGAACGATTCGTCGGAACGCGATTTTCTAGACATCCCGATATGCTTCTTGTCGGGAAGAAGAGAGCCATGATGCTTGGCACGTCGTGTCCAGGCACTAGCTGCAGCTGACTGCAAAATTGCAGAAAATGAAGACGTGGAGTCTGGCGGAATATATGAACATTTAAGCAGGCGGGATGCATGATGAAGCATGCATGAGCTCGCAACTACACGCTGGTCAATATCGTTTCTGACTCGTGCACATTTTTTTCCGACTTACTTGCAAGGCAAGCTTTGGGAGACTGACACTTTGCAGTCTTCTTCTGCCTTGAACAATATTTCTGATTTCGTCTAATTCTGGAGGCTTGATAGACAAGGTTCTAAACCAAACAGTAACAAACACTCTCCATAACCGAAACCATCATGACAATCCCAGTCCGGTGCGAAATCGCTTCAGCTAAGCTTCAAGATCTGCTTGAGTTTTTCACGCTTTCTTCACCAAGGTCAGCCCCCTAGTCAGTGGAATATTCATTGGACTATTCCAGAAAGTTCTGCATTCCTAACAATTCATAATTGAATTCAAATTACGTCGCGCATGTGCATTTTCATAGAAGCATCGGGTCAGCTTGAAAGCTTACATTGAGCTTATATATTATTTTCACAGCAGGGTCTGTCCACTCTATCATCGTAAACCAGATTCTTGGAATGATGATGCAGGGCCCAAACGTGCGGATGGTCATAGTCTTGCTAAAAAAAAATCCCACATTCACATGTCGAGCTTCTTTATCGCTTGAAGGGGGACACCCCAGAGTCGTTTTCCGGTAACGATCGACGAAGAAAACTGGGGGAACAGCGTGGATCGATCTAGCATGCACTGGTGCTAGAAGACTAGCAGCAAGGTCGGTGTTTTCTCTGGCCTAACACATTGGTGCCATATTTTCACGTCACCAAAACGCCGAAAATTGATTTGAGACGGCGATCCGTTACATCATGCAGTTTGTTCGTCTTTGAAATTTACTACTACCAGGTGACTCTCCGCAGCCCTCGATTTTGATTCAAACCTTAAGCTTAATCGTCGGAGTCGTCTCGCACCTCGCCGCAATCTTTATTTCCGCATCTAGATTCCAACTTGAAGAGTTGGGCATGTAAGCGACGGTTACAATACACTCACGGAGTTTAAAAGGCTCGCTTTAGGTGTTTTGAACATGTAGGGCCTAACCCCTTCTAGATATCACTTCAGAACTGACTTGCAAAATATTGTTGACGTTTGAGGGTGGCATGTTGACACGAGGACTCGAAAACATAGATTTGGGTAGTCATTCTAGACTCGACCCGAAGTACCTAGATTCCAAACTCCGGCGTCGCAACCCCTGCATGATAAGCGACTGAAGAATTTTGGGATCGGAACTGCAGGCGTCTGAAGCCTTGAAGGCTAATAATGATAATGCGATGACGAAGCACCTTCCATATGGTCATACAAACATAAGAATCGATCATGACTAAATACATAATGAGCGATGAGATGTGCCACGAGAAAAAAAAACTTATGAGCTATCAGTAAACTATAATCCACTCCGCTCAGGATCATCAACAGAAAAAAAAAAGTGTTCCATTATCAGAGTTCCTCCTCCATTAGGTGTAGAACATTCCTACCCACCAGCCAGCCGACCTTGCTTACCCACTGATCTCGCACCTTTCGCATGTCCTGCCATCCCTCAGGACCTTTCGCCTCGGCAAACTCGTCCAACCCCTTTTCCCAACTTCTGACGGTATCCACTCCGAACATCCCCCCCTGTTGGTTCACAACTTCATCTATCCGATCTATCCAGGCTCGCCACTCCTGAATCAGCCGGGGTAGTAACAGAGGGGCGAGAGATGATTGTGTCAGGGATGGTTGAGAAAGGATATGGTTGCTGAGAGCCGAAAGGAAGAGAAAAGTCTCTGACGGATGAGACCTGTCTTTATGTTGAAGCTGAAGGGCTGCAGAGAGCGATTGTGACGAAGCGCCGGAATCAACGTGCAACGGCAATGAAGGGGATGCATAGGAAAAATATGGCACATATGACATGGAGGCGGACACGAACTCATGTATGGCTGGTCGTAGACGTGATAGGATATATGACTCTCGCATGCCACCATCAGGTGGGCCTGTTGGGCTCTGCTGGCCGAAACGTGTGAAGCCAGACGGTAGACCGCCGACTGGTGTTCTATAGTTTGTGATTCCAGATCCAAAACCAAAAGAAGTCGTTGATGATGACCCTAGCGCAAAGGATGACGGGTTGGAATAAGGATATGCTTCCCGAAGTTTTCGAGCTGATTGCTCCAGAGCTTGTATAGCTGTATCCAGCGTTGGACGGGGTATCAGAGGTAGTATAAGGGATTTAAGTGATGGCTGAGCACTAAGCATGGAATTAAGCAGAGGAAGTAGTGATTGCGGTGGTAAACTCGCTGATTAAGGCAGGTTAGATCCCCCAAGATATGATAAGCGGTTAAAACAAAAATACCAAGGAGAACGCCGACGTCGACATCATTATCTGAGCCCAACGAACTATTTTCTTTCCCCCCCTTGTCATCTTTTGAGTTACTTGCAGAGTTGATCTTTGCTCGCTTAGGTGCCCCACGCTTAGGGCGTTCCGGCGTTGGACTTCGGTCCATAGCTACGTCCCGGCCGCCATGTCGACTAGAGGTTTCCGTTTCATCGTCAATTTCATGTCTTCTTTTCTGTGAGCGATGCGCAGAAGTAGGCAAGTTCATGCTTGAGGCTAATTGCTGGAACGCAGCAGGCTGCGTATGTCCCATGGTCATTGCAGACTGCCAACTAGCTCCGGAGTTTACTGAAAGACCAAAACCAAAACCTAAGTAGGATGGCGGATGAGTGGCTGGGTTGTGTAAGAAATCAAGCGGGGGATGGACAAGATTTGCCATGATTTTGTTGTTGAAAGAATGGTGGACACTGAAAGGATCCTTCAAGCCACAATGCAGCCACACGCGAATGCAAGCGATCACCTTGACCAGCCCTTAACAAATTGCACGTGACTTTCATCTTAAAACGCCTGTTTTTTTTTTCGGGATGGTTGTTGCTCTCTCTCTTTTCAATCAAGGTAAGCATCAAAACTTTTCGACTCGCGGTGACGACACATACGAATCGCTACTTCGAAGCTCGACAGAGCTAATGAATTTTTCGTATATACCCAAATTTCTGAGCTGTTTCTGATGCTCAGTCTATCCAAATCTATATGCTCACCAATCTTTTGTAGTTCACCAATCTCACAACAATGCTCGTATCCACTGATGAGACGTGAGTATCACATCCACTCCCCTTCTCGAATGATCGAATAAAATAGAAGTCAAGCCCTGACCTTGTCTAAAGGACAAGTGTTGATGAGCATCCATGCTAATACTGACTTTACAACGTCATCACTGCAATCACTTGATGCTGATTCTTTTTTTTTTTTCCAGGTCGTGAATGCTCCATCTCTGGTACGCGACGGATACGGTCAGTTGTCATAGACATAGATTAATCTACGAACAATATTGTATTATCTCCATCAGCAAGCTGTTTCTCCAAGAATATTCATGGTTTAACTGCGCTGTATCATAGGCATATACATAAAATCCGAAGTGTTATAGTCGAGTCCAAATAAGCATGTACCGTGCTATGTCGATGTCCACAATGAGTTAACCAACCACATGACTCCCATCCACACCGCTAATTTGGTTTTCACTCCGGGTACCCAGGCTGATTCTTCGTACCACACCTTGTAGCCTGGGGAACGTTGTGGCGACGTTCCGTCTGCTAACCTATCCACCCATCGTCTTGTGGGTCGCACGGGCGAATCAGGCTTTATGGGACGAGTGTCGCCATCCTTGCTCGTGTGGACGTCAATGGCGATGGGGGCAGATTCTGTGCTGGAACCTGATGATGCCATGTGGCGAGTGACATTGCGAGTTGAAGTGGGAAGTGAAGTTTCCTTGTTTCCGCATATCCACGTTGTAAGCTCTCCTGTGGCATGGGAAACATGATTGGAGATGTAGATGAATATGATCGTGGATATGATGAAGTTTATTGGACGCCAACGTGTTCCAGGAAGAAGGATAAGAACACCCTTCGTGTCACCTGCGAGCCATAGGTGATATTGGATAATGAATGTCTCCAAAGAACATTTGCCGATAAAAACGAAAGCTCGAGAACTGCATGAACGAAGGGAGGAATTTGCGTTCCTGAGAGTGATGAATGCTACGATGGGCAAAAAAGATATATATCGATGCCATGCGTTATAGGTGAACTTGCTTTCCTGCATGAGTTCAAACGCGAAGAACCACAGCATGATAAAGATAGAAATCATAACAGCCGCTTTCACCGCCATAGGCCAAAGGTGATGGTCGGTGAGTCGATATGCTTGAATTTTGATTACAGCAATTGCCAGAAGCATCCCAAAATACACGATCCATAGGTCAAGAATTACCCGGAATCTCCATTCACGGGCGGACCAATGGATGGCAAATATCTGTTCCAGAAACGCGAATACGGCATCCAGCATCCACGTCTGAGTCATGAACCATGTGAACATGCCCATCGAGATCGCAATCTTCGACAAGAGAAAGGGCATGCGATCGTTATATTGCGACCCTATCGCCATTGTCCCGTACACGATGAGATACCACATCGAGACGAGGGGCGAGAAATAGTACGAAAGGTAATCGACGTCCATGGTGTATACCAGGACTACCGTTAAAAGATTTAGGCGAACCAATACCTACAATCAATTCGATGTTATTGAATGATGCCATGCTCAGATATCACGCTTACCTGAGCAATACGCAGAAAGCCAAAGTCGGCTTTTTTGATATAAAAGGTTGTATGACCATAACCAGTCATGAACAAATATGCCGCGACCAGCACTCGAATAGGATTGTAAATTCCAGAAATCTTGGATGCCCCAAAGTAATGATATATAAGGATTGCGACTGGGAGAAGAGTAAGAATGTATAGACATTGACGTCGTAGTGACGAACCTTGCATCCAACCCTTCCACTCATCGGTTTGATCACGGTTTAGAAAGCCCATGTCTTTGTCCGCGCGCTTCACTGTCGTCAGCCCCGCCGCGAGAGAACATAGCATGAGAAATCCAAAAGTCCATGGGTTGAACTGTTTTTGTTCTTTCAGCCAGAAGCCAGTTCGATCAGTGATAAAGATCAGGCCGATGGATAAACCAAAAACAATAGCTGGCCTATATTCGCCTGCGAAGGAGATACCTTTGGTCGGATTTCGAATGTCTGAATAATAATCAGGTGTGTGTTTCCCAGGAAAGAACGTGCTTACATGCAAGGTACCACATGATTGGTCCGTACACCACGACAGCTACTATGATAGCAAGCTGCAAGAACGACGGCAACGGATAAGCGCGGCAACATGTCTTGTCAAAAGGGGACGTCTTTGGCCACGCGTTATTGCACCGTAAGTTAAGGAGGATGTTGGCGTGTGCTTTCACGATGTCGTCCGAGAAATGGAGTCCATCTTGTGTGCTAACGTCGTCAAGCATCTTATTGAAAACAAGTGGCAAAGAAACGGGCAAAGCCGCTGGGGAGCTCGAGAATATGGAATAGATGGCAGGTGATGGTGGATTGATGCGATGGTGGAGGTCTGAATTCATCGCATCCACGTCTGAGGAGTGCATGGTTTTGGCACGTTCTGGAGATAGTTTTGAAGATACAATGTCCTCCACGGGGAGAATCACCACCTCATCTGCCGGCTTTCTCTGTGCCGCGGAGACAGACTCCAAAAGGCTCTCCATATTAGCTTCCCAGGCAGGGAGGCCGCCGGTAGTGGCATAACGCAAGTACCACAGGCCCGAGCCTAGGACAAGCATAGCAGGACGGTCATTGACACCAAGAGAAGGCAGGTGACCATGAACGAGAGAAAGGGTGGCTGACGTATTCAAGTACGGATCCCAGAAAAAATCCAGTGTTGTCACCGAATCTGAAGTGAACGAATAGTTTGAATGCTTGTGGTCGTCATCGGGAGGAGTAAAAGGAAGCGTCGGATCGACAATATGCATGAAATGAAAGTACAACGAGCGCGTCACGGAGTCACCAATAAAAACGACGCGTCTGGAGGCAAGGCAAGGTGTGGTATCCTTTGATTGGTATACGTGAAGCATACAACCTGATTATTGGTTCAAGGGTGAGGACAGCAATGAACGCATGAGCAACAGACAGCGTACCCTCAGGTTGCCAGTTGCGGTAGTTCTCATCCGACCAAGTACCTCTAGTAAGCAAGGAATTGCAATGCAGTGGATCTACTCGGCCTGCAAGCGATCCCGTTAGGCGCATAGTCAAGATGTGAGGGATGAATACACTGACCAGAAATTATATAATGTAGTATCCCTGCCAATACAGCAAGTGCTCCGGTAGACAACGCTAGATAGTGGTGAAATAAGGGGTTAAGTGAGAACAGTCTTTTGGACGAGGACATGATGGCGGTGAGAGTCTGCCGCTACGTGGCAGTACAAGAATGTTGTAATTCTTCAGCGCCTGAAAGCCAAGAGTGGGATAATTATACTGGCGAAGTTTTTAACCAACGTAATCATCGAGGAAAACTTCAAAACGGTTCGTGCGTGATCATCACTTGTGTCGATGAGCTGCAACCGATGAACCCTTGACTTTACTTTGCATGATATATCTAAGTGCCTTTTTGGGCTTACTCGTTACCGACGTTGTTATTGTACTGCGATGTTATTAATGTCCACACACTCAAACTTGTGAATACATAATAATTATTCGGGAGTGGGTCAAATTATCAGCGTAGTGTTACTGTCCATTGGCCATCGATGTACATAGAGTGCTGATGCAGTGGACCAAGTTAATGTCCTAGTATGAGATCGGAAGGTGTACATTCAAATACTCGACCCGCCAGTGGTCGTATTAGTGCTAAAGCCTATCCAATTCAAGTCAGGAATTGATCCAATGATGAATTATAGGAAGCACATACCTGTACCTTGACAGTGATTGTTGGATGCAGTTGGTATACATGACAGGTACCTGCAGCCCGAGCACGCTAAAAAAATTCTCACCATCATGTCTCCGTATTCGCAACAAACACGAACCTGCATATGGATCTGAAGTATAAAAGTTCCGAATCAGGACAACAAAGAGGACGACTGCCAGTGGTATGGCTGTCAGCCGGAAGCCCCACATGATAAGCTTATGGCGCTTGGTTGGACTGATTACGGGGTACAGGGTTGTGCCAACGAGAAGACCCATACATAAGCCTCCCAAGTGAGCTGAAACTTTCTATGAGTTTAGTTGAGGGCAAGAGAAACATCTGCTTGCCAAAGTTATCCACATCTATCGAGGAAAGGTTAACAATTATATTCAACCAGATAAGTGTGCACGTACAAGGTATATACCCAAGAGCGATACCGAACAACAGTTCTACTGTCATGATGGCGAGCTACGGAAAAAGATAAAGGCGAAATAAGCATAAAAATGACAGTCATCACCTTTTTACCAGGTCGGTATTGATATTTCCAATGAGCAAAAAGATCCACCCATGTGACCTAAGTTGCGAGGTGATCAAAAGGTAAATGGTGTAAACAGGTTTGACAGCTTACCGCGACTGTACCAAAGATGGCACCACTGGCACCTATTGAAGGTGCGCCGACCAGTGAAAAATTACCGCCCAACACGTTGCTACATCATACGTCGGTGTGCATAAGAATGAAGTAAGAAGGGCTTACCCAAAGATCCCGGCCGCGAAATAAGTTATAAAAAAACCAGCGGATCCCATTTCACGCTCTATCTGGAGGTGCATCAGAACAAGTAATCAAACAAAAAGACCACCGACTTGAGCAGATATTGTCAACTGGGCGAGCATGTTCAGGATGATATGGATGAATCCCGCATGTAGGAAGATGGGAGTAATGAATCTGAAATACTGGATTTTGGCCCTGAACTATTATGACCACAACTTGCTTACCTGAACCACTGATTGGGCTCACCGCCATGGAAGCCACCAAAACCACATATATCCTCGAGCGAACAAAGCTGATCTGGCGGGTTTGCGGTATCATTGAGGCCTAGTTGTCGAGACGAATCAGTAAGAGTCGTCAGGAGTTAAGACAAGTGTATCTTACAAGCGATTTGAGTAGTTAAAGGGAGTCCTTGAACGACTTTCATGCATGGGGGGAAACGAGCACCTAAATTGATCAATGCACTTTCCGACGGCCCAAGCATAGGGTTTACAACTGGCTGAGCGGAGGTCAGTAATAAATATAGTGCTAACGGACTATTCACAAACCTTGAAGGATATCGGGGTACCCTGCGCTCTGGTGTTCACCACTAACTCGTCGATGAAAACGCCAACCATGATAATTGTTAGGGCCCATACTAAGACGATAAATGTCTCGCCGCTGGGATGGTAGTTGTATGCTCACCAATGAAAGGATACTTTTGCCGCCCGATACCCCGCTTCTTGTCCTCGATCCGCTGATCCATAGGGTACTTCCCCGTGTTCATCCCAAGAGCCTTCTGAAACGGAGATGCGCGGTCTGCGGCAAGCTTTGAGTTCTCATCCAATGGTTCTGCGTATTCTAGGAAGTTCAGGTTATTGTTACACTACCAAGGTTGTAAGACATACCCAAGTCCTGATAACTGTCTGAGCGCCCCATATCTGCAGCACTATGCACCAGGTAGTCGTCTGCTTTGCCGACGACAGACGATGGGCGTGTTGAGGAGGAGTCTTCGTCCTTATATGGAACACTTAGATCGCCGAAAACTGGTGCATCCCTTTCAAACAACGACGGTGTAGATTGCCGGCTTTGTGTAGCTGGCAGGGGAGGAGACCTTGTACGTCGATAGTTGAGAATGAGAGATTGAGCTTCTGTCTGACCAGTACTACGCAAGGACGACAAAGGGTCTAGGGCAGGAATACCGCTCGTAGTTGTTGTGAAAGTTGTGGTGTCGTCTTGTATTATTCCATCTAAACCGTCCAAGGTTTTGTATCCAGTCTCTCGACCGCGGTCTGAGTCGTCCCCAAAAGGATCCGTATAATGCAAGTTTGATCCAGCTGGATGGTTTGTGTCAAAATATGCCATGATTTCCAGAAGCACGGCGAGAATTCAATGAAGGTGGTGGTGTAGGGAAGAGACTATATGGGGATTGCCAACCAGGCTTCAGGATACGATTTCAAACCATATCACGTCACGGACACTGCCCCACCATACAGCCAATTACCATGGTCTCGATCTCCGCAGTCAAATCCTGTGGGTGAACTGGCAACGAATCGCCAGTTGAAGTCACTGAGCCTCGAGGCCTGAGGTACAATTCACATGCACGTATTGAATACTGTGAACAGTAGCAAATCTGCCAGCGCACTGAATTTCGTCAACTATGGGCATCGCAAGATCATATTTGGATCGTATACAAGTACAACTGCCTTTGTCTAACTTCCTTCAACTTTGTCTAATCTCTGACCACCGTCAAATCACTTCAGTCGATTGGAAGTCCCTCGCTTTCATGCCATTTTTTCAGGAGTGTGTTACTGGGCATACCAAAAGGGTCCAGAACTTTCTTGGCGACCTCAATCCCAGCAACAGGAAGATTAGAGGGGTCCAGCAGTCCAAGCTGCACAAGAACCCCGGCTTGGTCCCAGTACCTAAAAGCGTGAGCCGTGTAGGCTACAAATCAAGATCCCGAAGGAATACCCACAGATGTCTAGCATGCAGCGTTGAGGATAGCACCTTTAGACTATAAGAGCAACTGAATACACTCACTCAAAGAAAAGTTTATCGCCTCTAAAGGCAACTATCCCGACTAAGGCGATCTCAATGTGTTTCCCTGTCGGAGCTACTCCAGGCAGAAAACTGTCGACGGGTCAGCTTTATGAAACAGGTGGAAAATCCCCTTGATACATACTAGTCTATTTCCTGAAAAGAATTTAATTTAGCTCACCCCTAGGACATCGATGGATCACGACGTACAGATGTGTGGCGGCACTTGAAAATCATCTCATCGACGATCCTGTCACAACCAACTGAACAAAACGTAGTGAGTCAAGTCTTGAACCGAGCCGTGTATGCCTCACCAGTCCGGGAGACTGTAATGAGCTCAAAGTCTTGCAGTGTTACCTGCCACAGATCGTGAAAAAAAATGCATAGGGCGATATAACCCCTTACAGCTGTGAAATGATACTAAAAGACGATCAGGTGAAGGCTGAGCTGGAACATCGTGGCCCACAAACCTTATAAAACCTCGCCAAATCGTCATACCCGACACCCCCAGTCATCGTCGGAACATGATTGACGTATGGTGTGGCAACCTATGACAACGTATCACTGTCTGCTAATTCATCGTTTGAAGTGGAGATGAACCATTGTAGACATCGTCTCTATTGATGGAATGAACTGATTTTGAATGCGACGTTATTAATGATAAATTGACGTACTAGGTGCATCTCTTTCGATAAATTCCTGCCCAAAAAAACGTGTCAGTGACTTCTTTAGTGTCATATCATTCATGTACATAATAAGTGTGCTTCTCCCAGAGCCTCTCGAGATTGAAATGAGGGCCGAGATGCGCCTTCAACAAGTCGAGGGTCCGGGTAAGCGACAGGTTAGAGGCCGAGCGAAGATAGGGGTCGACCGACTGTATAACGTCGACAATCACACTGACGGGGGGTTGTATCGAGAAGGGAAACGGGGGTGATTTTGACACCAGAGGGTATGAATACACCCGCACCGGTAATAGAGAGTGAGTTGGGAGAGAATAACCAAGATTAGCCGGGTCCTCCAAAAGTAACAGAGAGGCATGAAGCACTTCTTGGGAAGAAGCGAGATGAAAAGTAACTCTTGAAATGGACAGCAACTATAAGCCAATCTAACGCTCGAGGCAACAGTCGACTTACGGGATATGTCTCCTCTGGCTATCCCTTATCAAAAACCCATGGGTAGCCTCGGCATCTGGGCAAAAGTGAGCACAAGCCTTCAAATCTGCGAGCGAGAGAGCAAGCTTCGACACAAGGGTCTCCGCATCTTCTGTGGTCAAACCGTATGTCAACAGTCCCCAATCAGCTCCCAGAGCAATGATTTTGTCGTTGACAACTTTCATCGCATCCTTGAAAGAAGAATTTGGGGGAAGAGGGTAGGTCAAATGTACCACATTGTATCCTTCCTGTGCGAACTGAAAAGTGGTAGCGCCGAATACTTGAGACCGAGTTGGCCAAAGAGAATAATATCTGATAACACACCTGTTGGCACCAACTAGTCTGATCTTGAGGAAGTAGCATCAACAGAGTCGCAGGTTTCACTACGGAAGCTACGGTGTTGAGAAACACTTCTGTCTGCGTCATGTTGTGGTTGTGGTGGAGATTTATGGGAAGGAACGACTATCTCTCCTTCATCTATATTGAAGGCCCGGCTAGTTGGGAGACTATGCCACTATTGGGTTGGATCACTGAGGCATCGCCGGTCAGTCTCCGAGTCCCCTTGGCATCATCGAGGCGAATTAAGATAAGCCTATTCAATTAAATGCTAGTCTCCCTTATCGTCAAACTCGTGGTCGACAGATCGTTGAAACGGTAGCACGATGGATGCGTAATATACGAAGGTCCAATACGAGTGCAATATGGAGGTAAAGCAATGACAGATGAATGAACAGATGAGTTTGACGATTCATAAGGAAATTGGTATGACAGGGTCCCCAATAAGACTGGAACGCCCTCTACTACGGGCTGATGGTCTCTTAGTAAGTGGGGTACCGTGCGATACGGTATGTGGAACATCAGTGTCGATGTGCAAGTCATCTATTCCATCGGATAGCGGTGTGGATGGGTAGGTCTCTTCATACTCTTCTCCATGCACGGGCAGTTGGAACGTCTGTGGTTTAGTCCTGAACCTGTCGACCCATTGGAGTGTTTCGAAATCGACTTTTCGTACTCTTCGACTACGACATCTCCACTTCATTGCCCCTCCATCAAGGGTGCTTGCTTGGCTGGTGTTCCGAACGTGGGCCGCGGTTCGCGCATCTGCTCCTTCACCATATCCGCTGACCACTCGTTTTTCGGGCGTCGCAGAAAGCACACGAGGATCTGACGGAAGGAAAAGAGGGAGCATATGGCGAGAATCTAGAAGCTCCCCTAGAACTTGGGGTGCTTTAGCTGGCTTCCATTCAGATTGTGAATGCGAACGATCGAACAAGTTGTCGATGCTATGCTGGGCGGCAAGTACATCTGAGGATGCGTTGAGGCTTGCATTAGCTTCGTTCGTCATGCTATCTTCAAGCTCACGTTCCCGCTCGCGCTCGCCCATCTAGTGGGTGAGTTAGTTTCGCTTAGCAGAGATTACAATCAGGACAATACCTCCTTGCGCAGGGCCTCAACACCCATCTTAACACGATGGCGTTCCCAGTCTTTTTGGAGCTGCGTCAAATACTGAATGCACTCGTCCGTCATCCTCCCCTCATTAACTTCATATTTGTAGTCCCGCACAGCACGTCGCATCTGGGTTTGAGCGGTAAGTATAAAATCGTGATTTTTACAAATGACTTGCTTGTAATGGGTTAATACTCTTCATTGTCTGTATGGTAGCCACCAGATTAGAAAAATCCGTAATCGATGACAAACACTGTGATCGCGACATTGAGCAGGCGGCAACGTAAAGAGCACGGAGACCTCACCTGAAGCCAATTCAGCAAGTCCCGTACAGGTGTAAGATGGGATGCAATTCCACGAGGTAGACCCATATCCTCTATCCACTCTTCCAACACAACCAGATTCATGCCGATCTGTACCGCTTTTGACCTATGCTCGATACGTGTGAACAATGATAGACTGCCTTTGTAACAGATACATACCGGCAGAGATACTTTTTCCTAGTCAGAATTCGATTAAATATTTCACCTGAGGTCCCGAGTCAATTATGAGTGAGAAAGAATGGAAATTACACCCACACGAAGTCCAGTACATCACTTGAGACCAGAATTGAATCATTAACACAGGATTGACATCCGAAAGAGTTAAAAGTGAATGCAGTGCCGTTAAAAATGAAGTCATGTCGCGTAATTCTGTTGTTTGCGGGACGTCAGAATGCGTGTTGAACGCTGTCGAAGGTGTTTTTGTGCGTGAAAGGGTTTGTCTCAACGATGAGAATCCTTTAGCTGTGACAGGCGTGGGGCCGAGTAACAAGGGGGACGGAGATGGAGGACGACTCGGTAGAAAAGGAGGTGAAGATGGTGTGCTATTCTTGGGTGTTCCATGACTTGGAGTACTTGTCGTACTCTTCTTCTTGGCGCTAAACGGCCTCAAGAATGACCACTCTGATTCGAACTGCACGGATTCAAATCCCGACGACACAGGCGAACTGTCCAGTATCGCTGCGTCTAGTAATTGATCGATCCTACGCTCAGCGTAACGAATGATGAATACTTCAGACGACGTCAGGACAAAAACACGACTAGAAGAAATTGAATGAAACTCACCAAACACAGAGTTGATCACTTGCTCGAGGAGTTCGAATGAGCCCAACATTTCACAACATTCGTTTATAGCGTTGTCACATTGCATGAGGTGTAACCATATGGTGGCGTTGTAAAGGCAAAATACAAGACAAGTGATATCTTCTGAACGGCTCTAAGTGACTTAATTAGTGGTGAGAGCATAAAATTAACAAGCATGCACACAAAAAACTTCTCTTCGATTGCATCTGTCGCTCCTAGTACAAGATCCTCGAGCCACGTTTGATCACATGTTAAGCATGCAAAACGCGCCATAAGGTATAAAGTAATGGCAGGTTGTGCATTCCGAACAGAAGTATGGGAGGTTGTGATAACTGCGTCGAAAATATGTGAAAGTTCTTGTGGAGACCATGCGAGCATAGATGTAAAGTCTAGTTTCGGAGTCTCCATAACAAGGTAAGGCACCGCAAGTGGAATTTCAGAGGATATGCAACTCACATACAATTCTTCATCAAGTTGATCATCCTCGCCATCAGAATCATCTGACGAGAAACCTTCATCTTCCTCGCGAGAATCCCACCATTGATTCTGTAGGCCAAGCACTTTTGAGATATTCTCGCGTACGCTTTTCTGTCTTCCTTTACGTTTAAGTTGCTCATCCAACGCTCTCCGCTTCTCTTCCATCCTGCCTCCCATCCATCCTTGGCTCCGCATTGCTGCTTCGAGTAACAGCGCAATGTCATCACGCCCTGGCAGGACGGTGTGAGCAGTCACTATATCCAGCGATGTCAACCGTCGATGTGTTTCTGCGAAAGGGGAGCATCCATGCGTCATCAGATGGGAGACCAGAGTAGGGGGACAAAGAACTGCGGCGTGATGCAGGGCAGTCCAGCCGGCTAATAGCGAAATGTCAGCAACTGGGTGAGATGGAACCGATGTACTCGCCTTTATCCGCAGAGGTAGCGTCAGCTCCTTGGGCAATCAGCAGCCGAACGCACTCTTCACGTTCGACATCCCTCTCCGATTCAGACCCAAAACCTAGGATTGCATGACTGATCAAGCTAAGCCCGTCTTCGTCGCGTGTGCTGAGGTCGACATAAGGTTGTGATTGATGGTCAGACAAAAGATACTGGAGAAGAGATAGATCCCCGAATACGCATGCTCGCGACAGTGAATGGGATACTAGTTCAGACTTCTGGGAGGGTGCTAAGCCAGAATCGGGTGACAGCAAGCGGGATATTACACTTGAACTCGGATACAAAGGATGAAGATCAGGCTCCGGGGAGAAATCCAGTGGTCCAAGCGATACGGGGATCATTGTTATGATAAAACGTTGGGGTTACTGTTGGGTCACTGATAACAACAGGGCAGTTTGCCGGTTACCGCGTCGACTACCAGACTGGAACGGGACCTATCTTCTCCTTGTAAAGACCGCGATTAGGCGAGACAGATAAATTCCGTGACAATCGCCTGTACAAAGAATGGTTTGTGGGACCTCGATGCTTGCGAGAATGGTGTTAAAGCAAAATTTAAAACATGTTCGTGTAACTCAGCGCTAGTGTGAGCAAAGTGACTAGTTGTCCAAATTAGAATTGGACTTTATTTCAAATCCAACTTCAACCACATCATGTCTGCTAAACGGCTAAAACTGTCGAAAGACAGCGATGTCGACGCAGACCACGAACAAAGTGACAATGATCTCGAGGCCGAAGAACAGCAGTCAACGACCTCTACCTCTTCATCAGAAGACGACGATTCTCCGGACACGGAGGCTGAAATTGCAGATAAAAGAATAACAAAATCGAAGAAAACATTAAAACGAAAGCGGCGGGCAACAGAGCCCTCGCAATTTGGTGCTACATTGCAAGGCCTGCTTGACACCAATGCACCGTCGGACCTGCCGTTATCGCTCAAACCTTCTATCGCACGCCAGAAAAATGGTGCAAAGCTTGAATTGAAGGCCCACAAAGTGATTCAAATAGAGAAGAAGGAAAAGGCGGATAAAGGACGCATACGGGATGTTATCGGAGGTTGGGGCGGCGAGAGTGAACGTTCCTTGCGCAAGGTTGCTCAACGAGGAGGTGCGTACATGTTGTTTGCATTATCCTATCGTGCATTGAAAATATCTCAAGTGGTGAAACTCTTTAATACCATTCAGCAATCGCAGGCAGCGGCAGGTGTCGCTGCCGAACAGTTAAAAGGTTTGCGAGGAACAGGGAAACCTACGCTTCCAGCACCCCTATTGGACAAGAAGCTGAAAGAAAAACAAAAGTTCAAACACAAGGACAATATTATCGGGAGAGGAAATCCAGGTTTGTGTCTGAATTCCTGTGGCAAACCTGAGGTGACATATAATTTTTACAGCGACAATTGGGAAGGACGATTTCTTCGACATGATCAGGTCAGGTGGCATCGTCTCAAAAGTATAGGCGTATTGCACCTAGTCTCCTCTACACAGACGAATGAAGTCAGCTGTTTCTCCATTACTTTTGCTCCTACGTTGGCACGACATCTGCTCAGATGATTCGTCAGGGGCTAGTAGGCTCGAACACCTTGCTCATCGTAGCTCGCAATGCAGGAATTTGCGTTGTATTAGCAGTATCGAATTGCATACGACAGCTGGTAACGTTTTTGCATCCAAGAACGACCAATTATTTCGTGCAATATGATATGGTCCACCCTTTTTGTGCCACAATTCTCAGTCTCATCTCCGTCTACCGTTAAGCATCGATGCACCCACGCGTCATTCATATATGGGGAAGACCTTTGGTTCATATTTTGAGAACTAAGCGCGATCTTGGGCAAGGGATATATTATTTATGCGATGCAGCATGTGTGTAAGCTGGAGTCTCCATTCGCTAATGATTAAATTCTAAAACAACGCTGCAAGTGGTGCAGCAGAAGTTACATGCGGTGTTGAGTCTGATCTCACATTTGAGCAGTCGTTTTCATGCCTTCCTTTCCATGGACACCGATGTGATGCTGGTTACTCATTTCCATTTTGAAGTCATGAACCTTGCAAGAAGTATTTATTTTGGCCATTCATGGCTATGCCTATGGATTCTCAGTACTCAGTACTCAACGATACACGAACATTACGGTACTAGATAAGTACTATCTGCACAGGGCTCTCCAGGACAATACACGAGTCAAAAAGATGTGGGGTTCGACCGGGTATGTATTGACTTGCCAAATTAGAACCAGTGAGGGTTGGCACGTTGCCAAACCTGCCCTGAAGTGGTGCAGAGTTTAAATTCCCTTCACCTTCACCCCCGTCACATCCATGGTGTGTGTTTTCAAGCTTCATTCGTGCAGCATGTCTCTTACGGTTGTTGGCCAAACTTTAAACTTCAGCCTCCGAGGACCATAATTCGTAAAGAAGAGTGGGAGAGACGTCTACGCGAGGTTCAGGTTACCAAAGAGTGAGTGTTTGTCCTTTAATTTCTGCGCCTAAAAGATGAAAAATCATCGATGGGAATCTCTCTGAAATTTGAGATGAGACAAGATATTGCATGTATTATCTGATATCCTCGTTATATGCCGTATCCCGAGCATTTTCTAACATTCTTGCTTGTTAGTGACTTGAACCGACTTATTATGGACTACCTCGTTATTGAGGGATACAAGTCTGCCGCAGAAGAATTCAGCGATGAAGCCAATGTTCCACCACCCGTGGACTTCGAGAGTATCGAAAGTCGCATGGTAATTCGAGAAGCATTGCAACGGGGGGATATCGAGGAAGCTATTTCCCGCATGAATGACCTGAATCCTGAGGCGAGTCACATTCTTTTTTCGTGCCTTTATATCAGGGACATAAGATTAAAACGTTTCATGCACCACGCTCAGACTTTTTCGGAAGTCGGTGATGAGAATTGTAAACCAAAACTTCAGTCTTCAATATGATCCGTCCTTGATCTATTTCACACGTGGAATCGACGAATTCTTACCCCTTTGCATTCTAGATCCTGGATACGAACCCTGCACTGTACTTTCACCTTCAACAGCAGAAGCTAATCGAGCACATTCGACATGGGCGTATCACAGAGGCATTGAAATTTGCACAAGACGAACTTGCGCCTAGAGGTGAAGAAAGTCCGGAGTTTCTTGCGGAGCTGGAACGTACGATGGCACTTTTGGCGTTCGACTCTTCATCCTCGGCCCCTACAGCTATATCCGAACTTCTTTCGCCCGCACAGCGGATGAAAACTGCGGGCGAGGTTAATGCTGCAATTCTTGAAAGCCTTAGCCAGGGAAAGGAGGTAAAGCTAGTGCAGCTTTTGAAGCTTTTGTGTTGGAGTGAGGGGATGTTGGCGGAACGTGCAGATTTTCCCAAGGTCTGTCTGCCTTGATATTCGGGTTCGATTGGTTTGGCTCAACTTACTGTCCTTAGATTGATCTTCAAGAAGGACTAGTGGCGACGGGGAGAAAAGAAGCAACATCAACAGATGATTCTATTATGCAAGAATGAGGGACAACATGTATGGTATCGAGTCTGCGTGTAGTAGAGGCGTGAAATGGATGAAGCGTTTGCACCAATTTGAGATCCTTCCTGACAGGAAGTATTACGGGCCCTTGGAATGACCGTAACTAATGATACGGTGAGAGTAACCCGAACATGCGTGTGATGATGCGAAGGGGCTCAATGAGTTATGTCTATTTCCTTGGTAAATGTCCAAGGCTGAGCGCTAGGACACATGTCTCTTGTTTCATCGTACGTTGGGCATCAGCAAAGAACACAGCCAACTCGTCCCGGCTAGTGAAATACCCGTCCTCCGTGCTCGATTAAGCATAATGTACCCCTTGCTACGACACTAGTTTACAACTTTGTTGCTCACTTTTCAGCCGTGTAAGTACTTACCGTCTCTGTAGTCTCGTCCTATACTTTAATCAAACGACATTCTATCAATTTGCAAGCATGTTCGAGCAAGTACCTCAGTACAATATTCCACTCTGCGTACATCGCACGATGTAGTAAGCAACCAATTGAAAATCATCTGACCCCCACTGAAGACGCTTGCGATAGTCAACTGAATTTGCAGGCGTTGTCATTTGATCGAAACGCTAAATGACCGAGGTTTCAAAAATGCCCCCGCGGTAGGGTGTAAAGGCACATATTATTGATGGCGTAGCACCATATGTGACTCCGAGTTGTTTTGCCGATCGAGAGTACCGAGGTAAGTCATGATACCCCCGAAGAGAGAGCATTAGGGTACAAACGGTGCGTCGGCGAGTCCTTTGGTGAACATACTAAGATCTCGGCTGTTGCGCAAAGGCACGTACAGCATTTTCGCACGGAGCATCGTCTTTTACACGCCTTCATTTGATGTTTAGTGTCGCTCGCTTTGTCAAAGTTATCTGGAAGTCGCACTGAGGTCGTAAGTTGCTGACCTTATTTCCGAGGAACATTACGGTTGACTTCACATTAGATCACGAACTCTATAAATCATCAGGTCGTAGCAGAATTCTGTACTATATATGGGCATACCAGTTCACTTGACTTGAGCATTTATGATTTGATCAGGGAGGATTACGGGTCCGTGGAATAACCGTAACTGATGATCTAACTCGGTTCAGCCACGGTGAGAGTAACCCGGGTTGCGAGCTGGAAGAACAACGGCAAGAACAACAAGGCAAGGAGGCACCATAACTATGCATGGCGGCCATGAGGATATTGACGGCATATATATATGATGGATTTGATTTTTTATCCTGCCTTCCTTGAGGCTTAAGTAAGCTTTTACGGTCGTATGCCACTTTCCAGCGCCAACGGACAAGTTTGACCACAGCTTACGACGAACTGTCTTCATTCCTACACATACTCATCGTCTGAGTATCAGTACTCTTTATAAGTATCCTTACGATAAATAAAACAAAGGTAGCACTCTCTCTCCACTACCATCAGTATCATAGCAATGACTTACAAGCAGATCAGGAAACCGTCGGAGAGAGCTGTTAATGCCCTCCTACTCTATGTCAGAGGACACTAGGTCGTCGACCGCACCTAGACCTCGTCGTGTCCTCGTTCTATCAAATCCAGATCCAGGCGACTCTAGCAGTAGTGAGGATGAACGTCCTCGTTATCCTAATCATCACCCTCAGGATTCTAACTCTTCCTTGATTCAACATCCAACATCAGTAATTCCAACCCCACCATCTCGTCCTCCAAGACCCCGTCCTGCTCCCCCCTTGACAACAACCGGTCTGCCACACCACTATCCTCCATCCCGTTCAAATCCCAATCTATCCTCTCCTTCGAGTCAGAGCTCAAATGCAGTCGAATCAACTCCTCCACCAAGCACTCCTGGTCAAACAGCACATTCAGATTTGAGTAATTCAGTCATCACCATTGATGATGGTACAGCACTCGTTGAACGTACCGAAACCGCTCAACCTCCTACTCGTTTCCAGAAGATTGCCGATGTCCTTCACTTGCGTCATCGCAGACCTTCACATCGACATCTGGGCTCTGACATTTCTCTCCATGTGAGTTGATTTATTCATTTATTTTTCTTCTGACCGTTATCTCACATTCATACTTCAGTCTCCATCCCCTTCTGCTTCATCGCCGACTGTACCACCCCCGCCTACATGGGTCATCATGGTAACCTATGACTGCCATGCCTATACAGCTGTCGACATCACAAATGCAAACAGCGCAGCTTTTATTTGGGAACGCATTTTTGCTGAAGTGCGCCGAATGTTCCCCTTCCATTTTAATCCTGACCAAGTACTGTTGTAGCTCAAAGTACCCCATGAAGATCAGTGTGGACAGCTCTCCATCTATCGCACCCAAATCGGCAAAGTCGCAATCGGCGAACCACTATCAGATGATAACCTAATTCGGCTGGTTCATGATCGAGGTGACAGCGAGGGGAGCTTGAAGTTCTTGGTTTGTCCTTCTCAAGCAAGGGTTCAGGATCCTTCACTCTTAAGCTCGCCAGTCAAGTCCGTGCCCCCACCCCCCGTACCGGTATTCAGTCCCTTAGTCCCAAGACGAGCAACCAAGTCTTCTCAGCAGGAGAGCGCATCTTCTGACGATCTAACCCCGGACGCAGGCTATGAACCGTCTGTAATATCTGATGACATCGATGATTCAGACAACAGGAGTACGATGAGGCCACCTCCTCACCCTAGTTCATCCGTCACCATGTTACCGTCACCACCACACAGTGCACGATATGAAGACCGCCAACCTTCCCCCGCATCCGCAAAAACACCGCAATCAGCAGGCGTCGATCGCCATCGTTACGATTCGCCTCATGGACAGAGTCTTCCCTCTTCTCACTCTACTCCTATTCTTGAGAATTTCCACAACAAACGCCCCCTGCGGAGAGACTCAGATGCAGAGACAGTTGATCAAGCTTTTCGCGACGCTGAGCGTGCAGCAGAGCTAGCTGATGTGGAACGGACAAAACCGCAGGATAAGGGTATCATTCGGACGCGGGCTATGAAACATCGACCCGAAAGATTGACAACTTCCGACGATCATGCAGGACTTGCAGCTGCCCGTGATGGCGAGTCGGCATCTGTAGTCAGGAAGCCTTCTCCACCCTCGTCGTCGGGAATGGTGCGCTCGCCCTCAACCAAGAGGAGACCATCACACGCTGATTATTCCCCTCGCCCTTCTCAGACCAAGCAGAAGGGGGGGGGAGGCAAGCCGGTTCCATCACACTATATATCCGCTCATAAGCCAAACGATTCTTCGACTGCTACAAGGACAGTCAATAGAGCGAAGAGCTCGGAGTTTCTCAAGAATCCTCTGCCACCTATGCTTCGCACTTCACCGAGCCGGCCTCATCTTCCTACTCCGTCCGGTTCGGGCACCAATTCCTACCCAAGACCCCTAGATTTGGGACCCAGACCTAGACCACTTCCTCAAAGCAGGCTCGATATTGTAAATGTGGATACCACTACATATACTCGCGCTCAGCAACCGTCAGCGAGCGGCACTCTTGGTTATCTGTCACCCACTCAGGAACCACACCCGCGCTCACATTCTGCCTCACCCTCCCAGCAGCGGTACCCTATCAATGAAGTACACCGCGAGCGTGATGAATTTAGGCCCACTCACCAAACCCAGTCCAGCAGTGGATCCTCAAGGTTTGGTGATAATCCCCTCAGAGAGGATAACTATGGGATCAACCTTCCGTCGTCCCTAAGACCTGGTCCTTATGCTGTTTCTCCAGCTCGTACCAATCCTCCATCTGAAACCCCTCCCCGTAGCCCCGTTACTTCTCGGCCGAGTACGTCAAATAGTACAAGCGGACTTACCTTTACTTCCACTGGGACAATGGTGCCGCCGACTTTCAAGAACGATTCTGGTATTGGCAGCCAGGAGAGCACGGCCACGGAGTCTACTTTGCGTCCGGATGAAAAGGACAAGTTGGTATGGGATCTCAGAAGCTTCATACCGTCGGATTCATCGGATGATGGGGTTGGCACTAATGAAACTTACGGAACCGCGTCTTCTGATCTGTGGTCGCGTAAACCTACGTCAGAAAACAATGACATCTCTAGGACTCCCATACCTGGTACCAAACAGAATCTTAATCCTCCACGTCCCGCTCTTCACGTCACAACCCCAAGCTCCGGACCCGGTACCATGACGCGAGGTGTTCCGGCCAATTTCCCAGCACCACCCAGTTTCATGCCTCAGCTACGCCTTCCTCGGCCGCGTACGCCGAAGACTAGGCACAAAAGCACTACGTTTGAAGAGTCTACTTGGGCGCATCGTCCTCCTCCAGAGGATGTCTACGATCGGCTCGAAGAGTTCTTCCCGGAGCATGATCTCGACAAACCTGTCATTGAAGCTAATTCTGGCGGAACATCGCCTACTGCCATAGACTATAGCTATGGGATTCCAAACATTGTTGATAGAGACAAGGGGCTAGTGCGACCAAAGAAGTCCATTCGTATCGTTGCGGAGGAACACAAGAAGCGGATAGATCGTGTCTCTAGGGGTGATCCATTGGCCGACAACAGCATTTGGCGGAAGAGGAGCACGAAGTTATGGGGCAGTCGTATCGAAGAAGTCGATACCTCGTCGCAGACGTTGGCAAGCTACAGCAAGACGCTTCCTGACTCTCCGGCGGGTGGTCCTAGGCGTGAGTTCTCTGCTTTTCTTTACCTTACTAAGCTAAAATGTACTTCAGCGATATTTAAATGGGTCCGCGGTGAACTGATCGGCAAAGGAACGTATGGTCGCGTTTATCTTGCCCTCAATGCCACTACGGGCGAGATGATTGCCGTCAAGCAAGTTGAAATTCCCGTAACCGCCAGTGACAGAAAAGACAACCGTCAGATGAGTTTCGTACAGGCACTCAAAATGGAGAGCGAGACCTTGAAAGATCTCGACCATCCTCACATCGTGCAGTACCTTGGATTCGAAGAGACACCGACGTTCTTGAGCATGTAAGCGCTGCAGAAATTATCTTTGATGATATCTTAGTTGTGTTTTCAGTTTCTTAGAATACGTGCCCGGAGGCTCGGTCGGAAGCTGTCTGCGAGATCATGGCAAATTCGACGAGGAAGTTACGAAATCGTTCACGGGACAGATTCTCGAGGGTTTAGAATATCTCCATTCCAAGAACATCATACACCGAGTACGCTTCATCTATTATTGTTTGTTCATACCTCATTCTTTCGCATAGGATTTGAAGGCAGACAACATCTTGGTGGAAAAAACGGGGATTTGCAAGATCTCTGACTTTGGAATTTCGAAACGTACTGACGATATCAATGGAATGGCTTCAACGGCGATGCAGGGCACAGTGTTCTGGATGGCACCGGAGGTCATACATCCCCAGAAAAAAGGTTATAACTCCAAAATTGACATTTGGAGCGTGGGCTGCGTTGTCCTTGAGATGTGGGCAGGGAAGCGACCATGGAGTGATGATGAAGCTATAACGGTCATGTTCAAGGTTCGTTTCTTCGTATATAGCGCAAAGTACGGTGTTCTCATGGGTTTGCAGGTATACCAGAATAAGCAACCCCCGCCCATACCCTCCGATGTGGTACTGTCCGAACTTGCAAAAGACTTCAAGGACAGATGTTTCGCAATGCAAGTGTCGTCATTTATACCGTCTTGTTAGCTGTGCTCACGAACAATGTTTAGTGATCCGGATGAACGCGCGAGCGCTGCGGACCTTCAGCTACACCCATACCTGGAACTTCCAGAGGGCTGGATATTCAACGATTTTAAGTAGGACCGCATTCGGACATTATTTTTCAACATCATTTCCTATATCACCCATTTCTTATCGCATTACTCTCATTTGTCTCAATCGCGCATCTTCCTTTGTTGTTTCGTATGTTGTTTTATAGTGACCATTATAATTTTTTGTACTCGTGGAGGGTGTGCTCATACGTAATTGCTTCACGTATCCAAGTTGTATGACTGGAGTTTAGTACCTTTATGAAAACGATAGTTCCCTAAGGCACCTTGGGAAGTTCACGAAATTCCCAAGATCTAGCATCGTCTAGGATCCGATATATCGGCGCCACCGAAACGGTCTCATTGGCTATTAAGTTTATGAAGCATTTCAGAAAATTTGTCAGTTAACTTTCAGAAAGAGTCCTCAATAGCCAAGAAATTAATAACACGAAAAACAGTAGTAGGCAAGGGTACGGCGAGGTTGAGATAATGATGGAAGGGAGATGAAAATTGGTGCATTTTCTTAAATACGACATATATGTCTGGATGAGGCCCTACTTGAAATCGTTAAATACCCAGCCCTCTGGAAGCTTCAAGTACGGATGTTGCTGAAGCTCTACAGTGTTTGCGCGTTCATCCGGATCACTGAGCATCATCCATGACCACAGCAAACAAGATGACAAGTGACAAAACCTACATTGCGAAACATCTGTCTTTAAAGTCTTTTGCAAGATCGGACAGCACCACATTAGAAGGTATTGGCGGGGGTTGCTTATTCTGGTATACCTGCAGCAAACTCATGAGTGACCGCAGGCAGTAAGTGGCACATCGAAGAAATAAACCTTGAACATGACCGTTATAGCTTCATCGTCATTCCATGGCCGCTTCCCTGACCACATCTCAAGGACAACGCAGCCCAAGCTCCATATGTCAATTTTAGTGTTATAGCCTTTGTTCGGGGGATGTATGGCTTCTGGTGCCATCCAAAAAACTGTGCCCTGCATCGCCGTAGAAGCCATTTCAATGAGATCGGTACGTTTCGAAATTCCAAAGTCAGAGATCTTGCAGATCCCCGTTTTTTCCACCAAGATGTTGTCTGCCTTCATATCCTGTGCAAACGAATGAGGTGTGAACAAACAATTATAGATGAAGCGTACTCGGTGTATGATGTTCTTGGAATGGAGATATTCTAAACCCTCGAGAATCTGTCCCGTGAACGATTTTGTAACTTCCTCGTCGAATTTGCCATGATCTCGCAGACAGCTTCCGACCGAGCCTCCGGGCACGTATTCTAAGAAACTGAAAACACAACTAAGTATATCATCAAAGATGATTTCTGTAGCGCTTACATGCTCAAGAACGTCGGTGTCTCTTCGAATCCAAGGTACTGCACGATGTGAGGATGGTCTCGATCTTTCAAGGTCTCGATCTCCCTTTTGAATGCTTGTAAGGATTCCATTTGTCGGCTGTCTTTTCTGTCACTAGTACTGGCGGCTATGGGGGTTTCAACTTGCTTGACAGCAATCATCTCACCCGTGGTGACATTTAGAGCGAGATACACATGGCCATGCGTTCCTTTGGCAATGAGCTCACCACGGACCCATTTGAGTACTGAATAACAATTGAGCTTAGCCAATAAAGTAAGTCAGAAAGCTTACTTCTGCCAGGACCACCTGCTTGGGAGTCAAGGATCGGCTTCTTCCGCATCGAGGTATCGACTTCCTCGATACAATTTCCCCATACATTCGTGTTCATCTTCCGCCAGACGTCGACTGATGGGCCACCCCTGGAAACGCGATCCATCCGCTTCTTGTGCTGCTCCGCAACAGTATGGACGTGCTTCTGTGGTTTTACCAGCGCTTTATCTATATCAACGATATATGGAATTTCGTAGGTCTCTTCTATGGAAGTAGGCGATGAAGTTCCACGAGAATCGTCAATACTGGGTTTGTCGAGATCATGCTCCGGAAAGAACTCTTCGAGAGGTTCGTATACATCCTCCGGAGGCAGACGATGCGCCCAGCTGTGATCCTCAAGCGTGCCAGTGCTCTTATCTCTATTTTTTGCCCTAAGCGGTCGAGGACCGCGTAGTCGAGACATAGGATTGGATGGTGCTGGGTAATTTGGCAGGACACCATACATCATCCTACCAGGGTAAGAGCTTAGAGTCATGGAATTTAGAGGAAGACGTAGAGGGCCAGCCTATCGCCTGAAGCTGTGAAGCTGATTGGCGCCAGTGTCCTGAAACATGATGGGCCGAACAACTGCTCCACCCAAAACCACCATCAAGTACTGCTCCTAGTCTCCCATAGACGTAGTTGTCCCTTTCGCGGCCCGACGAAACACTGGTACATGAACATTCATCCTGCCTCCACCAGGGTCCAGCACGAGATAAATCCAGTGGACTCACCGACCGCATCTGTATCTCCAAGTCATTCTCCATGATCCTTTGTCGAGCATCAACAATCCACTTCTCCAAATGCTTTTTCACTCCCCTTTCCATTGGTCTGAGCATGAGGGATTCCCTCGCACTGCATCCCGAAGTCTCGCTCACGCACCGGTGGGCGACGTTCTACACTGAACGTCATACTTTCGGCATTGGAAAGCAGAACTGGTATGACTCACGTCCTACATGCAACTCATCGCGAAATCCTGTATAAGATGGATGTTCAAGGGTAAGAGTTATTGTCAAGCCTGGCCATGAATCCCGTGATGGTAAATATTATGAACACGACAATACAGATTCATATTAAATTAAAAAGGGAATACGGAACGCTCAAACTAGCACCTAATTTCCTGATCCAACCAGACACATCCAGGCCGAGGAGTGATAGTAAATAATCTTCTATAAGCCGAAAGTTATCTTTCGCATCTATCATATCATGATGTACTGAAACATTGAGAGGTACTTCACAAGACTGTATATTGAACCTGCTATGGATGTACTGATGACATGATTCACGCCCTGGTCCATCGGCTTTCGATGTTTGAAATACGAACATCGACTTTAGCCTGAAGTGGGACTCCGTGGATCGTCACGATTGTAAAGTCAGAATGAAGTACTGCCTTACCTTCTCGTCATAGTCGACCCAGTCATCGTCTTCAAGATCAACATCGGAGAATTTGGTGCCGGTCTCTCCCTGGCATGTCCATCGCCCTATCTGTAACATTTTCATGCAATGAGATTGGAGAAGCACCATGGAAAAAGAATACAAACTGGAGCAAAATCTGTAAACTCTAACCCACGACATTCCATCTTCAATAGGGTGGCAAATTGTCCATTTGAGTCAGCGGAGTATGGTTTTGATGGTTCAGCAGCAAAGCTAGCTGAGCTCTCCTTTTTACAATTACCACAACGCCAAACGAGGTGTGCCGAGCCTCTACTATTCGAGATATTTCGTGTTTCCTGGAGGAACAAGATGTAATCCTCCATCATCATGGAGTGGACAGACATACCAATCTATTCAATGTGACGTACTTCTGGTGCTCTTCTTGACAGCTATTGCAGACTACCTGCACGGGATATTCAGAATACAAGACACGATGTGGTCACCAAGTATCACTTTGAAAAAGTACTCGAAATCATCACCAGAAGGGGCGAGATCTGTGACGTTTTCCAGCTCAGCTTTGATTTCCAGTTTCAAAAACTTTTCGGGATCAACACATGAAGGTCTTTCCGGTGTAGCGAAAGAGACTTACGACCATGATAGGATAGTGTATCTTTCAAGTTCAGGATCATGTCTTTCATCGATGAATGATCAGAGTTTGTTCTTGTTTGCATACTTCCATTTTTGAGGTCGGTTTTACAGTTGGACTCAAGGAAGCTTCGGTGCACCCAAGTTGTCAACTCCAACATGTGGTTGCTTCCGCCATGTCGACACGGTCTGCCTTCAATAATGGTCACCAGGCAATTCCATGCCACTACACAAGTGTCCATGCGGAAAAAGATATCCAAGACGTCGAAAGCGGATGACGAGGAAATACTTCAGCACTTTCAGCCAGATGGGGGATTAGATGTACCAGTGGCCGGATACCTATTACATCGTCAGCAGCGACAGACGTTATACTACATGCGACTAATTGAGCACGAGATTCCAAAACTCGTAGGTCAGCCATGATTGACCCGAATTAAAGACATCCACTCATTCGTATCTTAGGGTTTCGCAAACCATTCGTCCCTCCCACTGCCGCTACACCCCTCGTCATACGGTCTATCGATTTTGCTGGAGAAAAACATCCGTTGACAGCTAAGCGGAGTGTTGTCGTTCCGGTCGCGCATCTTCCCCTGCGGAACGAAGTAGCTTTTCACAGAGCGAAACTCCTCGCGGGCGTGCGGTGGATGCCAGAACCCCCAAGAGACTCTGGTATATCAGCGGATGAGGATGCTGCCAAGCATGGTTTTATTAAGATTGCATGCGAGGACTTTCCGCGGGCCAACATGAATTTAAAATGGATCAGCGATACGCTAGATAAGCTGGTTCTCGAAGCAAATGTAGGTCAAGTTTGACGTTGGCTACTATCAATACTCATAGTTTTTCAGGCTGAGGGCGAGGCGCCATATCAACGGCTACCACTGGATACCCGACATCTCGATTCTAAAGTGCGGAAATCGAAGAAGGGTGATCATGTTCGAGGCAGAGGTGGATTACGTCCAAGTCTCAAGGACTTCCCCACGGAATGGCTTCCAAAGCGTCAAGAAAATGTGTTATCTTCTATATTGCCATCTCAATAATAGACTGTATCTCTGGACGGCCGCTGTTAATCGGTCCGGCATCATGATCACGAGTGTATGGCGAATCGTCCAAAATATGTTATAAGCTCCATCGATGAATAAGTCCTCACGTCTTTCTCCCTATCTTCCTCATGGCGAATAAAATTCGTGCGTCTGTGATTCAATCCTGCACTGCCCGTTTCGATCTATCAGAGACATTGGACAAAGTTGAAAAACTGACCAGACTTGCAAAAGAGCGCGATGGATCGCAGCTCGTTGTATTTCCCGAAGGCTTGTGAGTCCACCTTAGTCTGCATGTCGTCTTGCCTATGGCATGTAACTCTTGCTTAGCATCGGGGGCTATCCGAAATGGTCGACCTTTTTATGCTTCGTAGGAGAGAGGACTTCAGAGGGCAGGGACGAGTTCGTCAGGTATTATAACGCGGCAATTGAGATTCCTTCGCCAGCGATAGATCGTGTCGCAGAAGTGAGCAAGGCAACAGGGGTCTTTATAGTCATGGGGGTCATCGAGCGTGAGCTCGGGACACTCTACTGTACCGCCATATTCGTCGACCCCGTTGAAGGCTTAGTGGCAAAGCATCGAAAACTACTGCCAACAGCATGCGAACGTTTCATATGGGGGCAGGGCGATGGAAGCACCCTTCCTGTTGTAACAAAGAAGTTCCAATCATCTGTCGAGCCAACGCGCACCGTCGAGACGAAGATATCCGCTACCATATGTTGGTGAGTGTCGAACCTGATCGTACTCACCTAAAAATGACAAAAGAGTTACATCAGGGAGAATTTTATGCCTCTGCGTGAGTCTTGAGATTGATCCGAGTAAACCTCTCAAACGGTTTGTTTCCTCCAGTGCGAACTTATTATTACTCTCTCGGGACGCAAATCTATTGCGTACCGACGGTTGACTCGCGTGAAACTTGGGAGAGCTCCATGCGACATATCGCATTCGAAGGACGTTGTTTCGTGCTTTCTGCGTGTCAATTCGCAACTGAAAAAGACTACCCTCCGGACCATCCAGTTGCAGATGCCAGTAATCGCAATCCTGACAATGTCATGATCAACGGTGGCAGCTTGATAGTCAGCCCTCTGGGAAAAGTACTCGCTGGTCCCACGAGAAAGCCCGAGGACATCCTGACTGCAGATCTTGACCTTGATGATATCGTCCGAGGAAAGTTTGATCTTGATACTGTGGGGCACTATTCTCGTCCAGATGGTACGATCACTTCATTTTGACTTGAGATGCGATTCATGGTCTGTTATTAGTCTTTCAGCTCAAGGCAAACATCTCGCCTTGATTTAGGCAAGGGGCCTCATGCTCAAGAAAGTGTAACAACAATCTCTTATTTTCATCTCCACTGCCAGTGTTCTGTCGAGTCGATCTATATCCAGTACTAGCAGGTTTCATTGATATTGAATCTGTATGACTCCAATTAATTATGCTTTGTACTACGACATGTGGCTCAGTACTAATGTGGCCGACGAGGACAAAGACCAAAGCGACATCCTCTTTCTCATACACCCACAGTACACACAAAGTGATGCATAGAAATCCACCTGAAGCGTCCATGACTACTATGATATAAAAGCTAGCAACAAATACAACTCCCCTCATCACTTGAAGTCACTAAGGTGCGGCAGGTCCAACATTAGCCAGACTCTTCAGCCGAAACATTCTCGCACTACTTGCTATACGTTCCATAATGTCTAATTCGCAGACTCCTGATGCACGCACTGCGCTCATGCAATCTGTTCTCTCGCGTCACTTACAGGCGAAGGCGAGTTCGGCGAGAGTGTCCCGAAGCTCTCTACTGCGGAGACCAAGCCGCAATTTCAATGCGCAGGACTTTGCTGGCCACCGAAAGCAGGCAGCTAGCCCTAGCAAGCGCAAGGCACGCGAGGACAACATTGCCTTGGCAATTCGAGGCAGAACGATCTATGATCCACGAGCCAACCCTGTTGCACACTCGGCACCAAAGACAAGCAGCTCACGGAAGAAGCTGATGACGCCAAGCGCTCCCTCATACCACCCCCTTGGAACTGGTGTACTGTTGAAAGAGAAAGCGTTGCCTCTGAGTATTTTACAACGGATGGAAACCGAGGAAGAACATCGAGTCTTCCTGATGAAAGCCGGAGGTGCCTCTACGCCGAGCTACCACTGGCAGGCGCGGGACAATTCTCCCTGGATGGGCATCTCTGAGTCGGATCCGGATTGCCATATGCCGGGAAGTAGTACACCCTCGGACATGGAGTATTCCCCATCTCTCTGGAACGCACCGAATTTGAATTCAGGGGAGGGAGATTGGGAGACGATGTTTGACATGTATATCAACTTGCAAGAGGAGTGAATGAGAAAGTGTTGGATAATCATAATATTTTCTGTAGTTAGTTATGGCAATATGTATATCCTGGAGCACAGTAAACGCCCTTTTCATGAACGGCTAGTCTGTACCGCGCTCGGTTGATATTAACGGCTAGAAGATTCAGTTCAAATTGAGCTACTCGTCTACCGAAAAGCGGATTTAGAGCGCCACCGAAGCCAAACAAATGCAACACATTTGTAGACAAGAAGTCGAGTGTTTTGCTTCATCTTTCCTTCCTCGTTTGCAGTCAACCGAAAGTAAATTTTGGACCTTATTGCTAGTCATCTTAAGCCCTTCATCACTGACAGCAACGTCCAGATGACTGACTCCTACAACTCCCGCGCCAATGACCTTTCGCCTTCTTCAAATGGCTACGCGAACGGTTCCAGTCCGTTGTTGGCCCAATCTAACAACGCTGGCATTTCACCCGTCATTCGCAAAAAGCTCATGGGCTACGTCGGTTTTGCCAACCTTCCAAATCAAGTGCACAGGAAGAGCGTCCGGAAAGGTTTCCAGTTCACTACAATGGTCGTCGGTTCGTTGTTTTATGCCAACTGAGTTACTTGCCCTCAAACATTCACCATTCTCTAGGCGAGTCGGGTCTGGGAAAGTCTACGCTAATCAATACCCTCTTCAACACGCCTCTATACCCTCCCAAGGAGCCCCTTCCTCCTTCAGCTGAGCGACCTAAAACGGTTGCCATTGAAAGCATTGGCGCAGGTCAGTCTCATATGACAGCACGAGAGGTGCCATTAACACTCGTACTTAGATATTGAAGAGAACGGCGTCCGTCTCCATCTAACTGTTGTTGACACTCCCGGTTTTGGCGATTTTGTCAACAATGACGACAGGTATGTAAAAAATTTGGCCAAATTGAGAATATCTTACCTATACGTAATGCTAGCTGGAGGCCAATTGTAGAAGACATCGAGTCGCGTTTCGACTCATATCTAGAGCAGGAGAATCGCGTCAACCGGCAGAAGATCGTGGACAATCGTGTCCACGCTTGTCTTTACTTTATTCAGCCCACAGGTCACTCGTGAGCAGTTTTGTTGTCTTTTGTTGTACTTCTGTCTGACACGTTCCGTCTTCGCACAGGCTGAAACAACTCGACATTGAATTCATGCGTCGCCTGCACACCCGAGTCAACCTAATTCCTGTCATCGCAAAAGCCGATACGCTGACGGACGAGGAAATTGTTGCCTTCAAAGCCAGGGTAAAATCGCCTCCCTGCCGCATTTCCTGTTGCCTGACCTTGCACGCAGATCCTTGCAGACATTGCTCACCACAATATTCACATCTTCCAGGCACCCAGCTATGAGAATGAAGATGAGGAAACCCTCGCTGAGGCCGAGGAGATCGCTAGCAAGATTCCTTTTGCAGTCGTTGGTTCGGACAATGTTGTGGACACCAAAGATGGTCGTCAAGTCCGTGGACGTGCATACCCTTGGGGTGTCATCGAAGTTGACAACGAGGAACACTGTGACTTCGTTAAGCTTCGCCAGATGCTTGTTCGGACCTACATGGAGGAGCTTAGGGAGCGCACGAATGATGTGCTATATGAAAACTGGCGAAGCGAGAAGCTTCTTAGCATGGGTGTCGCCCAGGATTCTAGTGTCTTCAGGGAGATCAAGTAAGTGCTAGTTTTGTTATTCGTGGAGAAAGTTGATTGACATCTTCTCGAAGCCCTTCTGCCAAGATTCAGGAGGAACGTATTCTGCATGAGGCCAAGCTTTCCAAGATGGAGGCTGAGATGAAGATGGTGTTCCAGCAGAAGGTCCAGGAGAAAGAATCGAAGCTGAAGCAGTCCGAAGAGGAACTTTATGCCCGACACAAGGAAATGAAGGATGCTCTCGACAAGCAGCGCGCAGATTTGGAAGACAAGAAGCGAAGAATCGAGAGTGGTCGACCGCTGACCCCAGAGAAGAATACTGTAAGTCAACAGCCCAACCCTGGAGTGTTTACTAACTGACATTCATATAGACCAAAAACCGTCGCTTCTTGCGGTAGATTCCCTTCGTCTTGGCACTTTCTTATTGTTCTCCCTTCGCCTCTTCTAGTTTGCCATTTAGTATTCTTGCTATCGTACATTGCCTTGGCGTTTCACTCGTTACCTCGCCCTCGAACATTTTACACTCTTTTGGAATGATATCCAGGTTTGGCTACCCTCCACCTTTTTAGTACTATGATCAACTTCCTATGCGGAGTTTCTGGATGTTGAAAGACGTCGAGGAGATGATTGGATTTTTACTTTTGCGATGACTGCGCGAAGATATACCCAGTGTTGCCACTATGTCAATACTGATAAACAGATAATCTTGAGTCCACACAGCTTAATGAGATTTGATCACGAACCACGACGAAGCTCAATCATGGCTGATAACCAGTCCGCTAATATTCAAGCACTGTTGTCCGCATTAAATGTGTTCACTCGTGCACCTGACAAGACTTCTTTGGAGAATGCGAATTCCTGGCTGCAGGATTTCCAACACTCTGTAAATGCACTTTCGCCCTTCGCCCGATCTTCCAATCCGGTCATCTGACTTCGTCCATCCGCCCTGTCCTAGCCCGAAGCATGGTCGACATGTAACGTCCTCCTGCTATCTCCTGATGCACCCCCAGCGGCCAAGCTATTCGCTGCACAGACTTTCAGGTCAAAAGTTAGTCAATCCGTGATTCATTCCTGTGCGCCACTGAAGTCTCCCCGACAGGTTACTTATGATCTACATCAAGTAGACCCATCAAATCTTCTTCCCCTCAGAGACACTCTTGTCACTGCGCTGGAGAGATATCAAAGCGGTCCGAAGACCATCATCACACAGTTGTGTTTGGCGCTTTCAGGGCTTGCCCTGCAACTCCCAGCTTGGGACAATGCTTTACAGAGTATTGTCGAGATATTTGGAGCGAACCCTGCAACGGTTCCTGTGTTGCTCCAATTTTTGACTATCCTTCCGGAAGAAGTATCGGGTAACACAAGGATACCCGTGACTGTGAGTGGCGCATAATCAAGATTTAGGAGGTTTTCACGATACCAACAGGACGATGAATATCGCGAAAGGTCTACAAAACTCCTTTCGGACAACTCCGAGCAGGTATTGCAGCTGCTGTCAATGTACTTGCAGGCAACTGGTCGGTCTATTTATCTATTTGCCAAAGGACATTGGTTACAAAATTCTGCAGGTGTCACGCACGCGGTTCAAAGTCAAATCTTTGATTGCCTTCGTAGTTGGTTAGTCGCAGGAGAAATTGATATGCCCGCCTTCGGGAAATCTCCTTTGCTTGCATTTGCATTCGAGGCCCTAGCTTCGGAGGAACTCTTTGACTCGGCAGTCGACGTCGTTTGTGAAATGATACACGAGACGCAAGAAATCGACGAGAATATGCCCGTGATTGAACTCATCGTTCCTCGGGTCATTGCCTTAAAGTCTCGACTGGAAGATCAGAAGGATGATCCAGAGAAGATTCGAGGCTACGCAAAGATCTTTGCAGAAGCTGGTGAAACGTACCGGTTACTTATTCTCCAGCACACCGATACATTCTATCCAATCGTCGAGGCAATTGGCCAGTGCTCAGCCTACCCCGACCTCGATATTGTGCCCATCACTTTCCCTTTCTGGATGCGGCTGGCTCAGACTATAGGCAAGAAAACAACGATCTCGCCACTGTTCGGAGAAGCATACAAGGCGTTAATGGGAGTCGTCATTCGCCATTTGCACTTCCCTCCCGATCTCGCCTCTATGACGGGCCAAGAAGCGGATAATTTCCGCTCGTTTAGACATGTAATGGGAGATACTCTCAAGGACTGTTGTTTAGTTCTTGGTGCAGATGCCTGTCTCCTTTCTGCTTACGGGCTTATCACTATGGCGCTGGCTCGTAGCCCACAGTCCATCTCCTGGCAAGAAATCGAGGCCCCTCTTTTCGCTATGCGCTCCATGGGTGCTGAAGTGGATGTCATGGACGAAACCGCTGTGCCCAAGATAATGGATCTCATTCCCTCTCTTCCGATTCATCCTCGAGTTCGTTATGCTGCACTGCTCATCATATCCCGGTACACCGAATGGATCAACCGTCACCCGGACTACATTGCATATCAACTACAGTACATCTCGGCAGGCTTTGAAGATCCTGACCCCGAAGTCAGTGCGGCTGCAGGACAAGCGTTGAAGTACTTGTGCCAAGACTGTAAACAGGTGAAACCATCACCTATGTTGTCAAATTTTGCTTTATTAACACGATTGCAGCATTTGATCGAATTCCTTCCTACGTTGCATACTTTCCTTACAACAACCGGAACAAAACTGGTTCAAGATGACCGGCGGCAAGTATACGAGGCCATCGCTTACGTGATTTCCGCGATGTCTATGGAAAAAGCTGCAGAGTCCCTGCGAACCTTTTCGCTTGATATTCTGTCTCAAATACATGCCATAAGTAGCAAATCTACAGCAGTAACCAAACAAGAACTCAAGGAAGTCGGATGTGAGTTTCGTGAACCGTGTTGACATCCGACTAACGCCTGTCCCCTAGATGGCTTGGAAAATCTGGAGGTCATGTTGCATGTCGTAGGACCCTTTGGAGACCAGCTACCTGCCGCTTGTCAGAACAGCTGTCAAGAAGCATGGTCGGTTTTTGACACCTTCATTTCCAAGTTTGCGTTCGACTATGACACTTCGGAGAGAGTCACTCGCGTTCTCCGTCACGGCATTACGCTGTTTGGCGATAGCTCTCTTTCAGTTGCATCGTCTGTCTTGTCACGGATGGTGACTTCCTTCGAGGCAACCGGTTTCTCGTCTTTCTTGTGGATTTCGGGGAAATTTGTAGGGAGGTTTGGTCACGAGTCGGACCCAGTGTTGCGAAATGCCTTTCAAAACCTGTACGAGAGAACGACTAACAAAGTCGTTAGCCTCTTACAATCAAAGGATCCAAGAGACATCCCTGATGGTGAGTCTTTTTCGTCTCAATCTTGGCAAAAGCTGACTTTGATTCAACAAGTATTGGAGGATTATGTTCAGCTCTTGCTCCAGCTTATACGGATGGCGCCAGATGTATTCTTCCAGTCCAGCGCATTTCCACTGGCATTCAGAGCCACCATGGCTGCACTCACTTTAATTCATTCTGACCTCGTCTTTGCGTCCTTAGATCTCTTCCGCGACATCCTTACTCACGAGAGTCTTACTCCTAGCTCATCGCCACCTCCCAAGTTCCCCATTTATTCTTCCGCCATCAAGGCTGTCATGGAAAAGGAGGGATTTGAGTTTGTCGGCTACATGCTCTCAGGTCTTGTTGGAGATTTCCCTGAAGACTCAACTGCGATTGTTGTCACCATTTTCCGCGCCGTAGCGCTTCTGTGGTCTACGCAGCTGGTCGCATGGTTGCCACCTATCTTGCAGCAGCTTCCTCCATCCAGTGCCCCGAACCAAGTGAAGCGGCAGTTTTTATTGGACGTGACCAAGTGCGTGTGTTTTATAATTGCTTTCGGCGGCTATGGTATTGAAGTCGGCTGGCCGTTATTAGCTCGTTGAACACCGCCCAATACGACAAGGTCAAGTATTCCATTCTAGCACTCCACCGAGCTTCACGCAAGGCTCGAGACCGTAGACGTGTAACTCCCTTGAACCAGGTGTGAGAACCAATGAGGAAAGCTCTCTCGTCTCACATGGACCGGAGATTCAGTGAAGGGAAAAGATGTGCAGAGCTGTAATGAGAATTTTGTACATGGTCAAAATTGTTTAGTATTTGAGCTTGCGAATGCGTTACCAGTGTCTACCACCATTCGGCGTTACGTCCGAGGGAACGTTGAGTACACAGCAAGAAATGCTGCGAAACGACACACCGAAACATTCAGGTACATCAGGAACACAGTGCCTAATCGGGAAATATCGGGTTTTGAGGTTTTGGCACGGCAGGCGGGTTGCCACAGATCACAGCGGGGGAGACTTTGCATTTCTTTCCAACACCACGTCCACCAATGTTTCGTCGTTCAGGTCAATCCTTTGCTTCCGACCGTACGTTATCCATTCACTTTGCAATAGCAACTGGAGCTGATATCTCTATAGTCGGTCGCCGGTCATTCTCGGTTTCGGCCTCTCGAAAGAGTTATGCCGACACCATACACAACCTACGTATTCACAAAGACACTAAAGTACTCTGTCAAGGTTTTACTGGAAAGACGGTGAGCTCTTGACGTACTCCTTGGAGTCTAACGCGCGAAGGATTTATCATCGGAGCAGGGAACCTTTCACGTGAAAGAGGCTTTGGCTTATGGAACAAACATGGTTGGGGGTGTCTCCCCAAAAAAAGCAGGCCAAACGCATCTTGGCCTCCCTGTTTTCGGTAGTGTCAAAGAGGTATGAAAGAATTCATCATTGTTCTGCCAATGTCTCATCATATCGAATAGGCCGTTCAGGCAACAAAACCTGATGCAACTATCCTTTATGTTCCTCCCCCCACCGCTGCTGATGCCATAATTGAAGCCATCGAGAACGAGATTGGTTTGATTGTTTGCATAACGGAGGGTATTCCTCAGGCCGATGAAATCAAGGTGGACTATTTTTGCCTTACATTGAAGCAGTTTATAAACATTATATTTAGGTCATGAATGCCTTGAAGAGCCAATCTAAATCTCGTCTCGTCGGCCCCAACTGCCCCGGCATCATCAACCCACTAGGTTGCAAAATGGGCATCCAGCCTGGTCACATCCACAAGCCAGGGAAGATTGGTATGTTCCCACCAAAGGCTTGTTTTGATCTCTCGCCTCATCGATGTCCTTCAGGTATCGTTTCGCGCTCCGGAACCCTTACATACGAAGCTGTCGCTCAGACCACCGGTGTTGGTCTCGGCCAATCACTATGTATTGGCATTGGTGGTGACCCATTTCCCGGCACTCAGCATATAGATGCCCTCAAAGTTTTCATGGAAGATGATGCGACTGAAGGTATTGTTGTCATCGGTGAAATTGGTGGTTCCATGGAAGAGGAAGCTGCCGATTACCTTGAAAAATACAACAAGACTCGTAAGAACCCCAAACCTGTCGTTGGGTTCATCGCAGGACGCACTGCTCCGCCTGGGAGACGCATGGGCCATGCTGGTGCTATCATTTCCGGTGGCAAAGGTATAAACTATTGGATTCACTTTACTCTTCCGCTGACTTTGGATCGCAGGTGCTGCAGTAGACAAGGTTGCTGCTCTTGAGAGAGCTGGCGTTATAGTGACAGACAGTCCTGCAAAGATTGGTGCTGAGATGCTCAAGGTATGTTCAGCTTTCATTTTTTTCAAGGTTATGCTGACTTTTGGGAAAGGCAATGAAGGCGGCAGGTCTCGTATAGATAGATATTACCGCTATACCAATGTACCATTTCAATCAACTATTTTATTAGGCCAATAATCTGCTGTGTGCTTACATAATCGTCCACCAATCGTTCATCGATGTCATTTACTCCGTCCCTAGCCATAGATGAAGCAGCAAGCTATCTATTATCCGCACCGTCCCTCTCAAAGGTTTCCACTACCATCAAGCTCGAGGTCAACACCGTACTCTCGACTTTTATCTAATCTCTAACTTGTTCGCAGCTGTATGGTCTATTCAAATATCTCAAGGTGGCCCCGAAGCCGCAAGGCTCAAGGCCACACATATTCGACATGACAGGACGCGCCAAGTGGGACGCGTGGAAAGCGGCGAGCGATACATATGAGAATAATAGTCACGCCGCGGAACAGCGGTATCGAGCCATCGCTCAGGAACTGGGATGGAAACCAGGTTCTAGTCCCAGCGTTGCGCCTGAGAAGCTATCGGAGGATGGAGGCGCGAATGCAGTTATTCGGAATCAATCTGCTGGCTCAGAGTCTTCAGGTGGCGGCGGCGGCGGGATGGGAACATCTGTCAGCTTACTGGTCGATCCGGGCCCAGATTTGGGTGAAGCTCAGACGCTGCACGGATTAGCTATCGCGGGAGACGCAAAGAAGTTGATGGCGTTCTTGCTTGCAAATCCAACGGTCGATATTAACGCACGCGATGAATTTGTGTGTTTCACCCGTGCTTCTCTACACAAAACTCAAGTTCCAGTAACAGGATTATACCGCCCTTCATTTGGCCTGTGACAGAGGGAACTTGCCAGTAGTCCAGGCATTACTGAGCAAGGGAGGGGATCCTCTGTTGAAAGTAAGGCATGGAACCTTTTAATCCAAATACTGACCTCGTGATCGGGCAGGATCCCGACGATTACACTGCAGCAGAGCTAGCTCAGGTAGCTGGACATCAAGAAATATATGACCTCCTGAATAATTAGAAGATGTTTAAATGATAATGGAATTATGGCTGCAATCTACATATGCGAGGCTGTAGTGGTAATTTATGATTTCCTCATCGCTCTTAACAGATGGTGGAACGAACCCACCCCATATCGACTCAAGATTGCCTCCGACGCGATAACTACGAAGTAGCTGAAGTCATTCCAGAGGAACTATTTTTTGACGATTCCGTGCCAAATTTTGGGCCCAAGGCCTTCGGGTGATACTTGGAGTCTGGTGGTAACACACCACCCTTGAATATTGACTTTAGCACTGACAAGCGTATGAATAACAAATGTGGACTTACAAGTTCCAATAGCTTGACTACAGATTTACTAGGCAGTGCTCCAACACCCAGCCAGTATTTTATTCTGTCCACACTCCATTTGACAGTCTTGTGTGTGTCTCCGAGCTTAAGAGCAGGATCATAGATGCCCAATAGCTCCATAGGCTTTGCGTCTCGTCTTGTGCGCTGGTTAATGGCGACTAAATGGAATATACGGTTGTGTCTTCGGCCGTGCATGGCCATCCTGAGGCGCACAGGCATGGTGAACTGACAAGTAATAGTACACCTGTAAGTTGGAAGAGAGCAGAAGTTGTATTTACCACTATTTGGTCAGACGTGGCACAAGGAACAAATTCAAGCCACCACTTTAGTATACATTTTTGTAACCTCAGTACAAGGATTGCAGTGAATGGGCAATACATGTTCTACATCATAGATAGTTTGTTTGGGTGAAAGAATGTGAAGCTCGTAATGTCCAACGATATCACCGAGGTTTACCATGCCTACGCGAACAACATGGCACTAGTGAAAATTCCCCTACAAGCAGCTGACTCCGAGTCAAGAATGCAAGAGCGATAAGTCAAGAGTCCGACTCAGGACCTTCGCTGCCTGGAATTAACTGGGGAGGCCGATGTCAGCCCCCACTTGAACATTCAGTGAAAGGATTTCACAGACCATACAAATATTGTTGCCGTTGAGAAGCGTCTGTGCAAGTCGTGTTTTCTTCTTTCCCTGAGGAGTAGTCTCGCTGAGGACGACCATCAGCAACGGGATATCGCTATCATCTAGTCTCACTGACTATTCTGTTACATCCTCTAGCACCATATCTGCGTGTGGGCGTGTTCAGTATAACAGCTTTATCGCGTAGGGAAAAGTGGCCAACTCACTCACGAAATCGTCGAAGCCAAGCAGCGTCCCGGTAAACTCACGATCACTCTTCATAATGACCCATATCCGGGATCCAATGCATCTGTCAATTAGTTCTGCGACGGCTGTCAGGATAATGATCAATGATCTTTGTTGTCTTTTGTACTCGCCTAGCGGGAGGATTTGAGAAGCCATGACGGTAAAGTTTGAGGTGGCGCAAAGCAAGACGGGCGAGACATCTTGCATCAGCATTCAGATCAATGTTGTAAATTTCATGTATCGTATAGCAGACATCACGGGTAGTACAGGTTACCAATAATCAGCATTATCAGCTACTACACTGAATCATTTTCTCGTGCTCTGACATATATAGTTCTGTCATAAAGGAATTTGCGTCCGTTAGACGCGTTACATGTAACATACCGCACAAGCGTAAAGGGTAAGGAGACATCACGGGTTGCAAACAGAATGGGGATTTGAACGACAATCGTCGGTGCAAGATATAAGTGACAGTAGCACACAGTGAAAGAGATAGGCAACAGTTTACTGTTGGCCGAAACTAAAACCTCCTTGTGGAGCAGTGACATCCTGGAACTGCACAAAAAATTAATATACGAAAAGAAACAATATCAGTGAACTTACAGCAAATGTACCACTAGCATCAAGGGTAGGTGCGTTAATTGCTGCATCCACTTCTTCCTCATCTGGGAAGTACTTGTCCATGATATTGAACGCCTTCTTATATATCTCCAGGTTGTCGTGTGATTGGAGGTTGTGGATGGTGATCATACCGCCTGCCTCTTCGACATATATAGCATATTGGTTGACGGATCCGGGACCTCCAGCCTGTTTATCCGTCTCGCCAACCTTGAGAATGTTATCGAGACCATCAAGGGCAACTTGAATGATCTTGTTGTCCATCATAGTGAGCAGATCACATAGTGGCTTGATACAGCCTTGCGAGACGAGATAGCGGATCTGCGCTGGTTCGTGAAGACCACCAGACGTCGCGTTCGAAATTGCCCAGCAGGCCTCCTTCCGCGTTTTGAAGTCAGCATTGGAAAGAATGTTGATAAGTGGAGGAATGATGTTGGCATCGATAACTGCCTGAATTTGGGGAGGTGACCCAGCAGTGATGTTGGAGATCGTCCAGCATGCTTCTTTTCTGATACCCTCTTTCGGGGAGGATAGCAGCGAAAGTAGAGCGGGTAAAGCCCCAGACGCAATAACGACCTGAGTCTGAAGATCATCTCCAGTAACAATGTTGCCGATTGAACGAAGAGCGGGCGTTTGCACGGAGGTTGAACTGTGCATGAGTAGATCAACGAGGCGCCGACATACAGCAGACTCGATAACCGCTTGGATCTTGTCGTTCGAACCATCTGAAAGGTATGAGATAGCCCAGCAAGCATCAATCAAAATTTCATCATCGAGCGAGTAAATGAGCTTGGTCAAGACGGTCAATGCGGGAGAGATCTAGTAAAAGATGTCAACTTCCTATGCATACAAGCCATGATTTGTCACAAACCAGTTCCCAGTCGGGCTGAGGGTTTTTGCCCCTGCAGAAGTTACTCAGGGTCCACGTAGCGTTCCTGAGCATGCTAAGTTTGTGATTTTCGCTTAGCAAAGTCAGGAGTGGCCTCAATGCCCCTTGTTGCAGGACGTAATCTCTGCATTGTGGGCTGTCACCCGCGATATTCCCGAGGGCCCATACCGCCTGTTCACGAACATCGAGAACCGGCGACGACAGGAGGTTGATGAACTCGGGAACGGCACCGGCGGAGATAACGACTTGAGTGTGCTCGGCGGTCCCAGAAGCAATATTTGTGAGCGCCCAAGCTGCCTCAAACTGTAGACCGATTAGCATTGACTCGATAGCTAGGTACAGAACAACAAACCTGCAACATGGAAGCACCAGTCCGAAGGAATTCAACGAAACGGGGCACAACGCCACATTCAATGACTTTCTCAATAGGAGGGTTCCTCTCCTTTGACAACAGTTTCCGGAACTTCGTGGTTGCATCCAACTGGCGATCGGGATCATTAGAAAACACGCCACTAATCATTTCTTCCGCAAGCTGCAAGCACATTCAGTAGAAAATCACGAGGTGGGTGAGATCGTACGCACCGGAGGCTCCCAACTGCTTGTCGTCGCTTCTTCATCTGAGTCGGCTGAAGCGGAGGGAAGGAAATTACGCCTTTTCGCGATATTCTCCTCGCGCTTCTGCCTTCTGATCTCAACCTGCTGCTCCTCTCTGCGACGCCTAAGATCGTCTTGCTTCAAACCACCTTTATTCTTATAGTCTGATCAAACACGCGTGTTCAGCAATTGATATCAAGAAAAAAATTGAGGCAAGCATACTGGCTCTGCGGTGTTCCATAGTACGTGACTCCATGACGGATCGCTGGATCGCAAAAATCTAAGAAATGATAGAAGGGAGAGATAGAACCAGAAAGAAGATCAAGATGTTGAAAGCCCTCGCGTCACAACAAAGGATAAAGCACTATCACCCACGCGTGACATTGTCATATCCATCACAAAATGTGACTCGATGAGTCACGTCACAAAAGTTTTCAATTCACATCAGTCTTAGCAAGTTCTTAGTGGTCACAGATTGTTAGTTGACATTCAGTATGGAAGTTTACAAACAATAGATATCAGGAGTGCAACAGAAGAGTGAAGTCGAGCAGTAGAGAACTTGCGAGTAGCAGTAGTCCCTCATTGACACTTTGTCGTTGCCTCAATCAGACTTCACTCAAAACATTGCACGACAAATTTTTAAATAGTGAAAATGTTCAATTGCAGTAAGGATACAGCGTGGATAATAGTTTACGAGTCAAACGGGTACTGGTAAATATCATTTAGTCTCTCGGGGTGCCCAATCATTGTTAATGATCACTCACCTCAAATGATTCTGGAGGGTCAACGTCCGGCGAACTCTCATCTAGAGCAATGTGGAAATCCCTCGAAGGTCTGGCACGATGTATGAGGGCTTGCGGTTGCGCATGCCCGTTCTCAGTCGGTGTTGGTTCCACTACGGGAGGTTCGAATGAAATGAACTCTGCCTCAGTGTCCGGCCTCTCATCCACCATAAGGAGAATACCACCCCCGCCCGCGTACCGCTCCGAGGCAACACCAGATGGCGCCTTCCTGACACCAGGGTTCGGATTCCCTTTGCCGCTAGTCTTGGGTAAGACTGTGTTCAATGATACTGGACGGACGGGTTGATACCGTCCTTCAGGGGGGAAGCTAATGTAGGCGAGCTGCGTGGGAGTAACACGGGAAAAGTTTGCGATATTCTCTGAAGAAGGCTCTGATTTCCGTTTCGGCTTAACGTCTTCGGGAGCGTTAGTCGAAGGCGAGCTATCGGAAGGCTTGCCGGCAGGACCTTCTTCACCTTTCATTTCAACATCGCCATCCTTCTTTTGCTCAGACTTCTCGTCCTGAAATATCACATAAATAATTGAAGAAATGCCCTGTTGTAAACGCAGCCACGTACCGTATCCATAGCATCAGCATCAGCAGCTGCTTTTTTCTTTTCTCTAGCTTTGACCTTAGCAGTTGTTGAAAGAACTGCTGTAGCCGCTTTAGCGAAGGTCTCCCGTTTAGGTGGTGTGGCGGGAGGAGGATAAGCGAAAAGACTGGGTCTGGCATTAGAGATAAACTCAAACTTTGGCACCTGGATTCTGGTTAAGCGAAAATGACCGAGAAGCGTTGCATGATGCTCACTTTCAAGTCTTCATTCAAGCCAATAATAGCGGTCGGTTCAAACGCGAGGCACGCACAGTGCGCTAATGGATACCAATACCAGAATTGGCAAAACATAGTCATACCAACGATCGCGTTCGTGTTCTTGCTCCCTGCCCGACTCTGCAAACTAATGGTGACGTTGCGGCCACCAGCATCTATCAAACCTTGCCCAATAGCAGCACCGAAACGTGCCATAGGATCTTCGTGCTTGTCAGACACCACTTTAGTGTAGAGGGCACGGGTTGAGGACATGGATGGAGATGAGGCTTCTGATTGTTGGACCAAGATCATACCAAGGGCGATGAAGGCACCCTGTCGCACGAAATCAACACCGTCCTTGGTCATGGGCTCAAGGATCTCCACAGCATCTTGAAGGCCGGTGCCTGCGCATGCGATACCCAGGGCTAGGGTTGCACCGCAACGAACGTGTGGGTTGTAACTTTCACTGAGGAGCTGAACAATTCGGGGGACTTGGCCTGGATTCTTGAATAGGAGGAAGGCGAGTGAGGTCACAGCTGCTCTCCGAACATCATCTGAGGTATCAGAGACTGCAATGTGCAGTAGCTGCCGGACCGCGTCGTTATTTGACGTCCCTGCGTAAGCTAGTGCAAGAGTGTAGACACCGCCATAACGTAAAATAGGGTCCTGGATGGACACTTCAGTAAGAGCGCTGACGGTCATGGTGGGGCTTTTACCTTTTCAGTCAAAAGTGAAGTAATTGTTGAGTCGGCCTCCTCTTGGCGGCCATAAAATATGAACGCCAGTCCCATGGCCAGACCGCGAATGATCTTCTCATGCTGCGTCTCTCTAGCATACGTCAACATCTCCTCCGCTGCGGTTCGATCTGCAGAACCAAGCATCACAAGACCCATGGCATAACCCGCTGCTTCGCCGGCCACGGCAGAGTCGGTGAACAGCGTCTCCTTCAAATCATCGTATGCGTTGGAACTTCTTCCACCCATTGCTGAGATACCAAGGCCGAGAGCGGCACCGTGCTGCACTACCTCGCCCTGAACGGTTTTCATAGTCTCGCGAAGATAGTTCTCAACAGGTTGGCCGCTACCGCAGCCAGCGTTAATCAGACCAAGAGCATAAAGAGCACCGCCTTCGGAGTAGGCGGCCCCTTGGATCTGGCTTTCGCCCCCTGCCTGGGGGAGATAAGGGCCAAGAATATTCATTCCCTCCTCGAAATGACCCTTGTGGATAACACCGAGGGCTGCGGTCGTAGAGAACTTCGCCCAGTTAGATGCCAAACCGAGCCATTCAAGGTTTTCGCGAAGGAACACGTCAGAAGTTGTTCCAGCGTGCATGAAGGCGTTCTGTAGAGTGACCGCGGTATGATATATAGACGTCCGGGCTTCGAGGACGTCCTAGCGACAGAATATTAATGACGTTTGAATCCATTATAAGAGCACTCACTTTCGTGTTCTTCAGAATTAGCATATCTACTTTATTGTTGCGCTTCAGGAATTCTAGGTATAGTTTGACAGACTCTTGCCCATCCAAGATTTTACGGAGCTTGTCGTATATGTCTCGTGTTTCCTAGAGAACAAATTTAATGCATCGTGCACATGTATATGATGATACTTACCTCCTTGCCCTCAGGTAAGTCAGCCCTCACACCCTGCAAGAATTCCCGAGCACCTCCCTCAACCAAGTCAAATGCAAATTGATATGCAAGAAGCCTATCCTTTGGAACAAGGGAAGTCAGAAGTGGAACGACGAGTGATGGCCGATTGAGGGTGACTAGTAGCCGAGCAAGGGCATGAATATGCGGAGATTTTGACAGTGATGTTGGAGGAGGGAAGAGAGGTAAAAGGAAGTTGAGGACTTGATCACGGTAGGAGAGGGAGAAGCCTGTATCCAAAACAGCTTCCATTGTGTACGAGAGAAGGGAGACGTCGTGAGTCAAGTCATATATACGGTTCACAACATCGAGACGATGAGACTCTAATGCAATGCCGATTGCCTGCCCAAAAACGGTGAGCTCGGAGTAGGTAGCATCCACGACGGTTGTGTTACCTGGCGGTACTCCCCCTCATCGATACAGCGATCGAATATGCTTTCTATGATAGCTTGTAGCCGAGGATCAATCTTCGTTAAGCTCCCGGAATGCTCTTCAGTGCGCAGTGTGACGTATCGGTCAATTGCATTAGCTTGGGGGTGAGCAAACAGCGCAAGTTAATTTAGGGCTAGGGCAAGGGGTCTAGCACTCACATATTACTGTCTCGACATATTCACCTGCGCCATGTGCGCGAGCCTCAGCCTGGAACGCGCTCCCTGCGCCCAAGGCAAAGGATAAGGCTTCGTCATACTCCCCCAAGAAATAATACACTTTGCTAGCTAGCAAAGCAGCGTTATGGCGAGCGGGCTTTGGAAGATCATCGGACTCGTATAAGCTTTCTCTAAGAATGAATTCCGAGGTCAGAATCGACTAGTGTGCATTGAGCAATGGCAAACCCATACATGAGTGCAATGTGCTCCGAAATTTCTGCCCAAAACTGAGGGACAAGGGGAATGAGTCCTTTGAGAGCATGTTGCTTGAACACGGTATCTGGTTCTTGAAGGAGAGCGAGCACGCCAGCCGCAGAAGATTGGGAACGGATGACCATAACTTTCAAGTCAAAGAATACTATGAGACGCGTCACCTTTCATCACGCTACACACGAACAAGTCTTTCAATCGGAGATTTAATTCACCTTCCCGACCTCATCCGTCTAAACGCGAATATTCATTGCATTTGACATTGATTCAACTCCATATTCATGCTTGCTCGCACCGCCGTACGTGTTGTTGCTCGTGCAGCTCCCAGAGGTTCCCGTGCTTCATCTGCCGATGCAGGTGCAGGTGATTATTTTGCAAAGCGTGATGCGGTCAGGGCCCATGCTGCAGGTTTGCACAAGTATTGATTTGCGGACATGATTGATACTTAATTCACCTGACAGAGGTTACTCAGCTTTGGCGCAGAATAAGGTCAGCCCAATATCTCCTACATAGTTGGTCCTTGCTGACAATATACAAGCTTCTTTGTTTGCGTCCCAGCTAGTGCGTTTTAACACAAGCTGTTTGTTTGGTCTGCTCACCCTCTTTTAGCCATTACCTGCGCCCTTTGGGTACGTAATGTGGAGGCAGAACATGCCGAACACATAGAACACATAAAGGCAGAGCATGATGGTCACCTGCCCGACATCCCTCAGTACGAATACATGAACCGTCGTCTCAAGCCTTTCCCTTGGGGTATGAACTCGCTGTTCTTTAACCCGCATGTAAGTCATTCAACTGTTTTTTTTTGTGTTCGTCTCAACTCACCATTTATAGGTCAATAAAGATTTGTCGGAGGAATGATCTTGTTTCGTATCAGTAGACTATGATGCCATTTCATCCCATTCAACAATTTCAGCGGCACTTTTGTCTCCATCACTCCGGTCGGTGCGCGAGTCGTAATTTCCCAGTGTTCTGCCTCTGGTTTCGATGAAATGCCGGTCAAGTTTATGATGTCGATGCTATGGTCGTCAATATAAAGTGTGATTGAAAACTAAAAGCAGGGAATGTACGCTACGCACCAGTCCCTCTGACTTCGTCCTATGTAGGGGGTCACAGGTAGCTAGACATCAGTGCAGGGAAGGTCATGTCCCGTGTTTGAAATGCTGGGAATTCTACTTCATTCTGCTTGCAAGTCGCAATTTTCATCTCCCGGCGCCACTACAGAATGTTACGAGCGGTTCTCGAAAGCGTACTTGTGAAAAGATATAACAAGTTATCCCAGGTTAGAGACCAAATGGCCCTTGGAATATTAGTACGTCTCAATTTGTGTCAACGTCTGAAAGCATATAACCACGGCGGTGACTGATGGATATTTTTTCTCGCGCCTGCGAATCTTTGCGAGGCTCGTGGCAAGGATTTCACAGTACGACTATCTGGTGCGCCCTCCCCAATCACAGCGCGTTTTAGGAGTTGAACGCGCGATTCAGCATTTTGGCAGTCGTTGAAAAGACGTGCTTTACTAGCTTCGCCGAGTTATGGTTAGTAGATATTTACTTACATGAAACTTGTTGCTTCTGTCGGCGTCCCACCACATGCTCTAGGACCCCGCGGCCTCCGAACAGCGTGGCACTAGCAGAGGCAACTCAAGACCATCCGAGAGTGCATCACTAAGTGACATGCAGATACAAGAGGTCAGCGTGTGAACTTGAAGTGGTCGAAGACTCGGGTTCCGATATAAACGATGCGGCGGCCAGCTCATTCACGTAGAATTGTGCAGGCTTCCGGACATGTCGTGGTAGACAAAATCATTGATGAATGTTCTAGTTGATGTGATTAGCCGCCAAAAAAGGAAGGCGCTTTAGATCGAATACACTCATGTAGAACGTGTTGGGACTTTCACTCGTCGACTACTTACCTTTGCAGCCACCTACAACACCACCACCACCAACGTAGAGCCATGCCACGCGCTATCATATCTCCGTCAGTCCTGGCCTCTGACTTCGGGCAGCTCAGTGCAGAATGCAAGAGAATGATCAAAGGCGGAGCGGAATGGCTACACATGGGTACGTCTACTGATATGTGAAGCTTCAGAGACGATCCTCATCACCACTCACCTCGTACAGACGTCATGGATGGGTAAGAAATGAGTTTCAATACTCTTATCCGATCTCAATCTGTTCCAATCCAGCCACTTCGTGCCCAATATCTCAATGGGTTGGTGCACTATCCTCCTCGATTCCTTGCGAGTTCTCACGTGCATGCAGGTGCACCAGTTCTGTCTTGCGTCCATAAAGGCGTCCCGGGCATATTCATGGATTGTCATATGATGGTTTCACAGCCCGAGAATGTAAGCACATAGCTTATCGCACTCGATGTCCAGCGCAGTAAATGACCTCGGCATCTACCTCAGTGGGTGAACGATATCGCAGACGCAGGAGGCTCGCTATATTGTTTCCATATCGAAGCCACGTGTAAGTGATCTTGCCTTCAATCTTCTCCTGATGGCTTAGCACCTTGCGCAGCCGATGCTGTTTCGCTTATCAACGCTATACATGCGCGGAACATGAAAGCTGGGGTGGCTATTTCTCCGGACACGCCATCCACGGCCATCACAGATGAAATAGGCGCAGTAGCGGACATGCTCTTGGTTATGACTGTTTACCCTGGTACGTCATAATATCGATTTTTTGATAGGTCGCCTCACGTGGCGTAGGGCGTGGCGGTCAAAAATTCATCGATCGGTGCGTACCAAAGGTTGCGGAACTGCGCGCACGTTTCCCAGAAAAGGACATCGAGGTCGATGGCGGTGTCGGACCCAAGACAATCGGTGTTTGTGCCGATGCAGGTTAGTGCTGCCACAGAATCCCCTACACGATCATTTGACTGGTCCGCAGGAAGCAACGTCATCGTGGCAGGAACTGCCATTTTCAATGCGCCAAATCCTGAGGACGTCATTACTTCGCTGAAGGCTACCGTTGATACCGCTCAGGCGAGGTTCTCGAAGTAGATGCTGAAGGCTATGAACTACTGATCGCACCATATGTATCGAGTAATTAGATTCTACGCACTCATGTCCATCGAGGTAGCACAGTTTATGTTATTAAAGTAGACTAAGATTGGTCCCAGCATGGCACTACGGCCTGAACCAGAAGTAAGCAAACTACTTGACATGTCCGAGGTGAAAAGATCGGCAAATGGTAAAGGTATGGACAGTGAAAGGACCGGGAATCAGAAGGCCAGGTATCCAAACAACTTGCCCTCTTGATGTCCGAGTCCGAATCAAATAATAACGAAGGTTGCAGCATGCAATCTGTGCATTCATGATATGGGTCGTTTCAGATGACGTGTTTGACATTGATTAAGATTGCGAGACCATGGTCGACAGAAAGCCGCAAGGACGGGTGTGATTCAAGGTCACCATTGAAGCCATTCGCCGTACATGTTTGGCCTCTCCCCACGAATGTAAGACTCAAACGTTCTCTTGAGGACAGTGGCCCAATCAAGATCGCGCTTATCGTTAGCGACACGGTCAGTGGCATCCTCTGGATCGATATCGGGTTGCGCCGCTGCACGGGCAGCCCTCTCCCCAGCTAAAAACTTGGGCCCTAGGTCAGGCCAGTTACGAGATGGATCGAATGGCTTCCACCTAAGTCACAATTGAACGCGGTATGTCACGCAGAAGGATAGTCTACTCACCAGAAGTTATGGAAGTGATAAGAGAAAGCACCTTGGAAGAAACCTTCAAACCCTAGTGCCTGAGGAGCGGCACTGGCTTGTGCAGGTGTATCAAAGAAGTCCGAGAACCTATGAGAAATGAATGAGTAAGCTATGACGTGAGAACACGGAATTGCATACGTACTCTTGGAAGTATGGCTGAGGAGGTCTTTCGCGTTGGTAGTACTCGGTGTTGAGCCACGCAGAGTCAAACAACGCGTCAGGTAGTCGTAGCAAAAGACCCTCCAAGTATGCGTCCTTGGTATAACGAGATACCGTCATGGGGTGGAAGTCGAGGCCGTTCTTCAGAGCAGTGCGGAACAAGAATGACCCAAGAGCAGAGTTCTTGTTCATGCGCAGAACGGCAGTATTGTACTTCTCCAGCCGCGACCACCTATACGCAAACGCGCCCTTCCAACCCCAAAGCTCCTCCCAGTCCCGCAAGAAGATGGTGTCTGCATCAAGGTAGATACCACCGAACCGATGACAAAGGACAAATCGTGCCATATCAGAGAGGATAACTGAGAGGCGGTCATATGAAGACGAAGATTTCGAACCAGTACGGTTTAGCATATCATCTTCGTCTGACTTGTTGTCACCAGTAGACGAAGGTTTTGCAGAAGTGTCGACATCGGTGCTGTTGGTCGAATCCTCTATAGAACTAGTACTGGAGGCCTCGGCAGTTTTCGACTGCGACTTCTCGGCGGGTACACTGACAATGTGTCCTCCTGAGTTGAAGAGAGTTTCTTTTAACTCGCGCCACTCGTCCTTAAGTTCCGGGATACCGTCAAGTTGGTCTGTCGTATTCCACAGTTTGAATTTAATAACGTCCTTGAAGCGATGGTGTAAGAAAGGGGCTGCCCAGGGATTGGTCTTGAGCCCTTCATACATGTCGCTTAAAGCGGAAGGGTTTGGGACAGATGCTGCAGGACCAGGGTTGATCCACATCCAAAACTCAGGGCGGCAGACGTTAAGAGTGTCGCCATCCTTCAAATGCAGACCGACATTTTGTGTGAACAGGAAGGAGAGCAAAGCGAGATATGGCTTGTCGGTGAATGGGCCAGTCCAGAACATGTGGAAGAGACGTGGGTTTTCAGGGTCGCAAGGTGCCGGAAGACTTGAATAAGGTGTATGTTGCAAAGGAGCACGGAGAGGTAACTGTGTCTCCCAGTCTACCCCTACCTTCTTTCTTAAACCTGCGTTGGGATCCGTCTCTCCACCTGAAACTAGCGGACGAGGTGGAGCAATGGGATTAGCTATAGGGATTGGATCTGTGAAGGGATCTGTGAAGTTCTCCTTCTCTTGTTCCATGTAGATGTATTTCCATTCGTCTATTTCACCCCGCCTGACTCTCTTGCCATTGTCAAGGCCTGCGCCTACACGCAAAACCTCGAGGCAGTCGCGGACATACTTTGGAAACATTAGTTGGTGGAAAAAAAAAACAAGGAAAGCAGAATGCGTACTTTTCCCTGTGAGAAGTCGCAATGATCCATGATTACGTCTAGGTCAGCGACAGTGCCCGGCACAGGACGAGGTGGATATGCAAGAGTGGGAGGAAGGCTTTGTACATCGAGATAAACGCGTCGTGGACCATCTCCACGCGTGGTTGTTGCTACAGGGCCTGGAGGAGGCCTGAATCGTGAAGGAATCGTTGGAACTTTTCGTGGAGGAAGAGCAGGGTTGAGTGGTGGAGCGCTGAGTCCAACCTGCTCGGGTACTGAGAGTATTCATTATCAACACGTAGGATCACGACAGGAAGAGAGATGAAGCGTACTCTTTGCATTACTTGGATAATGGCCGCTCTCTATTTCCCATTTCCAAATTCTCTGCAAGTCATCTCGCCCAAAGACTAGGGTAGAAGATTCCCCAAAGTTTGCAGTCCACTGTTTTTCCTCTGCGCCGAACCGACGTGCGAAGGACCATACTGTGATGATGGAAACAATCAAGACTACACAGAGCAGTATCGGCCCCCGTCGTCGTCCGAAACGCAAGATACTGATCTGGCGGATACGACTTGGATTTGGCATAAATAAACGAAGACGACGCGAGCGTACGCCAGGGATTGGGACTGATATTGGGACTGTCCAGGACATTGAACGGGAATGTCGATGCATTTTCTCGCTGACAGCGGAAGAATAAGTTGGAAG